CCCACAATTCTCTGACTGCACTCACTGTACCGGCGTTTACGCCAGGCTGTGATGCTCATCTACTCTGATAAATCACCGCGGGATCAACCAAGTTCAACCTCCCCTCCACCCAACTTTCAGACTGCAACAACAAGTACTTGAGGGCGTTGATGGTGCTGCTTTCGCTCTCTGCAGCCACGATGACTGTCCAGTCAGAGGTAACCTTGCGGCCGATGAGCGCGGCACTGTATTTGCGAGGAACCGGGCTGCCCGAGAGTTGCTTCAGGTACGTGACGAGGTCGATTGCACTGTACTCTGGATGGGTGTACAACGTGTTGGCTGCGTTGCTGGTTAGACCATGTTAGTGTTGCGCTGGTACCTGGAACTTACCGATGAGTTGGCGACGGAGGTCTGAGTAGCCCACTGTGTCTATGATCCCGGAGTCCATCTTTCCCAGAAGCTGCCACGCAGACTAATCGTGGTGAGGTTCTACGATTCGTGATTCTGGGTTTGTAGCAAGGGGAGCGATGTTCTGAAAAGGGTTGTTGTTGTTGTTGTTGTTGTTGTTCGTCCGTTCCAAACTCTTTCGTCGAACAAGATGGACGTGCGTACAGGTGAGTCGTTGCCGGCTGGTGTGATGACAGGCAAGTGGGGTCAGCAGTTGAGTATCTCTAAACGTGGTAACGTGAAGTAGAATCAGTAAATAATCGGCGAGCCCATTTAAGCTCGTTCCTGGCAACAATCAATCTTTGACGCAAACGTTTAGCCCATCCAATTTCAGACCATCTAAGAGGCAAGTTTCGTGCTGACCGGTCTGATGATCATGCAAAATCTCTCTAAGCTCCTCATTGCTGTCCAAACACCGGATTGTGGAAGCATGACAAGCGTTAGCAGCTGGGTAAAGCTGTGTCGCGGTGCAAAGCCGTTTGTGCTCAAGCAGTGCTGGGGCTCATCTCAACCCCTTTCCGTAATCCCCGCCGCACTCTTCAACCTCTCCTTCCTCCCCTCCCTCCACGCCTTATGCACCCCCTCAATCTTCCCTCCCTCAACCTTCACACTCCCCGGTTCCAGCAACACCACCCCCCTCGCAACCAGCACATCCCTTAGCACAATCTTCGCGCCGATATTCATCCCTACCCCCACCCCCTCAACAGCCGTAAGCTCAATCCCAAACACATTCACCCCCTGCGCATCCTGCAAAACCAACTTATGCGGCCCCCCGCTACCCGCAACGTCCGCATCCGCGTCTGCCCCCTCCCCTCCGTCCTCGGCCCGCACGGCCCGTATGATCTCCCGCCCCTTGGTCGTCTCGCCCCTCTCGGCTGCCTCGAGCGCCTCGACCTGGCTCCAGCGACTGCGGCCGATGTCCTCGATGTCGAGCACCTGGACTGCGATGGGCCCGGCGAGGCGGCGCTCGCGGATGGTGGCGTTGTGGATGTCGGGGGGGAAGACGGAAGAGGGGGTGCGCTGGAGGGTTTGCGTGATGTCGGAGGCGAGGAGACGGAAGAGGGCGGTTTGTTTGAGGGCGGGGAGGGGAGTTGTTGGGCGGATGGTTGGGAGGAAGGTCGTGGTGAGCCAGGTGGGGGAGGGGTGGAGGCCGCGGGAGAGGAGGTGGGTGGTTATTTCTTGGGCGAGGTTGGTGGAGTCCATGTTTAAGTAAGGTGCTATGTCATCGCGACCGTATGTGAGTTTAGAAGAACTCCTACTCTTCTCGGCGTTACATTGCTGAACAAGGGTGATATCGTCACTGGAGGTTGTTGACTGAGAGTTCGGCAACGATCGATGTCCCTGCCGATCTCCCGCACCTCCCGCACCTCCCTTCAGCCCTACGTAACGGCTTTCAACAACCCTATAATCAACGCCCACTTTGTCAAGCTTCCCTTTACCTCTGTCTTGTTTACTTGTTACAGTGCGCACCGTCTCAGTCACAACCCCAATGTCCACAATAGCCTCCCCCCGCCCCTCCCTCTCAATCCGCAGCCCCTCCTCCTCCCGCACCTCCCTCGACACACCCCCAGCACCAGGCGCCCGCCAACCGCCCAACGCGCGCCGAAACCGCACCGCCCTCCGCGACTATTACAATCTCAAGAACGCCGAAGCTACCGAGGCGTCCAGCGCGCCACAGAATGCGCTGAAAGAAGAGGGCGAAGTCAGCGAGCTCGACAAAGAGGGTTTCGATGCTGCGAAGTATGTCGAGGACGTGCTGGCGACGCAGGGACTGGAGGGTGTGTTGAAGGTTGAGGCCGGGCTATTGAGCGGTAGGGGCTTCACTTAAATATTCACACTGGGACTTGGGGGGATCGGACTGATATGGTAACGCTGAGTTGTTAGATATTAGAAACCTGGACGGCGAACGCAAGGCGCTGGTCTATGACAACTACTCCAAACTCATCGCGGCTACGGACACGATTGGCAAGGTTCGGCTGTTTGGACCCATTCACTGGATGAGGCTGATAGAGTTGGCAGATGCGAACGAACATGGATCCATTAACACCAGCGACTTCGACGCTAGCGCCTGCGATAGCCCATATTGCGGAGACGGCGACGGCGCTCTCGACATCGTTGTCAAGCCGCACGACAGCGAAGGAGCTGGGTGAGGCAGACACGAAAGACGCTAGAAAGGAGAAGCAGAAGCAGACAGTACGATGGGTGCTAAATGCGCCTAGGAGGCTTCAATCTCTGATCCAAGAGGACAAAAGAGAGGCAGCTGAAGCCGAGTGGGACGATGTCCGGAGGTTGCTTGACAAGTGGAAAGGTGTGCAGGGTGTGGAAGAGGTGAGAGTGCGCTGCGAGGCTGCGCTCAAAGGGGAGGAGGATTGAAGATGCTTGTGTGATGTCTTGACTTCTAGGTCCTCCACGCCCATGATTTGCAATCACTGGAGCTGGCGATGTCCGTCCGCAGACTGAACGGTGATTGAGGCTGACGAAAGAAGAGACGGTGCTCGGATTAGTGGGATGCGCTCCTTGGGCGGTTACGCTCTACAATCCGTGAGGGACTCTAGAGTAGATTGTATGCCGACGACGAACTCCCAAGTGGGGAGTGCACAGGATCTAGCCGGCCTGTAGAACCAAACGAACCAGGCAGGATCCAGCGTCAATCCGGTCGGAGGGTTCTCTTCTTAAACAATTCAAACAGACGCTATAGTTTCGGGAAAGTCCATTGGGGGTATTGAGGAACGGACTCCATAGGGAGGCTAGGCTTAGTGGCGCTTAGGGATCGACGGATGGACGGCTTGTAACATATACGGAAGATTTGAAATACCATATGTACGACTGTACCGAAGGCTTACTCCAGTACAAGGTCCCAACCTCTTGAGAATCCGACAATCCAAAACACCCTCGAACTGTGTCCGAAAATCAAACTCTACGCTAGCAGTATTAAGTGGCCAACGAAAACCGGACGCCCTACACCGCCCTGCACAGTGAACCACATTCAAATACCAGCGTCCTCTGGGGCAACATTCAAATTCCAGTCAATCGCTCCATCCGGCCCATACTTCTCCACGAGCCACTCATTCGCCTTCTTAAAGTGTCCACAATCAAAGAATCCTCTGGCCGCGCTCAGAGGACTCGGATGCACACTCTTCAACACCAGATGCTTACTGCTAACACTTTGGACCCTCTTCGCTGCCGGCGTCCCCCACGCTAAGAAAACCACGCCATTCGACCGGTTCTTAACCACCGTATCGATCACCTTCTGGGTGAACCTCTCCCAGCCTTTGCCGCTGTGGCTGTTGGCCTCATGGGCACGGACGGTCAGACATGTGTTCAGAAGCAGGACGCCCCGGTCAGCCCAAGGCGTGAGGAGGCCGCCGTTCTTAGGCGGCGGCTGGAAGTCGGGATAGTCCTTCTTGAGGGCTTTGTAGATGTTTTGCAGCGAGGGTGGGGCGGGTGTAGGCGGGCGGACGGAGAAGCAGAGGCCGTGGGCTTGGTTGTAGTTGTGATAGGGGTCTTGACCGAGGATTACGGCCTTGACTGTCGGCAAAGGAGTGTGACGTGACCTATGTGGTGTCAGGGATGGCTCTAATGATTGTGCGGATGGCGGTTGCCGACGCTGACAGCTGGGTAGAGTGGGACGCGGTCCGCCGCGTGCGGTGTGAGCGTGTAGCTGCAACCTACCATGAGTAGACATCCTCTAGTGGCGGAAAGACCTTCTTCCCGCTCTCAATCTCTTTCTTGAGAAAGCGCTTGAGCTCCAAGAACTCTTTGGTCACGACCTCATCCTTCAGTTGTGCTAACCAGCTCTCGTGCAGCGTCTCAATCTCGAGCTTTAGTAGCTCTTTCTGCTCATCACTGAGCTTCGCCACCCAGGCATCCTTATCGAACTTAGATGGCACAGGGCCTTTTGCTGGATTGGTCGATGCGGTGCCAGCAACGGGCTTCGGCTGCCCGAAGAAGGCGGTGATGCTGCCGTTCGCCTTGGGTTTCTTTGCGTCTGCTGCAGCAAGGTCGGCAGCCTTGCGCTTGAGGGACATGATGTGAGTCAGGTCGGGTATTTACAGTGCAATTGGGAGGTTCCTAGTGAGCCAAAGTGGATATTTGTCAATGAGTACTGAGGGGGGAGGCGACAAAGCGGTCGGGAGCTTGTCACGTCCAGGCAGCATCGCGTCAACGCGTGCTCGCGCATCCTGTGAGATCAAGGGCCACTTGAAAAGCACGTTGCCGCGTCTTGGCTGGTGGCTTGTCCAACCAGATTCACGATTAAGCTGAACTTATGATCGTATCGATTATAGAACAATGAACCTTTACGATGGAAACCATAAGTTTGTTTGGCAGTGTAGCGCTTCAGTGTATTGACCGCCTGAGATGTTCTCAATCTGCGGACTGCGCATAAGACCACACTACCTAATCCACCGTCGGTGCGGCAGCGTACTTTTCAAATGGCCCTTGGAGCTTCGTGATTTCGTGATGTCACTTGATGTCATTCGGACGAATGCCGCTGCTGTCAAACGGCATCAACCTTAGTAGGCAGCAAGCGGGGAAGGCATGGGGCCAAGTGAAGTGAAGCAGAGGGTCCACGGGGTATTAAAGAGGGTTCCATCCACGTTTTGCTCCTCATTTCCTTCTTCACCGACTTCGCAAAGACCTTTCAAATTGACCAGTACCAACATCGAACCACCTCTCCCACACCAACGATAAAGCTTCAATCAATCAATCAACCATCATGACTGACAACACCAACCCCGGCAACTTCGCCAACCGCCCGACCGAAGAGGTCAAGGAGATCGCTGCCAAAGGTGGCCGTGCTAGTGGAGGCACTGGAGGATCCTCTGACACGTCCTCCGGCAACGTAAGTCTACACCAGTGTGGCTCTATCTTTCCTGCATCCTCCCACTGTGATCGATTGGACTCTCTTCCTCACATCTCTGGCTTCAGCACAGGCCTTGACTGTAGTTCAACCAACTGATTCAATTACAGAGCGGCAGCGGCTCGTCGGGCGGCGACGTCTCCAGCGAGGGACGCAACCCTGACGGTACCTTCCAAAAGGGTTCTCAGGCTGCGAAGGAGGCCGGCGCCAAGGGTGGACACAGCTCTTAGTGTGTATATCATCTGATGGCAGCAGCATGGCAGAGAGCTGCTTTGAATTCGACGGACGGATGAACTGGATACACTCATGACTTGGGCATCGGGAGACAGATAGCTCGGCTTCTAAAAATGGCATCATGATATTGCCCTCATGATCAATTGCTTTTCTGAACTTTCACACTCCCTGAATGAATGCCAGATGATAGCGCGACAAAACCTTAATCTCTCACCGCTACTCTCACGTCCATTGCTGGTTTTACGAACCCACCACGTCACACGGCACTGGAGTCGGAATGTGATATAGATCTAGTTAGACGCGACAGCGATGCTTGAATACTGAACCCTCTTCCGGGGAAACATCCAGGAACATTTCCCTTCGGAATGATAGTATGAGAGGGCTCCGGAATAGATTCGTCCTTCCCAGGCTCTGAGAGTCTGACTGTATCTCAAGGTTGTCACTTTCCCACTCGTCTATCCAGTTTCTGCAGAGTCCAAGTCATTGAGGTGCTTCCCTCTTCCACCTCCTTCACTATACTCTCCCCCAGAACGCCTGCACTGTGGGTACGAGGCAGCGCAATCAGTTGTTTCAGTTCTTGCTGCCGTCGTCAAGATGAAACGTGCGGGGCCCCAGCCAAAGGGATGCAGTGCCGCACCGCACTATTGACCGTTACGCAGTTCCAAGTTGGACAGGAAAGGCGTCCCACGCCATCGCAATCTCTCAAGCCCTTCGAAGGGCACTGCGGCTCACGTTGCATGCATTCTCCCTTCCAGAAGTCAGAAACGGCTTCTAGCGGTGAGGGGCAGACGGTGTGTTGGCGCTGCCCAGGTGGGAAGGCCCATCGAGAACCTCCCGGCTTCCTGCAGGGGGGGCACGGGAGATGCTCGCGCATCTTCGGGGCTTTTCCGTTCCCGAGAGCCTCTCCGCCTTGGCCCGGCCCCGTGACAGCATGCCGTTCCATTTACGGCGCCCGAACCCGCCATTCTGGTTCCTCTCGTTCGATACCTTCCCGCTGGGATATCCGACGAGCACCAAATACCGTTACCACGGCCTCGTGTCTGCTCCCTTTCCGTGCACCAGCATGTCATTGAGTCCTCCCCCAGCGCCCGCCTCCACATACTCATCCTCAATCGACCCGGCATCTCCGCAAGCGATCATCGAAGCAGATGTACGTCTCGGGATATGGAGTGGCCACCTAAGAAGCTCCCACAAGGTGCCCCGGTAGAATCCAGCGCCGCTGACATGTCTTGTTGCACAGTCAGACCACTCAGACGTCGCAGAGAGCTGTAACACGTAGGTATGTCCCTGGTCTCGGGAACGCGCAGCTTCCCTGACGACCGTCCAGCAGCACAAAGTCGGTAAACCAGAGCATCTTCGACTACGTTAAGGAGAATGGGAGGACCTACCATCGATACCAGGCGGGCTGTGAGTGGTGTCCATATCTGTGCGCTCGCGATATATCGGACAGACGTTAACGCATCTATTACGCAGCATATCTATACCCGAACGACGAGGTATACCACCAGTCACGACCGCCCACTTGCCCACTTTACCACACTACGGCTACTGACAGTATGAAAGTCCGAGAGCGAGCGCCTCGACCTACAATTCGAGATCCTTAAGGTTCTGTTTGGCGGGAGAAATTTCTATGCGCCGCTGGAAGACCCGAGAAAGATCTTGGACATCGGTACAGGCACGGGAAAATGGGCCATAGAGATGGGTTAGTCGTCGTCCCCTGCGGCACTGCTGGAGGAACTCACGAAGAGGATACTGATGGCGATCAGGGCATCAGTTTCCCCGATGCGAGGTACTGTGACTGAGACTTGCGCTGACTGGATGTTGCTAACGGCGCTACTAGATCACAGGAACCGACCTTTCACCCATACAGCCTGACTGGTATACTCAGTCATGTGAGAGCGGTCTCGATACGCTACTAATATTTTCTCAGGTATCCACCCAACGTCAAGTTCGTGATCGACGACGCCGCGGAAGAGGACTGGATGATAAAACCCGACTCCTACGACTACATTCACACCCGCGTGCTCCTCGGCTGCTTCGAAGACTTTCGGGAAGTCATCCGCAAATCATTCCGCTACCTGAAACCCGGCGGCTGGATGGAATCACAAGAGTATATGCACACTGTATACTGCGACGACGGCACTATGGGTTCCGACTACGCCTTTGCAGAGTGGACCAAGACCCAAGACGCCGCTGCAATGGAGCTGGGCCGGCCGCTAAGGATCGCGAACAAGCTGAGGAGGTGGTATGAGCAGGCCGGCTTTGTAGATGTCCACGAGGAGGTGTATAAGCTGCCTGTCAACGCCTGGCCAAGGGATCCGCAGCTGAAGATGCTGGGACGCTTCAGCGAGAGCAGCTTGTTGGACGGCTTACAAGCATTTAGTCTGGCCTTCTTCCATCGCGGGCTGGGCTGGACAAAGGATGAGATCGAAGTATATCTTGTGAACGTCAGGAAGGCCATCTCGGACAGGAATGTCCATGCATACCACAAGATGTGAGCATGCGTCACTGGCGCTCTCGGCACTGTTTCCAGTCGATCTGACACCTTTTGACAGATACGTGGTATGGGGCCGGAAGCCTGAGAACGCTACGAGCACTTGAACGATAGTGCATGTGTTTAACGGCGCTATCATCCAGAGTTGATGACCTCACGACCCTCTCCACATTCGGCTGGCGTTTCGGTGGAAAGGAAAAGTTCAATCCATTCTTAGGAGTAAGGCGCTGAGAGGCTCTGACAGCCCATGACTGCATCATCGGCGCTCGAAATGGCGGCGCTGCTCGCGTTGGAATCTGTTCTTTATACTCATCGCATCATTCTGGATGACAGGCATCAGTCTGCAGGCACCATGCTCCGGAGAGAAAACATTACGAAATGCGCATAGAGATGGGCGTACTCCACATAATGCGCGCGATCTTAGGCGTTGGGTCTTGTTCGGGCGCACTCGGTTCATTATCGCCCTGGTTTTGCGAGAAGAGCTAGGGATTTTGTGGAGAGCCCGTGGGTCAAAAGACGTTCCAGGAGCCAGTCAGCTCCAGGTGGGCCACCCAGTCTCAGTGCTTGTCTCTGGGAGCGCATTAACACTCCACCCCCTCCAGCCACAAAACGATGTGCGGACCCTGCCGTGGCTCTGGTGGCTTCAGCAGCTCCGAGGAGAACATGCTCTCCAACTCTCTGTCAACGGTTCTCTTATCAAGCTTCACACTGGCAACACTAACTACAAGGATGCATGCGATTTGCAATTCCTTTTCTTGAAGCTCTCGATTCACGTTAAGAGCTGGGCTCAGTGGTAGTAACAAGCCTCTGTTAGGGCTTTGGCATAAGCATCTCCGGACTGCTGTTGTAGGATCGAGACTGGGGTCAAACCTCTTGCGGGGGACATTTTGACCCTCCGTCTCTGAGGGCTTCGTTTCCGTTGCTGTCAAGCGCCATAAATCAAACTGTATGACGGAGCATTATTGGAGGCATTGCAGGAGCGAAATCCATATACAAATCACGCAATCAAAGACCACAGTCCTGTGTTGCGCTCCTGAACTCAAACATGTTATTCAATGACAACATACACTCCCTGTTAGGCCACTTGTCCTGTGCTCCGCCAAGAGATGAACACGTGACCTTTAGATAGCGGACTTGATCGACGTCGTAAGGCACAATCTCGGAACATCTTCAACGGAAGCAACACCACGTTTCATTGGAGCATCCCAACGTCAAAGATAAGAGACGAGGACGAGATACCAGCCCCCACGCCCTGCAGCGACTAGAGAATCTGCAGGCAGGCCAGACGGGACTGCCGCTGCCCAGCAGCTACCCTGTGGCGCGCCAGGAACGGTTCTCGGGATGCTCACCACCACGGCCCGGCTTTGCCCTATCCAGAGTGAGGCCTCTGGATGGTTCGGCGGACAAGCTCCGTAAGTGTCTTTGTAGACCAGCAAGCCGTTTCTTTAGATCGCTCTGTCGAGACTAGCAAGCGGATGCCGTCGATGGTTCCGCATCGTAGAGGGCTGATATCGCTGACCTTCCGAAGATAGATCCGTGCCGACGTCGATCAACCTCATGCTGCGCGCTCTCATTTTGAAACAAGCCTTACCGGAATGTGGTTCTGCATTGAAGCTGTCCAGGAAGAACTGAAAGACGTCATTTGGTCTCAAGAGCTTCTGCGGGTGAAATAGAGCCTTATGCAGTTGTCGTAGGCCAAGGGCACAGAAAAATGCGACCGCAAGCACGATAGGATACTATTCGTTACCAGCATCACCTGCTCTGCCTCAGGGAGCCGCGGAAAAGAACTCACATGCCCTCGATATCTTTCTTCCAACTTTGGCTGCTGCTGCTGATAAGAAAATATGGATGGGGCCTGCTAAACGCACGGTGAGACGCGCTATCAAGGGCGGCGGAGATAAGGCAGTCCAACGTCCTTCCAACAGTCTGTCGTCCAATAATGTTCTTCTATCGACTCTCTTCGAGATTCTGCAGTTTCTGAGCCCAGAGAGATTTCTATCGGCGGCTTGAGGCATTGGGATGCTTAATTCAAAGCATCGCTATTAGGATCAAGCGCTGGGCTGGTGCATCTGAGTCTTGTTCGAGATCTTCAAAGTCCAGCAGAAAGGTTCCGCAAGCCACCCGAGCTCAGCGTCTTGTATCACAAGCGCCAGCTCTTATCTAGCCAAGGCTTGCTGGGGCAGCAGTCTGTGCAGTGGCTGCCTCCAGACATTCCCTCCAGATCGACAGAAGGGATCACCCGCGGATATGTGCTTTTGGTATTAGGTGAAAGGTGAGATCAACCGGAGATGCTCTGTATGCCGTTCAGCGTCACTGTAGAGGTCAGATTATAAAGAAGAGCGCGCGGTACTGGCATGGGACCACATCAGCTTCCGTGACAATACTCTCTGGATTACCACCCCAGATCTCAACTGGACCCTCCTCTTCATCCCATACCTCCACACTCACATCAGGGACAGGCGAGGAAGCAGCAATATGTTCGACATCTCGCTAGCATGGCGGGCGCCGAAAATCAACCCCATCAACCAGAAGGCCTACTCTATCCCAGTCTTCAACCCCATTAACGTCTATGGGCGGGTGTTCTTCTTCTCGTGGTTCGGTTTCTTGATTGCTTTCTGGTCCTGGTAAGTCTGACGCAGCCGTGCATTCCCGTGTGTGGCTCGCAGCAGTGGCTGATCTGGGGTGCAGGTATGCGTTCCCACCGCTTCTACACGACATCATCCAGGCGGACTTGCACCTCACCCAAATACAAGTCGCGAACTCGAACATCGTTGCCTTGACAGCTACGTAAGTGTCCTTGTGTGCTTGGACATGACACCGTCCTCTAACACTCAGATAGCCTTCTTGTCCGTCTAGTTGCTGGTCCGTGTTGTGACAGATTCGGTCCTCGATGGACATTCGCAGGATGCCTCCTTGCCGGCTGTGTCCCGACTTTCCTCGCCGGCGCGGTCTACAATGCTTCTGGCCTCCTCGCGCTCCGGTTCTTTGTCGGCATCCTCGGTGGTTCATTCGTGCCTTGCCAAGTCTGGACGACTGGCTTCTTCGACAAGCACGTTGTCGGGTCGGCCAATGCTTTGACTGGCGGTATTGGTAATGCCGGTGGTGGCATCACGTACTTCGTTATGCCTGCCGTCTACGAGTCCCTCGTCCATAATGGCCTTACTCCTCACGTCGCCTGGAGGGTTACGTTCATCGTACCTGGTGTTCTCATCCTAAGCACCGCCATTGCTATGCTGCTCCTGACCCCTGACTGCCCGACTGGCAAGTGGTCTGAGCGCCAGGCTGCTGCTGAGGCCATCTTGCGCCGTGCCAGCGTATCACACGGCGTCGTTCCGGTCCCTGGTCACCTTGCCGACCGGCAGACATCTGGTACCGAGTCACCCAACTACTCCGAGGAGGACAAGTCCGACAAGAAGATGGATGCGGAGGCCCAGTCTGTTGACCACACCGTCGAAGAGGCCCGCGGCGAAGTCATCCAGAAGCCAACATTTAAGGAGATCATGAAGGTCGCAATCTCGCCTCAGACCATCGTCCTCGGTGCCGGTTACTTCTGCTCTTTCGGCGGCGAGTTGGCGATTAACAGCATTCTCGGCACCTTCTACGGCCGGCAGTTCCCGCAGCTCGGTCTCCAGACCGCCAGTAACTGGGCCGCGATGTTCGGTCTTCTCAACGTCCTTTTCCGTCCCCTAGGTGGCTTCGTCAGCGACAAGATCTACCACGCGTGCGGTGACAGGGTCTGGTCCAAGAAGATCCTCATCCACGTATATGGCGTCATCACCGGCGTCTTCCTCATCATCATCGGCAAGGTCAACTCGAGAGACCACTCCACGATGTTCGGCCTCGTTGCTGGTATGGCTTTCTTCCTTGAGGGCGGCAACGGCCTCAACTTTTCCCTTGTGCCACACGTGCATCCTCATGCCAACGGTGTCGTGTCCGGCTTCACTGGTGCGGCTGGTAACTTTGGCGGTATCATATTCGCCATCATTTTCCGGTACAATGGTCTCAACTACATGAGGGTGTTCTGGATTATGGGCATCATGATGATTGGCATAAACTTGGCGGTTGCGTGGATCAAGCCGATTCCCAAGGGCCAGATTGGTGGTCACTAGAACGTTACCTTTACAGCTGTTTGCTTGGTTATGAGTGGTAGAACGGTTTGGAGGTTATAATGTTAGATGGATAGCGTTTTGTGTTTCCAGAGATATCCTGAGCATTGCTGTATTTTGGATTTCAAAGACTAGTGGAGGGTTGATAACCACAATCGAGAAAAGTTTCAAAGCTACTGCTGCGTGTTCTATTTGCTCCTTCCTTGGTATTGGAATCTCAGAGTACTGGGCTACTCCACGATTTGAAACTTCTCGACAGGTTCAGGTCACATCCATCCCGATCACGCCTCGTAGGGCTGACCCGGATCGGCGGATTCCATCATCCCTGCGACTGAGCCCCTCGTGCCCCTCCATGCCCTCCACCGACAACGGCTTCTCGCCAGCACTGTAAAGATCTTGGTATCTGGAACATCTGGAGCAATTGTCTTCAGCCGTGCTGTCAACATTACACCATAACTCAACATGCCAATCACGGAAGGCGCCCCCGCGCACGGCACCGTCGCGCATCTGCTCCCCCAGACATACAAGCGTATGATTGCGGAGTGGCTGGAAGAAGACACGCCGAGCTTTGACTACGGCGGCTTTGTGGTCGGGGAGGAGATGGCGGAGGCGAGGTTGCTCGGGAAGAGCGAGGTAGATTAATTCCTTGCCCCAGTGATTTCTTCTATACCGAAAAACGCCTTTTGTTCTATATACGTGGATCTCGAGATTTAGTAACAGCAGATCAAAGAGAGGGCTCTGGAGCTGAACTGAAGTTCATTAGGGCGTTCTGGCAGGCGTGCCTTTCTTTGACGAAGTCTTCAGGCAGCTGGATTGCACGTGAGTCGTTGATCCCTCTAGGTCTGTGGATACTACTAAGTTAAATCCCGGCTGCAAAAAACTCACGATCTGGAGTATATCGGCGCTAATACCGAGGCTGTGGTAGGGTCGAATGGCACATTGCCGAAGGCGAAGCTTTCAAGCCTGTCAAGCACTGCGCAACTGTTCGAGGACCGGTGCGGAAGGTCCTGCTCGGCGAACGGGTAGCGTTGAATACGCTTGCAAGGTGCTCGGGGATCGCGACCAAGTGAGTGGTTTTGCCGTTTCCGGCTTATGAGCTCGTTGTCATCATTTCAGTGGTCCAAGTCTGTCTATGCAACAAATCACACAAGTCAAATCTCAATCTTCATAGCCTCCTATTTTCTTCAACTATCTCTTGGTTTGATGCAAAACTCTCTCAACCCCTTTCCTTCCATTCACCTCTTCATGTATCCATCCTTTAATATCTCAGTCCAATCCCCCTTACTCACATCCCAACCACCAGATCCTCCTCCCTCCTCGCCCTCCTCCGCAGCGCCGGCTACACCAACACCCTAGCCGGGACGCGCAAAACGACCCCCGGCTTCCGCCTCGTCGAGAAATACGGCATGCTAGTCGGGGGGTGCGACCCGCACCGCCACGACCTCAGTACCATGACGATGCTAAAAGACAACCACATCTGGGCCTGCGCCGGCAGCATCACCAAGGCAGTCCACGCCGCCAAAGCCGCTGGGGGCTTTTCCGTGAAAGTGGAGGTCGAATGTCAGAGCTTCGAGGAGGCAGATGAGGCCATTGCGGCGGGGGCGGATGTGGTTATGTTGGATAATTTTAGCGGGGAGGAGGCCGGGCGGTGTGCGGGGCGGTTGAAGGATAAGTGGGGGAGGGGGGAGAGGGGACGGGCGCTTGTCGAGGTTAGTGGGGGGCTGACGGAGGGGAATGTTAGGGGGTATGTAAATGAGGATGTGGATGTGGTGAGTACGAGTAGTATTCATCAGGGGGTCAAGCATGTGGACTTTTCGTTGAAGGTTGTGCCAAAGGGGAAGGGGAAGGAAGGGGATGAGGGGGGTAAGGGGGAGAGTGTGGAAGTGTGAGGGCATTGGTCGTAGGTTGTGGCTCCGTGAGTGCATCACACCGCTACGAGCAGTGTCCTCGTCTGTTCTAGCGGCTGTTATAGCAAGAATCCGTTACGCATGTCAATATAGACAAACATGTTTAAAGTGGTGTTGCGTCGGACGTTAGATGATGAGGTTCGTTTGATCGATGTGATGCCAGCTTTCGTCTCTTGTGCACAAGTATCTACGACATCCGTCCACCGACCGTTGCGGTCCGTACACCTCGTGACATGCCGTAAGACTCCCTCGCCATTGCTTGCTCTGGAGGACTACATACTTTGTGCCCCATTAACAGTACGCCGTATCTCGATTCGATCTTGGCTGTTCTAGCTGCAACCGCAGTACTCAAGGAGGTTGAGATGGCGTCGGCCAACGACGGTCATATGATCCGAAGAGATGACCGACCTCAACTTTCACATCTCTTGGTCGGGTCCTCGGGCAAGCTCTACGACTCGCCGCCGGGCTCCGATTGCCGGCCCTAGGAACTGTCAGCATACAGAGCATCCGCTTTCGAATCGAAGGGCCGATCAGCTTACCATCTGCCTTGCTTTCAGCATCTCGTCGCACAAGAGCAGATTCGACGCGATGCCTGTACTCGAAGCTATACAGTTGCGCAAAACCCGGAATGAGTCAAACACGCCTCGCTGAATGGGATCCATGGGCTCTCCTTCTGTCAGGTCGAGACCAACGACATTACCCTCGGCGTACTCGTCTTGTAATAGCGCCACTAGAAGTGTGTCATTAGGAGTGCGTATTCGCCTAGTGGATTTCATATCACGAGGACTTACAGGAGTCTTGTATGTCGTGACCAGAGTTCGCCGCCAGCGTCTTCGGGATGATCAACAGAGCATCCGCGAACGCTGATACACCGTACTTCGCCTTTCCCTTTACCTGTTTCCTGAAGCCCTCGCTATTGAGATGCGCAGCGCAGGCGATCTGGAACGCGCCTCCGCCCGGCACCACACTCTTGTCCACGATCATGTTGTACACACTGCGAAGCCCGTCTCTTACCGCATCCTTGATCTGCGTGATTGTGTGCTGATTGGGGCCCTTGATAAGCAGCGTAACCGACTTCGGCTCTTTCACGTCCTCGATGAAGGTATATTTCTCCTCTCCCAGCTGATGCTCGTAGACGGTACCCGCCCAGCCCAGGATATCCTTACTCAGGTCATCAACACTGTTCATCGCTGTGCCTCCGCAAATCAACTGCAGCCTCTCCATATTCCTCCTCTTCGCTCTCCTCAGCGCATAGATGCCATTCTTCACCAGCACGTCCAGACTCAGCGGATCGATACCCTTCTGGTTTATGATGACGAAGCCTTTCTTCGGATCGTTCCCGCAGACCTCCTTCTTCAGCTCTACGATCTTCCGCAACTTTTCGTCCACGAAGCGTCGCTCGCTGGCTACGAGCTTCTCGCGCTGGTCAGCAGAGGAGTAGTAGAAGCCGGAGTTGATTTCGGACTTCTCGTACTCCAACGAGACGTTCAGTGTTAGGATGTAGGCGTTCTCTACTCGCTTCGGCATGTCCGGATGCCGCGCGCCGTGGTCCAGCGCCAACCCTCTGATCAACTGTGTATCTGCGGCTGTCCTGTGCTGCATGGTCATTATCTCCACCATGTGGAGGTCTGGTTTTTCGGGTGGGTTGTAGATGGCTAGGACAGCGTCCACGATGTCTGGCGTAAGCTGTTCGGCGAGCGAAGCATTCAGTTTTGTGGCGAGGGCTGTACGGGCGACGGAAAGGAGGAGTTCGCGGTCGACTTCCTTCTCGAGCTTGAACTTGTCGAGGAACTGCAGCGCCTCGTCCTTGGCGAGCTCGTAGCCGTCGGTGATGACACGGGGGTGTAGGCCTTCGGAGATGTAGCGGTCGGCTTGCTTCAGGAGTTCGCCGATGAGGAGTACACACGATGTTGTGCCGTCGCCAGTAATGTCGTCCTGCGCTGTTGCTGCGCGTGCAATCATCACGGCGGTGGGGTTTTGTATCTGCATTTCTCGTAATAAGATGTTGCCGTCCTTTGTAAGCTTAATTGCACCGGCGCCGTCGACAAGCATCTTGAGGGTTCCTCGAGGACCCAGATTGGAGGCTAGAACCTGTTGTAGGCCCTCGCCGGCAGATATGTTAACTTTGAGCGCCTCACCCCTCCTCTGCGAGCTGTCAGTGCTGTTGTTTGGTGCTGTCAGTATGGGTGCCTTACGCGGGATTCCGCCTTGGGGTTTAGCAACTGCGCTGCCGACATTGTGGGAATTTTCTGCGAAGAGCCACTTGAAGTTTACGAATACAGAAGAGTGAGAGCTAGGAGATGGCTTGGATAGGCGTTAATGGAGCTGTTTGCAAGCCGGCATCTGGCGTCTGATGTTCCAAATTTCTCGTACTCGAGTAAACTTTCGCGACGCGACGCTGCAGACTCGGCAGAATGAAACGCCGGGCCCGCTCACTGTGAAGCTCGAAGTTTTTTACCGCAGCAGCCCACGGGAGCTCCGCATATATTGGCACTATCTCCGCGCCCCCATTGATTCCCATGTACAGGCAGCCCATACGTATATCCTGATATATCTAGCTGGCTCCGATCCGGCGACCAGCATTTTGCGCACATAGCGTAGCGGATTTATCGTTGTGTAGCAAGCGGAGGAAAATATACGGCAAGGATGTGCGATTACATCCTCTATGAGAGCAGCGTCGGCTATGCCGTCTTCAAGGTGAAGATGCAGGGCGACACCATTGGGAATCGGCTGGCAGAGGTGCAGAACAAGGCGCAGGACCTTGCGACATTTGGTCAGGAAAGCGTCGAAACTTTCCTCAAGCTTCACATTAACATCCAGCAGGCAAAATGGTCGAAGTCGTCACTTTCGCTCCCTTCCAGAATGCGACCCAGGCGCTATCCAATGCGAACGATATCTCGGAAGGCATCTGCTCGGATTACCTGAAATCTACTCTGGAGGCAGCGCTGCCGAAGGCTAGCAAGAAGAGCAAGGTTGTCCTCGGCGTTCAGGATAGAAACCTGGCGGGCAGTATCAAGGATGCCTTCCCAAACCTCGAGTGCGAGACGAGCGAAACCAGCGAAGTCGTTGCAGACCTCCTACGAGGTGTCAGAATGCATGCGGGCAAGCTGTTGAAGCAACTGCAGGAAGGGGATATTGACAAGGCGCAGCTTGGTCTTGGACATGCGTACAGTCGCGGCAAGGTCAAGTTCTCTATCAATCGGAACGACAACCACATCATCCAAGCTATAGCAACACTCGACCAGCTCGACAAGGTAAGTGAACGCGATGTAGAGAAATTATAGCACGCGTCTAATCTATCCCTCGTAAGGCTGTTAATACTTTCTCGATGAGAGTCCGCGAATGGTACTCCTGGCACTTCCCCGAGCTCATCAAAATCGTCTCCGACAACGCAACCTACGCCAAGCTCGTGCTCTTCGTCGGCAACAAAACCACGCTCTCCGATGACAAGCTACACGACCTGGCCGCAGTCGTCAACGACGATGAGTCGGTCGCTCAGAGCATCATTGATGCGGCGCGCGTGAGTATGGGTCGCGATATCTCAGAGACCGATCTCGAGAACGTTCTCGACTTTGCCAAGCGCGCTGTCTCCTTGGCTGGCTATCGCAAGAGCCTACACGCGTACCTCGTATCGAAGATGAGTGTTGTTGCACCTAACTTGGCGACCTTGATCGGTGAAATGGTTGGCGCGCGGCTAATCTCAAAGGCTGGCAGTCTGACTAATCTGTCCAAATACCCTGCTTCGACTGTGCAGATTTTGGGTGCCGAGAAGGTGAGATTATTGCCGTTGTTCTAGTGACCCGGACTAGACGCTAATGCATAATCACAGGCTCTTTTCAGGGCGCTGAAGACGAAGGGAAACACCCCCAAGTACGGCTTGATCTATCACTCAAGCTTCATCGGGAGGACCGGTCAGAAAAACAAGGGACGCATCAGCAGGTTCCTTGCGAACAAGTGCTCAATCGCGAGTCGCATAGACAACTTCTCTGAAGTGCCAACAACCAAGTTTGGTGATGCCCTGAAGAAGCAGGTGGAGGACAGGATCAACTTCTATGCCAGCGGGGAGCCGCCAATGAAGAATGAAGATGCTATGGTGAGTATTGCTCACGTAGTTAGAGCGGATATTCAGATCTAATGATCATGACAGAAATCCGCAATGGACGCCGTTCTCGCGGATATACACATCGCGGATCCCACCGCGGGCGCCGCAAGCGACGAGGAGATGGCGGATGGTGTCACGGCTGCGGCTACGGAGCAGAAGCTGCGCCAGAAGAAGATGAGGAAAGAGGAGAAGAAGTCCAAGAAGTCCAAGACCGAGGATGTAGAGATGGCTGACGTCGAGGCCAAGAAGGAGAAGAAGGACAAGAAGAAGCGACACAGTGAGGTCAATGGCGTCAAGGAGGAGAAGCCTGAGGGCAAGAAAAGGAGAAACTCTGAAGCTGATGTGGATGGGGAGAAGAAGAAGAAAAAGAAGAGCAAGGCTTAAACCTGCCACCCTTGCTCTGCCCCTGGTTCTGCTACTTCTTGCTAGTCTCGCATCCTAGCATGGCGTGGCTATTGGTGATGTTAATGTACGACTTCCGGCGCGCGGCGTTTGGGCGGTAGGCACTGGATACCAGTCTCTGGGCATGTAGGTGACTGTGTATGGCGTTTGTTTCGGCTGCTATCTGCCCGTAGAGTAGCTTTATATCTGCCGAACAGCACTACGATCGAACATGAGCTGGCCACCCCAAATAATGCTTTTAAACCTACTAACACGGGATTCCATCTCGCCTAGGCTGAAGGTAGCGCGTTGGTACTATCATTTACCCTGAGGAGTTCAGTCACCAATTTCGTGCTGTGCACGCCAGCGAGGTCTACATGCTGCACGCTGAGAGCCAAGATGGTGGCCCAGACACATGGCGATCGGCTTGCTCTTTTCGGACAGCGCGGTATGCAAGTCATGCGGAGGTGCAGATGGGCGCCCCCAGGGTTGCAGGGGCAGTTTCAACTCCATAGTGAGAGCCGCTATTACACCCGTTTGCTTCCACCAGCTTGCAGACGTAAACTCGTCCCCTCCTACGCCTGTTGAGAGTGCACCGCCGTAGATGTGCCCGTCCACTCGTTAAGTAAACAGACCACTACCAGCCGCGGCAGCAGGGCACGCGACTCGGGTCTGTCCCCCCCGCCGCTCTCAACCGCCGCCGCGATGCTTCGATTGCGCAGATACCGTATCTTCGTCGCCTTCGCTATACTCACAGTCCTCGCTTTTTATAAGTTCAGCGGCGCACGCAACTGGAACGCTGCATCTGCCCTAGCCCCCGACTCCCTCAAACATGGCGCCGAGAACCTCAAGGAGCAGATTGGTCTCAAGCCAGAACCCGAGACCGTTGAGCGCATAAAGCCGCCGGCACCAGAGAGCGATCCTCTAGACATCAAACATCCCGTAGCGGAACATACTCAGACAAAGGTTGCCCCTCCGCCGGGGCAGTCACCCAAGGAACCCGCCCAGAGTATACCTATCTCCTCCGAAGCACCGAAGCCGCTATCAGCCGCTACACCGCTCTCAGCGGCTACACCACCTGCACAACCCGACGACGATGTTTCCACTATACCACCCGCCGCGCGCCCAAACCCCCACTTCGCCGACGCTCCTGTTGAGGGCGTTGGGGAAGGCAGACTTGAGGTTGAGCCCACACCAAACGTCGTGCCCATATACTGGGAGAGACAGGAAGAGCACTTTCCTGTGACGAGCACTATCCAGCTCCCCTTAGGCACGCCCAAAGCTATACCAAAGATACAACACTCGTTCAAACAGCTGTCCGGGCCAGAAGAGGAGGACCGCAAAGGCAAGCTCGCAGTCATCACGGACGCATTCAGACACGCATGGTCAGGCTACAAGTCAAAGGCATGGATGAAAGACGAGCTCTCGCCCGTGTCTGGAGGCTACAAGGATCCGTTTGGCGGGTGGGGCGCGACGCTGGTCGATTCGCTGGACACGTTATGGATTATGGGCATGAAGGACGAGTTTGAGGATGCGATCAAAGCGGTGGAGAAGATCGAGTTCACGACAACCCCGAGGCCTGATATTCCCGTTTTTGAGACGACGATTAGGTATTTGGGAGGGCTGCTGGCGGCCTACGATGTGAGCGACGGAAAATACAGGAGCCTGCTGGATAAGGCGGTGGAGTTGGCAGAGGTGCTGATGGGGGCGTTTGATACGCCTAATCGGATGCCGATCACGTTCTACTATTGGAGACCGTAAGGCGCAGGGGTTTGAGCAAGGTGTCTACGGCACTGACTATCTACAGACAACACGCGTCCCAATCACTTCGCGCCCAGACGCGTGTCGTGCTTGCTGAGCTAGGCTCGCTCTCGCTGGAATTCACAAGACTTGCGCAAATCACCAAAGAACCGAAATACTACGATGCTGTCGCTCGGATAACGGACGCATTAGAAGAGTTTCAGAACCGGTCTAGGCTGCCAGGGATGTGGCCCACCTATGTTGATGCATCGGGATGCCAGAGACCGGAGGTTCAGTTGCCAAATAACATCCCGGGCCATTTATCAGGAGTGCCGGGAGTCAATGGCCGACCGTTGATACCAGGCCAGACCGAACCACACCGTCCTATCTCCGACGAGCCCGAAGATACGGCGCCGGTCGAGGATGTCTACCCCGTCGCCAAGGGAGCCGAGATTGACGGTGGGGGTGAAGATAGCGTTGCATCGTCTGATCTCAACAAGCGCCAACTAGAGTCGCAGCCCGAACAGCCCATCGTGGACGAGCCCCTCTGCATTTCGCAAGGCCTGGAGTCCTCCTCCGGATTGGCAAGCGAGCAGTACACCCTCGGCGGCATGGCAGACTCCACATACGAGTATCTGCCCAAGATGTGGCTCCTTCTTGGCGGCAGAGAAGACAAGTACAGAACAATGTACGAAAAAGCCATCGAGGTCGTCAAGGAGAAACTCCTCTTCCGGCCAATGACACCCGACGGCGATGATATTCTATTTTCCGGCTCCTACAATACGGGTTATCAGCCAGGAGCAGGAGAGAAGCCGGCCCCATGGCTCGATGCGGAGGGCGGGCATCTGACGTGCTTCGCCGGCGGCATGTTTGCGCTCGGCGCCAAGATCTTCGAGCGTGAGGAGGACCTCGACATCGCGGCCAAGCTTACCGAGGGTTGCATCTGGGCGTACAACGCGACGAACTCGGGGATCATGCCGGAGCAGCTCTTCATGATGCCATGTGAGGACCGGAAGAGCTGCCAATGGAACGAGACGAAGTGGTGGGAGATTCTGGATCCGTTCGAGGAATCGAGGATAAATGCGTACAAGGGGCAGCTGGCGTACTACGAGCAGAGGGTCAAGCAAGCTGCGCTTGATATGAAGGCGGAAAAGACGGCCGAGGTTGGCGGGGTGGAAAGTACGGCCGCTGTCGTCGCTCAACCTACTGCGTCGCCCGCGCCTGAAACAGATGAAGAGAGGGAAACGAAGAAGCATAAACGACAGCTTGACGGGACTTCGGACGGGACCTGGGATCCAGAGAACGACCCACCGACGCCCGTTGCGCCATTCCCTGACCCGCCACTCGCAGCCGCTTCCGCCAGCATGGACGCGATCTACAAGCCAAACCCCCCGGTTTCGCGTGAAGAGTACGTCAAGTCCCGCATCGCAGAGGAGCGCCTTCCCAAGGGATTCGTCCAAATCCCAGCGCGGAAGTACATCCTTAGGTGAGTTCTCCCTTCCCCTTAGCCTCTTCATCGACCTCCTCCTCCTCCTCCTCTCTCTCGCCCTCCCACCTTCAGATCTCCCAACTAACCTCTTCCTCGCGCAGACCCGAAGCAATCGAATCCGTCTTCTACATGTACCGCATAACCGGTTCCCCGCACTGGCGGGAAGCAGGCTGGCGCATGTTCAAAGCGATCCAAGGCGCAACGCGGACGGAGTTTGGCAACAGCGCCATCGACGATGTTACGAAGGCGCATCCGGAGCTTGCGGACACGATGGAGAGCTTCTGGCTCGCGGAGACGCTCAAGTATTTTTGGCTGCTGTTTGCGGATGAAGGGGAGGTGGACTTGGATCGGTGGGTGTTGAATACGGAGGCGCATCCTTTTAGGCGGCCGAGAGATTAAGGGAGGGGTGAGATGGGGGAGGGATGGAGTTATGAGGGCGGCTTTTTTTTGGCGCGTTGGGGGTGTATTGGATATGGGGGATGTTATTCATAGGTGGACATGAAGCGAGCTGAACTATTACCGACACCACTGAAGCGCAGCCGTTCTAAATCGTTCAATGTGGAACAGAAACATGCTACGTAGGCCCGCTTTTCGATTCCCGGCTCGACTATCCTAGGATATGCACATAGTTGGCAGCTGTCGCGGGAATTACGGAGCCATATGATGCTTTTAGGCTTGACGGATTGAATGATGATGCTGGAAGGACAGTTACTATGGGAGAAGGGTGGTGGGCTGTAGAGCTCGCTGCTGTGGTCTATGACTTCAGGTGCACAGCTTCCACTGAAATGGAAAGGAAAGCCGAATCCCGTGCATGGTGACCTCCAGTTCCATGATAGATGAGACTGAAATCTGTTGCTTTGCGGGAGTAGATCGATCGAAAGACACATTACTAGTAAACCCGCGCGAGCCGCGGAGAAGTATGCTGGCTGTGCGGACGTGCGGGTTAGGTTATCTTGATAACTTCTGGTGAGATCCGCTGATCTATCGAAGATGAGGAATCAACTACAGTATCTAGATATGGTAATTCTATCTAGATAAATGGGGTTTAGACGCCCTTCTGAATAGACACGTGCAATGCTGTAGAGGCATCAGAGAAGCATTAGGCCAGCACTCTGAAGCGTGACGAACAAATGGACAGCGGGGATAGACCAGGTGAAACGGAGATATTCACGAAGAGAGGCGGAAGACTTTGAAGTGGGAACGAGCAATTCGGACAAGACGACGCGCCAAACTCGAACCCGATCGTCTTACAACACTTAAATACCGCTGGCCGCAGAATCGGTAAGAGTGATCTGAAGGTATCAAGAAATCCTAATCGTGTCCCGAACAGGTTTAACGTACGTGCACGGACTTCGACGGGTGGAAGAGTTGATTGCGGGTGCGCCTGACGTTGGACGCGGAGCTACATAAACAGACACCTCCTCCCCACGCGCCCGCACTCGAACTATCCAGGAATTCCGCTCACAACAACGCATCACTAACCAGCAGGACATCTACCCTCTTTCGAAAGCGAAACACTACAGCTATCTGCTCGTATCAAAATATCCCACAATGCCTCCCAAGAAGTCCACCACTGCTGCGCCGAAGAAGGCTGCCGCTGCGGCCCCCGCTCATGGCTCATACCAAGGCATGTTACCTCACTCACAGCTCAACCCAACTGTCGCGCAACTTCCATGAAAGCATTGCTGTGGTCGCCGAGCATTGCTGACGCGTTCCTATAGACATGATCAAGGAAGCTATCCTCAACGTGAGTCCACTCTCTCAGGCGCAAAGCGATCGGTGATGGAAATTGCGACGAGCCGTCGAACGTCGCCGACCTTACACCCAACGCTCAGGTCGCACGACGCGTGAAGCTTACTGGAAGCTTGCTGACGCGTCCATCTTGCTTTTTAGCTCAAAGAGCGCAATGGTAGCAGGTCAGTTTGTCTATTTCCGCCTTGAGCGCGCCGTGTGGTCCGCATCGCGTCGAGGAGCTGTCTGCTGACCTGCTTCGCTCCGTTAGCCGTCAGGCAATCAAGAAGTACATCCAAGCCAACAACAACCTCGGCGCCACCACCGATGCGCAGTTCAGCAACCACATCAGCAAGGCTCTCCAGGTTGGTGAGGATGCGGGAGTGTTCTCGCGCCCCAAGGGTACGTATACCGCGTCTTTTTACACCTTTTGCATCTTTCATCAATCCTCGCAATGAATCTTCTCGCGTCGTAAACGATAGCGTCTTGCCTTTGTTGCACCAATTCATTAATTCCTCAACCTCAATCGCTGTGATCTCTCTTCTCCCATACTGACTCTACTCTAAGGTCCTTCTGGTCCCGTGAAGCTTGCGAAGAAGGATGCGAAGCCTGCCGCCTCCAAGACATCACCACCTGCGAAGCCTGCCGCAAAGAAGGAGAAGGAGGCTCCTGCTAAGGCCGCCCCTGCCAAGGTAAGATGCTGTCGGCCTAACATGATAAGTTCGTGCGTTGACGCGTCTTCACAGAAGTCCACATCTACCAAGGCAGCACCTAAGAAGGCCGCACCTGAAAAGAAGGCCACCGCTTCCAAGGCTGCTCCCAAGAAGAAGGCCGACACCGCGAAGCCTAAGGCTAATGCTGGCCGACCACGCAAGACTGCTGCCCCTGCTCCTGCAGTCGAGGACAAGCCTGCCGTCGTCCTGGGCAAGACCAAGTCCGGCCGTGTCACCAAGTCCAGACAACCTGCCGCGGTTGCCAAACCAACACGTAAGGCTGCTGCGGCAACGAAGAAGACATCTGCGAAGAAGGCAACCCCCAAGAAGGCCACACCCAAGAAAGCCAGCGCATGAGCGGTGATGTGGATATCTTCTTTCTCTTCATGGTAGGGTACGCTGGTGTCTGATGCCAGAGCAATGTCTGGGAGGATCATGAGGTACAGGCGTATGGTGGGTGCTGCCATTGTTCGCTGGGCGGGGGGTAAAGCGTGAGGCGTGATGGATACTTGGGTCTTCCGGCACATTTCGCTATTCGATCGGTTGTCTAGGGTGGCGTATGGAGTAATGCTGCTGAGGAAGCGCGTGACGGTCGTTGGGTATATAGATGAAAATCGATTTCTCAATTTTTCAACATGGCCCCCAGGCTTGCTTGCATGGTATAGCCTTTTGACCTATTCCAACTCTTTTGAGCGTACCTCAGCGCGGTGTCGCAACTCGATGCTTCGTGACCTTTTACTGGTGCTTCTCAGGCGACCGCCCATAGCGCCAGAGGAACATGCAATGACCACCCCTCAGAATCAGCGTTGCTTTCCAGGCTTTCAAGCAGATGAAGAATTTGACGATCTTGTGATAGTAAACATCTATGATACCGTAAGAGTCGACCATGTACTCGTTTCCAGCGCCATCCACCGCCACTCAACGCGCATTTGATTGCACTGCCGAAAGCATGCATTTGAAAGGGGCAGAACACCACAGCAGCAACAGATATTGGCTAGAGGTGTGGTTCCCCGACGGGCCGGAGGCGTGACCCCCTGCGGATTTCCCTGCGGCTCTCATCAGCCCTCTTTCTTGGCGGGGCTAATCTTGGAACTTCGTGCTTTTGTGATACAGCGCGAGAACAGAGTATCGATACAACAACACACAGACATCGGCCCAGCAATTGTCCTCATCTCCAGAAAACACCATGTTCTACTGCCTATCATAATCCTTCCACCTCGATGCGGCCCTGTTGTCTGTCCCTTCCGGCCTGCTCCCCCCTCGAATCGTCGTTGCTACGGAAGCCCAGGCCCGGCCGCTCTCAACTATTCCCGCAATCACCGCGAACCTCATAACCGCGACTCGTTTACGGTACAGTACCGGACGATACCAGAGCGACACAACCAGGGAGGCATAACATCAGTTTGACCACATATACATGCTGCACTCTCTCGACATGCCGTCATTTCTGGCAGAGGACCCAGACCGCACCGCTTTCACCAGCTCAGGCTCCTCTTACAGCCATGTCGGACGAAAATCAGGAGACAGACCGTCGCCTTTTGACACAGTGCCTCCAGCGAAGGAGCAACCGAATGGCGTGCTCCCCAATGGCGTAAACGGTAGCATACATTCCTTGCCCAATGGACGGCCCCCCTCCGAGCGAGACAGAACGGTCTCCCGAAAATCCAGCTCTACGTCGATAGCAACAGGTCGTAGCTCGGGTGTAGAGAACCAGGAGAAGAGATCGGACATAAGTGGTATGAACGGCGTGGGCAGGTTGGCTACGAGGGATGAAGGCTACTTCGCTACGAAGGGCACGGTCAAGGAGCATCGCCTCTGCGCGACGGAAGTCAAGCTGGCTGCGCCTGTTGCCAATGACGGCACGTTAGAACCGAAGCCAGTGCTAGTCTCACCCTCTGTCCCTCTAAGCACTGAAGCTTCCCATTCGTCCAGTAATGGCGGTGTCCCACAGCCGCCGCCTTCCAACCTAGCGGAGAGCTCTCTGCGCGTTCCCCGATCACCACATCGACTATCCTCACCCCCCGCATTCATCCATCCGCCCACTTCTGGGCTTGGACTCGCCCCTACCGCTTCTCACCAACACCCTGGGCGTCTACAACACCGTCATACGCTCGAAGTGCCCAAAGTCTCGACCTCATCACGCGCGTCCCGCGACCTGCCGAACAGCTCCGAAGACGTCGTCTCAGCTACCGGTCGATTTTCTCCTAATACTCCCACCAAACGGCGAGGGTCGATGACGCTTGCGCGGCGCACCACTCGCTCCATACACTCAGACATGCACCTAGACGAGGTGCTGCAAGACGAAGATGCAGCGCGATGGACAGAGCACATACGGCAGAAGCGGGCTAGTGCCAAACGCAAGAGGGAGGAAGAGAAGGACGATGACCGGGTAGTCGTAGGCACGAAAGTGGACCAGAATCACGTTAACTGGGTGACTGCGTATAATATGCTGACTGGGATACGGTTTACCGTGTCGAGAACAAACGCAAAGATGGACAGGGAATTAACAGATGCGGACTTTAAGGCGCGGCACAAGTTCTCCTTTGACATGTAGGAATTCCAATGGAGTGTTTACACATGTGATGCTGATTGTTCTTAGCACCGGCAACGAACTGACACCCTCGGCGAAATACGACTTTAAGTTCAAGGACTACGCACCCTGGGTTTTCCGGCACTTGCGTGCGAACTTTGGGCTCGACCCTGCGGATTACCTGATGTCTCTCACCAGCAAGTACATCCTTTCGGAGCTGGGATCGCCAGGAAAGAGCGGAAGCTTTTTCTACTTCTCCAGGGATTACAAGTACATCATCAAGACCATCCATCACGCCGAGCACAAGTTTTTAAGGAAAATACTGCGAGACTACTACGATCACGTTAGAGCCAATCCGGACACCTTGTTGTCTCAATTCTACGGCCTCCATCGAGTGAAAATACCCTACGGCCGCAAGATCCACTTTGTGGTTATGAATAATCTCTTCCCACCGCACCGAGACATTCATCGAACGTTCGACTTGAAAGGGTCGACGATCGGCCGCGATTTCAAGGAGGAGGATCTGGAGAAGAACCCGCGAGCAACGCTGAAAGACCTGAACTGGTTACGGAGGAACCTTCACCTCGAGTTCGGTCCGACGAAGAAGAAGATGTTTCTAGACCAAATCAATAAAGACGTAGAGCTACTCAAGCGACTCAAGATCATGGACTACTCGCTTCTCGTTGGGATACACGACCTCGAGCGAGGCAATGAAGAGAACCTACGAGACAAGACGCTGCAGGTCTTCCAGCCCGGCGGCGAAGATGCAGACGACCCACCGCAGGCCAATGTGTTGACGCGGACGCCGTCGAAGCTGGAAAACGCGCGGAAGGCAAAGGAGCTGCGGCAGATTATCAAAAGTCAGAAGCCGATACCGCTGGACCAGAGCACAAGCCGCATGCCGGACGAGGTCGAGCAGCAACCTAATCGATCGTACTTCTATGCTGATGATGGCGGCTTTCGGGCTACTCATGAAGACGACAGTCCAGGGGAGGAGATCTACTACCTCGGCGTCATCGACTGCCTGACCTACGTAAGTTTTTACCCTCCCTACATATTCCTCTTCTAGATATAAGAGACATGCTAACAGCGATACCCCACACAGTACAGCCTCGTAAAACGCACCGAGCACTTCCTCAAAGGCCTCACAAACACCGAGTCCCAGATCTCCGCCATTCCGCCCCACCGCTACGGCGAGCGCTTCGTGCGCTTCATCTCCGGCATCACCAAAACCAGGGAGCGCGCCGAGCTCGAGAAGGCGGCCCAGGCCTCCGGCCAGGTCCTCGTCGACACCCAGGACGGCACCGTCAGCCTCTCCCCCATCGACGACCCCAAGCTCGCGGGCATCAACATGCACCGCACCCCCACGGACCGCGTCATGGAGAAGGCGGAGCGCCAGGCCGAGAAGAGTCGGCGGCACATGCGGGGGAGCGAGGAGGACGTGCCCGAGCGCACGCTGGTGGCGGTCCGGAGTCCGAGTCTAGAGCGCGGGGATGGGGTCGGGTATTCGCTGCCGGTTGTCGAGGAGGCGGCGGAGTCGGCGAGCACGGGAGGGAGGAGCGGGGAGAGCAGAGAGAGGGAGCGCGAGACGCCACCACTGCCGCCGCTGCCGGCTGCGGATGGCAATGCCGAAGGAGGCGGGTTGCAGGGCCGCACGAGTATGGGCCAGCAGCCGCCGCCGACGCCGCCCAAGGACGTGGGCGAGTGGGATGCGAGTGAGAAGAGGCCGCGTACGCCGCCGAAGAACTTCGGTTATAGGTCCTCGCATGAGGCGCCGCCGACACCGCCGAAGGATGATAGGGGGAGGAAGAGGCATAAGCTCCTGCCGCGGGACCCGCCGATGACGGTCGTGGCGGAGGGGATTACGATGAGTCCGGACAGAGTGAAGGAAAGCATGCGGGAGGGGGGATTGAGGGTCGATACGAGGGTATCAAGGACGGTTGTTTGAGGGGGCGGGTTCTTCGTCGTCGTTTCTCGAACCTTCGAAGTCCTAGTGTCTTTCATTCTTTGGTGCTCGAGCGTATAGCGGGGACTTCTCCCACTTGCGCACTAGGGGACTCCGGCGTTTTCTCTTTCATTTGTTCCTCTGATCCAGGTCTGAGGCAATTGCACTATACCATCCGCGCTCAGCATGCACGAGGCATACGGCATTAGGCGTGCTGTGTCGGTTTTCCTTGTCGTCCTACTAGACCATCTCTTCTGTCCTGAGTTCCTCTAGGTCTTGTGGAGAGGTACCCCGCTCCTCATGAAAACGGAAGGCTGTCGGTGTGTTATGTTTCTTCACATGTGTGTATTATTGCTAGCCACGGGTGTTTCGCTTGGGAAGTGGAGCTGTTGGGCGATCGTTCAAGCAGTTTTGCTGCACGGCTGTGGAAAGGCCTCCTAAAGAAAGCTTGACCTTTCAAATCGAGATAACTCGTGCGAATACGTTTCCTGAGTAGGATAGTTATACCTAGCAACTGCACTGCTGGAAGCAGAAGCGTCTAAAAGAGTGTTCTTAGATGAGTCTTGATTGACCGTGAGCTCCCCCTTTCCGGGCGAGAATGGGTTCCAAGAGAACGAGCTTGAATGTAAGGCTCCGATCTCTGCTTGCACACTGATCATCTTTCTCTTACTAGAATACTTCGTTTTTCAACACGAGACCCGCTCCTTCATGAGCCACCACTTCAGTCTCTTAAAGAAAAACCCGCTCGCGCCTAGAGATCTTTGTAGCTGTAAATCCCTACAACATGGCATCAAAAATGAAGAACTGAAGAATAGACATCAGAGCTCCGTAATCTCCCAGTAAAGATGTCGCAAAACACTGTTTGTAGAAGAATTACGGAGATGGACATGCGAACAGAGTTCGAGAGGCTCCTCGGTTTCCTTGATGGATTTGCATTGTGATATTGGCTTCTGCCAGGACCCTCCCCATGGGATACCGCGATGCGTGCCATGATGCTGGCGTGCGCCGTTACTCGACCCGACTTCCATTCCATGCAACCTTCCTCCCCTGTACGTGACCTACACTGTCACCGCAAAGTCATGCCGAACCACCTCACCTAGCGGAGCCCCCCAACAGAAACCCCTTCCACCCACCCCCTTCATCTCCCCAGATAATCCTACCCATCGAGGCCACGCATAGAACAGCCGAGTCGGATCTAACCCCACCTACCCCCTCCAAGCCCTCCCCTTCTCCTCCGCTGAGAAGATCGCCTCGCCCTGCTGCAGTGCGTGGATAAGCATAGGCAGCGATGTACGAGCCCTGAAGTCACCAGCCTGCCGGACCTTGTCTAGGTCGTCGGCTAGCTCGGCGGTTACTTTGCGCAGGTAGAAGGAGGAGAAGGCCTCCCCTTGCCGGGGTCGTTGTTGGGTTGGGGGAGCTGGGGCCGACAGTGGTGGTGCTGGTGAGGATGCATGTGGGGACGGGGCTGAGGGTTGGTTCTGAGGGCAACGTTGGATATCAGTGGCGGTCACTGGACTCGGGGTGTGTGCGGAAATGGTGTCAGGGACAGACCTGTGCTGATGTTTCTGCTGGTTCTGCTGCTGCTGATCGGGGCTGTTCTGCTTTGGCTGCCTTTTCGCTTTTCTTGGGCTTTTTCTTCGCGGCTGCAACGGGTGCCGGGTTGGGAGTCTGCCGTAGGGTGTGAGCAAACCTTTTTCATACCGAAGCGGTAACTCTGTCTTACCGCTGGAGATGGGGTAGCTTTTACTGGATTCTGATTTTCTGCTTCGCCATCGCTGCTGCCGCCGTCGCTTTCGGGGGACGATGGGGAGACTGAATATCGCATATCAGAGATTACAGGTGACATGAATTCATGGAGATGATGATTTACCTTCGGTACGGGCTTTGCGCTTTTTCCGGCGCGTCTTGGTTTCTGTGCCGGCTGGTCTTTGTTTTGTGACCATGTCTCGTATTGGTCCTGATGGTGGTGTGGCTGTGAGAACAGCTATATCAGGAAGTTATCCAAGAATTGGCCCCGGAGAAAAAAAAAAGCCAGGTGAGAATCTCTGCTGGTCTCAATCACTACATGGCCAACCACTGGGCGAACTGTGCATTGATATGTCCTTTTTCGCTCTCGTCGAGGAATGCCTTAGCATTCTACGGATTGGCGGTTTGGTTACGATAAGTTAAGTACCTAAAGTGTGTTTGCACCTCCAATGAAATCAAGACTTCATCATAACGGCTTGCGGTTGCGCTCAAAGCATATCACCAGACAATGCCGTCAGCACCACCGGTCCCAGAGATTCTCTATGCCTAGATTAAAGATGAACAGCACGCATTGCTAAAACAGGAAGTGGACGCCAAAGTCTGCGCCTCTTCAAGACGCCTTGATACATCTCGCCCTGTAGGCTGTATCTGTGGAGTCCACCTAAACCTATTTGGCCTCGCTGAACGCTGTGTGGGATGTCTCCTCTGCATGCTGCTGAGCAGCTACCTCGCCCTTCCCTTGCCACCCGCAGACATCACACTTGATGTCAAACCCAGTGGTGTCAGTGTAGTAGTGTCTCTCTTTCAATACCTTGCAGAGCTCCCTTGCTTTCTCAAGGATGATGTCATCATACGAACTAAACATCTTGATATCGAATTCAGGTCCCAGATCCGCCTTCCGATGCGGCGGTTCGCTCGGGCTCAACGCAATGGTATCGTAATGTATGCCTGAGTAGACTAGGATGATCCTCCTCGGTCTTCCCTCGCTGAATTTATCTACGCGCAGATCTTGCACGTTGATACTGCAGACCTCAACATCGAAGTGTTGGCTCAAGATGCTGAGCTCGATGCCTCCGCCCCAGGAATCCGCGTTCGAGATCCAGCGACAATAGTCATCAGGCTTTCTCTGCAGTACGGCCTCCGAGTATAGGTCCGGGTCGGCCTGGATCCCCTGCGCGACCGCTGACCGTAGCTCGTGCATGCTGTCTAGGCTGTCGCCCAAAACGGCTGAGCCTAGTGCACGGAACATGCAGCTGTTGTCGTCAGGCATGATGCGGAGGACCATTGTTGCGTCGTGCGTGGGGACGGGGATCTCGGGCGGATCCTTCATGTCTTTACTTGTGGGTTTGCGCGTAAGGGATAAGGGTTGGTCGTATGGCTCTGAGGGTATAGGTGCTGGCTTGGGTGGTACGACCTGTGCTGCTTTGGAGCCGGGTAGACTGGCTGCTTCACTCTTGGCGGGTGTCGTGCCTTTTAGTGAGCTGGAGATCTCGCTTTGGATGTCGCGCGCGATGACAATGAGCTGCTCGCCGTCGAGTTTGAGACCGGTATCGCTGAGCTTGATACTTGGGTCGAACTGGGTGAGGTCGAGTGGCTTCGGCGGATAGCCGAATTTGACGTCGAAGGCCGGTATAGAGGTCTCTTTTGTTATGCTGGACTGGAGGTCGCTGACTGTGGCAGACGCAGAGAGGTTGATCGTCGAGACGCCCGACGGGCTGCGGATGCGTATCCTCATCCTGGGGGATTCGTGAACTTAAGGCGGAAGCTGATGAGCTGGCCGTTCAACTTCAGCTGTAGATTCCGTGTCTGGCGTTCAGTTGTGTGATACGTGGCAAGAAGCGCAGGCGGGACTCTGATATAAGCCAAAGGAAGAAAGAGGAAATGGGTGGAAGGAGGCGCTATCGCGCAACTGAGATTGCCAACAATATGGTGACACAGGTGCGACGAATGAGGAACTATATATTTCGAGATGAGGTAGTGGAGCGCGCCACGTCGATATCACACCTTGTTTGTATATACTGTATACACTGTTTGGGCTCTTGGTGTAGCTTCTGCAGGTGGTGATGCCGAAAACGACGCTGTGAGATCCGAGATCGGCATACGTCAGCTTGCGACATCAACCGAAGTCGCGCCGCGTACCTGGGCGTTCGGAGAAGGAAAATCTCCCAACTCCGGCGCAAGCTCGCGACGTCCCATCTGTCGCGAAACGAGCGGACGCGCGCGTAGAGAGGCAAGACCGACCCCTACCCCGCGGAACACCACGTTACCCCCACACCGAGGAGGAGCTACTCACGATGGATGGGGACGCTGCGGACACTGCAGACAGCCCTATACCGACCACCGAACCTACCCAGACTGAGGGCACGTCGAGCATTACCGACGAGCAGTGGAAAGCACTACAGAATGTCCTTAAGAATGTATACGCGTATAGGCCAGAGCCGTATGTAATCACTGCACGCTTGTATACGAGGCTGTGTTGCTGGATTTCAACAGCTGACTTTTCTACAGAGGCTATGATCCTTCGAAGCTCTTCCAGCGGATGGTCAACAAGCGAAGTAACCCAGGATACTATCAGGTCATTACAAAGCCAATGGCACTTAGTCAAATCAAGGCCAGGCTTAGTAGCAAGGAGTACAAGAGCGTTGCAGACTGTGTACGAGACTTTGCCCAGATAATACACAATGCGCAAGTATTCAACAGGCCGAAATCTGGAGCCTACCAGGATGCGTTGGTGTTGAAGTCTTTTGTAGAGATGGAACTCAACAAACTCTTGGAGGACAAGACCATCACGGAAGAAGATGCGAAATTCCCGTATCTGGGTGAGATACCAGAAGCGGATCCAGAGCCAGAGGAAGAGGAAGAGGCGGAAGAAGAGGAGGAGGACGAGGAGGATGAGGAGGACGAGGATTCCGACGAAGATAGTGGAAGGCGGAAACGAAAGAGAGGCCCTCGTGGTGCGGCATCCGTCGTCAAGCGCGATGCGGCGGGCAAGCAAACAATAGAGGACATCAAGGCCGACCTAGAAGCACGGAAACGGCGAGGTCGACCGCCCAGGGTCGATACGCCAATGGAGGCCAGAATCAAGGACATTATGAAGGGCATACGCAAGCCTAGGAACCAGCTCAATCAGCTCATGGTTAGCTCCTTCGAGCGCGTGCCGGACAAGGCCGCAATGCCTGAGTACTTTACCGAGATCAAGCAACCTATGGCGATGGACATTCTAAAGAGGAAGCTGAAGCGCAAGAAGTATCAGTCAGTGGATCAGTTTATGAAGGACGTGGAACTCATGTTTGAGAATGCCAAGCAGTACAATCAAGACGAGAGCCAGATTTACAAGGATGCCGTTTTCCTGCAGAAAGAAGCACGCCTAGTCGCAGAGCAAGTAAAGAAGAAGCCAGATACGGACTTTGTCATGGAGGATGGCAGGCTTCCCATGCCGAACGGTATTCTGCACAATGCAGAGCTCTGGAAGGTTGGAGACTGGGTTCACATTCAAAACGCCAACGATCTCACCAAACCGATTGTCGCACAAATTTACCGCACCTGGCAGGACAATGACGGTGGCAAGTGGGTCAACGCATGCTGGTACTATCGACCTGAGCAGACCGTACATCGCTTTGACAAGCATTTCTATGAGAATGAGGTCGTTAAGACTGGGCAATATCGCGATCATCCCATCGAGGAGGTGATTGATCGATGCTTCGTCATGTTCTTCACGCGCTACAACAAAGGTCGACCAAGAAACTTTCCGTCTGACAAGGAGATTTACGTTTGCGAAGCGCGCTACAATGAGGAGAAGCTCAAACTGAATAAAATCAAGACCTGGGCCAGTTGCCTGCCGGATGAAGTCCGGGAGAAGGACTACGAAATGGATCTCTTTGAGGCCCCCAGGAAGATGAAGAAGGTCCCGAGTCCCATCGCCTACCTCCTTAAGGATTCCCAGAAGGAAACGGATGACATGCCAAAACCTGAGTGGGGTGCTGAGAATGCACCGCCGAAGATAGGCGCGGTGCATACAAGGCCGAGAGACCCCAAGGTGATTACACACTGCGCGCTTCCCTTCACTGCTACATGACTGACCCAAAACACAGGATTCACCACCTCCCGAACCGACGCCATCACCACCCCCGCCTCCTCCGCCTCCTCCACCACGTCAACCCTCCATGTCACGACCAACTTCAACCACCTACACTGCCGACCACCGAACTGACTACATGAGCGCCGCACGTACAGCCCAAACGCCAGTGCCAGCGCAGACACCTCAGCAACATCACCCTTCACAATCATTTACTCCTTCTCATCCACAACAGTACCACGGTCACTCCGCTTCACCAGCACCCATTCAACCTTTGCCGACGCCTTCACATCCCTCAACCTTTCAACCTCCCTCCCTAACTCCCCACCAAAGCTTCACCAGCCACGCTCCTACCGCCGCTCCACCGATGTCATCATACTCCTCAACGCCAGTGCAACCACCACCAGGCTCCTACGGCCAACGCTCACAAATCGCGCCCCCACCTCCCATAGCCAACTACAATGCCCCCAGAGCGCCAGAGGTCTATCATCTAGACAACAACGCCAATGCGTCCATCCCGAAAGAAATCAGAGACCAGTTTCACTGCGATGGCCAAGGTCGCGTGCTCTTCTATACGACTCCGCCCGTTAATGTGGAGATACTGGAGAGGCAGGGCAGGGCGCTCGGACATAGCGTCAGGTACCTCGCAGCGAAACAGAGGCGAGAGATGGAGCTGAGGGCAAAACGGACCTTCGATCAAGCGCAAGCGGGCGCAACGGAAGAAGCGCGGAAGAAGGCGAGGGTCGAAAAAGTTCTTCCGCCCGAGGAGGAAGTGCTCAGCCTTACGGCGAAGGCGCTTGAATTGCTCGAGGACCAGCTTGCGGCGGCTACGCGGAACGACTATGAAGCTTTACTTAACGGCAAGGCTCAGCAAGGTATTGAGACGGATGTGGAGAGGCTAGTGAGCATGCGCTGGGAGGCGTACAAGAGGGAGAGTGAGATGGCGGAAAGGGGGAAGGGGCGAAAGGAAAAGGAAGATCCGGGGCTGAGGGGACTGACTGTTCTGATGGATGATGTCGTTTAGGCATCGATGGCGTGTTCTGATTAGCTGGCCTGGAGCTCTGGGTGTTCGGGAACTTAACATGGGAGGGCAGACGGCGTTGGCTACGTCTGGATGGATGAAGGCTCATCATGCATTGTACTATGGTAATACCTCGCTTGAAGCGTTTCGCTGCCGTCACTGCACTCTTAGCAACCGAAGAAACTTTCCGGCGATTTGAGTGACATATCAGGCAACCTATCATAAGCCGTGGGACACTTTTCGTACGGACCTCCACCAGAAAGTGTCTCAATACATATGGTACGTTGCCTGATACATGAACACCATGCCAAGCATCGCTAGATCTTGAGCACGTGATGAGTTTATTCGAAGCTCCGGCTAAACTACGAAAGAGACAACCCTGCACCGACAGTTTGATACGATGTCCCTTCATTAAGTTATATAATTCAGGCCTTCATAGATGCCGTACGATTAAGAAAGGCGGGACTTGAGGGCGGTAGAAGCAGACAGTCTACGTGCGCGCCGCTGCGGCGCAAGGAATGTTTACTCGCCTCCTTCCAACGATACCCCTCAATCGAAGCGTCTTACGCATATGCCTCGAGCCTGAACACACTCTGGTTTTTCGAATTTCAGTGTCGGTTTGCAATTGAACCTTAGGGATAGGGCCGGGCTCTAGGGTGCCGCAATTGCTCTCCACCAACATCATGGCCCTCTTGAAGCGCTACACCCTCTATGCCGCCATCGCCTTTTCTATCTTCTACCTCTACCGTCATTTCAGCTCCCCGTCATGGCTCGGGGACGGCCGCATTGGCACGCCGAAGGCCGGACAGGACGCGCCGCTGACGGACATCTCCTCCAAGAGCAGCTTCGACTGGAGCAAATTACCCATACGATATCCGGTCGAATCACTGACCTCCCTGCCAACGGGCAAACCCCGACGTCTCCCACAGATCCAGCACAAGTTTGAGCCAGAGGTTGTGACCACAAGGAACACCCGGATCGCGCGCCGCGACGAGATCAAGGGCGCATTTCAGCGCTGCTGGAAAGCATACAAGGACAACGCGTGGATGAGAGATGAGGTTACGCCTATTTCAGGCCGCGCGAGGGACAACTTCGGTGGATGGGCAGCATCGCTAATCGATGCGTTGGATACGCTGTGGATCATGGGCCTGAAGGACGAGTTCAAGACCGCTGTTGCGGCGGTGGATAACGTCGACTTCGGCAAAACCAGTCTGGAGACTGTCAATGTCTTCGAGACTACAATCCGACATCTGGGCGGCCTGCTGTCCGCCTATGAGTTGAGTGGCGAGAAGACGCTGCTCGCCAAGGCGATAGAGGTGGGAGAAATGCTCTATGTAGCCTTCGACACGCCCAACAGGATGCCTATCACACGCTGGGATTTCTCCAAGGCTCAAGTGGGCGAGCCGCAGGTCGCGCATGAGAACGTGCTGGAAGCAGAGATAGGCTCGTTGACCATGGAGTTCGCCCGCCTGTCTCAGATCACAGGAAACACCAAGTGGTACGATGCAGTTGCACGCATCATGAGCGTCTTCGCAGAGCAGCAGGATCAAACGATGCTGCCTGGTATGTGGCCGCTAGTCGTCAACGCCAGGGACAAGAACTTCAAATACGGCGGCGCGTTTACCTTGGCTGCCATGGCCGACTCGCTCTACGAGTACCTCGCCAAAACGTATGCGTTACTTGGCGGACTGGAGCCAATGTACAAGAAGCTCTACGACAACGCGATGGCGGCGGCAGCTCAGCATACGCTCTACCGTCCGATGACACCCGACAACGCCGATATTCTTATGGCCGGCATGGCCAATGTCAACACCACTCGCGTGACGACGCTCGATCCTCAAGGCCAGCACCTTGGCTGCTTTGCCGGGGGCATGTACGCGCTTGGAGGCCGTATATTCGAGAACCAACGGCACGTTGAGATCGGTCGAAAGTTGACGGATGGCTGTGTTTGGGCATACAAGAACTCCAGGTTCGGCATGATGCCTGAGGTCTTCCACATGCGGCCCTGTGGCCCCAACATGCGCGATGTCTGCGAGTGGGATGAAGTGGAGTGGATGAAAGATGTTGCCATCAGGCACCCTCCTGAGGCTTCGGCTAGCGTGCTTGCGAAGATCCCGAAGGGGTTCACGAGCATCAAGGATGGGCGGTATATTCTCAGGCCTGAGGCGATTGAGAGTGTCTTCATCCTTTACAGGATCACTGGCGACGAGAAGTTGCGGGATGCGGCATGGGAGATGTGGCTAGCAATCCAGAAGTACACCAAGACTCCGCTGGCTAATGCGGCGCTGCTTGATGTCACAGTCACGAACGACGCGCCTACGAAGATGGACTCCATGGAGGTAAGTCATCCAGGCTCCTTCGGCCGCAATGAAACGTAGGCTGACGTATATTGCAGAGCTTCTGGATGGCCGAGACACTGAAGTATTTTTACCTTGTCTTCAGCGAGCCGGACCTCATCAGCCTGGATGACTATGTATTCAACACGGAAGCGCATCCTTTCAAGATACCGAAGTGAGGGAAGCATCCTCAGCATACCGAAGTGAATACTTCGCTTGTGGTACGCCCATCTCCCGCCGATATGACGATATCCACCAGTGCATATCAGCAGGGCATCGCCGCTCGCGACCAGTCAACCGTTGCTGTTATTCTTAAATACAGCAACACAAGAGCACGACAGCAGAAGACAGTATATAAAGTAGTGGCAGCACCTACGACTGCATCAAAGACGTCTTCGTGCCAAGAGCAGTCAACAGCAAGCGCCAGTTCGTGGTCTGAATTCGGCTTTCGTCCGCTCAGTAAATTATCTATAGGCACGTGCAAGCCGCAGGAAGCACACTTGATGCTTCAGTATTCTTAGAGAGAGCACGCTAGGAATGCTTTCCGGAAGAGTTGGCGGTAGAGTGTTGCCTATCAACCTTTCAGCACTTGCCATGTGGCCCTTCTCCGCAAAGCTCCCCATACACAGATTTGCGGGCAGTACTATGTTTTACAACATTCACGATAGCAGGGTTTCAGAGGCAAGATCCTAGAAGAACACACTACCGATCTCATTCAATCGCAGCCGCTACGATGAGTCTTGCTGTTAAGCTTTCAGGCTCTGATGCCTGTCACGGTATCAACTCAATAACCGAGGCAGGGGCCGTTTCGTGGGCGTGCAGGAACGTCATTTCAGCGCCGCAATTATATGCGTTGGACCGGGCAAGCGAAAGCGTGCTATTATTGATGCGCCTTCTGCTCTGTTATGTTCGGCTTTGCTAGCTTGTTTTAGTAGTAACCGCTTGTCAGCAACAGGCGGTTTGAGTTAGGGTCCTCAGCAGCAACATAATTTTGATCAAGCTTGGGTAGAGCCTTCGTTCAGTAGCTTTCAAGGCTGGCGAATTAGCGGCTCTATGCGCAGAAAACTTAAAAGTTGCTCGCGTTCGTCCAACAGATGTTGTGCGTTTCAATTAATCACTATAGACTACCGTGCTTCTAGCATATCTGAATACCCTGTGTTCTAAGAGATTCCACACTCAACTGCTTCATTTGACTTGCCAAGGGCCATCCAGAGAGTACGTTGCCGCATCTTAGCTGGTGGCTTGTCCATATCAGATTCACGATTAAGCTGGACTCAAGGTGATGTCGATTGTAGAACAACAGGACCGATTGCATACAATAGAAAGCATAAGATGTTCGGCAGTGCAGCCCTTTAGCGCATTGATCACTTGAGGTATCCTTATCTATGAACTGCGCTTGCGTTATCCACCTTTAATGCGGAAATGACCTTTTTGTATGGCCCTTGAGCCCTCCTGGCCACGCTTCAGAGTACGTCACGTCCCGACCTAACCTCGACTCACTGCCCAAACAGTCCCCAGTCCCTGACCTCAAAAGTCTGCAGAATCTGATCTCGGATCCCCTTCGCCGTCGCCATCTTCTCCGCCGTCACGTCCACGTCCTGGTCCCTGTTCTCACCCGGCACGTGAGGCACGTTGACCGAGATTACAACGTCAGTCTCCTGGGAGACGAGTCGGATCAGGATCAGCTGGATGACGGTGAAGTCGGCGTCCTTGGGGTTGCGCTTTGTCGTCGGGTGTTGGGTTGCAAGGAGGGTGAGGGCGCGGGTGGTGCTGGGTGGGGGTGTCAGTAGTGGGCTTCGTGGAGGACGAAAAAAGGGGCCGGAGAAGAGGGGAGGTATTTTGGCAGGGGTATAGGGAAAGCGGAAATTGAGGCTGCTGGTGGTATATGGATTCACATGCTAGAATCGATCTCTGTCTTTGAGGTCGACGCGTTGAAGGAACACCGGCTTCGTGACATCCCCATCGGCCAGGCCCACGTGACTCTTCTGAATAACGGTGAAGACAGGAACCAAAAATGAGCACACTTACGGCAGCTTGGCCAACGGCGCATCCCCGGGCATGTACATCTCTGTACGGTCTCCGGTGCCCGAAACGATGTCGTTGAAGTGGTACTTCAGCGCTTGTTCGTCGGTTGCGGCCTCTGCTTCACCGACGCGCTCGAGGATGTCAAACATGACGCTCGCGAAGCCATTGCTGTCGAGATAGACTTCCTGGTGGTCGGGGACTTGGCGGATATTGCTGCAGTGGGCGGTTAGTGAGGTGCTGCTGTGCGAGTGCCATGGAAGGTTGGCTTACCTGACGTCGCTGAAGGTGGAGGGCAGATCGACTGTGATTGCGCCGCCGAAGAGAGGGGTTGATTTAGAGGTGGCCATTGCGGGTTTCTAGTCTGGTTTGAGATCAAGGATATGGTGTAAAAATGGGTTTCTGCTGGTGTTCATGTTCTGTGTTTATGTACTGGCGATGATGGTTGTAGGTTCAGGTACCCAGTCACAAATGAATTAGGCACGTAGGCACGATGTCACTAGGCTGAACACCTCTTCATGCCTAATCGCTCCCAAAACACAGTCAGTCATAACCGAGAGCAATGGCTTCGAAATTGCTTGTTCAGATTCCGGTCACTACAACGCGATGAGGATCTGAGGAGCTCTGGTTGGTCCACCCGCCTCAGAAACTTGAAATATCGGGCTGAAATACAGCCGGCAACGCCTCAATCTCTTACAGAAATGGACATCTCCCCACATATGCGACCTGTCCATCTACTCCATGCTCTAACCGGGTATCCCCAGGGTTGACTTTTCCGTGCGCCATCGCCATGCACCCAGTAACTCCCGGCACTTGAAGCAATTCGTACCGCCTCATGCGCATCCCTCGTCGCTCATAAATCATATTGCGACATCTTAACCCATACGCCCCCGCTCATTGGATCATGCAGCTGCACCGCTATCCATGTCCATACTCGAAGTCGTGCGTTTGCCGTTGTCGGTGCCTAGCCCTACTGCCGCGTCTGCCTCCTTCTGCGTCCATGGCTCATCACGCAGTTGTCGCAGCCTAGAAGTTACCGGTCAGCGTCCGCCTCCAACTACTGACAGCAACAACCTGCTCTCCGGCATACCTTCGCTTGTGAACCTTGCCCCTCTTGTGACTCTCAAAGTTCGTGTCGCTCTCGAACCATTTCGCGCACTCTGTGCAGTAGTATCTCCCTAGTCCGGGCAGGTCCTCTACGGCCTTCGTGTCCTTGTACTGGGCCAGGTGCTTCCCTGAACGTAGGTCGGCATGAATCTGGTCGAGGTCGCGGGTGTGCCGCCGAGTCTTTTTCTTTGAATCTGCGCCCCGAATCGCGGGCATGTCTGTAGATTGTTCTGTGACTTATGGAGTAGATCCGGCACTTCGGTGCGCTCTAGCTCTTGCGAATTCTGGGTCGGTATGTGCTATAGATACCAGAACGGTATGCGTGGTATTTCTCGTTGTCTCGTGAAGGCGGTCACAGACTCCAACGTGTTCCGGCGGCAAAGATTTCACTACAACGTCAAGCAAGGCTCTTCTGTCTGTTGGTGCCTAAGGCGTGACCATTTCGGAAATAACGAATAACGGGTATCGTGACGGCTCTGCGAATTTGCTTGTACGCCCTTTGCCGGTGCTGCTGTTGGCACGGGTCCGCTCTCCGCTTCGCCGCTCGTTTTTCTTTTGCCGAGGTCGAATCACGTGAGAGTCGTAGGACCAATAGCCGCCTTCGTTTTTCATATCGCTGCAGCGCCTTCTTCTGCGCAGGCTAGCTCTGGTCTGACGTCCCATCTCCTCTCCACTCCACCACTACACAACCCTCGAACAACTCTCCTCTCGGCATCAAACTCAACCTCAAGATGCAGAGGTTCTCGCGCCTCGCCCGCCGTGGGCTGGCGACCGTCAGCGATGTGAGTGCTCTTCCCTTGTTTACTGCCGAGGCGGGGTGCCAGCTCGTCCTACCCAGGCCAGCTTCACAGTCTCCAGACGTATCAAAAAAGCCGGATACAGGCTTGCGGTGGCAAGACTGAACACAGTCTCATACATCGGAAGCTATACACAGGAGCAATGGCGGACGTCGCTGTTAGCTCAAGCTCTGGTTGCCGGAATGGATGCCCGCGTGGAGCTCGTCTCGAGGAGCTTCACGCCGCTTATCCGAGGCTACCGCGAAAGCTCCTGTCGAGCTTCAATGAGCTTCTCAACCGCGATTGAATTCCCACTCTCTACTCACTCGTTCTTTGAGGACCTCATGTTTCTCGTTCAGCCCTTGCCGCGAAGCTAATAATGTTTGTTCCCTTAGGCGCCCCTCAGCAAGAAGGTCGAGATGACCAACTGGGAAAAGGGCAACTATATCAATTACCAGAAGATGAAAGAGAACCTCGAGATAGTGCGGGGTCGTCTCAACCGGCCTTTGACCTACGCCGAGAAAATTCTATACTCGCATCTGGACAATCCGCATGAACAGGAGATTGAGCGCGGCAAGAGCTACCTCAAGTTGCGGCCAGATCGTGTAGCCTGTCAAGACGCTACCGCGCAAATGGCCATCCTGCAGTTCATGTCCGCCGGCATGCCGTCGGTGGCCACGCCAACGACTGTCCACTGTGACCACTTGATCGAGGCGCAGTTGGGCGGCGAGAAGGATCTTGCGCGGGCAGTGGACATTAACAAGGAGGTGTATGACTTCTTGTCCACCTCATGTGCAAAGTACAACATTGGATTCTGGAAACCTGGCTCTGGTATCATCCACCAAATCATCCTCGAGAACTACGCATTCCCTGGTGGTCTTCTGATCGGCACCGACTCTCACACCCCTAATGCTGGTGGTCTTGGTATGGCTGCTATCGGTGTCGGCGGTGCTGACGCTGTGGATGTGATGGCCAACCTGCCATGGGAACTCAAGGCACCTAAGGTTATCGGCGTTCGGCTGACTGGCAAGTTGTCTGGCTGGACGGCACCGAAAGGTATGAAAGTTCTAGACCACTAATGGAAGCTTCAGGGAGACTGACGCATTTGCGCAGACATCATCCTCAAGACCGCTGGGATTCTCACCGTCAAGGGCGGCACAGGTGCTATTGTTGAGTATCACGGCCCTGGTACTGAGGGTCTCTCCTGCACTGGCATGGGCACCATCTGCAACATGGGTGCTGAAATCGGCGCCACTACCTCTGTGTTCCCCTTCAACGACCGCATGTACGACTACCTCAAGGCCACCAAGCGCCAGCAGATTGGTGACTTCGCCCGTGAGTATGCCCAGGAGCTCAAGGAAGACGAGGGTGCCGAATACGACCAGCTCATCGAAATCAATCTGTCTGAGCTCGAGCCGCACATCAATGGTCCCTTCACTCCGGATCTTGCCACACCTATTAGCAAGTTCAAAGATGCGGTCCAGAGCAACAAGTGGCCTGAGGAGCTAAAGGTTGGCCTGATCGGTTCCTGCACAAACTCGTCATACGAAGACATGTCGCGTGCCGCTTCAATTGCCGAGGACGCCATGTCTCACGGTATCAAAGCCAAGTCCATGTTCACCGTCACCCCTGGTTCGGAGCAAATTCGCGCCACTATCGCCCGTGACGGTCAGATGAAGACCTTCGAGGAGTTTGGCGGCCTGGTACTCGCGAACGCCTGCGGTCCTTGCATTGGCCAATGGGATCGCAAGGATGTCAAGAAGGGCGAGCCGAACTCGATCATCTCCTCCTACAACCGCAACTTCACCGGCCGCAACGACGCCAACCCTGCCACACACGCATTCGTCACTTCGCCTGATCTCGTCGTCGCCATGACCATCGCTGGTACCTTGAACTTTAACCCCTTGACCGACACCCTCAAGGATAAGGACGGCAATGACTTCAAGCTAAAGGAGCCACATGGTAGTGGTCTGCCCGCCAATGGCTTCGACCCAGGCCAAGACACCTACCAAGCACCTCCCAAGGACCGCGAGTCTGTATCTGTCGCTGTCTCACCCTCGTCCGATCGTCTTCAGATTCTCAAACCATTCGATCCATGGGATGGCAAGGACGCCATGGGCATTCCCATCCTGATCAAGGCGCAAGGAAAGACTACCACCGATCACATCTCAAGTGAGTAGACCAATCCTACATTCCAAACCAGCACTGATCAAACAACCCTTTAGTGGCCGGCCCGTGGCTGAAGTACCGCGGCCATCTCGACAACATCTCAAACAACATGCTCATCGGTGCCATCAACGCGGAGAACGGCGAGGCCAACAAGATCAAGAATCCCGTCACCGGCGAGTACGGCACCGTCCCCGGCGTCGCCCGCGACCTCAAGAAGCACGGCACCAAGTGGGTCGTCGTCGGCGACTGGAACTACGGCGAGGGCTCCTCGCGCGAGCACGCTGCCCTCGAGCCACGGCATCTGGGCGGCCTGGCCATCATCACCAGGAGCTTCGCACGTATCCACGAGACCAACCTGAAGAAGCAGGGTATGCTACCGCTTACCTTCTCAAACCCGGAGGACTACGACAAGATCGGCCCGAACGACAAGGTCGATCTCATGTGCACGCAACTGGCGGTCGGCAAGCCGATGAAGATGGTGGTGCACCCGGCGGATGGCGGTGAGGCGTTTGAGGTTGAGCTGAGCCACACTTTCAACGAGGGTCAGATTGAGTGGTTCAAGAATGGATCTGCGCTGAATACCATGGCGAAGAAGGCGGGGACGAAGCAGTGAATGGTTGTAAGGTTTCTTGGATGCTGTGTGAATACTTATTTTAGCCGTAGTCTTAGTGTAAGGCAATGGAGTTGAGTTGATGCAACTGTATATCTCTCCCTGTTCTTCAATATCGACGTTCGATGCCATGTACGCAGATGGCCAAAGAATTGTAAACTGGTTGCGAGTATGTAACCAACCCAGTTCACCAAGACGATCAACCACAGTGACTGACGGCAGAACTACTTGAGCCTTTATTACAACCAATACTCGACGGAACAAGCTGTGTCCTTAACCATGTTGCGAAGTCGAGCACTCCAGAGTAGAGCTTTGCTCGTATAACAAAACCAGAGCATGGCCCATACTTCTCGCCGTCCGCTTATGGTCCAACGCCAGCTGCCTCACCGCTTCGCTGCTAACGTCCTCTGAGCGAGAGCAACCTTCCATGTGGTCCTTCCTGCCCATTCTCCTCTTCCTCAATCATCCAAAGTAACGACCTCCAATTGTGCAACAACCGCATCCAGCCCATCCCCCTCTACAGCTCCACCATCTCCAGTCCCCTCAGCTCTCACATCCGCCCCGCCCGCCTCCTTCCTCTCCCGATACATCCTCCCCAGCACCTCCATCACCTCCGACACGCCCAACCCCGGATTCTCCTTCTTCACCGCCCTGAACTTCTCCTTAACGAAAATCTGATACTCCCCTTTCCCTCCTCCCGCCTTCCTTGGCGCCGGCCTCACCTGCACCAGTCTTCCCTTGCACCCCCCACAGCTCTGCCTCGCCGGATCAACACTGCGACTATGCCGCTTGAACTCCGTCCCGCAGCCCTCGCACTCCCAGACGTACTTGTATTCGATCTCGTACGCGTGGCGCGTGGAGATTTTGAGGTCGGGGTAGCGGCCTCGGAACGCTGCCTCCACTTTCGCGGCCCAGGACTTGAACTCCTTACCATGAGGATTGTCGCGCACATTGCTGAGCATAAAGGTGGCGAGGTGGCAGAACTCGTGGGCGAGGGTGTTGAGGAGGCGGTCTGGGCCGTCGATTACTTTCTCCGCCAACTCAATGGTAGCATGATGGATGTAAGTCTTGGTTGCTGTGCCGCCTCCTGCCTCAGCGGCGAAGGGCTTGGTGGCCGTGCCCTCGCGCCGCCAGTTCGCGCGCCCGGCTGTCGTGTTCAGTTTCTTGGACCAGACGATCCTGATGCCGCCGGTCGCGGCGCTGAGGGCGGAGATGCGGCCTTGGGTCACGGCGTCGTCTAGCTCTCTGATAGCGGACTCGGCCAGGGAGACTTTCTCGGCCTCCCATGCTTTGCGCGCGGAGATGGCGGCTTTGGTGCGCTTGGTCGGGCTTTGGGTCTTCTTGGCGGGCGAGCGGGTTGAGGGGGTGGTATGGCCGGCTTCGTCGTCGTCGAGATCGGGATCCGGTAGACGGTTCCGGGACTTCTTGGGTGGCTGGAGGGTCTTGCGCGGAGAGTACTGGTCGTTCCACTCGTTTACGACGCCGGCACTCCAGAAGGCGTCGATGCTTTCGCGGAGGCTTTGCCGTTGCGGTATCCGGTTCTTCTTGGACGGCGATGTGAGGCGGCTTCTTGGGGGGCTGTTTGGAGGCGGTGGTGTTGAGGGACGTGGTGGGGCTTTTCGAGGGGATCTTAGGCGCGGTGGGGAGCTAGGGGCATGTGTCAGAGGGAGTGGTATATATATAGGGGGATTGTCAGAGGTGTCTGACAAGTGGAGGATAGCTGCCTGGTCAGTGGAAGAGGAGCTCGAGGGTCGAGATGCGGTAGACGGTTGTGGAACTGGTTGAATAAGGGAAGTTTCGGCTGCCTTCGCGGGTCTTGGAGTTGTAAGATCAATTATGTTATCCCAGAGTGTGGAGGGCTTTGGGCCTCCATCTTCCGCGAAGACGCGAGAATCTGTGGCGGGGGTGGTTTGCAAAGTCTCCCGTGCCGTTGTTCGTGCTGGCTTTGTGCTGCTCCGCCAGCGCTTCTCAACATCGGAGTCCACCTCACTCTCCTCGGATCCACACCAGGTAACCTCGCTGATATCATGCTCTGAGTCCGACGAACACGGCGCCGCTGAACGGTACTCGACAGCTTCCTTGACCGCCCGTCTCGGCGTGTGCCTGATAGCTTGCGGCCGCACCGTTTCCCCTCTCTTCTTCCTTGCACTTGGCGCCTCCGCAATCGCAGAGGAGATTGGGAGCAACAACGCATTCGGCTGCGCAGCCTTTAACGCCCGCTGACGCTTGACCGGCGTCTCTCCAGCTCTTGCGCGTGGTGTCTTCAAGATGAGATTCGCGGATGCGTTGTCCGCAAGTCTTGCTGGCTTTCGCGCTGTCGGGACCCGGTCTTCTTCTTCTTCTGCCTTAACTCGAGCTTTCCGAGGATCTATTCTTGTATTTGCGTAGTTGTTTCGAGTGTCTCCCTTGAGCGAGGGAGTCCGCGTCTCTTTCTCCGCCTTGGCTGTCAGGATGAGGCCTCGAATATCTGGCAACTCGTCGTCGCTCTCGTCTGGCGTTCGTAGCCGGGCCATTGTGAGCCTATGGTATTAATATGTTCGGGGATCAGCGCGTCTACTGTCGATCGCGAATAATGATGTGTGCACGCCGTAGAGTCTCGTCAGACTGTCCTGTCGTCTTCCTATGCTGTGCTGTTCTTGATTTTTGGATGTTGATCTTGATTGTTGGCTGGGCGACAATCTAGCTCTCCCACTCATCTGCCCTTAAAGTTCCCTCTAGGATCATCCGCAAGAGACTGTCGCGCACAGTCATTTTGCAGGATGCTGAAGGCTGGGCTAGTAGATGGACATGATATCTATCTCTTCCAATGCTAACTCAGCATCATTCGGGGCCGAGGGCGACATACATCCGTAGGATGAGGGTCCTCGTTCCGGCGGAGTAATTCTTGTGCTTGTCGAAGGTGGTGGACTTCATTGTTCCTATCGTAGAGAACATAAATCGTAGGGTAAGATGCAGTTCTCTGAACTCGTCTCCTCTGTTTATTCACAGCTTCTACTGCAAACAGGAGAGGTACAGTACAGCCCTCCGTTTTTTCGTGTATCTATCTTCAGCTCCTCCAGCCAATCCAGCAGCCAAAGCTAAACACACTCGAGCTCCCTTCCACCGTCTCGGCTACCCAGCACCGCCATCAGTCCCTTCTACGCATAATCCCTATACCCCTTGAACTCAACATGATGCATCTCAATCCCCTTCGGCCCGTCTCTCAGATACTTCACACTATCCTTGAACGCCTCCGTCTCCCTATAGTCCATATGCGCCTTGACACTCGTCCAGCCAATGCCCGCCACAAACGCCTTCCCCTTGACCCCCTCACCCAGACTCTTGTGCTTGACATCATCGATGCTCCAGCCCGAAGCCATAGACCGGATACCCTCGGCATTCTTCGCCGCCGTCTCGGAGAACTTCTTCCAGTTGTCCGCGAAGTCGTCCGGGTTGTACGAGTCCTCGAAATACAGGGTCACGAGCTCGGTGACGGGCGCGGAGGAGGGCCGGGAGAAGGGCGTTTCGAAGTGGACGTGGAAGAAGTCTGGTGGGCCGGTGGAAATCGATTGGATGTGTTTGAGGAATGGCTGGTAGGTGCCCGACTTCATGAAGGTCTCGTGGGCTTCGAGGGACGCCCAGTCTACAGCGTGGTCAGTTCAAGTGCTTGATACATGATAGCGTTGGAGTCTCAAATGGTTCAGGTAACGACAGGGTGCCGTACCGACGACCAATTGCAGCATGTCCTCCCTCTCGACATGGCGTCCATAGTAGGCAGCTTGGAATCCCTCTTGGCCGGACACGGTGGTGATGCTTGACTTTATCACCTCACTGGCGTCGCTGGACTCGTCGTCGACGTTCGAATTCGGGACCAAGGAAATAAAGGCAATCTCTGTTGCTTGAGACATGTTTACTGGCAGTATTACTGGATTGGTACAATTTCTGAACTTTCAAGTAACAAGGAGATCGGATTTGTGAAGTACTTCTTGCTGTATGGATGGCTTTGACTTTGACTTTGACTTTGAGTGCGCTCAGCTGCCCTGCAGCAGGACGTCATCTTGAGGTCACCCTCGTGAGACGAGCTGCGTCTGCGCTTCATGGGACGCTCACTCCAGCAGCTTGTGGATAAATAGCAAGTGGAGGGTGACAATTGCTTGAGCGTGGTAGCCTTGCTATCGAGATGATGAATGCTCGCACATGGCTGGCGAGACACCCTGTAGTTTTGACGTACCACAGGATATTTGAGAGCAACGTTATGCGGAGCGGGGGCAAGTAACGGTGCTTATAATTTCTCAGCGTATAGATGTTCAGCTTCTTCAACAAATCATAGATGTCTAGAGGTATCAAGTAGCAATATCAAGCCGCCCTACCAGCAGTGCCAACGATCAGACACACCGTCCTCCCGCCCGCTCAGCAGCTCCCCACAAAACCCACGAACAAGGCTAAGTGGATCGTCTATACCTTACGGCAGTGGTCTCCTCCCTGCAAGGCAGCGTCTCTACATGCTCATGATACCGGCACATATCCCTCTTCCACGGCTTACACGCACTATCCGCCGCCCACTCAGCGCTGTACCCCGCACGCCCATTCCCCATGCACGCCCTGCAGAAAGCCTTTTTGCAGCACTTGCACAGATTCGCGCTCAGCTCCGGCTTCAGCACCACGGCGCAGTTATCGCACGCCTTTGTCGTCGTCCACGAGCCCGGCTTCCACGGCGCGATGTCGTGGCGCCACATCGCCGACACGTCTTTGCGCTTCAGCTTCACGATCAGATCGCGCAGGAGGCGCGGATGCCAGTCATCGGGGTGGTTTTCGAGGAGGTTGTCTGTCTTCTTAAAGGCGAAGAGGTCGAGGATGAGCTGGCGCATGGGCGCGTTGTCCCGGATGCTTTCGTACAGGATGTATGTGTCGCTCGGCGTGGGGACGCTGTTTTTCTCCTCGGCAAGCTCGGCGACCTTGTCGACGACTTGGTTGCGCAGCTTTTCGACGCTCAGCCGGTCGGCGGTTGAGTAGAGATCCAGCAGGAGGAAGTAGGTTGGCTTGCCATCTTTGATGAAAACCTCGTCGAGGTTCTGCGTGTACAGCCAGAAGACGAAGAGTTCGAACGTGTCGACGCGCTCTTCGGGTAGCGTGACAGACTGAGACAGGCCTTCGGCGAATGTGCCATTGAGCGCCGCGGCGAAGAATGGAGAGTGGAAGGTAAGGAGTTCGCGATGGACCAGGAAGCGGGTCTTAGAAGGGCCGATCAGGACTTCTGCTGTGTTGGTGAAGGTCTTGAAGCGCGTTCTGGTTGATGATCAGCAAGAAAGGGCGCAAGATACCGAACCTTGCATCATACCGAAGGGAGAAAGGGGCGGACTTTGAATGTCGGCACGGCACCGCCAGTGCTTGTGCTGTTGCGACGGCCATCTGTTCGGTGCTTTGCCGAGGTGTGTTCTAGAACGTGGTTAGCTAGAGGAAGAGCGAATGCGCTGTTTGCTCGCTCACAACTTTACTGGTGAAGGACTGCTCGACGTTTTGCTGGTTCGGGCACAGAATACTGTTGCTGTCGCTGCAGCTTAGGGGAAATGGCCCAGGCAATCAGGTTGAAGGAGGTGCAGGATAGATAGTGATTTACCAAGGTATGGAGCAGAGTGAAGGAGAGGGCCTGCGTCAGAACACGCTTCCTTGTGACGAAGGTATTCCTTAACAAAGGGCCAGGCATGCGCAGCGGGAGACACCTCATGCAGCAAGATGTCCCGGGAAGCGTGTGAATGCATGCGTCGTGTTCTTCATTGTTCAAAAATCACAAAGAAAGTCGCAATCATGCGATGCAGGAACGCAAAGACAACGGCACACACAACTGCCGAAGTCGCGCAGTGTTGACGTCAAAGTGGAAAACACGTAGGGCATCTTGCTTAAGTTTGCTATGGCTCGCGTTTGTCGGTGTCGACATTTGAGTTGTTTCGCTTTGAAATGCTGGCAGCGGGTTGTATCCGCAATCGTGCGACCGAGGGATCGCGAGATGCTTAACTGAAAGCGAAATAGGAAGCGAACCACAGAAAGATTGATCTGACGGCGGTAAAGATGTATTACCGTCAACCCAGCTAGAATAACCGAACCTCAGTCCCGGCAACCGTATGCCTCTCCTTATCTGGTAGACAGTCCGTCATTAGCAAAAGAGACACCGCCTAGATCCGATGTTTCTCGCTCTCTGCAGGTTGTTGGTCAGAATTGTGTATATAAATATTTGGATGAGACGATCTTGGTGCTCATTTTGGGTTGGGGGTTTTAGACTCACCGAGCCTTGAATATAGCATGTAGAGTGCCATTTGATTGCACTCCTGAGTTCCTGTGATTGTAACCAACCGCTCGTTGCTGTTGTCCTGTGGCTCGTTTATCTTGATCACACTGCCACTGAGTTGTCGAATCTCATTGATCTTTGCACCACCCTTTCCGATAATCGCGCCAACCATATCATTCGGGATAAAGATTTGCTGCGTCATCGGTTGTCCAGGTATCATGCCCTGAATCGGCTGCGCAGGTGGGCCGGCGTGACTGCCTTGCTGAGGAGTTTGATATCCTCCGTGTTGCTGAGGCATGTGCGGACCAGCACCGGTGTACCCGGCGCGAGGTGAGCCCGCGCCATAGTGGAGAGGTGCCGATTGAGCTTGCTGGGGCTGTCCTTGCTGATAGGGCGCTCCATATGCGTTAGAAGCACCCCTATTGCCTTGGCCCTGGTTCCTCCTATAGTTGTCCGGATGGCCCCATTGACCACCAGCAGCCTGAGGGACGTACGGAACGACTTGCATTCCCCCAGGTACAACGCCAGCAGGACCGCCGCTTCGTGTCGCATACGCGGATGCTGCCGGGCCACCGAAGCGTTCTGTGAGCTGCTCAACCAATGTGCTACCGATATAGTACGTCGCAATGTGGACTGCATCCGCAACACCCAGCACTACAAGCGAGCGCTCGGTGGACAGAGGGAGGCAGGACTCTGAGGCGTTGAGACGGGCACCAGACGCTTCTTGAATCTCCCTGATCCGAACGCCAGACTTGCCGATGATCGAGCCGATGAGGATGTGCGGTATCAAGAGGCGAAGTGGGTAGGTCTTCGATTGAGGAGTGGAGGGTGCTTCGAGCGGCTCGTTGTTCAATGTCCGGATGATAAGACCGAAAGCCTGTGGGAGTTAGCGAAGAGAGCGTACAAGATCACAGCCCCTAAATAGTGCCTACCTTCGCGACAGCATCGACTTGACCACTAACGGTCAGGATACGCTCAACTGCGCCTCGCGAATAATCGCTTACTGTGCACTTGGCGCCTGACATTCGGCGGATCAGTGTAACATTCTCGCCGCCCTTTCCTATCACGGTGGCAGCTTCAGCACTGGAAATGATCGCACGGACATGTAGCCATCCAGTCTCGTCCTGGTGAGGTAAAAGTCCTTGCGAACTCGCTCGACCATTGGATGTGGACTGGATGGGCTGTGTCTCCAGCACCGAAGCTCCCGAAAGCGTCGTCGGAGCATCGGGGACTACGGTATCCCCCTGTCCATCTGTTGTACCATTAAGCGTAGGCGCTGCAGACGTATCTTCGGTTTTCACGTCTTCATCCTCAGTCGTCTCGACACTGCGCACGGGCTCCGGTGCTAACTGCTCAACATCCGGCTGCTCTTCCTTCACGACCTTGTCCAATGCGGGTCGCTTAGCATCGGGCTGATCTCCTGTTCCGGAAGGGGAGGACGGCTCCTCAAGGGGCCGCTTTTGTGAGGGCACGGCCGCTGTACTGGGAGAGGCAGACATATTGGGATTGTTCCTCTCTACTGCGGTTTCTACGGGTCGGGTCTAGATCGGACTAGGTATTGAAGTCCTTCAACCGGTAGCTCACAGCGTTCTCACGAATAAGTGTGCACGTGAGCGAGAAAGCTTCCTAAGAACTTGTTCGTATTGAATCGCTTATGTACAGCAAGGGGCTGTCAAGGAAAACTTGCTGGTGCTGGCGGATCGAAGGAGGGGACGGTACGTGCTTTAGTGGTGATGCGAAGTGTATGGAAGGTGCTGGTGATAGAGAGGGTCGCCGGATGACGTAGGTAAGAGGTGTAACGTGCGAAGGACGGGGTGTAGGTAAAGTGCGGCTGGAACTGAAGCACTTGCAAACTCAAGCGCGGGTGACGGTAGACGTGCGTAGAGATCGGGAGGAGGAGTTGGTGTTTGTACTGAGGTTGTGCTGGAAAGGGGCCTGAGTGAAGTGAACGCTCCAAGACCTAGCCTGTCGAACCCAGCGCTTTGCCCTTCACAGGAGTTCCAGGTTGCTTTGTCGTCGCGACTGCCTTGAGGAACGATAGTAAACAGCGTCGCGATGCCGGGACGCAGTTGCCGTATGTTGAAACTTTGAGGACGGAAAAGCCGGTGTCAAGTGAAGGAGCAAAGGAAGCCACCGGCAGGCCAGTGCGGAGTAAGATGGGGGCCTTGGCGTACAGTCACATGACCACTCCCTTCAACATCCCATCGCGCTGTGTTTGGGACGTGTTTAGGACGCGTTAGAAGATACACTCGCTGTCTCCTCTCACTGGGAGTTGCACCCAGTCATGATGGAGAGAACGGACAAAGTAGTCCTGTCCAACATCCAGCAATATGCCAGCGAGGTCAGACTTGCGCAGGAACATCAGATGGACATTGATGCGCCAGATCGCGCCGCATTCGAGGCGCGTCTTGACCAGACCGTGAAAGAGCTGGAAGATAGGGTTGCAAGGCAGCGAGCAGCTCTGGATAAAGTAGGCCATGTCATCTTCGTGTTGATCGGGATATAAGTTCGCTTATACAAACACAGCTGCGGGCATCATCAAGCTCGGTTCCAACTACGCCATCTACAGATCCACGAAAGCGACTACATCAATTGCATGTCATAAAGGCGGCTTACGACCGTCTAACAACAGCGGAGCCGAGTCTTCCCAGCAGAGACTCAACGCTGCCGTCTCTATTGGCGACACGCAATATTCAGCAAACAGTATCAGGCACTCAGGCGGCGATTGAAGCCGACCAGAAGAAGCTGAGGCTCACTCAGCAAGACCTACAACGCGAGCAAGCCAACCTGGATGATGCTGAAGCTCTTACAACTGCGCTGGAGAAGCGCGTCGGACATTTACGAGTCCAGCAGCGAGAAAAAGAGCACAGGGATCCCTCTCAAGCTGCTAAAAACCTTTCACGAGAGAAGCAGAAGACGAAGCAACGTTATGGTCAAGAAACTAAAGGCCTGCGTAACGCATTGAATGACTTCATCAACCAGCACCTTGCTGGCATGCTTGCCGCTGAAGAGCTCGGAGGTCCAGTGGTCGGTGACTTGATCGACCTTGACGATGATCTACTGGCGGCTGGTTTTACTTATCAGGGTAAACCGAAAGCTCGTGCAAAGACCAAAGAGAACCTCCAAGGGGCTGACAACCAAAGACGGATTGACGAGTTCTACGAAGGGGCAGAGCAAGGTGGGGGGAACGGACCTCGCAGCGAGAAGGACGCGGCAGCGCAAGAAATCCAACAGCTGATCGATCATCTATTTGAAGCTCTGCTTGGTGAAGCTGGCTCTGGTGTCTACATTGAGCTGGATAGAGATTCGGCCGCCGCTCGGTTTCTGGTCCGGGCCAAGGTGGCACAGTTCCATCCCAAAGACGCTAAGAGGTTGCGGCTTGTTGATTTTGGTCGAGAGCTGGACGACTGATGTAACGAATGCTGGCCAGTCTTTGCCCCTAAGATCGATAAGATTCTCTATCGAAGTAAGTAGAGACGGTGTCCAACATGCAGATCTCGTCCAACTCCGCAGCTGTGGCTGTAAGAGGAAAGTTTTAGTTATCCGCTTGGAGGTCCATTCCGCGTCGATGGTCTATCCCAGGCTGGACGGGTTACGTGTGTGCTCGATGTCCGGCAAGGCACAAAAAAGATAGCGGAAGCTCTAAGGGGGAAAGGATGAGGACATTAATCGGCTATGCCGAGTTATGCAATGATGTATTCTGGCCTACAGAACCGTTCTAGCGACCACCAATCGCGGATCTCAGAATTCACCATATGAATTGCGGCGTCTGTTACGCCGTAGGCATAACTGCTTGGCCTTGCCTCATGTAAGACGATCAGCGGCTTTTCGTTCATTCATTTCTAATGAGGGCATGATCAGCAAATGAATCCGAGCTGAACTGATAATGAGTGCTTATACATAAGACGATGTGAGGGCTGGGCGGAATAGGTTTCATATCACGTGATGAAGACTTAGCGCCAACCGAGCCCACATCGCGAATTTCGCTAGGCGCAGCCAGCAACAACGTCAAGGAACCTCCAACCAGCCCGGAACGCAGTACATCAGTAGCCATGGCCAGTAAGCATGCACGTTCTCGTTTCTTTTCCCAACAGCTGCTGATGATACGACTTGCGCAGAATCAAAGAACTCGTCTCAGCATAATCAGAACAAGAAGGACCACAAGAACGGGTACGCATACCTAGAATCCCTCGACGACCAAGCGCAGTTCCCCAGCACTAGACCGCAAACTGATACAGTCGCTCTACAATAGCATCAAGAAGCCCAAGACCCACCGCTACCCATCCCTCAAGGGCACGGACCCGAAATTCCGAAGAAATCACAGACATGCGCTGCACGGAACGATGAGGGCACTGGTACGTACATCATGGCCTTTGTCTAGGTTGTTGAGGAGAAAGGCAAGGAACTAACGCCGAGGGTGATCACAGAAGGAGGTGAAGGAGGGCAAGCGAGACGCGGCATGAGGGCACTGGACGACTGTACTGAAATCAACTTGCATTGAGCGGCGGGAACGATCAGGCGTCTATGTTATGGCCGGGTTCGACCAGGCTTCTCAATCGAAGCCTTGACGCTTTCGATCTTGAACGATATCATCACTGTCCGTTCCGTTATAGCTCGAGCAACATCTCCCCGTGTCCACCCACCCCACACTCGCCGGTTCGACAATGAGTGTTACGAAGTCAAGGAGCACTAGCTACTGATACCTGCTCGTACCAGGAAGATGACGTCGTCAAAGGCATTTGTGTGTACAGCACCGCGCTTAATTCCATGCGTACTTGCTGAAGGATAACTTCTTCGTGCCAAGAGCTACTGCCCTTTCATTACCAAACATCCTCCCTTCGTTACAATGAGGCGCGGATGCATGAAGGAGGGGCTACATACGTTGCAGATCAATCTCTTTGCCTACTACGGCTTTACATTCAAGTGTCAATAATTTACTAGGATATCTTTGGCGCAGCGGGTAGCAATACTGCCACTGCAACTGCAAATGGTTTGTAAACCTGTATCTACAGAAGCTATTAACGGGTGATGCCTTGAAATCTCACCCTAACGCTCTGTAACAAACTACATTCACCTCCTCTGACGTGACCTTACTTCAGTGAAACCACTTTTCGATTTCAAAAATCCCGTTCTCAGACTCAGGTTCCACGTCACAGAGTTCTTGAAGTGTCCGACATAAGTCCCTCTCCATCTCCACCATCTCACAACGCAATTCCAGTCGCCACTCTTCAGCACAGCTCAGAACAGGCGCCCGGCACACGCGATGGCAGACATCCACCAATGGCGCAAGAAGGTTCCAGCCCGCTCGCGGGCATCAACACCGCAGAGTTACGATGATCTTGACCACCAAAGCGAAGTGGGCTCCGTGGGAGAGAGTCACACACCAAAACGCCGCTCGAGGCCAAAACTCTCAAGCTACATCTCCTACCTGTCCGGCGTGAACGCGAATAGACCTGAATCGCTTTACAAAGCAGAGACGTCCTCTCTGAACCCTTTCGCGCAAGTCAAGCCTCGCGAGGAGATTCGTGCGGTCAACATCGATTCGATGATCGGCTCTCTTCACGCGACGCTTATGCAGAGTCCCTTGCAATCCCTCTCTGCCCAGCACAACAGTCGTCTATTCCACCTGTTCGAAGCATACCGCAACCTGGCTGAAGAGAAGGAAACCCTACAAGCAAAGCTTACAGAAGAGAGGGAGCATCGGCTGGAGATTCTAAGCAACTACTGCGACGCAGAAAACAGATGGCAAGGAGAGGAAGCAGACTACAAAGCGGAAATTCGGAGGCTGGAGCTACTTGTTGCGCAAGGAGAAAAGGGGATTGCGGGTGTCTTCAGAGCAAGACAGGACAGTGTGCTCAAAAAGAGGCAGGGTCGCCAGGACAAGCCCCCTTCAGCCAACCGTCAGACGATGTATGGCTTGGTTGGGGAATCGAAGCCGGCCCAGGACTCCACGAAGGAGAGGCAGACAGGTAAGTCCGCTATTCCTCGAAGCTCCATGATTCGTATCGCTGGAGGCATGCTTTAGGGACGTGGCCAGGCTAACAGCCAGACATAGTTCGCGTGCTTGATCGACCGCAGTCACCCTCTCGCAGAATGACCGTACTATCAAAAAAGCTCTCAATGAGAAGCTTGCGTCACGATCTGCCCTTCGGTACTGCTCCATCGACAACCCACGCGTATTCCCTTGCCGATGTTTCGTACTTAAATGAGAATTATAGTACCACAGATATTGACAATCCGTCTTCCCGTAAACGCTCGAACACTGTCACAAGCGGGAAAGTCTTGTCCCTCTGCGGCTCATCAACCTTCAGTTGCGTGGGCGATCCTCTGCCGGATGAAGTTGAAGGAGACGATGACACAGCTACAGTGACAATCAACAAGGAGTTCCAGGCGCTGCGTAACATGGCCACCATTGTTGCACGCCAGCGAGGTGTCAGCATCGACGATGTGCTTCCATCGCTGGTTGGTCTCTTCACTGGTACCTCTACCTCTACAAGTCAGGCCCTGCCAGAGCCGTCACCGGAGCAGTTCATGCCTCAAACCCGCAATTCACAAGCGCAGACAACCGTGGATCAATCTCGCCGACTCCTACCGGCCCTGTCTAAGTCCAACTTGCTTGTGCTCACCCATGACCTCGATCTACCGATTCACGCTGCTGACTCAATCGTCGAGAGTGTCGTAGCGGATGATATCAGCCGCCAGCTACCGAAAGCCTACATCCGCAAAGGTCGGCGCCCGTTCTCCTTCGAACCCGGGGATGATACCATGGGCGCGCGTCGTGAGAAAGAAGGCAATTTGATGGGCGATCCAGGCTTACAGCCTATCTCAGCATCGAGCAGCCGGGAAGCGACTCCCAGACCATCACTTAGACAATACAAGAGAGTGTCAAGCGGTCACAGTATGTCCAGCTCGCCCACAGATGGACGAAGACCCTCCAAGATACCCAGTCCAGCGCAAGAGCACCCGATGGGTCAACCGCGCCGTGAAGCCTCTACGTCAAGCGTCTGTACGACTATCCTATATCCTCGTGTGGATACAAGCAGGCCAGTATCAGAGCCTAACTCGCTTCGAGGTGGAGGCACTGTAGTGCACAGGGAGTCCGATCGGGCCAGCAAGGTCGCTTCGAATAGGAGCTCCGCGAGCAGCATGAGCGTAGGGGCTCAGCGTGCTACTGATCCCAAGAGTAGTTTAAGGAACAGCACAGCTGCTTTAGCTGCTGCGAGGGCTGCTGAAAGTGGAAGTCGCAGAAGCTCACGCAGTGCTACAGAGAGCGTACGGAAGCATTCGAGCCCGCGACCGAGCGAGAGTGGTACCTAAGCTGTTGGAGAGACTGTCAGTCGTGTCGTACGTGAAACCCCGATATTGGATTCCGCAACGCCGCAGAGACAAACCATCGAGAAGGTGAAGGGCTTCGAGGAGCACTCACTCAGTGCACGAGATGCAAAACAGCGCATGAACAGCTCCGCCAACCTAAGCAGTGGAGGCGAATGGCATGTAGTGTGTGGTATAGTCGTCTTGTAACATTGCACAGCAGCATTCGAGCATCCTGACAGGTCCCAGTGATATGGCTACTGTATCCTCTTTACTATATACGCCTTGGAATGTTGCATTTCTCTTCAGTATGGCGACGGCCAGTATAGTTTGAATACTTCAGAACGCTTGCAAGAACAGTATCGAAGCTCCCCCTCCTGCCACTTGCTCATGGTCATGCCACTGACCTTTGCTATCCGTCTGCTCCGGGGCCGTGATGCTGCTGCCGTTGTTGATCGCCAGCGTAAGGCCTTCTCTCGCTTCCAGATTTCAACTTCTGCTGCACCACATCGATTGCTACCCACACCACAACGTTGTTGCAAACTTGGAAAAAGGTCTAGAACCTTGCTTTGATGCTTTCCTGTTAGCGAAATCTGCACGCCTACGCGTCCTTCTATTTGAACTACGGATCAGCGCATGTGGGAGCAGCAGGCTGGCTGCGCCACATATGCGCCACACATTCATGCGCCACACATTCATGCGCCACAGTCTTTTGGCAATTCTACGCGCAATTTGGCGAGAGGGCGCGTGACGCCTGATCCGACAACGCAACGGATTCTCCGGGAGCGAGCTCGGCGATGGGCTTTTGCAGCAGGCCTGGTGTCCGCTCTGTGCTATTTTAGCGTTGGGCTAGCGATCAGCGCAACTCGCAACAGCTAGGGCTTGGGCCGAGGAGCGCTGCGTTTGCGAACTCCACAGTGATGGACGCCGAGAACAGAACGGCTGGGCTACGACGAGCCTTTGGAGATGCTCGGAAACCGCACGGCGGAAGACCGGGGGCCAATCGACGCAGTAATCGTTGGGAAACCGAGATTTCGAACTGATCTTGATAACGGACGGGTGCGCAATGACGAGCAGCTCGGACAAACGTTCGCTAGAGAAGAGAGGTCGTTGCAAGCGCCCGCTTCTCGTCCCCCTTTCATCTCGCGTTTCTAGAAGATGGGGAATTACTGGGCGTATTATGGCGCGAGCACGAAAAGCGTTTGAAACAACTGAATTTCGCTACAGGAGACAATGATATTACCGTACCATACTCGCCTCGGGCTGACACTTCCCCTGACGGCTGTTACCCGCCGCCCGGCGAGCGCTTGGCGCTGCTTAGTCATGTAACATGTAATTTGAGGTTCATTCGACTCAAGAGGCACCTCAACCCCTTGAACTTACCTGGGCACTGTTGTGAGAAGGTGTCACGGCATGAGATGATGCAGATGTTCGTGATTGAGTTGTCTCCGGCCACAGGATCATATGTGTTGCTGGGTATCCCAGACGGCTCGTCGACGCATCGAAAAGGGGATCGCGAAGAATGCCATCGAATGCGAACCATGGCTCTCGACCCACCGCTCGGGGACCCTAACGTCATGCTCATTTTAATCTGCGTCGGCATCAGAGTGGAGAGAAAACGAGTGGTGATTTGTAGAAGAAGGGCGCCAAACGTCGATATTGTGAAACGGCGAAGATTGGACGGAGGTGGAGGCCGACTCAGCGCTCAAGGGCCATCTGAAAAGTGGGTTGCCGCATTGAAAGCTACCTACTTGTGGGTCTGGAGCTGGACAGGCCCCAGGCAGAGTCGATAGCTCAAAGACACCTCAGGCGATCAGTGCATCAGAGAGCTAAACTGCTACCAATCCATCCTTTTCCCACGGTGCTCACGCTGGCGGAACATGCCGCGGAGGATGCGGTACATGAGCGGCAGCAGTACTCTATACTGGGATGGTTTGATTACCGTGGTTTGATTACCAGAGGCACTTTCGCGGCCCAGCGGCCTCGGCCGTTCTGCGGGCGGGTGCTGCATCTGGGGGATTCCTCAGCCACAGGCTAGCAGAGGTGCAGCAGAGCAGCAGCAGACCTGCATGAGGGATGAGACCATTTCGGTTCTCGTGGCACCGACGATCGCTCCACTCGGGTTAGACAGAGCCTAGACGGAGCCTGGACGGAGCCTGGACGGAGCTACACGGTTTTGGCCATCTGCCGTGCCCATCAACGACCTGCAGCTGCAGCGCTCGAAACCGGCATGGTTGCGTAGGGCTTTGTGGCTCGTGGCGCTGTGGCGGTGCAGCCGTCGTGAAATCGGTTGGAACCCTGAGGCTTGAGGCTTGACAGCAACGCCGCGGACCAAGGACGTCCACGCTCTCTCTCTTGCACTTTCCTCGTCGCTCTTCCGAAGCTCCCTCCTTGGCTCCCATAGCTTGCGCGCCATACCATAGGCGCCGCCGTTTGGCTCATCATCGCTGCTCGGCTGTTAGTCACTCAGGCCTGCGCTGGCACTTTATGTAGCGCACGCGCCCGCCCTCCATCCATCTGCCTGTGGCTTGACCTTCTGCGCCATATCCTATGTCTTGCACTTACACCGACCTAACATCTTCCTGCCAAAAATCAGCCCTCCAGATGCCATTGCGATACTGAGCGTCTTCCTCTCGAGCTTCGTCGAGATGTTTCGGAACAGGTATGTTGTTTGCTTGTGGCTCAGCCATCGCGCTTTCGCTCCACCTCCCCGTCGCGCGCATAACTCCAGCGATGCCATGCCATGTTACCCAAAGAGCTGACAATATCCTAGGACCAACTCGCAAAAGCCGAACGACGAGTTTCTGGCAAGCTTCAAAGCGACCTTTCCACAGCTTACTCAAACCGCCCACTCTGCAGACGCGTTGCGGAGCTCGGCCTCCCTAACGGATGCCCTCGATGTAGCGCTACCGACCCGGTACGTCTGAGCCTGTCGACCACCTCCAGCTTTGCGCTGTCTCAACCTTCCACTCTTAACACTGCCACCCTCCGCATTCCACCATCGTTAGGAAAATCCACAATTTGAATCGTTCGGAAGAATGAAAACATGTCGCTAATATTTACTCATATTTACAGTCCACCTGGTCACGACGAGCTTAAAGATGGAGAGCCAACTCCCAGACCCTCGAATGAACAATGGAGGCTCACGCCGTCTCTCCTCGACCCAAACAGCTTCGCGTTCTCGAACTTCGCCGCTCAGCCGCCTGGTTACTACACGCCAACCCCCGGTGGGACGAACACTCTCTACCACAGCCAGGCCGGAGACCTTCACACTCCGGGCTTCAGTTTCGGCTTAGGCACTCCCTTGTCACTACCCACCTCCGAAGGCGCCCTCCATGCTGGACAAACGTCTTCCGCGGGCGTTCCGGCTTTCAACCCTCACGCCATTGCTCATCATCATTTCCAGAACCAAAATCCATTCGCGCTTCATCAACATCAGAGCTTCGCACCGCATCAGTTCTCTCATCAGCCGACCACGTTCGAACCTATGATCCAATCGCGTAACGACGGAATCACCGATTCGAAGTTTGTAGACGTTGAGATGCAGGGGCATTCTCCCATCTTGACTTTTCCATCCCAGGCGTATGAAGACAACATGTGTCAGCTCCGATCGCATCAACCAGTCGAACAGTAAGTTTGGATATCCTGATGTGGCTTTGTTTATTCTACTGCTCATGCTGACATCGATTAGCTTCCGATATCATGTCACGCTCAATGCGCCAACTGCCATGATCAAGCAGTCCGACGAGATTCCTGTGACTTACCTCAACAAAGGCCAAGCTTACTCAGTCTCAATCGTTGACACGAACCCTACTCTGGTATCGAACGTTCCGATGAAGTACCGCACCTTCATTCGCATCTCTTTTGAGGACGAGCAACAGCGGCAACGACCGGGAGCCTGCTGGCAGTTGTGGAAAGAAGGCCGCGGAACCAACGAAGCGCACCAACGCGGCGGCAGGCTCCAGGCTGTCGAGTTCGTGGACCCAAATCAGGCTGTCGGAGACATGTCTGGCCGCCCTCGAATCGAGCTTGAGTCGGCTTCGTTTGACGGCTTCTGCGTGACATGGAGTCCGTCTCCAAACGCGCCAGCAGAATTTTCGGTCGCCGTTCGCTTCAACTTCTTGTCTACGGACTTCAGCCACTCCAAAGGCGTGAAGGGTATACCAGTGAGACTTTGCGCGAAGACCCATCTCCTCACGGATGAGGCAGCATCTCCACCTGAGTCAGGGATCCCAGAGACTTGCTACTGCAAGGTCAAGCTCTTCAGGGACCATGGTGCCGAGCGAAAGCTATCCAACGACGTTGCGCACGTGAAGAAGACGATCGACAAGCTCAAGCAGCAGATATCACAGGCCGAGTCCGGCTTGAAAGAGTTTGGGAAACGGAAGCGTAGTGGATCCGTCGCCAAGATGAGCGCCAGCAATAGACCCGGCAAGGTTCCAAAGCATAAGAGGACATGGTCAATGGATTCGTCAAGCTCAACCGGGAACCGCGCGCCCCCTGAAGAGGACTTGCATTCCAAGCTCGCGACGCTGCAGGATATGTTCACTTCGACTAGGCCGGCAAGCGTCCTCTACCTCCGTGGCGAAGAACTAGACGATCCGGATCTGCATCCAGTTCACCTGTCCGGCGAACCTCAGGACTTGACGAAGGTTGAGCCGATCCAGGATACTTCGATGTGGGAGAGACAGAGCGTTCATACTACCGGGACTGGCTCGATCGTTTCTCCAACCCCAAGCTCTCAGTCTCTGCATTCAAGTGGTCATGGTCGGCGGAGCTCGACTTTCCAACATCCCTCAGCATTCAACCCGCCGTCCAGAGTTTCGTCGGGCGAGTGGCGCAGCATGCCTCAGACTGCGACTGGGGATCTTCAGCCAGCGGCCACGCAGCAAATGAGCCCGTCCAACCTGCCGATAAAACTACGGAAGGCACACTCAGACGAACATGGAACCTTGTCGGGTTGGATCGAAGCTGTTGGTGTAGACTACTCGTATCAACCTCCTCCAGAGCGGGTGATCAAACCAGGTGAGCATCATTGTCGTAACCCAATCTAGAGCATCTTTTAACAGAATGCAGTGGCATGCCTCTACGTTCAGCCTCGGATCGTTGGGAGCGTCCCCGAGGACCACTACTACAGGGCTGTGTATCTCATCCAACGCACAGTGAAAGACCTTGTGAATGGCATCGCGATGAAGAGCAAGATCGAGCCTACCAAGGTCGTCCGGACCATTCGAGTAACGTCCAAAGGACTACACGTTCTCGTTGACGAGGACGCTGTACAAGAAATCCCCGAAGGCCAAGACATAATAGCAGAATTCTACGCGCTCAAGCCTCACTCCCCCATACGACGAGAGTGGGACTCCGGCCCAACGGATGTGCAAGTCGACGGAGACCTCGGCGCACTCGAGAACATTACCTCTGCTGGCTACGAATTGAGGCTCATCTACTGAAGGTGTCCGCCCGCTTCCATTTGTCCCATCTAACGACCGGTTACGAACTGTACTATTCTCGAGCCAAACGCTGCAGCGGATGCGACCAGGCGGCTGTGCCCTTGCACCTTTGGCGTTATATCAATTGAGATACCAGAGTCCTGTATGCTCTTACTTCAAGATACCCCTTCGATTTCTGGTTTGGTTTCAAGTACACACTATGAAGCTTCTCGGCACTTAGCGGCGGGTTCATGTCTCTCGTTCTATTGCTGCATTTGCTGAAATTGATTGACAATGTCTCAAGTTTGCTGAGTCTGTCTGTTTTCCTTTGGTGGATAATTACGGGCTACTTGGGTTCGGCCTTTCAGAGCCACCCACATCGGATATGGCGGAGATACCCCTGTTATTAGGCTATGCATTTCTATTCGATGCGACAAAATTCAATTCCCTTTCCGCATTCTGGCGGCATACCAATTAGAACAGTACACATAGTTGATATGGAATCACCTCACCCCTCATCATGTCATGATCCTGTTACATCCTACAAATTATCGCGTCACTGTTTCGTGTTTGATTACGATGATCATCGTAGGGTTACCCTTCCCAAGCTCGATCAACCAGTCGCTCCGCGGCAACTCACCAGCATCCCGCCGACACATCTTGGGTCGTGGCGCCTTGTGCGACCAGGAAGTCCCTTGCGTGTATCTTTCAGGACTGGTGACATTACCATCCTCGATCTGTCCAGCTTCGATCCCCCTTTGCAGAAGGACGCGCAAACATCGCCACAGCCTGAAGATCAGTTTTCCCATGTCGCTTCTGCTCTATTATTGTTCTCATCAAGAGAAGGCCCCCCAGCTCCCACTGGCCAGCCTCCGGACCGCCAACGCTCAGCGCCTGGGCACCGCAACTCTAACAGCGGCATCTTGGCTCGCTCGTCCCGTCGCGATACAACGCTCTCCATCCGTCAGGCCATCCACACAAGCCAGCGCACGCCAAAAATTCCGCATGCGACACGATGTGGGATTTCCATCGCGCACCCAATAAGCACGCTGTTTCCGGTCATCCGCCCCGCCATACGAAACACGATCGTCGCTCCTCCTGCCCGTTCCATACCCAAGCGGAGTTCTCGGGACGCGCCCCAGCCACAGCACTCGCCACAGCGAACGTCCCACCATCGCTCTGGCCGAGAGCGCGCAAGGGTGCCAGCGCAGCGCTCAATCCCGGATCCTGGGCAGGCCAAGCGGCGGTGTGGCGCTTGGATGCTTGGGGTTTGCGGTTCTCGTGATGCACGTCTCGTGACATGAGTGGCTGGAGCTGCTCGCCGCCTTCGGCTGTTTGGGAAGATCCCAAATGGAAAGCGCGCTGATCGGTGATCACCACAGATGCTATTTTTGCGGTCGTCTCAGACTTTTTGAGTTGTGGCGGTGAAGCGAGCATCGGCTCGTTTTGCACGCGATGGACGATCCTTTTCTGTTGATCTCGCAGCCGAAAAAGCAACAACGATGTGGCTGACGTGGCCCAGCTTCGCGCGCAAGCCACTCGACCCCCGTGCCTTCGCCCCCTCTCCTGGATCGCAAGCAACTCAATCGCTTTCCCATCCGCCAGGTTGCTGAAAACCGCTCTTCCTGCAGGACGACATCATGAGCTCCTCGCATCCATTTCTCAGCATCACTCTGCGCGATTTTCCCCCTCTCGATGTCGAAAGGCCTGGAAGGCAGGCCCAAAACGCGGCACCCGAAGGCCTCAGGAGCTCGTCCCCGCCGCCAAACAAGGGTGAACGCTGAACCGTGGTCAACGAATCTCAGTGCCGTTCTCTTTCCAACACGTGGGAGACGGAATTTTGCTGCACCGCCACAGGCTCTTTTTGGGCGTGCTTTCTAAGACTGCTTTTGCTTGGGGGGGTTTGGCAATTCCTTCTTCAGGGCAGATGCGTCTTGGTTCGTCATGCCGCCCTCTTCCACGGATCCCTCGGAACCATGGTTGGGCATGTTGGCCCGCGGAGCCCGTTGGCTGCCGGTTTGGTACCGATCCCGAGCGTTGCGGGTGATGCGTCTGGATCAAGCAGCTGTCAAGATGCACCATACCGCAAGGGGAAATATACGTAAGGTACCGTTTTCTTTGTCTCAAAGGGGAATTCGTCCGCCGGAGAAGCTCAGAGGACACCGCCACAGGAACCCCGCATTAGCAAGCCGTTATGTAAAACGCAGCGAATGGCGGTGATGAGGTAAGGAGCTTCTTCTCATCTCCATTTCTCCACGTTCGTTTCTTCCCCGCCTCGACGACGGAGAGAGCCGCGCGTATTGTATTTTGTAACACTACGAAATAGAGCAATGATGGTAGCCAAGCTGCTTGCTGTGCTTCAACTGCTATTCTAAAGAAAACTCATCTCCGAGGAGATTTCGCGGATTTATTGCTCAAATCTGCAGACGAAGCCCAGGGAAGGCCCGAGACCGTTGCAGCAATATCAATATTCACTTTACCATCTGCATGACAACGCCGGCCTCATTACGGCGGCTCTCGACCAGGAGGAGCGATATTGGCAACTAAGAACGTGAGACGGGCCTTAGAGTCAGGCCGTCTGCTTGATCGTAATTGACACTGCAGTAGTTCCCCTGTGTCTTGCGCGCAGCTAAATTATCTGACAGCGAGTCGGATAAGGGACCAAAGGGATGAGACGAAGATAATAAGTCGCTTAGAGCAAGTTCGCTCTGCTGGAACAGTCTCCAATAAGATCCTTCTTTTTTGTGAACTCGTTCATTCATATCTCAGTTCTGTTGCGTGAAGCATTTCTACAGTGTGTTCTCAACAAAACAAAGCGTACTAGCGGCTGTCGCTCACTACCCAAGACCAACGCCTTCACGCCTCTACCAACATTCCAACTCAAGGTGTCAGTCAAACCAGAAGAACCTATGCCCGACCAACAACATAATCCCGATTCTCTATGGTGACACTCTTGGTCTGCAACTGATTAGCCGCTCAACTCTAGCAGAGAGCCTTTCTTCAACGGGGACTTACCATGTGATTGACCTTGTAAACTCCGACCAACCGCGATGCGAGCTCAAACATGTTGTTCCGTAGAGATATAACGATGAATTGCGCATTCTTCGTCCTCTCCTTGATGTAACTTGCAACAATAGAGACCTATCATTTACACGTCAGCACTGTTCCCATAAGCAAAAGCCAGTCCGCGCAATACTCACATTCCTAAAGTCCAGCGCCGCATCAATCTCATCCATGACGTACAACGGCGTCGGCTTATAGTGATGCAGCGCAAACACCAGCGCGAGGGAACTCAGGGTCTTCTCGCCTCCACTCAGATTGCTAATGTTCTTCCAGCTCTTCTTCGGCGGCATCACGCTGAACAAGATCCCCTCGGAGAACGGATCCAGGCTGTCCACGAGCTCGAGCTCCGCGTTGCCGCCCATGGTAATCATCTGGTACATCTCTTTCAGACGGAGCGAGATGGTGCTGAAGCCCTCCATGAACCCTTCCAGCCGCAGCCGCCGCAGGTCGTCGCAGCGCTTCTTCGCGGCATCGCGTTCGGCGATGGCGGCGGCGAGGTCGGCGCTGCGGGATGTGTGCTCTTCGGCGCGGCGGCGGTATTCGGCGAGAACGCCGAGCTCGACGTTGGTGTTTTGGGTCTTCTCTTCCAGCGCTGCGATCTCGGCTTTCAGAGCGTTCTTGTCCATGTCTTGTAGCTCGTCTTTGGTGTAGGTCGGCAGAGCGTCGGCTTCCTGCTCCTCGCCGAGGTCGCTGATGTTCTGGATGGTCAGCTTGCTGAGCTTGTCCTGCCAGTGCCGCAGCCGCTTTTGGTTTTCGGCGAGCGTCTTTTGGTTCTCTTCCAGCTGGTTGCGCATGTCGATTTCGATGCCGCGTGTCTCATTGAGCTCGGCTGTTTTAACATCGAGTTCGGATTTCAGCGCTTGGAGCTCTTCCTTCTTCGCCTCGAGCGCTTCTTGGGCTTCTTCTGCTTGTTGGCGCGAGCCCGAGGCGTCCTTGTTTTGGTCCTTCATGGCTTGATCTGCCTTCTCAAGTTCCACAGCGAGGCCGTCGAGCTCTGCGGTGGCTTCAGCGTAAGCTTTCTCATGCTTCGTCTTCTGCTTCTCGGCCTTGGCCTTCGCAACTTCCGCTGTCGACATCTCCTCGGTGAGCGTGTCAATCTGCTCTTTCAGACCGTCGACTTTGGCTTTTTGACCACGCAGCTTGACACCGCCAATCTCCATGATTTTGTCCTGGAGAACCTTGATTTCTTCCTCGACGCCTGCGGTCTCGGCGTGCAGTTTAGCAACCTCCCTCTCCAAGCCCGTGATGCTCTTCTCAAGGGCGCCAATCCGGCTCTTGTCCGACTTCGTCATCCCCTGCTCAGCGCCGAGCTCCTGAATCCGGCGTTGAGCATCCGCGATATTCCGGTCAAAGCTCCCAAGCTCGAGCGCCAGCTTCTGTGCTTTAGTTTCAAGTTGCGGAATCTGATCCTTTAGCGCTCGCAAAGCTGCATCGGCGTCTCGCTGCTGTCGCTGGAGCTCCGCGTACGTCTGCTCTAGCTGGTCCCGATCAACCTCTAGCTTCGCCACCTGATCCTTTGACACGTCGGCGGCGAGCTTGCTGGACATGCCGCCCTTTGCGACGCGCATGCCGCCACCGCTCATTGTGCCGGACTTGTCGATTAGCTGCCCATCAAGCGTGACGACGCGCCATCGTTTCGCTCCGTAGGCGATTCGGTTGGCTTGCTCGAGGTCCTTAGCCACGAGAGTGTTCTGGAGGACGCTGTAGAATGCTGGGAGGAACCTTTCGTTTTTCGACTTTACTAGGTCGAACAAGCGCGGGACGTTTTCGGGCGTCTCGATGGCGGAGAGATCGCGCTTTGGGAGTCGGTCAAGGAGGATGAAGTTTGCTCGGCCGAGATTGTTCTTGCGGAGGTAGTCGATGCATTGCTGACCGACTTCGACCGAGTCGACTACTAGATTGTCCAGGGATGGACAAGCTGTGGATATAGCAACGTCGTACTTCTGGTCGATAGCTCCAAGGTTGCCGAGGCGGCCGTGGAAGCCATCGATACGACCAGACTCCTTTAGTCGCATAAGGCCTGTGAGCACGTTGCCCTGTGTCTGGGTCGCGGAGAGACTGGCACGAGCTTCGTCTGCTTTCTGCCGCGCCCCTGAGACTCTGGAGCGGATTGCTGGCTCCTTCTTCGCTAGGTCTTCGATCTCAGCTTGCACCCTCTGCATGTCCTTCTCGACCTGTCGCTTTTGGGTCTTGCACTCCTCGAGTTCTGCGGCTTTGCTTTCTTTCGATTCTTCGAAGGCGGCGATCTTGGCTTGCACCTCTTCGATTGCCTTTGCGCCGGCATTGTCCTTCTCCCGAAGAATCTCCAACTCGCTCTGCGCAACAGCGATGGCAGACTGCTTCTCGTTGATCTTCTCGTTCCACGGCTCTAAGCTCTTCTGCTTCGCGGCGATCTGATCACTGATACCTTGCGTCTTGCCTTTGAGGCTGTCTCTAATCTTCGCTAGCTCCTTTTCCTCCCGCTGCATCTCGTGCTCTAGCTCCTCGATCTGGCCAGTGTTGCGAGCAATGTCATCGGTGCATTGCTTCGTACTTGTGTCCGCCTCTGCTATTGCGGACTTGCTCGACTGCAGCGACTTTTCGAGGTTCTTTTGCTTGCCGGACAGAAACTTCTTCTTCTCCTCGAACTTGACTGTCTCCTTATCCAGTTTTGCGACCTCCTTGATCACGGCCTCGGTCTGCTTCTGCAGTTGGTCGTACTCCTTCGAACCGGCCTTATAACGCTTCTCCAGCGTCTTGATCTCCTCCTCATTGCCCTGATGCTTCAGCAGCTCCTCCTCGAGCTGCCCTTGCATCTGCCCTACAGCCTCCTCCATGACCCCTATATTGTCCTCGCAGTCAACCACGAAGACCTGCCACAGTGCCGCCCGTTTGCTTGCTAGTTCGTTCTCATCCCTCACAAACTCCAGCGCCTTCTCCTTCTTGTCTTCTAGCGCGTCCCGCTCCTTCTCCACGTGAGCCACCCGCCCCTGCTTCTCCTGACAGACTTCATTCAGCGTCTCGGTCGCCGCCGCGCTCTCCTCAATCCCAGCCTTGTACCGCGACGTCCCGATAATGTCTTCTAGGTACTCGAGCAGCCCGTCGTCGTGCTCAGAGGCCGCCTTCGGCTTCATCTGCGCGATGGACTCGACCTCGCCCTGGAGGATCAAGAAGCGCTTGTGGTCGAGGTCCACGCCGCGGTCACGCAGTAGAGTCGTCACGGCTGTGAAGTTGGACTCGGAGTTGTTGATGTAGTATTTGGAGGCGTTGTTCTTGAAGGCGCGCCGCGAGATGACGAGAGTGGAGTCAAGGACCACTTCGTGCTGGCCGTTGGGCAGGTCGCGGACTTCTTGGAAGTGGACGGAGACTTCGCAGTGGTCGAGGTCGGGGTATGCGGCGCTGTTGTGGATGAGGGCGCTGATTTTGCCCTGCCTCATCTTAGACGCCCGGAAGCCGAACACGAAGAGGAGGGAGTCGATGACATTGGATTTGCCGGAACCGTTAGGCCCAACGACGGAGGAGAAGGAAGCGTGGAAGGGACCGACTTCTTGCCGGCCTGCGTAGGATTTGAAGTTAGTGAGGACGAGGTGCGTTATTACTGTTCGTGATCTAGGCGCTGTTGGTTCCTGCGAGGAAGGTGGTAGAGTAGTCGTTGCTCGGGTGCGGACGACGATGTCCATGGGCTTTTCTGGCATGGCAGGTCTTGCTTCATCTTTTCGTGGCGATGGAACTGGCGTCCGCTCGTTGACGGCCGTCTCCGTAATGTCTGCTAGGGGCGTATCATGCCTCCCCACTATGGGCTCCGGGCTCGCAGAAGGCTGGGGCGTAGGCAACGGAGGAGGTAGTTCCGGAACGTCTGTGAGATCCGGCGCAATAGACACGCTCACCCTGCTCTTCCTCTTCTGCCTTAACGTCTGCCGTTTCTTTGGTGATGGAGCCTTGATCGGTGATATGGGCTCAGGCGGCATGCTCTCTGCGGGACTAAATATCTGGCTTGGCTCGACTGACTCCCCGGTTCGTGTGCGCCGGGTACGGGTTGTTGTGCGTGGGGTTTGTGCCTCTGATGCATCTGTAGTCTTTCGCCGTGCCGTCCGCCGTGCTGTACGCTGAGGCGCTGGTGTGAACTCTTCCTCGCTGTCATCTTCAATACTCTGTTGCGGGGCGGACTGGTCCTCTTCTGCATCGGAGGAATCGATGACGCGGGCTCGGCGGGTTGCGGCGCGGCGTGAGGGACGAGCCGGCGATACTGAAGCCATTGCGACTGCGTAAATCAGGCCGTAGGATCAGTAGAGGAGTTGGCTGTGTAGATTGGCGGCTGTCTGTCATGCGAGCGGTTCTCTGTTTACAATGTCAACATCGGATACTTAGCACCGAGAACGCCGACTTTCTGCAACACGCATCCACGCGAACACGTGCCCTGCTCTCTTCTTCGCTTCGAGTCGATCATGGAGTAACTGGTAGACAACACGACATGTATTTGAACAACTCTCGCGGTAAGATCTTGGAAAAATAACAGAGATGGTGTGTTCTGGCAACATAAAATTCTTTTCGATCTCATTCTCATCCTATACGGCAGTAGACGTCTAGGAAAAAGGCATGAAGCCAATATACTTCTGCGCTCGCTCCAAATCACGACGTCTAGCTCTTCGCCAAGTCAACACTGTCTCTGTTTCCCTATGATAGTCTTGAGGTCTATGTGCATCAGGCAGTGTGAATCTAGTCAGACTCTCATCGTTCTCCATCCCTACACCTCTTCATCATAGATGGTACGGGAAGTGTCGTCGAAATGTGTGTAGAAGTGCGCTCGACGTACATCCACGGACAGTGCATGCGATCGCGCACTAACAAGATGCTCTTCCTTCCACCTAGTGCTAACAGTAGTTATTCCTTCCAATAAGTGATTTTGGGCCCAGAATTGCGCTGTCAGGATTTATGTCTTTTCCTCTCACAAATCGTTGCAGGTGCTCAACTTGCGCGCCAGACCATCATCGTGCGTGCGCTGGAGGTCGGCGGATGCTGTAATCGCCTGCAAGATGGCATAAGCTTGAAAGTTTGGTTAAGACGTTCGCAAGGCCTCTGTTCCTTCTATTTAACTACCCATCTGTTGCTGGATGGTATCGTAACCAGTCCAGTAAAACTCAAAGATCCGTTCCTTTACGAATCACTCTTCTCCTCATGCCGTACCGCATCCGAAAGGCTTCGCTGCGTGACTTTATCCGTAATCCCTCCAACGTTCGTCCACTCTTTCACGTCCTTGAAATCCATCACTTTGTATTCCCCACCGAACCGGCCCTGAGTGTCCCACCAATCTCTGTCCACCGCAATTTCAGGCCTCCATCTCAGCATCTTCTTCAGCCTAGGCTCCATACGGTCCTCTAGTGCATCAGCAACCAATAGCCCGACGGCCGGCATGTTCATGAACCCGTTGCCGGACCCGCCCACCGCGACTACCAGGCGGCGGTACCTAGGGTGCCGATCAATCAGAAAAATGCGGTCCACCGTATCCGCATCCCAACATATCCTCGCGAAGCTAAACTCCCGCTCCGGAATATCTCCACCGATCGTATCCCTCAGCAACTGATGGGCCCTCTCCGCTGCCTCGACGGGGATCTGCTGCCTCGCAAACGGCACCGATCTCATCTCTCCATTCTCCCCAATCACGAAATTGCAGTACCCAGGATGCTCATCGCAAACCTTCAACTCCCTCTTCTCAGCATCGGGCTCGATAAAGAAGCCCCTCTCAGCGTTAAACAGCACCGGCAACTCCCTACACAACCCCGCCTCCTCCTCCGTCAACGGCACATGTGAAAGCGTCCACGCCGTCGGCCGTAACTGCTTCTCAAAGTCCAGCAGAAGATCGCTGTTCGCCCCCGCAGCAAGCACCGTCCTATCCGCCAAGTGCTTAGCCCCATCCGCCGTCCGCACCCCCAGCACCTCCGCCCCCGCGCTGTCATGCACCAACCCCTCGACCCGGCCTTGCGGGTCCCCAGTTACGAACCGCACGCCCAGCCTCCTTGCCTCCTCGTACGCGGCCACCAGCGCGCCCCGCGCAAAGACCCACCCGCAGCCCTGGCGCTTCCAGAACCCGCGCCACCGGGGAAACGCGCCGTTCAGCACGCCGGACGGCATCGTGGCGCGGAAGTCCGTGGGGCTGGTGAGGGGCGTCCACGCGCCGGCCTCGCGGCGGATATCGGCAAGGACGTGCGCGTAGACGGGGTCGGTGACCGCGGAGAGAATGAGGCCGGTGGGGTGGTAGAAGGGCTTGAAGAGGGGGTCGGAGCGCCAGGCGTGGGTGGAGAGTTGGTGGATGCGGGACCAGACGTATTCTTCATCTGTGTCGTTGGGTGAGGGCTCGGCTGGGGTTAGGGGTGTTAGTATAGAGGAACAGTCTTGGGAGCTGGGGGGGAGAAGAGGGGATATAGGGCTGATGGATATACCTTCCTCCATGATTTTGTTGACGTCGTTGCCGGCTGCTATGGGAGACGGTATAGGATGGCCTTCCAGCACGGTGATGTTTTTGTAGCCCCGGCGCGCGAGCTCTAGTGCTGCTGAGCAGCCCCATGTTCCTCCGCCGATGATGAGGATGGATGAGTCGTGTGTTAGCTCCTTCATTGTGCCGCAGTGAGTGAGGCGCGATAAGCCAGTCTCCGCAAAGACAGAGTCCTAGGCGGTAAAACGATAAACCTGATGTCTGATATTTATGAAACCTTATTGCGACAATACTCTCTCCACAAACATAAAATCGCCACACGTTCAATTATTGCATCGATGCACCTGAACTATTGTCGTGGGACACGGGACTGGATTACTTCGAGTTAGGGAAGGGTTATTGTGACAAGAGTGGATGGGTTCAGACCGTGTACCGTAATACTTATGGCATGAGTAGAGCCAGGTGTTGCTCGTTCGGTTTGACGACGTTACCCGCTGCGGAAACTTGCAACAAAGGAGTACAAGACTACCAGCATTTGATAGACCCCATGGCATCGGCTTTACAGGTCAATTGCGGGTTGGCGGTCTACTCTCACAAGCCTTTGACATGAATACACTTATGTGTTTCTTAATAGTGCATCCGACATCTCATCACGTGACACCAATGATGAGCTCTCTCTGGAAAAAGTGCATTTGGTGTCTACACCCGAACAAGTATATACAATTCCATCTCCTACACCAGCAAAGGAAGCAAAACCTACTGGTCATCAATAACATGCAAATACTTCTTCTCCTCCCTCTTCTCCCTCTCCGTCTGAGGCGGCAAATCATAAAACGCCGCACTCCTATATCCCTGGAGATAATCAAACGTCAAATCCTTGAGCTGCGAAGGCTCGATATTTAGATCCTTGAACGTCTTCGCCTTGGGATCGACCTTCTGGTCAATGAACTCCCGCTCGATCATGTCGGCGGACGTCTTGCTCCACCAAATCGCCCGGTTGTACAGCTGCGCCAGCGGCTGCATGATCCGCTTCGGCACGTTGATGTGGCGCCGCGTCTTGATGATCTCCTTGTCCACGAGCTCGGCTAGCTCGGCCATGGTGTACTCCTGCGGGCCGTATAGCTCGTACGTCTCGGAGGCGGTGGTGTCGTCCGTCATCATCATCTCGAGTCCCATGGCTACGTCGATGACGTGCACAGGCCGGAGGCGCTCTTGCATGTGATTGGAGGTGAACGTGTTAGTTATGCCGGCCAGCTTGTTGAGGAGTCGGTCCTCGAAGCCGTACATGGGGGCCGGGCGGACAATGGTCGTTTCGGGGAAGATGTCGCGGACGACGGCTTCACCGCGGCCCTTTGCGAACGTTTAGCATATTTACAGAAACTGGTTGTCTTGTATTGGTTTACCTTCGTCCGGAAAAATTCGGAGGATGAGTTCGGATCTGCGTTGTATGATGATACATGCACGAATCTATCGACGTCATACTTCGCTACAGCGTCCGCGATCCGCTGCGCTCCCGTGACATGGACGTCCTCGAAATCGAAGTTCCTAGAGAGGACTCATCAGCAGACTCGCTCCAGCTCGCGTCGTGAGTGGTAGCGTACTTAGTAGGGTAGTCGCGGCCTATGAGGTTGTAGACGATGTCGGAATGTCGCACGCTCTCCTCGATGGAGTTTATATTTCTTAGGTCCATTTCCTGCACTATTTAGCATTGTTCCGCTGCGGAAAGCATGACAGCGCGGGTCGTACAAGGAAGACGACTCTGCCCAAATCTCCTGCGACCTTCAGGTGTCGTTTCGCCATCTCCTCCCGGAAGGGCACCACGACTGTGCATCCCTGCCGCGCTGTTGACCGTCCGAATCAGACGATGTCCGCACCTGTTTGGGGCAAAAAAGCTCGTACCAAGTCGATTGACGACGTAGCGACCCAGGAAGCCTGTAGCTCCGAAGACAGTCGCGGTGTGTCCTGGTGGGTGTGTTAACGTGGGCCGGCCCCGAGGAACGGCGCAGTCGATTTACCTCCAAGCGATGAGCTGAGGCACTGAATTAGCCCGTGCGATTTCCATGTTATGGTCTGTGACCTACCGGCCGCCTGCTATGCGAATAATCGGCTTCCCCGTCCTGGTGATGGCTACATCTTGGACGCCCCGCCGGTGGACTGTCGAGGCGCTCGAGGTGCGCTGGACGGCTGACAATGCCTTCACAAGGCCGGCGCCTGAGCGTATGGACACAGGCGAAGCCATTGTCGAGCTTTAAAGCTGTCGGCGAGTGGAGGGTGTGAGCTGCAGGCGGGAGGTGTAGCTGTGTCGTCGTTCTTGGTGTTGCGGCTTGTCGGCGTTCTCGCGCGATTTGCCCGACGGCCATCTGAAGCTCTCGCGCTGTGAGATGGAAGGCGAGCTTCGGCACCAAAAGTCGACAACACTGCCACAGCTATCTGCCTTCTTCGCCCAACAAACAACCACTACACTCTCAAAACACCCCGAATATAGACTGCACCTTCTCCAAAAACATCACCCAGCATGGCGATGGATCTCGACACCATCCCGGACCTCCTCTCCGAACAACGAGACGCGGCGCCAGAGGATGTGCAGCACTACTATCTGCAGTTCGAGGACTTCTGGGAAAGAAAGCTCTGGCACGAGCTGACGGACATACTGGTCGAATACTTTGAGCGGCCGGAGAGCGCCTCGCAGCGGATACCGCTGTACACCGGCTTCATCAGCACCTTTGACCAGAAGATCAACCAGCTTAAGCTTGTCACACTGGGCTTGAGTGCATCAACACAGTGCAAAGGTGGGCCTTCTGCGGGCCCCGATGTCAAGGAGCCAGAGCGCTGACCCGCCCGCCGTAGATGACCAAGAACGCCTCACCTTCCTCCAAACGCTGGCCGACAAGGTGAACAAGCCCGCCTCACAAGACGCATACGTCTATGCCACCGTCGCCGTCGCCGAAATCCAGTTACACCTTCAGGACTACGAGGGCGCGCGGAAGAAGCTCGATGAGTGCGAGGGGATACTCGACACCTTCGACTCCGTCGAGACTGTCGTGCACGCCTCCTTCTACCGCGTAAACGCCGAATACTATAAGGTACGCTCCCAGTCCTCGCACTCCCCCCCCCTCGGCCACCAAGCAGCCCAACTGACTCGCCCCAGGCCAAACACGAATTCGCCTCCTACTACAAATCCGCCCTCCTCTACCTCGCCTGCATCGACCTCTCCACCCTCTCCCCCACGGACCGCCAAGCACGCGCCTACGACCTCAGCGTCGCAGCCCTCGTCTCCGACTCGATCTACAACTTCGGCGAGCTGCTGCTGCACCCGATCCTCGACTCCCTCACCAACAGCCCCCACTCCTGGCTGCGGGACCTCCTCTTCGCCTTCAACCGGGGCGACCTGCGCGCCTACGACGTGCTGACCGGCAACATCAGCAAGAACGACCTGCTCTCCGCACACGAGATGTTCCTGTACCAGAAGATCTCGCTCTCCGCGCTCACCGAAACAGTCTTCAAGCGCCCGCCCCATGACCGCGCCATGACCTTCGGCGCCATCAGCGAGGAGACCAAGGTCCGCCACGACGAGATCGAGCACCTTATCATGAAGGCGCTGAGTCTGGGACTGTTGAGGGGCACGATTGATCAGGTAGCTGAGGTCGCGAGGATTAACTGGGTCCAGCCGAAGGTGCTGGATCATAAGCAGATTGAGAGTATGAGGGGGAGGCTGAGGGAGTGGGATGGGAGTGTTAATCAGCTGGGAAATTGGATCGAGGGGGTGGGGAAGGACGTGTGGGCGGCGTAGGGATGAGGTATTGCGCGCGGTGAAGGGGCTGGATGAGAGGCTGTTCTTGATTCCCAGCCTAGCAATTGCTTGCGTGGCGAGCAAGAAGGCAGCGACCGAAACCAAGGCCAAAATGGGCTGGGCAACGGGAAACGGCGCGGTATCGGCGCCATCTTTTATCTATAGATAGCAGCAAAGCCTAGAGGCCGGCATAGAGGGGTCGAAGGACCCATCTCACAACAATCAAACAGAATCTATTCTATTCAGACCCGACCTAGAGACCTCAAACTGCGACACTCCATCATGCCGGGCCATCCGCTATGTTCCATATCAATCCGCCTCCACAAACCCCGAAACAGCCAGCACAGCCGCCCCCTCAACCCACGCCGGCCACCACACCAGCCAAACGACAACCTGCAGCGTCCACGCATGATTCACCGCCCACGCCTCCACCGCCCCCTTCAACAGACCTCCCAAAGCCTCACTCGGCAACCACGGCCGCCCCACCACGCACAGCAGCAGCCCCGGGCCGACCAAGCTTAAGACGAGGGCAGCCGCGAGCGCTATCCGCGGCTTTCCGGGCACCGGACGCACAAAGGAGAGGGGCGCGGCGGCGAGCCCGACCAGGAACGCAAGGCTAAAGTTGAGCGTTGCGAGGGCGGAGAGGAAGAGGCCGAGGAGGAGGAGGGAGAAGCACTGGATTAGGTGCAGGTGCTGGAGTGTGGGACGGAGGGAGGTCACGAAGGGGTAGGCGCCGAGGAGGGGGAGGGCGGGGGTGAGGAGTGCTGTCAGGAAGAAGGTTGGGTAGAGTGCCTAGAAGATGGGGTGTGTTAGTATGGGAGGCTGGTGAGGGGGGAGATGTTGGGGACGGGGGGTCATTACGCTTTCGGAGACGCGGTTGAACAGGTAAAGCGGGATGAGGCCAAGGAAGTGGGTCGCGCAGACAAAGGCTACAGGGAGGAAGAGTTTGCGCTCCACAATCTCGAAGGCGGAGGCGGGGACGAGGGCGGTCATGTCGCCTTCTTTGACGAGCGTCATCTCGGGCTCTACGCCCTCGTCTTTCGAGTCCGTGGAGAAGGGCTTGGCGGCAGGCTTCGGCGGCCGCCCGCTCTGCACCCACAGCGCAATGGCCGTGATGCTGAAGTTGGCGGCGACCAGCATGGCGCTGGGGAGGTAGGTGCCGATGCTCACGAAGCGGTTCGCCTGCATCAACAGGTAGAAGAAGAAGCTCTGGTGCAGGTGCTCGAGGAGATTGTTGAGGCTGCGAGTCAGGCTTTCGACGGTCTTGCCCAGCGTCATCTCGTCGTGCCAACCACTCCCTACTGTTTGCAGCGTGATGGCATCGATGTGGTACGGGATGAAGCTGCTGTGCGGACCGGTGGCGTGGCCCAGGCCCTGGTTTACCATGCCGCGGAGCATGGTTTGCAGCCGGTCTTTGTAGCTGTCGTCGTGTTTGTACATGCGCTGGATTGTGCAGCCGATGCCCGTCTGGCCGCTGGCGATGGAGACGGCGGTGTTGAAGAGGTCGAGATTCGGTAGCTGGCCGTCAATGCCGTCGTAGTGTATATGGAGCTTCTCAAATCGGTGACCCCACGGTCCAGCGGGATAGTCGACGGCGATCGCCCCTTGGAGGGCGCCGCTCTTGAGCGAGAGAGGTTCTACGGCTGGCCCTGCCTGTGCGTCGTGGTAGGCGTCGACCCACGCTTGCGGACCAGCTGTGCTGTCCTGAGGTATTAGGAATATGATGTCTTTAGACCAGAGCGACCACCCTATATCGTGTCAGTAGGTTTCCCAAAGAGAGAATCCTGTAGACCCTGACGTACTCTTGAAATACCGAGCGAGTGTGAGCATAAGCGCGACTCCGCTGTGGTTGATCTCTCCATTCATGTTCCTCCATGCTGCTACCAGGACAATCGCTTCCGTGGCATCTGCTCTGGGGCCTTGCAGCACAGCGTACACATTCTCGCCCTTGATTGATCTTCCCCCGATTTCGTATCCGTATTTCTGCGTTGCGACCTTGAGACCAGCGGACCGGAATATCTCTTGCAACTTTGTTACCCGCCTAACAGTCTGTGAGCCACGGTCTAGCTCAGTAATAGTTGCGGAAATAGTACTCTTCGTTTGGCTTATCCACTAAGCTGTGAACCTCATGCCTATACGCCCGGAAGACATTGTGCTCACTGCCCCCAAAGTACGTGTGAACCTGGCCGGGCAGGAGGGCGTTCTCGGAGACATACGTCTGCCTTGAGTAGTCGTTCAGTGGCAGCAGCAGTAGCCATACAACGCCGACGAGGATGCAGAGAGCGGACAGGTAGGGGGGTAGCTTCAAGATGCGGGCGTCTCGTCTGAGGCCAAGCACGGCCGGACCTTCGAGTTATGTTAGTATATGTTGCATTGGAGGCTTCTAGCAATATACCAAGAGAAACCATGCTACAATCTCCTTTCCATGGCCGTCCCGAATTCTGTGAGCGACGCCAGACCCCCGATGTTGTGCCCGCGACAGAAGTCCGCAAAACCTCCGGCGACTGAAGCTCTGCAACGTCGATTGCGCACGATCACCAAGCAACACCACCTCATGGCCTTGTCATTCCTTCAGTTCAACCCGGCGCGGATACGCTCGTACATCTTTCGGTTACCTCTCTGCACGCGTCTTCTAACAACTATAATCATCGCTTTCTACATTGCCTCTGTAGCCTTACCATGGCTGCCTCAGTGGGCCGCTCTCATACCCAGCCAGGTTGGCCTGAAGTCCAGTAAGTGCATACCGGGCGTATAGGGAGTGCTTTTTTTTGTTGGCGCTGAGAGCTTGTGTCATGAACAGGCTAACCACAGCCCCAGTGTACCGCTTTAACACATACCCCTTCCTCCACGCCAACTTCTTTCATGCCTTCTTCAACATCCTCGCTTTCGTACCGCTCATGGAGCGCTTCGAGTCCGAATTCGGGACCCTCATATCACTGGCCTTGTTCACCGGACGTAAGACATACGCAAACACCTGAGCGCGAAGAGCCGGGGCTGACAAGCTCAGCATTCGGTTTACTACCAGGGGCGCTGTACATCTTGACCGAGCGTGTGATACTGCGGGGCGACACGGCCGTTCAAGGCGCGAGTGTCTGGGTCTTCCTGCTCCTAGCCAACGAAGCCATGAAGACCTATAGAACAAACCCACACTTCATGTCCGTTTCTGCGGTCTGCAAACTGCTCCCACCACTGACAGTGTCACAGCATTGGGGACGTCAAAATTCCGACCTGGACGACACCCCTCTTCATCATTCTGGTCGTCAGCTTCCTGGTTCCCAACACCAGCTTGGTAGGGCATCTGTGCGGTGCTGCTGTAGGCTATCTATGTACGTCCTCGGCTCGCCCTTATTTCCTCCCATGATCATCAGGCTTATTCGGACGAACCAGGGGGCCTCAGCTGGATCAGATTCCTCAGCCCACCGGAGAAGATACTGCGCTGGGTTGAAAGCAAACTAAACCTGCTCGGCCGTCTACCGCACTACGTTTCGGTAGATCAGAAGACGTATGGTAGGTATGGGGTGTTGCCGTCGAATGCCCCTGCCCTGAGCGGCCAGGATGGTGGACCCGTAGCATATACCGGCTCGACCCAGCGATTAGGTCCATGATGATTCGGAGCGCTGTATGATAGATAAATACAATCCTAATGCCTAATGAAAGAGCTTCTAGACCATAAGTGAGGCGTCCATGCGATTACAGCTAGTGCTGAAGAGGACATTGCAAAGTTCTATGGAGGATTGCTATACCTCAGCCAAGCTAGGTTTGTTTGAATCCGTTTTCAACAAGTCTCACTACGTTCCGCATTATCTAGGTCTGTCTGTTCATGCTCATACCGGGCCATGCTGCTCCACTAAACCGCTCGCTGAGAACTTCTGAGATTTAATCCACATCCATCTTCTGCTCTGTCTAGATTTACTCCCCTTTTCCCAGTCTGAGCCAACTGCCTAACACTTCTCTCACATTAGCGTGCCATCACCGAGAATAACGGGGTAAACCCTTACACTCCCGGTAATTCCGCCGCGGCCCGTTCGCCTCTTCCGCCATCTCCTCAGGACTCTCCGGCACCACCACTTGCCGCGCCTCCGCCGACGATATCTCGTGCACCTTGTCCTTTGTCATATCCTCATCCTCATCCTCATCCTCCTATTCAAGCACCAACGCCCTCGTCTCATCAACATCCCTCAACTTCGGACTCCAAGCGCTCTTCCCGGGACTCCTCGGCTCCAAAAACCTAACATAGTTCCCCATAGGACTAAACCCCGTCCTCCGTCCCCCCTTCCATCCCACGACCTCAGTCGGACTGATACCAGAGCCGTACGGCGACTCAAGCGAACCTAGCACTTCCTCCCCCTCCGGCCCCCCCGCCGTGCATCCAGGCGACTTAGATGGCAAACCCTCCAACCTTCCCACCCCATTCTCAGGTTCGTCCGCCGTCGATGTCCTGAGCCCTAACGGCCTCCTCCCCACCGGCGTTGTCCGCAATACCTGGGCCCTCAGCGCCGGCCCCGCCGTATACGGCCGCTCCTGCCCGGCCCTGGGCACCCAGACGCACGGCGCGACGCGTGGTGTGGGGGCCGTAGCGGGCCAGAGCGGGCTGAACGGGCCGCGGCCACATCGGGTTGGGGGGAGGCGGTTCAGTTTTGCGGAGAGGGGCGTTTTTGCGCGGCAGAAGTGTCGGAGGTGAGGAGGGAGGGGGTTAAGGTGGTGGAAGGAGGCAGGAGGAAATGGCGAAAGGGGGAAGGTTGCTGTGTAGGGGGTTGGTGGAGAGTCGGGGTGGCGGGTAAAGGGAGAATGAGTGGTGATGCGGGAGAGGGGCGCGCTTCTGCTCCGGATGGGGCGCTTCGCAATGGGGGAGCGGCTGAGGGAGAGGACCTTGGCCGTTCTGCGGGGGCTGGTCGCGCTGGTGGGGGGTTTGCGGGAGGGGAGACCGAGCCTGACTCGAGGTTTTGGCGGTGGGGTCTGAGGTGATGGGAATCTCAGCGCTGGAGACTTGGGCTCTGGTGTTGTGAGCCTTGAGGACTTCGCGACTGGTTTCTCTGAGTCCGATACTTTGATCGTTGGCTTTCGCAACCTGGACGATCTTCGCAAGCCATTTATACTCTCAGTCACCTTCGTGACTGGCTTCATCACCTTCGCTGTCCTCGCTGCTTTCGTCGCTACTGTCTGTTTCAGTGCTCTTGTCGTCGTCGTCGCTTTGGTCACTTTCCTCCCTATCGTCTTCTTCGGCTTCAGAATCAGTGGGGTACCTGAGGACTTCTTCTGTTCCGACGTCTTCGTCGCCAGAGCTGTGGTCTTTCTCGTGGTTGCTTTCGCTATCGGAGCCGTTGCTCTTTGGGACGTCTCCTCCGGGGCCGGAGCCTTCACAGTCTCCGACGTTGACGTCCGGGATATCTTTCTGGGATTCTCCTCGGACGTGTCCTTTCTCTTCTTTACCATCTGCGACCTTTTGCCGCTTCGTTTGACGACCTTCTCCGCTTTCGGCGCGAGCGGCCTTGAGGTCGCCCCAAGCTTCTTCTTCACCGTCGCCTTGCTCGCCGTTGAGCCGGCTGGCGATCTGCGCAGCACTCTCTCTTCCGTTGATGCTGTAGATGCTGCTCTGGATGTCGCGCTGGCTGCTGCCGCCTTGGCTTGGTTCTCCGCACTCGAGGTTTTGCTTCCTCTTGCTTGCGCGGTTGTGATCGACGAGGACTCCTTTTTGTTCGACTTGTCCGGCTCCTCGCTGGCGAGATTGCTTCGCTCTAACGAGCTCTCCAAGGGCTTCTTTGATGAGGCGCCTGTCCTCGCGGCTGCCGCGCTGGCGGACCGCGTAATCGCCATCCTTGTCGTATGGGGCTGGTATCACTACCCAATTGACGTCCGATTCCTGGTTCCTCTTTCCCTCCCGCGCTGCAGACCTGCCGTGCGTTGGATATATCAGCTCTGGAAGTAGCTCCTGGTAGTCTCTACAGCGGTATATGTTTCTGTGGTAGTAGCAACAATCTACAAGTCCCCTTAGGCGCTTGCGGCAGAGCGCGGTGTACATTATACTGTTGCGATGCTTGTACTTTTGCAATGCCGACCGAAAACGGTGTACAGCGAGCATGTGGAATGTTGAGGCCGGATGGGAGACATGGTTGGTGATGCTTTGTTTCTGTCTGGTTGCGGCGAGAGTTTAGACCGGACAAAGGAAAATGGTGAACACTTGAACATACGCTGATACAGAAGGGACGTTGCGGATGGAGATAAAGAAGATTAGGTCCAATACAGAGATATTTCGATCTGGAGTTATATCGTGTTCGAGTAGACACTGAGGGCATTGCGGCTTGTTGGTTTCCTTTGTCCAATTTCAAGCACAATTTAATGCACCACCATAATTCGACATGTTCTCGTAAGCTGGCACTCGAGGCGGTATAGTTAACTACGGAGATGTTCGAATTGATAAGCTCTTAGAAGTGGAGTAAAACAAGACGCATATCTGGATACCGTAGAACTCGTCGTCCAATAGAGGATATCCTCCGAATACGAGTAATCACTAAGCAACGGGGCCATGCTTGCGTAAAATGCTCAGCTGCACGATGTCTTCGCTCCTTGCAATGTCTCTAGAAAAAAGGTTGCTAAGTATGCTTCTACGAAGGACGGGGTATTTATCGAGGAAGCGGTTGCCGCTTCCTCAGTAAATACCCCGTCCTTCGTAGAAGCATTAATATAAATAATAGGCGAAACATCGGGTATAGAATATTATAGTTACCCCTTTCGGCTAGGTGGCTCGTGCACTTGCTCTAAAATCCAGTAGGATAGTAGACTATAACTCTATATTAGAGCAGTATCCGAAATCTGTATTTCAAGAAAATCTAGTGAAGCCGTAGTGTTTTCAAGTGATTACAACTCTCCACGTGATTGCGGCCCGGTGTTATTGGCAACCCCCGGTTTGGGCAGGGATTTATCGATGGAGTATTCATATGTTCACCTTTGCAAGGAATCCTTCGCTATACGGGTGGGCAACCGTCGCCGCAATGAGCTTGCGCAAGCCGAGATTATTTTCGAGTGGCCAAGGGACTCTGGGCGAGTTTGCGTAAGGCTGGACAAGCTGCCCAGGTAGTGAGACCAGTGAACTGGCACAGCCGCTGACGTGGCGTGCGATGGGCTGGGGCTGTACACCACAGTCCGCAGCCGGCCTGCGGTCTCACTTGGGGTTGTAAGTAACTCTATAACTAGCCACGAATCCACCTTGTAAGGATTGGGACTTCGATCCTACTGCTTCTACTCTTCGAAATGGCCGGCGAGTTCCTGCCGGAAGACTTGCAATCAGAGGGTTCGGCGGCTCTACCGGAGTCATCTGATCCTTCCATCACTTCTGCGAGTGCAAGTCATACTCCATCTCTGCCATCCAGGAAACGTGCAGGAGGCGAACTCTCCGATGGCCCCGTTAAGCGCAGCCGACCAGGCCCAGCTAAAAGCTCAACTTCAACAGGGCAACCGCGACATGTCGTAGTTCATCACGTACAATGTCTACGCTATGGGAGCCATGGGCGGCACATGGAGTCATCCTACTTCCTGGATATCCTCCGCCTGTTCGCTAGCGATAGCAAAGCCAGCGCTCTTCGAGGCGAGCAGCCGCTTTTAAGTGTTGAAGAGTATCTTGAAGACTATTCGGATATCACTTTCGTGGTCTATAAGTCCTATAGCTGCAACGAATATCACGAGACGGTCAAAGATTAGTTCGAGCGGCTGCGAATTCCCAAGGTTGATCTCGAGGTTATCGCGTCTCTCAGATCGTATTTTTACGCACTTAAGTAGATGGAGAACCGGCATCGCTAAGCTCTAAGCGAATGAGGATCGTTTCGGATGAGCTTCTTGAGGCTATGGATGCTATACAGGCGGAAAACCCGGATGCCCTTGACAACTGGGGTGAGCCGCGTAGTATGCGCGCTCCGTATCTTCATTTCTATCATTGTCGGCGTCTGATAGCGCGCTACGCATCCGAAAACCCGAACCCAATACACCTAGAGCACATCAAGGCCCTACTTAACTACCTGAATTGGTCATATGGATCCGAGTACGATGAAGCCGATACACTATTCGAATCTAGAATAGTTTCTAGGCTCCACTTTCCCAAATTGTTTGGTCCCAACGAAGTCATAGTAACGAGTAGAAACGATCAGCCTCTGGCAGTCGTTTCACTAGGATGCCCCGCCGCGCAGAATGATCCACTCGAGCTGGACTGCTAGTCGTGGCATTTCGATGGATTATTCCGTCAAGAGACAAGTTTGATGAAGGTGGACTGGCCTGCTCCCCGTTCTGCTATCATACCAATCTCCAATTTAGAGACTTATCCTCTGAGGTTCGACACGTCCGGCTTGGAACAGAAATTGCGGAAACGAGGTCATACATTCTGGGAGTGTCGGAGAGGAAAGTTTGTTAGTTACGAATCACCGAAACCCAGTCTTGAGATGCAAACTATAATGTTCTCCAAGTTGCCGGGGTTTGGCCTGCGTCAAAGCTGACAGCTTCTAGGTGAATCCTAGATATATAATCGATCTTGCGACATACAGACAGATGCATTCGGATAAGTCTCAGCTGACCCCGTAGCGAGATAATCTCGGACAGGTAGCGATGGATCTCGACGAGCCGCAAGATGGTCCCTTCACCGTGCTACTTCCAGCAACCATCCTTGGATTCGGCTTTCATGACAAGAAATAGAGTAAGACACCAATAAAGGCCTTAAACCTTATGCCATATTACTGATAAGTCTTTAAGAAGCTTGTCGGTTGAGCACACTGCGCCTTTGAAAGGCTGACCGAGCGCCATCTGGCCTTGTCCCTGCATCGGGCTTTGCTCCTGCATCTGACGTTGGAGCTGCCTCTGCATCTCCCTCTCCCTCTGGAGAGCCATCACTGCTGGGCGTCTAAAGTAAAGTTTAACAAGATCCTGGCCCTGCCGTTCCATCTTCTGTCGTTGCGCGGGTTCTATAAGCTGGAAACCCGCCCTAATCTTGTCCATCGTCTCTTTCGAGGCCTCTTGGGCTAGACTTTGGGCGATTTGATTGATGCGTGCCATATCGTACGGAGTGAAGGTTGGTCCTCCGACCTGTCGCGGTTTACTGGAAGCATCTGTCCTAGTATTCGCATTGGACGCAGCTTCCGAAGGTTCTGCAAGGTCCATGAGATGCACCTCTTTGACGCTCGTGTTCGGGTGATCCTCTTGATCTAGAGGGCCTCCGAGGGCTTCGAGCCCTGAAATAATCGTCTCCCAGGGGTCTTGTGGCAGCTCTTCAGTGAACCGATGAAGTTGGGAATGAGGGATGTTGGCTTCCACGGGATATGACCCGTTTCGAAACGCGTGATACTTCTGAATTGCGAAGCTGCGGCAGCGCAGGTCCATATACACCATGCGATCTTTTGAGCTCCTTCAGATCAGGTCCTTGTAATGTAAGAGGCGTCATCAGTGTAGTGGGTGTGGGCGTCGTAGGCTCCGCTTTGGGTATATGAGCAGTTGTACCAGACACTGTGGGCGTGAGGATGCGCTCGATCGGATCCAAAGATACAGCGGCGTGAGAATCGTGTGGTTCAGATAGTCGGGCGTTAAGGTCGTCTAGGTATATGCCATGTCTGGTCTTCAGCTCGTCTGGAATATTGCTAGAGTTGCTATTAGAATCGAGCCCTTCGTGGACAGAGTCAAGTATGCGCCAGGTATGTACATACTCGTACGCGAGCGGGGCACCGTTGGCCGTCGTCCCCACCAGAAGGCGGTTGCATTGCTCAGCCTCATGCCCCTCTGACCTTAGGAAACCGCGCCATTTCCATAGCCCCAAGGTCAGTCTCTTCGCAAAAGATTGGTGAACTTCAATTAATCTATACAGGAATTCAACGTTCATCTCGGCTCAGGTGTCTCTCTTCAATATTCCACTCGCGACCACAAGCTCTGTAAGTTGCTTATGAATACTGTGCGATATGCAAGCGGCCAGGCCAGGTGCTAGTCCAGTCCTTGTTCAAAGAGACAGCGTTACCGCGTGGTATAGGCCACCTTCCGGCTCCAAGTAAGTTCTTGCCGGTATATCAGTATTGCGATCGGTTGTTAGCCTATTTCAGGTCGAGAGATATAGCTAAGGAGGCTTACTTCAAGGCCATCGAATATCTAAAGCGCGAGCTCAGAGACGACGACAAAGCGCGAGAATGGCTTGACGCGCATACCTCTATTTAGGACATTCGCACCGTAGTTAAGAAAGCACAGAAAGACTATGCCACGTCATCGTTAAAGAGAAAAGATGTCTATAAATGGTTAGACAGATTCTCTTCGCGGATCATATACTATAGGAAAGTTTTTGATGTACTCGCCTAGTATCACCCGGAATATGTTTCTCTAGCTTAGGGAGCAATTAAGTTCGTCCTTATGGTATGAATCCCTTATTATTCCAGTCCTGTGAGAGCCGTATGATTGAGCCTAAGCACTTCTATAGGGCATTCTTAACCACGCCAGCCTCGTTGTCCAGCTCACTCAAGCTCTCGCCAAGATTAGCGATGTTTTGGCTCTAGCAAAACTGAATGCCGAGCTTTACAAGACAGACCAAATGAAAGATGCAATCTCCTCACTATACGCGCATATCATCTTGTTCTTCCAGCAAGCTGTGAAATGGTACAACATGGGTCCAGCGGGACGGGCTATCTCTGCAATATTCAAGCCATACGAACTAGGATATAAAGACACCGTTGAATATATCAAAATCTGCTTGGAGACGGTCAATAACATTGTAGATGCGGCCGCTGGAGCAGAAATAAGGGACATCAATATCATAATTCAGCTTCAAAGCCAAAAAGTGCACGAGATGCAGGTGCAGCTGAAAGAAATGCAGATGAAGATAGACGGCCGGATTAACGAAGTCTTACAAGTTGTAACAAGTAAGTAATCTTCATAACCACTATCGTGCAGCTCGGTCAGGCCGACTTACAGTACTAGGTCATAAAACTCTTACCGAAAACGTCCAGCTCGACGTACGGGACATGAAACCCCGGATCTGTGATATTCAATTTTCCCACATCATGGACATTCTAACACCGAAGTCAAGCCCAGAAGACCTGCTGCGGAAGTCTTAATCACTAGCAAAACGCGGTAGCATGTAGAGCAGCTCACCTCGGGACTCGACCGATCTGTTACGAAGCTTGAGTCACTGGTTGGCAAAGCCCAGCTCTTCGCTTCTCATTATCCGGGCTAGTCCCCGTGCCGAGGCCAAAGCAAAAGGATTCGCACTTGATGTCATTACTCTCCTCGAGCCAACACCTTACCACGTTATCTGGAGTCTCTCGCACCTCGACCCGCAAGGTTTCACAGTATCGACGACAGATATCCTCAAAAGCATAGTCTTCCAAGCGCTACGACATGAGCCAGGCTTGCTCCTCCACAACCCGGATCAATTGGATGTCAGCAGATTCCGGACTAAGCACACGGAGGCGGAATGGCTTGATCTGCTCTGCCTAATTTTCTCCCGGCTTCCTGAATGCTTCCTGATCATCGAAGCAGAAGTCATCTTCCGAGCCTACAAGCACGATGCAGAACGCGCCAGGGGGTTTCTTGAACTCTTTCAGAATCTCGTTGACCGCACTGCCAGTTCGGGAAGCCTGGTAAAGATACTCGTCGTGGCTTACAGTACGGCTTTGTCCACAGTCACGCAATTACCGGGAAAGGACAACCGAATTGTTACTTCGATCCAGCCAACAATTCCTGTTCCGCCACGCCTTAGACGTCCCTACGCCCGAAGCAGAGGGAGGCACGCTGCGTGGCAGCACATGCAGCCCAAGTTTTGGGATTGTTAGCTTGGACGCCTTCTTGGGGGAGGATGCAAGGGGTTGATGCGGTTGATTTCGATGGAGATCGGTAAACGGAATTAAGGCGAAGCTACGGTTGATGTCTCTTGTTACGAATGGAACATACCCGGAAATAAAAGCTTGGCATTGACCCGTAGTATGACTAGAAGTACATCTGTAAATGCGTGCCCCTACGCAGCTAGGCTTCACCAAGGCCAGACGGATCAGTATTACGTATTACAGACAAGCCTCGATGTGTGCAGTGCAGGCCAGAGGCTTACTACCGTGAGAAAACGAGAGGAGTTGCAGAGATAGATTATCCTGCTCTTTCTCCCCAAGTACCTTTCAACTGTTTTGCGACACACTTCTCTCAGTAGCTGAGAAGCCTCTGTATGGATTCAACCAGGAGCCTCCGCTGGGCATCGAGAGTGGTCTTGTCCTGGGACCTTGAGCGCCTGGCCGGTTATCTCACCCCTAGTTGGCAGGAAAGGCACTCTAAGCGTTAAGCTTTCGAGATATGGCAGTTTTGAGCAAAACAGAGAAAGACATCATGACGGCTGAAGTTGAGGGTCGTATGTGGTTGTTTGGCAAAATTTGATGTAGTAAGAATGGCTCATGTGTGGCTCGCGCACGTGACGAGGCCCCCGGATACCCGGTACGGTGGACTACAACTCCTCATCAGGGCGGTATCCCACAGAGACAACGTCTGAAGATGCACCGCAAAATCCACTTGCATCAGCACTGGTACCGGCGTAACATACCCCGCACTACCAGTCCGAAATGCGCAACTCTCTCCGAACTTCCTGAACCGTAAGAATTCCTGTTTTGGAGGAAACCTTCGTCCAAGGCATCTGAAGTATGATAACCTTTCGGAAAAGTGCAACTTGCATGCAGGATTGAGTGGAACCAGTTCTGTCGGTCCTGAGGGTACAAGTAGTATAAAGGCATGCCTCATGCCCGCTGTTCTTCGTCTCTCTCTCATTATCAAGTCTTGTAAACAATTTACACCACATCAATCTCCTCAACTCCGAGCACCATGGACTCCCTCCACAACATGCCCCCCAAAGCGCCGTACGGCAAGCTCAACATCGCCGTCGCCGGCCTCGGCCGCATGGGCAAGCGGCACGCAAAGACGCTGATGTACCGCGTCCCACAAGCCAACCTCGCCGCCGTCTGCAGCAAAGACGAGAAGGAGCTCGAATGGGCGCGTCAATTCTTCGGTGCAGACGGTGCCGTCAAAGTATTCGACGACTACGACACCATGATCCAGCTACCCGGTTTGCAAGCCGTCTGGGTCTCTACGAGTACGAATGTGCACGCGTTGCAGACCACCGCTGCTGTCAAGAAGGGACTTCACGTTCTGTGTGAGAAGCCACTGTCACAGAACCTCGATGAAGTACGTAGACGCTTCCTACAGCCAGATACATGGGTCGCTCACGCGTAAAGTATACATACAGGCTCGAGCGGTCGTCCAGCTCGCGAAGGACAACCCGCATCTCAAGGTTATGGCGGGCTACTCACGCCGCTTCGACGCTTCTTACCGTGACGCCAAGGCCAAGGTAGACAAGGGCACTATTGGCGATGCGTTCATTGTACGCTCGCAAACCTGTGATCTCCTCGATAACACTGGGTTTTTTGTCCGGTACGCTGCGAAGAACGGTGGTGTGTTCGTGGATTGTAAGTGCTGCTACCCTTCTCAGTAGGCTCACGTAACTAATCTCAATCAGGCTGTATCCACGACATCGACCTTACCCTCTTCTTCCTCGGCGATATTAAGCCGAAGGCCTGCTGGGCGATGGGCACGATTGGTTTGTCTTCTATTGACCAATCGCCAACTTCCTACTGACGCCTCTCTCAGCCCACCACCCCGAACTCGCAGCCCTCAACGACGTCGACAACGGCATCGGCATGGTCGAGTTCTGGAACGGCAAACTCGCCTACTTCTACTGCTCGCGCACCATGGCGCACGGCCACGACGTCGCGACCGAGGTCATCGGCACGCACGGCAAAGTAATGGTGAACGTACATCCGCGCTCCAACAACGTCCTAGTCGCCGGCGAGCACGGTATCAGCAACGAGGTGCAGCCCGAGTACTGGGAGCGGTTCGAGGACGCGTTCGCTACCGAGGCGATTGAGTTTTGCGAGGCGGTGTTGGAGGACAAGCCGGTGCCGTTGCCGTTGGAGTTGGGGCTTAAGAGTCTGGAGATTGGGTGGGCGCTGCAGGATGCGCTGTTGACGGGGAAGGTAGTTAGGTTCGATAGGGAGGGGAAGAGGCTGCCTGAGGGTGAGGGTGCGAAGTTGTAGATGCCGAGACTTCACTGATTCAACATACCAATTTAAAATCAACTACATTCGTAGCAGTGTCCTAATCGGAGGAACGTATTTGAAAGGACTCGAGCAGAACTTGAGCGTATATGACTCCCAATGAGATCTAGGACGGCCAGAGCGGCTCCACTCTAAAACAGGACAAACCTGCGCCTCGAACAAGCGGCACTGCAACGTGTGCGCCGCACGTTGTGCTGGGACAGCAATAGTGTCTTACGGGACCTTGCGAAGCAGGTTTCGAAGTCCACGACGTGTGCGTCCGATCTGAGACGGCGTTCGCGGTGTCGATGCCTTTCATTCAGCCTCGACTAAGTCACTAATCGTGATTCCGCCAACAATCAAACAAGCGTGATGACGGATTCGCAGATACCATCGTACCAGGCCGCCGTAGCAGCTTCGCTCTCGAGTGTTCCAAGTCGCTGATAGACCCCGTTGACGGGGTCGCAGCACCTCAGGACGAGTGACATCACAGCTTGCTCTATGTTATGGCGATGGTGACTGAGGTAGATGCAATGGAGGATTTGCCCGGAGGGTATGTGTGAGGATCCTTCTGACAAGGTGACATCAGGGACGAAAGGGACCTCAGTATGGCCGATCTCGAGTGTGTATCTTACTGCAGCTGCACATGGACCGGCTTCCACTTCATAGCGGAGCCTTGATGGGATGAGAACGCCGGCAAGCTTGATGAACCCGTCCTTGACTGCTCCAAACGGATCAGCAAGCAGCGGAGTTGTCCCGGCATCGATGATTCGGACTTTATCTTCCGTATTGTGGGCGTCTGAAGGGAGACGTACCACGACATCCTCTACGGACGTCCATGACCAAGTAGGTGGGATGTTGGTCGCAGGCCGCCTGGTAGGGCCTCGCTCTGTATCTCCGACACGATTGTTTTCTGCATCCCACTTGTCATGGTAGAATGTCCAGAGAAGACTGTGTGGCAGTTGCTCGAGCCACAAGCCGGCCAGGTACGTTCCCATCCTAGGTTGCAGTCTTCGAGCCACGGCTGACAGGGCAGGCAACCTGTCTTTGTCAAACGTCAATGCTCGCATGGAGTATTCCCCTACAATCGAACCCCAGTCGTACTCTTCAGAGCCTTTCGAGCTCGGGTCTACGAGCTCAGCGTAGGTCTGCTTGACACTGCGTGGCGTGCTGAACGGACCATCGTACGTGGACGTTGAGCCGCATTCGCAATGCATCCCGGTTTTACATTCGAACAGGAGCTCCTGTGGTGTGCAGTGGAGGACTCGAGATGACAGAATCCGCTCTTGAAAGGCCCACGCACGATGCAAAAGTGGCATTCCAGTAAAGTTCGCGAGAAAGCGCGTATTGAAGGGATCATGTTGCGGTATTTCCCTGACATGGATCGAAGCCCCCGAACCACTGTTTTTGTGACTGTTCAAACAGTAAGAGTTCTGTCGGTGTGATAGAAAACCCTGCTGACCGCCTGCTGCTCTAGTTGCGGCAATAGTGAGGTAGGCACGTTCGTATATGTCACCCATGTTGCTGGATTCTATTTCCCAGTCCAAAGCATCGTCTTGGATGATACAGAGGGAATCGATCCATATGTATCTTATACCCAATTTCCACGTTACAATCACGGCATCCTGGAAGGTTTTTGAGAGGTCTGCCCAAGCTATGCCACGCTTTCGGTCGTCGAGCGTTGCGTTGGTAGTCGTTATCAGTTGGTGTTTGCCCCAACAGTGGCTGAGTGCAACATATTGCCTGTTTGCATCTTGGGGTTCCGTCAATGCTATTTCTGCTGCACCGATAAGCCCCACGTTGAGAACGCGCTTAGGGAGTTTGGGAGCCTGTTGTTGAGCACAGCTAGGGTGGTTATCAATGCACTCCGACAACCAGCTACCGACAAGCTTGAAAGAAGCAGCTGAGGTGGGATCTGCTGGTATGTCTGGTTTCACCGGTAGGCTGATCCAAGATGGGGAGACACCTGTTTGAGTTAGCACTGAGCCGAATGCTCACCATGCGCCCTGAGGTGGATGGCTGTGGTTTTGACGAAGTAGCACCTTGCTACATTTCGAACTAGGAGAAGCGGATGAGAGAACAACACCGCCAATCAGAACCAACGATCTCTCAACAAGTAAAAATTGTAAGATGGGATACGAGTAGCAGGATGAGTTGGCCCACCTTCCAAGCAGAAAAACTCAAGCGTCAGCACTGTCGGTACTAGATTTGAGCGTCCAAGCTCATCAGAACGCAGCCTCAGCAGAACCTGATCAGCGTACGTCCGTCTAATCTGAATCTTGACCTCTCTCCACGTATCATCACGGAAACGATCACGGAAGATCTCAGCGCCATCGCTGAAAAGGCGGCAGACTTGACAACCTTGTTCCGCGGATTGTATAAGCTGCTCAAGGCCACCAAGTATCTCGACAGGAAAGGCCAAAGATGCGCCTGGTTGCGGCTCGAAGTCGAGGCAGAAGTCGCAAAAAGGCTTCATCATCGACATTCCTCACAAATTAGAACTGGAGATCGTACAAATTTAGCGCACGAAAGGGCTTGAACGCAAGTTTCTCGCTGATGTTGCGTTCGACTAGCCCTAATACAAAGGCAGGTTTTGGATTTACTCAATCACTGTAAGGTTGAAGATAGCCAAGTCTTCAATCACGTGACGCTTACTTCAAGGTGAGGCTGAGATATGCGGGGACGAATGAGACTGCGACATCCACGCACTCGACAACAAACCCCAAGCACAGCCTCACAGCTCGTTCTGTGCTTTGCACCAATCTTTCGAGCCGCAGAGGCCTCCTCGAAGTTGCCTGGCATCGCCCAACGGAGCGAGCGATCTCCACCATGCCATGTATCGCAAGCATAGACAGCCATCACGCGCTGCATCCTCGTGCGCTGAGTCAGATAAAGAAACAACAACGGCCATAGGCCGAACCGTTACCAGCTCCTAGACCCTACAACGACCTCTCCTCTCATTTTTAGCCGTTCAAAGGCACTTAGAACTCACTGCTCATACTGTTAGGCGTGCCAGCAATAGCGGGTAGACATCCAGCCGCAGCAACAGCCCAGCTCCAGAAACAGCATTATCTAGATCCGGACGAGCAGAGTATTTCAGTCCGCAATGGCATCGGGACCAGAAGAAGTACAAAATGGAGCTCTGTCCGCTCTGTTCACAGAATCATCCACTCTACTCGACACTATGGCGACCTCTATGCCTTCCTTAAGAAATGTCGCGAAGCTCGCCCTGGGCGGCGCGCAAGTGCTGCTTGGTTCAGGCTCGAGAGTGCTTGGAGGTCCCTCCATGAGCTGCTCGAACCCCCAGCTGAGCTGTCACAACACTACTGCTGTAACCGACTTCTGCTGTTTCAACTCCCCAGGTGGACAGATGCTGCAGACCCAGTTCTGGGACGCGCATCCTACAACTGGGCCGGTGGACTCCTGGACCATACATGGCTTATGGTGGGATATCCCATCGTAGCAGCTCAACATAGCAGAAGAACACATGTACTGACTCCATCTAGGCCAGACCACTGCGACGGTAGCTTTGATGAATACTGCGATTCTTCGCGTTCTTACCACAACATCACCTCCATTCTGCAACACTTCGGAAAGACCGAGCTTCTCTCCTACATGTCTGCCTATTGGAAGGACTATCAGGGTGACGATGAGAAATTCTGGAAGCACGAATGGAACAAGCACGGCACCTGCGTCAGCACCATGGAACCTGAATGCTACAACGACCACGTCCCCACAGAGGAAGTTGCGGACTATTTCCAGAAAGCCGTCGACCTGTTCAAAACACTGCCATCTTACCAGTGGCTTGCTGAAGCAGGCATCGTGCCATCAACCACCGCAACCTATTCTGCCGAAGCGATCCAAGCCGCACTGAGCGCCAAGCACGGTCATCCAGTCACCATCAAGTGCAAATTCAACGCGCTCAAGGAGATCTGGTACCACTACGACGTGCGTGGAAGCGTTCAGACTGGAGATTTTGTCGCCACTGTACCGGATGGCCCAAAATCGGATTGTCCGTCTCAAGGCGTGAGATACCTTCCCAAGAACCCGTCTCATACCCCGACCGGAGGTGCGACTTCAACAGCAGCAACCAGAACCACTAGCACGGCACCGACGGCCACGGGTCAGCCATTCCAGGGAAGGGGCTACCTGAACGTCATTGTCCAGGATGATGCCAACACCAAGAACGGCTGCATCATCAGCAAAGGGACGTGGTACACCATGGGCACGTGCGCAACCTTCACGGCCACGGCGTCGGCGGACGGGCAGGGTTTCACGCTGAAGTCGTCGAAGGGGCTGTGTGCGGTTGGCGCTGAGGGCGCGTTCGAGTGCGCTTCGACGGTAAGCACAGCCACGGTCTTCAGTGCTACAGGGCCGCATTTGAACGGAGCTGGGAGACCGAACTGGTTTGCGAAAGCTGTGCCGAGTAAGACGGCGCAAGCTACGGTATATACGTGGCCCGGTGATGTAACGATTAGGATTGAGTGGCAGGGCATCTAGGAATAGTCCTGCGCGTCCGCCATTCGACCCCATGAGCGCAGGCTCGTTCATGGGGTTTCTTAGTGATTTAGACCTGGCATCCCTATCGGAGCAAGCAGTGTAGATTCAAAAACTGTTTTCGTTTCCCTGGGTATCATTCGATCTAAACACCTGAAGCTAACCGCTATTCGTCTCACGCCCATGAACTCAGACCTAGAATCTAACACACCTTCCACTCCCCTCGTGCTCCTTCTTGCATCCCAGCCCACATATTCTTGTTCCGCACGCCATACACTTGACCCGCCCCCAGTATCCACACATCTCGCAGAAATACCTCTGCGGCGGCCCGCCCAGCGCCGGTGGGCCAGCTCGGGCTGCCGAATACGAAAGCGGTGGGGCATTCAACAGAGCCTCTAGCTCTGCTTCCGTGGGCATAGGCAGTGCGTCTGTCTTAAGCAGCGGGTCCACATCCACATCCACATCCACACCTTCCATCGCCGTGCCGAGGTCCAGGACCTGCTGCCGTACCGGCAACGGCGGCGGCGGCATCGCACTATCCACGGGCGTCCCTGGTGCCAGCACGGGCGAAGCTGGCGAGGGACTCCATCCGCCCGTCGGAGGCGTCGACGCCGAAGCCGAGGACTCATGCCTGAGCAGCGAGGCGCGTCTATGAATCGGCGTCTTCGAAGCCCTGACAGGCGCGCGCGCCACAGGCGTCGAGACTCCCGACCCTCTGTCCCCACCTCTCGCAAGCGCAGCTTCCTCGTCCTCGACATGGTGCGCGAACGTCTTGGCGCTCATGAGGATCTTTTTCGTCGCGGGCGTCCTGCCTCCCCCGGCTCCTCCCCTCGCGCCACCGCCGCTGCTCTTTTTGGCGGGGATGGCGATGTCGCGCGCATCGCGGTGGCTGTCTTTGTCGAGCTCGTTCAGGCGGCGCTGCAGCGCTGTGGCCTGGCGCGCGGAGAGCACGTCGGCGGAGGTCGTGTGGGTGGCATTGCGGGCGCGTTTGCGGTTCGCGGGGGGGATGAGGGGCGCTTTGCTTGGGTCGTAGCCTGTGTCGGGGACGTAGGCCCAGCCGGGGGCCGGGGCTGAGGCGGCGGTGTTGGGGAGGACTTCGATTGTTGGCATGGTTGGTGGTGATGTGTTTTGCGTGGGAGAGGGGAATGGGTCGCCGTAGCGCGGATGGTGTGCAGCGCGCGGGCAGGCTTGGAAGAGACCGAGGGATGGCCGCCGCTTTCACCACCTCCGCTTGACCGCGCTGGAGGAGTGTGACGCGCTCCATTACACATACAGTTGCTCACTGGTAGGTCCGCTGCTGTATTTCCTTCTATCTCGTCTTCCGTGAGTTCCAAAATCACATCAAAGTCACTCTTCAACATGGCACACTTCCAGCACGGCAACAATCCCCCAATCCACAAACCCGCGCAGTCACCACCCTCCGATCCCGCCCACTCCGCCGCCTGTATCTTCCTCCACGGCCTCGGCGACGATGCCGCCGGCTGGGCCAGTACGCCCTTCCTGCGCCTCCCTGATCTCCCCGCTCGACAATAACACCGCGCAGCCATAGCAGACCAGTTCCAATCCGCGAACAAGCTCCCCTACATGCAATGGGTCTTCCCCAACGCGCCCGAGAACCAAGACGCCATGCAGTCAGCCTGGTACACGCCCACACGGCTGTCCCCCTTCCCGAGCTCCAGGCCCGAACTCGATGACCCCGAGGACGAGGAGGGCATGATGAAGAGCGTGAGATATGTCGAGACGCTGCTTGATGAGTTGACAGGCAGAGGCGTCCCACCGAACCGGATTGTGCTTGCTGGATTCTCGCAGGGCCACGCGATGAGCTTGCTCACGGGTCTGGTGTCGGCTAAGTATGCTGGCAAACTGGCGGGGCTGGTAGGTTTGTCTGGGTACTTGCCGCTTGCGGAGAGAATCCAGCAGCTTAGGGCCGAGGCGGAGCTGCCGGCCGTGGTGGGAGACGTGCCCATCTTTTTGGTGAGGGGAATGAAGGATATGTTGGTGCCGAAGAGGTATTTCAGGATTAATAGGGAGAAGTTGCAGGAATTGGGGGTCAAGGATGAGGCGGTGGAGGTGCATGAGTATGAGGGGCTGGCGCACAATACGTCGGGTGAGGAGATCAAGGATTTGTGTGCTTGGTTGGAGAGGGTTATGCCGCCTTTGGAGTAGCAGCGGTAGAAAAACAAGACCTTACGTGTACTCATGGTCTGAGAGTTAAGAGCGAGACGGACGTAGTAGTCATGGTGACTGAACATCATACGAGAATCGGCGTGGAAACGAAAGCAAAGTTTCGGTTGGATTTGCTAACAGCTACCTGGAATGGTATACGGGTGTGCCTGCTGCGGTGAAGTAGTTTTCTCCTCTTGTTAAAATGATCGTGTGCGACGAGCCGGTTCAGCCTTCCAAGCTTCCTCCCCCTTCTTCTTCGACAAGCCGTCCGCTTTCCACCTCAGAGTCATAGCGGTACACTATTTCGTTTGATCCATCTCAACATATGTCGTGTCCTTTTCCTCTCCGTCGCCCTAGATGAGCCTTCGAACACGAGTGTACAGCGCAATACACAGGTACTTGACGAGGCTTGCAAGTATCAGACACGCATGGACGCACAACCATCCTGGAAGCGATGTATCTTCGCTGAGTCTGTCGCCGTAGTTGGCCGCCATGGCGTAAATTGGGACCATGATCAGATCATTCGCAACCTCGAAGAATCGGTGCCACGGCGCTCTCCTCCCCGGTTGTGCCTACCGAACAAGTGTCAGTCCTGGCCCGAGGGATTGTGGTTGTCGATCGAACTCACCTCTGAAGAGTAAACCACCGTACCGGAGCTCCATCCCAATACGACCGCAGCGGATATCCGCTTGACCACGACGTGCCAGACTAATCCAACACAGGTCTCCGCGACGAAACCGATGAATACCGGGTACGGTAGGTTCTCGGAAAGAGATGGCCAGAATTGGAACTCTACGACGCAAAATAAAAAGTAGGCGACAAGGAGCTTGCAGAGCGGAACAATGACGTTGCGTGGCTTTTGCGATTGGGGATACATCTTGAAGGAGTTTGGGTGGCGATAGTGCTTCGGAAGTCTCTGTTGTGATGTGGTGTACGATAGAGCGAGGATTAATTGCACGGTGATTGTGAGGTGGAAGAACTTGTTTATCTTTGAAGCTTCGAGAACTTCTTGCCAGGAGGGAACCGTTTACAATTGGCAGCTGCCACTGGCACCATGGTGGCCAGGCACTGAGGCAGCCACGCTCAGCCGTGCCAGCACACAACGGAAGACTCAGAAGGAACCCCTGTGGTGCGAACTGTGACGGTCACCGCGTTGTCTCGCGAGAAGCGCTGTAACCTAAGGGCGAGGCGAAGCATCGCGGCAATCGTGCTGTTTGTTCTTATGGTGATGGTGGCAAGTGTTGTGATGCGCTGATCACGCCGCATACATATCTTATTGCAGAAGTAAACAGATAGCAATATACATTACGAATTCACTTCCAAAGCTACCCTGTTGCTCTCAAATGATCCATCCATTCGTTGCGCGGCTCCAAAACCATAACCCTACTCATCCTCGTCATCCGTTCCCTCGATGACCATTTTGTCCATCGGATCCTCCTTGTCAAAAGAATGCTTGATCCGCTCCGCCTTCCTCATCTTCGTGATGTCATACTGTTCACCACCCACCGTCTTCTTCCCGCCTCTCTTGATTCCATACTTCGACACATACGCCTTCCACTTCTTGTTGAACTCAAACTTATCCTCCTTCGGCGCGCTGTACACAAGGTCCTTCTTCTTCTTATCAAGCTTGTCTTCCGAATATCTCTCAAGGTCCTTTCTCATATTGTGCAATTTATCAAGCTTCAAACCGGCTTTGTTCGCGTAAGCGACGACCTGGTGTGGCCACACAACGTCTTCGAAGTCTACATCATAGCCGGAACAGAAGTCGAGCATGAGGCAAAGAACGAGTTCTAGATCCTTGACTGGGCCATCTGGTTTGAGAAGGGAGGCGGCCTCCAGCTTATTGAGGGTGGACAAGAGAGCGAGACCGATGACGTTCAGAATCTCGTTCACACGCTCGCCGTCCTCAAGATCTGGTTAGTGTTAGAAGCAAAGCTTCCCCATCTAGTAAAACCGGACAAGCTTGGATACAGGCGAATTGATCAACTGCCACGACAATTGTCGAAGCACATCTAAAATAGATCGCTTGCGGACTGTGCACCTTCGACATTTCACAGAAAGAAGAGGAGATAACATACTTCCAAACCCGATCAGTTCCGGCATCAGGGCGAAGAAGTGCGCAATCGCTTCCGTATGCTTCCACAGTTCCCATACCGAAGAGTCTTTCTTCTGATATTCAGTCGTCCACGCAAGAAGCTGCGCATTGTCAGCTGTCGCGATCAAGCCGCTCATCACGACAAATTGCGGCGTCTTGTATATCACGAATAAAGATAGAGATGTCCACCACGTGACGCTAGCACTCATCACCATAGTACCGCAACGATGCCCACCCATACCGAGGTCGCAGAGCTCACGCACCATTACTTACCATATTCTCAATGACTTCGGCAGTCCCATACCCATGATAGTCATTGTAAATATACATTCCAAAGATATCAGGGTCCCTCTTGTCAACATCCTGCGCATACTTCGCCGCCATTTTCCGCGCCGGCTTGGACACTCTCCAAGGCCAGTCCGGGTGCTCCGACAGAGGCTTCGCGTTATACTTTTCGAACTCTACCTTGGCCGCATTGATCTCTTCCTCGCTCGGCTCTTCATCGTCTTTACCTCGCCTCTCGCGCCTGCGGTCAATGTTCATCCGGGCCACTGTCACCCAAGGCCAGGGCGCCTCGTCGGACGAGGCGGTAGCGGCCGGTTGAGCGGTGCTGGGCTCTTCGGCCGCTGCGCTTTGAGCTTCTACATTCTCGCCTTGGGGCGCAGGCGCGGCGTTATCCTTCCCCTTTCCCGCGCCTTTCCTTCCCTTTGCGCTGCTCTTCTTCGGTGCCGGCTTTGGCGCGTTGATCTCACTGTTATCAGCACTCTTGCCGTTCGCCGCCCTAGTGTTCGCTGCGGGCGGGTCGCTCGGAGCACTCTCAGTCTCTCTGGCCGCGTCTACGTTCTTCGCATCGCCACTCCGCGTGCTCCTTTTCATAGCCGGTTCAGCGGCGTTGGCGTCGCTCTTCTCGAGTGGGCGCTTGGCGCGAGGCATGATGATGACGCTGGATATTGAATGGCGATTACTAGCAGTGATGAGATTGCGGACTGGGTGTTGATTCAGCTACCAAGAAAGCTCAGAGATGGCAAGCGCATCTTCTAGTAAGCACAAACGCGTCGACATCATCGTGTGTTTACTCTTCTCTCTCTGCTACTGGCATCATTTGCTTCGACGCGTAAGGGTCAGTCGAAAAGTCCGTTGCCGCATTGAAGGCTACTGGTAGACCTGGAGGTGGATACCTAGCCTAAGTACAGTTCGCAGACCAAAGACATCTCATATGATCGATGCAGTAAAAGTATGCACTGCTGAACTTCTTATGCTTTCTATCGCACGGAATCGGTTTCGTGGTTTGCTCCCGATGGAGCCACCAATCCAGCTGGGTCGTACATCTGGAACTGAACAAGCAGCGGCCAAGATGCGGCAACCGACTCTTTGGATGACCCTTGGCGTTCGACGCGCGGAGAACTCTGTGCACGTGACTGAGCAACTTGACATCTGTTCACTGTTAACGGTAATTGTCTGGATTACCGGATAGACTTGATCATACATGCTTGAGTCGGGAAACAGCAGTGTTGGCGGCCGTGAGCGTTCTCACTGGACACAGTCCTCAAGAAAACCGATGGAACTTAAACGGCCAGGTTAAGTAGAAGAACAAAAGCAGTTTCGGCAGAAACCCTACTTCGACGTCCTACTTCAAGGTATATGACTAGGTCAATAATCCAACGCACTATCCCCACAATACCGCAAAACCCCTTCAAACCCCACAAAGACCCCGACTGCCCGGAAACCAAAACCCGGTTCTAGTCTCTGTCGCGCTGACCCCTAACTCGCAACCTAGATCCGAATGCTCATAACACAGAAAGCAAGCAGACGTCTTTTCTAACTTCTTTCCCGCGAACTTACGAAGCATGCACCGCCGTCCCATTAACCTGCCCCTGCCCCGCCAACCCCCCACCCGTCGGCCCACCCGGTGTCCCAACTCCCGGCTGCGGCGTCCCACTCGCGCGCCCCCCCATATTCGCCTGCGGCACCCTCCCCGCCGCCGCCCCCGGCTGCATCGCCAACTGCGCCCTCTGCCGATCCATCATAATCTGCTGCTCCGCCGTCGTCATGCTGGTGTGATAACCCGTGGGGCCGAGCGCGGACGGAGTAGCGGGTTGGGCCATGTACTGTTGCGCTGGCGGCGGCGGTGGTGGTGCCGGTAGTGCCTGGTTCGTGGCGGTGCTGGAGGGCTGGTAGTACTGGCGGTGCTGGGAGGGGTTTGTTGCCGGGGTGGCGTAGGCGGAGGCGGAGGAGCGGGGTTGGGTGTATTGGCCCTGTGCGGTGCTGGTGGGCGGGAGGGGGGCTTTGAGGGGGGAGGCGGTGCGGGGGTGTGGGGATTGCGAGGAGGCGGTGTAGTTGTTGTAGGCTGGTTGGGTGGAGGGTGGGCGTGGTTGGTATGCGGATGGGTTCGGCTGGTAGCGGTTTTGGTACTGCGATGTTGGGGTGGACTGGTAGTATTGATGCGGGGTGTAGGCCGGTTTGGGCTGAGTTGAGGGCTGCTGGTAGTACTGCTGCGAGTTGGATTGGCTGTAGCTTGCGCGTGGTGTTTGCTGGGCGTAGGTCGCCGAGCCGTAGGAGGGCCGTGGAGTACTTGAAGGGTAAGTTGCGGGATACGATAGATTGCCGCTGGATGATCGCGGAAGTGGCCCGGAAGGTGTCCGAGCCGGAGGCTGCTGGTGCGGGAGATAGCTTGCTGGATGCGCGGCGGAACGAGCAATGGGCACCTGGACGCTGGACGGCGGACGCGCATACTGGCTCGACGAGGCCGAGTACTGCGATGGATGAGCCGCGCCACCTGAGCTGACGCGAGGCGTTGTTGCTCCGGCTGCAGCACTAAGAGCCGACTTCACCAGAAGAGATACGGCGTCCTCTTCCATGACACCCCGATAGTCCTTAGTCTCGACCATAATGTTCTTGCTGATGTTGAGCTCGGCTAACTGCTCACCGTCTAGCTTAGCAACCGCGTAAGGTGGTAAGGTCGCGATCATCAACGATAGTTGAGTCTTCAACATCTTGTACACATCAATCTCTGCTTCCGAGGGACTCGACGGACTGCCGGTGACCAATGCGATTGGCGCACTCTGCGCTGCCGGAGTTCGTGGCGTCGACGTGAGCGTCGCGTTCCGAATTCGCTGGTACGAGTGGAGAGTCTCCAGCAGCTCTGAGATGTCTCTTAGAATCTCCTCAACCTCCCTGGCTTGCTTGTCCGCAACTTCCGAGCCATAAGCACCCTCGATTGTTTCTGGCTCAAAATCTTCGATGGCTGCTTTGAAATCCTCGTCTTCTTCAGTTTGCCCATCGGTGATACGGCCGCCCGCCGCTTGACCAGGCTGAAGTGCCAGGAGCGCTGGATCGATTGCGGATTCCAGCAGTCGGTTTTCACCAGCCTTATGCCACCACATCCGGCTTTTCAGCTCTTCCGGCACAATTGCTATCGCGTCATCGCGGCTGGGGGCAAAACTCGAATAAACGCTCCGAAACAGCGCATCAGCTTTTGCCTGCTGAATAACAGCGGCATCTGCTTCCGAGAGTGGCGGCTTGGACTCCCCAGTACTGAGCGCGCGATCCCTTTGCCTTCGTTTCGCTGTGGGAGAGGATGGCTCCTGCGGCGCATCTACGCCGCCATAGCCAAGCCACTGCCCGGTCGTGAGCGGCTGTGTTGTATAGGTCGATCCTCTACGGCCTCTCGAGATAGCGTCGTGTGGTGCCCATTGGACGGTGGAGCCACGGGTTGTCGATTGCTTAGCGGGTTTGGGTGGGCTGAGCTTGGGTACCGATGCGGGAGGCGCGAAAAGGTCACCGAATGTAGGGCCGCGTTTTTTGCCGCTTACCGCATCTTCCGCGTTTTCTTTAAGGATTTTGGTGGTACTGAGCACATTGGGCAGGCTGTCTTCGGGTAACGGTAATGTAACTCCGACAGCGATGTCCAGGTTTGATGACGGCGTATCTGGAGACGGCCCAACCCGTGTTGGCGTCTGCAGACTCGAGAACAGCTGCCTTGGGCCTTGAGCGTTAGCGTATAAGGTGAGCACCGTCCTCCCATCCTTCAGTGCATCAGCGAAATCGCGGGCAGCAGGCTCCTCCTTAATGCCATTGGTGAGAGCCGGGCTCTTGTTGACACTCCCCGGCTCCGTCCGGGTAGCGGTTACTCTGGGTTTAATTTGGGATCGTCGGAGGATGATGTCATTCAACACTTTCTTGAACGCGAGTGTGCCGGTGATCAAGCGAGTGTCCTGAGGAGAATGCTCGGGAGTCGGTCGGTCGTGTTTGGATCCTTTTCCTGGGCTCTTTGCCGCTTCTCTGGCCTTCAAAGGCTCAAGCAAAGCCGACGAAGCCGCGTCCACATCCTCCACCAACTCATCCAAGGACGAGTATGTTCCTTCCTGCAGCCGGGCGGCAATCGAAGTGGGTTCTGACGACTGCGACAGCCTTTTCCGTTTTGCGGTCGGCTCTCCGGAAGTCGATCGATGCGTCTTGTCGGTGAGAGGATGATGTAACAACGAGGGCGTAGTGTCATAGCTGTCAGTATGAATAGTCAGTCGTAGATCTAAATTGCAGTCCAGGGATGGATAGGTATAACCAAGCGCTGGCCGGCACTTGGGGGAGAGTGCCGCGAAACGCACCTTTTCAACAGTTCCAGTATGTCCGCGAACAGCGCTTGAGACCGACTCTCTGTTGCCGTCGCCGCTTCTTCTTCCGCGTTCTGCCGAGTGTCGATGCCGTTGATTTGACCATGGTCTCCGCTGGATGAGCGCTTGCGTTTCGTGGCCGATGTCGATGTCGATGTCGATGCGGTGGTGGAGCCAAGTGGTGACGGAGGGGTTAGCACTCCGTTTGTGGCCGACATGATGGTAGTAAAGAGGGCTTTCGTGTTTTCGCGGCGGTGCTCAAGCTTCTGCAGCGGTACTAGCGGACGCGCTCTGCCGCCGTCAGCCCAAACTCCAAACTGCACAATCCCCCTGCCCACTCAGCCGACAGCGTACCTTCACCTGGCGCGCGGTGCAGCGGGGAAGAGTGAGCAGCCAGCAGGCTTGCTGGAATGAGGCAGATGTTGTTGCGAAGGGCGACTGTGGCCGCGAATCAGTGTTCGTTTGGGCGTATGGAACGCGAGCGCAGGGCGGCGGTGGAAAGTGCAGGTACTGTAGAGTAGTTTGGAGCACGGGAGCACGGAGCACGGATAACTTACTGTAGCTGTGGTATGCGGTATGCGCGAGCATCTCCGGCATCAACACAACCCGCCCACAACCACCCTCTGCGTCTTTGGCGGGAATGAGAAGCTGTGTTCAAGGCCGCTGACTCCGGAACTGTCTGTTGCAGAAACAAGAACAGAGTTCGAAATGCGCAAAGTCACGAGCATCCGCCAGATCTCCCTTTCTTTCCTCCGGCCCGCGAGTTTATCCGAGAGCTTTCCCAACCTTTGCTCTTTGCTCTCTGCACCCACGGCCCAGTATCCCCCCATACGCCCCAGTGCATCTCGACCCCCCGCGAGTCGGCTTCAATGAATGCACCATCCCAGCATTCGGAAGACCGGCCACCCAACGACCGTCGTTCGCAGAAGTGAGTGCCCATACCAATTGGATGTCGCTTGATGCGAAGCTCTGCCACATCCAAGCCATGCATCTCGAGGCTTAGCCCAGTACTGACTGCCTTTCACAGTCTTGCTCCCTCGCAGACCCTGGGATCGTGTCCGCTTCACACCAACAGAGGCTAGCGGCGACCGTGCGTGGAGGTTTCGACGCTTGAGTGCAAGAAAACGCAAAGCGCTTCGGCTTAGCCCCTCAACCCATCTCATAGAAGCTCTGAGGTCGGCAGGTCACAAACATGCACTACCCCCTCAGTATGGACACAAGAAGGATCTATCGCATACTAGTGCAAGGCACATGTCCTCTGGGCAGCTGCTGCGCCGGACAAGCAATTACTCCCCGCTGGTAGACAGCTCTACGGAGCTCTCCCTGCAATCGATTTTAGGCAGCTACATCAGGAGGACAAACACTGGTCAAGGAGCAAGACACGAAGATGACTCTACGAGCGCGCCCGCTGAAACCAGCGCGGTATCCGGCAGTGGCTTGCTGAGGGGGACCAGCGCCATACTGCCGGAACACGAAGTCGCATACCTCAAAAACAAGGGTCACGACATTGGAGATGTCAGTAGATGGGCATCGATAGTAACTGCCAGGGACTCCTACAATGCGGCCCAGATGTTACTGAGGTCTAGCCTTGAACAGGCGTCAACACTCATTCAACAAGGTAAGCCATACTTGCTTTCAGCGCCGAGCCAACTTTCTGAAAGCTCTTGGCAGCCAAGTGTCGCAGAGCTAGCCAGACACCACCGCTTGATCGGGAGAGATTAAGCGCGCCAGTAGACACATAACTGACACGGTGATGTTAGACCTCGCTCCTGGGCACACTCAAACTATGTCTAAGCCTATTCCCATATTCGTCTTTATGTTTCTTCTACGTCGCAGCTTGATTTCCGCGCGTGCACTGCGGCTGCTCCTTGCATATGCTCGCCACCGATTGCGCCTGGGTCGATCTCAAATTCAAGAGCGTAGTAGTACCGAGACGTCCATGTCCCTGGATCAGTCGACTGTCTTTACTATGTTTGTCCGTCTGTTACGACACTCACGACAGATCTTGCCCGAGGCGGTTGGAAGTGTGGCAGAGATTGTAAGGTTTCATCTTAACCAAGCGTCTGAGAAGAGCTTGCCCCAGCTCACTCTTCTCTACAATCGCGCTCTATCTCTACTATCTGCTCCGACGTCTCTGGAACCATTTCGCTTCTCCCAGCTGCTGAAGAGAGTGCAGTTCGACGTCCTGAGAGCGATGGATGAAAGCGATCCAGCAATTCCAATAAACCAGGAGGGCTACAGGGCAATCGCACGCACCCAACTGGCTCAGAAAAAGATGCCAAATGAACAGGAATGGGCCAGACTGAAAGCAAAGTCGTGGCCGCCATTCAAACAGGAGCGGACGGGCGTAGACGTGGAGAAAGGTGTCGAGCTTGGCATATCAGGAGCTGCGAAAGCGCTACAGTACATGCAGGAGACGGGTTATCCGGCGGCGTCATGGGATCAAAGAGCCAAAATCTACGCCGGGTGGGACATCGATGGAAGCCCTACCATCCAGACAAGGAAGATGATGCCCAAGATGCCGTCCGCGCCTCCTCAAGAGCCAGTCAATGAGCGGACGAAGCAAGCACAGTTACATCGGGTACAGCTGGACATCTGGGCCGCCAGGATAGAAGCGACACGGACGCTGGAAGAGGCGTGGGCTAGCTTCTTGGCCTACGAGGATACCAGTCTGCCCGCGGATCAAGAAGTGTACCTTGCCATGTACAAAAAGATACACTATGACGAGAAGCGCCGCCAAGCTGAGAGCCACGAACAAGACGAAACCTCGATTGCATTAGAGATGGACGAGGTCTTACCAGGAGATGGGAAGGAGGTCTTCGCCAGCTCCGAGTCGCCTCAGGAACGAATCTATGTCCGAGCACCTCCACCGTCGCTCCACACGTTCTTCGACCATCTGATGGCTAAAGGTTTCGAACTGAACCGCGATTGCCAGATATCCCTCATTATGTATGCGCCTTCCCTGGAAGCAGGCATCAAGGCCATCGTAGAATCCCGCAACGCACACGTTAGCTGCTTCATGCTGCGGTCGGCGCAGGATGTCGAGATAGCACGGAACGGACGCCATCGGCTGGTGCTGTCCGCCATTGTCGGTCTCCTCTGCCGCTTCAGGTACATGAAACGGCTGCCTTACCTCAACCAGGCGTTCCTGCAGCAGTTGAGCCTGCCGCCCGCTCTGTTTGGATCACGACTCAATTTCGACCATCCAATGCACCATGTCGATCGGCTGATGCGCCTGACGAATTCAACGCACCGACCGACCTGGAACATCATCCTGAGCCTCTTCGCGTCGAACCAGCATTTCGTCCGCCAGCTGGACGGCACAGCGCTTGACTCGATCCGCAGGGTTGTCACGCGCATGAAAGCGCTGGGCCTCGATCTTGACGCTTACGGCCTCCAATCCATCTGCCGCGCCTTAGAGCATCTTGCCGCCGACCCCGCCGCCAGCAGCCCCACGAGGAACGCCGCATGCTCGCAATATCTGCGCCGCCTCTTTGTCGAGCTCTTCGGCGGCACGCACGCTGACGAGCCTCTGATCCAGCCCTTCGACACGTTAGACTCAGACATGCAACAGGTGCCCCTACCGCGCCTCCTCGCGACACCCAGGCCCGCGCTCCTGCACCCGTACGCGCGCGCTCTAGGCGCCTTGGAGGACTATGAGGGCCTGCTCAGTCTGGCGCAGTGGATGGTGCAGTATAAACCTGAGTTGCTGGACGCGGTGGGGGATTCGGCGAGCAGGGATCGCCTGATGAGGCGGACGTTGGTTGCTGTGAGGTTTTATCTTGAGGGGTCGGCGGAGGCGCCGAGGGAGGTGGTGGAGCTTGCGAGGGGGTGGTTGGAGAAGTTGGAGGAGTGGGGCGGGTGGCAGGAGAGCGAGGATGTGGAGGTGTATGCTAGGGTTGGGGCGGGGCGTGCACAAAGGAAGAAACAATGAGTTGGTGCATACAGTTTTCGCTTGCTGCTGAAACTTCATACGCAGAGGTTGCTGGGTGTGCAGGCGGCTTGAGCGAATGCCTCTGTGAGCAACTCCGCTTGTGCCTGGACTGGGAGCACCGTGGTCGATGGAGCTCATCCGGGGCCACACCAAGCAGCTGGGGAAGAAATGCTTGAAACGCTATCGTGACTAATGGCGAGAGGTCCAAGCAAATGCAAATAAAGGACTTTTGACGACGGCCGTTCCAACCAAGCATGAAACATGTACTACAAGCTGCAACAAGACTCACACGCGCGGTGAAGCACAGTCACCATACGCAAAAACCAGCTAACCGCATCGATGAACTCCCGCTCCTACACTTTTTCTTCTCCATCAAGCAAGCCTGTATAAATGCGTACTCCAAGTCCCCAACGCCGCATCGCCGTCAAAGCTTGCGCGACATTTTGCCCACTGCATCGTGCCAAGAAACTCGTTTGCTATCTCCAACCCGTCGGCAAGGCACCGTCTCAGCGTCATCCTCGGCCTTCTGGCCTTTAGCATTAGCCTTCGGACGCATCGTGCCGGCACGTCTCCGGCTCTCCATCTTAGCCTTCCTCCTCGCCGCTAGAATCTTCAGGCGGCTCTCGCGTGCTTCCGCGGGTGCGGCATCATCCTCGCCCTCACTTCCACCTTCGACACAACGGGGGCCTTCTCTGTCGAGGATGTGGCCCCCTTGACCGCGGTGGGCCTCGTTTCCGGGCAGCGGCTGCTGCCCATCGCTCGAAGCGGGTGAGTTCTCTGGAACCAACGGCTCGCGCGCATCGCCGTCGTCTTCTCCGGTCATGTACGCATCTCGCATTCCGTGGTCCCTTGGAGATCTCCGAGCGAGGATCTTTGACATGATTCTCTGAAACCTCTTGTCCTCACCTTCCTCGGAGGATGCGGTACTGAGCGGAGACGACAGGGGTTCCTCCGGACGAGTGACTGGCTGGGGGGTCGTCAATCCTGAATCTGCTCGCGCTTTGCCGGCTGGTTCGATAAGCAAGCGTTGCGGAGGTGGGCCAGCGGGGTGGGAATCGGCAGTCGGCTGTCCGCTCGGTCCCCAGATGAGCGAAGCTTCGTCCATTAGGAAATGCGGGGTGGGTATTGGTGCAAGATCAGGGTAAAGGTATGACGGTTGAAGAGCCCCCCAAGCTTCGTAGTTGGTTCTCCCAGGGCTTTCACGGGCATCATGTGGTAGCCACATACCGTTCCATAGGTCCTTGGGTATACTGGGAGGCGCTACATGAGGTAGGTCGGAGGAAAGTGCGCTGCGCTTTGCCAGCTCGATGAGCTCCCGGTTCTGTTTGTACCAGTCTCTAAGGATGGTTGGTACAACGCTCCCCTTCTTGAAGGAGACTGTGTTGTTATCGCCGATGCAACGTGTATTAACAAGGGTTTTTTCCGAAGAGAGCGGGTCGAAGCTGTTGCGAAGTTCAGAGTCCAGAGAGGTCTTCATGTCGACCATCATGTAGTGTGGGGGAGAGCAGAAATGGCGGTCGAGATGTTGTGTACGTAGCAGAGGGGCCTTTCTGACAGCGGAAGGCTCGCTCGTAGGGTTGAGCGTGTTTGCGAAGGCGCCTCCTGGTTTCTTCGCCTCAAATGTGTCACGTCTTAAGTGCTGCGGAATCTGTGGCTGGTTGAGTAGGGAGACGACGCGCTGGTTTGTTCTCTTGGTGCGCTCCTGTTCGATTATGCTCTCCTTCTCCCGTCCAGCTTCTTCTGCCACGAGCTTCTCCACAAGCTGCAGTGCCGCAACGGAGGCGTGACATTGTGGCAGCTTTCGCACAAGCTCCGCAAGGCGTGTAAGCGGGGTGACAGGCAGCGCTCTGAGGGGTGCATCCGCGATGATCACGTCTCTTCGACGCGAGGACTCTTTCTCGGGTTGCCCCACGGACGTTCCAACAGATGTTTCTCCGGATATGTCGGCAAGTACGACATCGTGCTGATCGCCGGTTGCAGACTTTTCTAAGCGCACTCTATTGGTGGACTCGTCGCAGAGTTTAGCGAGCTCAGCCTTGAGCTCCTGGAGCTCATCGTGCGCTTTACTCTGCTCCAACACAGTGCCGAAGTCCAGTTCGAAGACTTTGTCGGCCAAGCAGTTGTAGGGGCGCTGGAGGATCGGCCTGTCGCCTCTCTCTGCCAGGCCTGCAAAGTCGTGAAAGAAGACACCGTTGATAGTTGTATGGCATCCTTTGTGTTCGGTGACCCATCGAGAAGACGTGTTTGGCTTGGTATAGGGAGAATTAGGCGGCACTTGTTGGGGTTTGCCTGGGGAATCTTGCCAAGTGGTAAACTCCATCGTAGTGCTTTTACTGAATCCTTACGATGAGTAGTGAGGAAGCGGATCGGGGAACTGAAATTCGAATAGCAGGGCACGCCAAAATCGAGGCCGGAGTCGGTCAAGATAAGCTGCAGTGAATGAGAAAGTGGAAACGGAGAGATACACAAACCAAATCAGTGTTGACAAATTAAGGTTTGACTGGAGATCTGGTGTACCATCATAGCTTGGACCGCACTTGGAAGGAAGGTGCCAACGGCGTTTGCAACGCAACACTGATCCCGTCCCCTTCAGTGGCGTGGAGCTCCACTTCCTGGCAATCTTCTTGCCCAACACCGTTCGCATACTGCAAAACCACAAAGTCAACACTCCCCTCGCCTATCACCACCATTGGCGCATGCCAAGTTCCAGCACCGTACGTCACTGCTTGATTGCCTGTCGCAACGAACGCCTTGATGTTGTTCAGATCCGGTAAACCCGGCCCTTTGCGATTCTGCTGGGAGGGATCTTGAGTTGCGTCTGGGATGGGCGGTGATGCCTCGTTTGTGAACGGTGAAGGTCGCGCTTTTGCAAATACATCGAGCAACGACCGTCGCCGTCGAGGTTCTCGCAGAGGATAAGCCATCAGACGATTAAGATCCTTAGGAGTCTTAGATGTTGGTAGCGTTGGAGCTACGATCACCAGATACTGCGTGGTCTTGTCTTGCGGCGACAGCCCAAGTGGGATAAAGGTTTGAGATGTATACGGATGACGTTCGAGGATGTTCACGTCGAACAAATGTTTTCCCGCCTGATCCGCCTGATCCGCCTGATCGGTGTTGCTTTGTGAAGCAGACTTCGATGTGGCCGGCTCCACAGAGCGAAGCTTACGGGGGGAGCAGATAAACATATTCACCACGGCCTCTGCTGGTTTCTTGCTTGGAGCAAGATTATAGAAGTTGGTCACATGCGTAACATCGAGATATTTCACGGCTGTGCCTTGATTTGCAGCTACAGCCTGGGGGTGGTGTGAGACTGGAGAGTGCGAGCGGGTAGGGTTCTCGACAACTGTGCCAAACTGAGCAAACGAAGCTTGCGTCAAAGGCTCAGCGGAGATGCGAATAGACGGAGCTGTCACAGGCGAAGGCATTATGGCAGATGTGATAGTGGATAGTAGGTGGGATTGAGCGGGGTGAGGGGAGAGCTTCTGTATCTCACGTTCACATGCAGTTGAATTCCGCTGACGTCCGGATTCCTCACGTGACCCTATACTGCATCGACAATTGGTTGTGAAACTTCCAACACTCGAGGAACAACTAGGTACCTTATCGTTTTGAACTGTCAATGCAAACAAGCGCAAGCGCAAGCGCGGGTACACCGGTGGTCTCGGAAATCTCAAGCAGCTTTGACCTAGACCAAGATGTCGCAAGAAGAATTCTCCTATATTGACTATGAGGCATTTCTCGACCCGTCATTTTCAGCGGCATCTTTTGCCAATACCCTAGTGCTGGCCACAAACAATCCCTCAGACACACCCCTAGACCTTTCCACACCACTGTCGCGAGTACTCTTCGATGTTCAGGAGGTTGACACGCATATCGACAATCTAACCACAAGGTCTGCTTTGCCGCTACTGGAGCATACCAAGGATCATGCCGAAGCAAGCGGACGCATACTGCAAGAGGTGGAAGCGCAGGTTGCAAGCTTGACTGAAAGCTACAAGACCCTAGAGAAGGAGGTCATCGAACGTTACGAGGCTGCAGAGCAAGTCCGCTTGGCAGCCGAGCGGCTATGTCAAACCGTGAAGGTCGGCCGCGCAATTGGGCGGTGTCTCATGCTTGGACGGCAGCTCGAGGCTCAGATGGCCGAATTGAATGCCTCAGCTGCCGGTCCTGGGAGGCGTGAGGACCACCGAGGCATGGTGAGGTCGTCCAACACGTTTTTGTCTCTGCGCCAGCTTTTTCTTGCATCGAAACCTGGGCAAGAGGGTGAAGGATTGGAAAGGATCAACGTGGTAACTGCGCTCAAGAACGAACTGGTTACACCGGCGGAGCAACGGGTAATATCTCGATCTCAGCAGATCGTCAGGGAGTTCTCAATGTCATCTCTGCTAGCATCCAATACCTCGTCACAGCCATTGAGCTCGGCATCGACCTACGCGCAGACCGAGGACACCAAGTCTCGTGCTACCTCTGCGCTCTTGACGCTTTATCTGCTCTCACCTACGCCAACCGGAGCGAGTACAGCGAGTTTCGTGCCGACACTGCTCATTGATGCTCTGCGAGACTACCTGCAGACGGCACTCAAATCCTCGCTCGCTGCTCTTGCCCGAGCGCTAGCGACCTTACCAACGCTAGACCGCACACTCTTGGAAGTGGCTGCTCGCTGTCAAAACATCGTGGCGCTAGAGGCCTTGCTGGAGTCTATCAAGCCGCCCCAGCATCCGCTCCTGACTCCGCCCTCAAACGCTACAAAATCCATTGATGGCGAGACAAGCCACAATGCACCATACGCGAACCTCCTTCAGCCACTTCTGCATTCTCTCGACACATCCTCACTACCGTCTTATTTCTGGCGTTCTCTGTCCTCGGATCTGTCGCCTCGCGTGCAGGACATCATAAACAAGGGTGGTGTTTCTGCGCGGACCCTGCGAAGCAACAGAGATAGGGTCAGGGATTCCATCCGCGAATGCGTCAATCGAGGCTCGCAGTTACCTGCAAGTCCGGTGAGCCGAGGCAGAGGAGTCGCTACTGGGAACTGGGAAAGAGAAGCAGCGGTAATGGTTGGCGCAGTGGTTGGGTTACTTGGACGGTGAGACCACTTATCTTCTGATCTGCAGAGTGTGGCAGAAGAGTAGTAGCGGAGACTCACCGAGGAGCGCCACATTAGTCTGCCGATTTTTTTGAGCCTGCGTAGGCCATCAGGCGGCCATGGCACTGGCAGAATCCGCGCCTCTTCAGCATCAGACAACGGGCATCACGAACCGGCCAACCTGTCCACATGCTGAACTATCTAAGCATATGAGAATGATCGGCGTCCTTAGACTAAAACTGCATAAGCTCTCCTTCAGTGTTAGTTGATATCGTAATACCTTCCAATTGCGAACACAACACGTATACACCATCATAAGAGGCGTCGATGTCAAGTTTTCGCCGGCGTGATCACAGTACAACTATATAATTGAGTTGTCACGTGATTCTGTGTGACAACCTTGGCAGCGTTGCTTTGCCGCCGGACCCCTGCCCGGATCATCTCCGGCCCATCTGCAGCGGCCGCTTATGCACGGGGAGCCAGACTCGCGACTCTGCCTCCTTTCAACATGAGCACATCAAGCCCTTTCTTTAATAACCTCATAGTTGTCGAGCACACGGCCCTTCTTTGACTGTGTGCGGGCGCCCTTGTTAATTGTATCGTCCGCCCTGCTCTTTCAATCGGTAGAACACTCCGGAAAGCCCGACGTCACTTTCAGGCGCATAGATAGTCGTCAGCAGGCCTGCAGGAGACTTCGCCAACGCCTCGACGGCTGCTCACTTCAGCCTCACCTGTATGTCACTACCCTACACGGCCGAGCTCGCAGAGATGTCTGGCTTCTAACATAATGCGGTCGCAGAATCCAATTTTCATCTATACAACCGACAGCTTCGAACTCTACAGCAGGCATCATGTCTGCCAGTCATCTACCCGGCAATAGGAACAGCACTCCTGAGGTTTCGGGCTCCTCACTTCGTCCGCCTTCTTCTCGCGCTATTGGGGCTGGTCACCATTTGCGCGCTTCGGCGGACATGGGAGCCTTTTCGAACACGCCTTTGGCGAACCGCGGCATCCGGCCCTCCTCTGAGGTCTACTTTGGACAGTCGCACTCCAGCCAGAACCAAGGCAACGAAGACGCCATGGATCGGGCTGCGCAGCAGTGGATTGCGGACATCGACCAGTATGAGATAACGCTGGAGGAGATGGCTACTGCTACCCTCGATCAAGATTTCAAGGACGAGCTGAGTGCTATCGAACAGTGGTTCCGGGTGCTTAGCGAGGCCGAGAGAACTGCGGCGCTCTACCAGCTACTGCAGCAAACCACACAAGTCCAGATTCGATTCTTCATTCAGGTCTTGCAACAAATGGCCAAGACGCACCCGATCTCCGGCGTGCTGTCCCCCGCCAATTTCGGCGAAAAGGGTAAGTGGGAGCATCAGTGCTGGCATGACTCTGACTAAAATTCCATTCAGACCCCATGTCCCAGCGCCTCAGCGACGCAATGAGCAAGCTCAATGTCGAAGGGTCCCGTAACTCCATCGGTCTCGGTCGCCCACCGCCCTCCCCAGGCAATAAGCGCAACTCAGGGTTAGACCCTGCTACCATCAATCAAATGTTTCCAGATGCCGCGGCCGCCATTGCGAAGCAGAAAGCGGAGTTCACTCAACACACTGGCGCTGTGCCCACTTCGAATCGCAACAGCACGATAGGCGACCGTTCCTCTCTGCTTGCACCAACCATATCTGCACCGGAAGATATCCGCAAAGAGAACATAGCGCCGCCGCCATCATCGCCGTGGGGTCCACGAAGCGCTGATGCGCAGCGACCAAAGTCATCATCCGGTCAGCCGCCTATGGGACAGTTCACCCAGCCGCCTCCATCGGCGGGTGGATTACGTTCACCTCGTCCACTAGCACTATCTGGTGACAGCAACCTGCAAAGCACTTCCATCAGTGCCCCTGACAATAGCGCATCTGGCATGTCTATTTTGTCGCCGTACGCAGGGAGCGGTAACTGGGCGTCTATGGTCAACACGCCGATGGTCCCTAATTTTTCTGCCCAGCAAAGCGCGAACCAGGCTGACATGGTCGCAAACGCGACTGCGATGAAGCTTGCTGCTCTTTCTACAGTGAACAACCGTATTCAGCTTGACGATGTTCGCAAGTACCGCCGTGCACGCTCGACCGAAGGCAACAATCCTGGCCTGGACCTTGGATCTGGCCTCACGGGTGTGCCAAGCGCCAACTTCATCATGACCAACGAGCTCGGTCACATCCTCTCTCCACAGCAGGCCGCTGCTCTCCAAGCACAGCAACTTGCCGCCATGCAAGGACGTCGCTCGCGCCCGAGCTCGCCTGGTCTCGCCATGGCCGGCAGTCTTGGCGGCATGGGCAGCTTTGCCATTCCGCAGAACAACGGTTTCTTGTCTGCTTACGATGGAAGCTCACCCCTAGCAAACAACAACCTTACTGGCATGAATCTTGCTCAATTCGGCATTGGTCTCGGTGGGGGCCACGAGGGGTACCTGTCCGATCACTCAGAGGTCCAGCGTGGCCGATCACCACGAGGCAGGAGAGGCAGCAGCAAGCCTCCAGAGGACCCCACGGATCTGACCCTACTTAAGGATATCCCGAACTGGCTTCGGACTCTGCGACTCCACAAGTACACTGACAACCTCAAGGACCTCAAGTGGACAGAATTGATCGAGCTGGATGACGAGGGGTTAGAGAAGAGGGGCGTGCAAGCAGTGGGTGCGAGAAGGAAGATGCTTAAGGTATGCTTTGATCCTTGGGATATGAAGCTTCATGTCCTAGGCTAACGTTCTCCCAGGTCTTCGAGCAGGTCAAAGAAGCCCAAGCGAACGGTACGCTGTAGAACAACAGGCCGACGCTCAACAAAATGCACTTTCACACTTTCCCCTGCCCTTTCCGACGAGACTTGCGAAGGTCTGGAAATGATCTGGCGCGTTGCGCCATTGGTCTCAGGATCTTTGGGCACTCCCCTTCCTCTTCTCTCTTTTATCATTTGTACGATGCATCGACATGCCACCAGGATTGATCTGAGGATATCCTTCATATATGGGGTGTTCTTGTTGTCAGTGCTTCTCTGCGGGGACAGCTAGCTTTTCAGCCGTAGACGGTCGGTAATAATGGGACCACGATGTAGTAGAATTGAAAACCCTATCGGAAGCAATGCAAAACTGCCACTTTACATCCGTGATTCGAGGTATCACGTGCAGGTACTGATAAACCAGAACCGCTCTCCCTAAAACTCTCCATCCGGATCCTACTACTGATATACGTCACACATCCACAACACCCTCCGCATCTCAAACCCTTCCAACATCCACCACACCCAACCACCCACCACCCTAACCACCCGAGCAGTGACGCTCATTGTGGGTTGTTGGCGTTCACGAATGCCACGACGTTGCCCGCGCCGTCGGTCATGGCGGGCTCCGTGTCGCTCGGAACGGCTTCTCTTCCTAGTAGAGCCGTTACTTTCCGCCTCACATACTTCCTTGGGTACACCATGTAAGTTCGGAAACTCACTGTCATAGGGAACCGGCGCGGCTGATGCAAAGGCGAGGAGAGTGAAAAGGGCTGTGATGGCGAAGGACTTCATTTTGTGTATTGGTGAAGCCTGATCTGAGGGGTCGATAGCTCTACTTAGGTATATTGGGAACCAGGAGACTAGTGAAAGAGCGAAGACGGTCGGCCGGCGACGGATGAATATGGGAGCTGAAGAGGAGGAGGTTGAGGACGGTATGCACTTGGCGTGGAGACTGGGATGCAGCGAGTTTGTCCGGCACAGCGTAGGGACTTGTATATACGGCTCGCTACGACACAGCATAATGGCTTGAGCACTTTGAGACTCGAAGCGTATGAGAATGTGCCATGAAACTAAGTATGGTAAAGAGACGCGGAAACACGGCCTGTTCCAGCGCCGGCTCAGCACCCACAGCTCCCAATACGGGAAGGACTGCCTTAAAAACCAAGGCGCCGGATAACACTGGCATCCGTGAACACGACACTCAGAACACGGCGAAGCCTGCCTGACACGTCCTTCGAGATTCGTGGGGACTATCTAGGTATACAGCGCTTGGCTGAAACGAGGCTGTGACCTTGTTGGTCGCAGCCTTGATGCGGCATCCGCCACGGATGTTGCAACCTCTTACCTGAGGACTGCCCTGGTGCTCCTACTCGTATATCGTATTGATGTAGAGTTTCGAATTGGAGTTGCTGGTAGACCTAACACTCACGGAAATAACTCCAACGACGCCGGCAACTATAGATCGCTTGGCGGTGAAGATAAGATAATATAAGATAAGCTAAGATGGAGTACCAGTTGAACCCTGATATTGGAGCTCCCCTCGCCGGCCTTGTCGCCTCAACCACCACCTTACGCTCTCGCCTCCCGGCGCGCCACTGTGTCCACTTGTCCACGGCCTGCTGATCGTGGTCGCTAGGCATTCAGTCACAACAAATCTAGCAGAACGAACGAATGCTCAAGTAACGCTCAGCAGGACCGGTGGAGCAAGACTTCAGCCCCGGATTTACACGGCTTCTTACCTTCGTTGAGCTTTCTCTGGTTGGGTTGCCGGCCAGAGTTCGTTATCGGAGTCAGACTCTGCCCAGTACTCTGTTGGCGCGATTTACTCTGTTCTAATTCACGGATACTTGCAACTCGATGCTACATTTCCCTCTACACACCCCCACAGTTCAACTCCGCCCTTAGCCATGGCAACTCTAGCACACTGCGCATACTGCTTTGAAATCCTGTCCGCGAGCATAGAGAAGCGGCAGCCTCTTCATCTCAAGCAAGTCGAAGAGCTCTGGGACAAGTATAACGCGCCCTCAGACGAAGACGAAGCAGAACACCACGATGACGACGACGACGATGATGACGAGGATGAGGATATGGAAGAAGGCCCAGCCCCCGAACAGCGCACCACCTCCTCCCTCCGCCCTGCAGCAATAAGCCGTCTCCTCGCGCCGAGTCCACGATCGTCCTCATCGTCCTCCGTTCCCTCGACTGCTTCGAGCGTCAGCGTCAACGGTACCAGTTCCTCCGCCGCGACTTCCAAATCCTCCTCGCGTTCCTCCTTCTTCTCAACCCTGGGCCGCCGCTCCAAGCCGACCGAATCTCCCTCCTCATACGCCGATTACCCGCTCTTCGTAACCTGGAACACCGTCTCGCGTAGCGGCCACAAGCTCCTCCGCGGCTGCATCGGCACGTTCGAGGGGCAGAAGCTGGATGACGGGCTCAGGAGCTACGCGCTTACCTCGTCCGTATCCCCCCGCGTCCCCTTTTCCCGCCCCTTCTCTGCATACACACTGACACTCGCCAACAGCGCCTTCGATGACTCCCGCTTCGCCCCCATCGCGCGCCACGAGCTCCCCACCCTCGAATGCGGCGTGACACTGCTCCACACCTTCACGCCCATCGCCTCGCCGCTCGCCTGGGACATTGGGATCCACGGGCTGCGGATATCTTTCGTGTACCACTCGAGGCGGTACGGCGCCACCTACCTCCCCGACGTGCCGAAAGAGCAGGGCTGGACGAAGGAAGAGACGATTGTGAGTTTGATGCGCAAGGCGGGGTGGACGGGGCGCAGGGAGGATTGGCGCAAGGTCGGGGACTTGCAGGTCGTGACGTATATGGGCAAGAAGGTTACGATAGGGTATGCGGAGTGGAGGGCGTGGAGGCAATGGACGCAGGGCGGGGAGGCGCCGGGTGCGTTGAACTGAAACTTGTGGGCGGGATACGGCATCTGATACCCTGAGGGATCTACGTGGGACATGGCTGGGTAATGGATGCATATCGGCGTGCTGGCGTGGAACTGGACACGTTGTTCGGCGTGCAGCAGAATTCATCGCGATTTCCCGTTTTTGCTCATAACGAGCGTACCACATATAATGGACGTTATAGACGAAGGAGCCCCTCTTACGACCCCCTTGATGGACTTCAGTAAACACAAACGCCGTAATATCATTTATTCTTGTCTTCTATACGGAGGAAATCATTACACTATCTAAGCCATAATAGTCTGTGGGGCGACCTCTCCCTCGCGACCATTACTCCGTAGAACCTCCCGGCGCCCCTTAACACCTGCTTACGTCCTAAACAACGCCACCGTATTAATAAACGTATTAACGTTATCCCTCGCCTGCGCCAAACATCTCCCATCCCTCGTAATCATACAACTCGTCCCGACGGTGTTGAGGTTGAAGACAGGGACGTTCGAAACGCGGCCCTCGACACTGAAGATATCCGTCTGGCACCCCACCGTCTGCGCAGCTGAGCACACAGTGCTCTGATTGTAGAAGAAGCTATACAGCCCCGCGCCATAGGTCAACAGGTCTCGGCTGTCCTTGATGCGCAGACCCCAGCCGTTGGCGTTGTTGGAGATGTTGGAGGCGCTGGGGAAGACCGGGTCGAAGAGGGAGGCGTCGTAGGGGAATGGCAGGTTGGCGTTGGGGTTCGGCTGATAGTAGGCTGTTTCAGTTTGGATCTGGCCCATGAAGACGTTGCGCGTGTTGACGAATTGGTATTCGTATTTTACGTGGTGCTCTACGCCCGTGCCGACGCTGTTGGGGGCTGGGTTAGCTGGGTGTTATGTAGAACGTTGCATCGGTACGAGACTTTCGGGTAGAGTGCCGGCAGAAGGGTTTACTCACAGCCAGATGTTTCCAACCTCGCTTTCCACATGCAGACCGCGACCGGCATAGATGGTGATCTGCGTCAAGGCCGGGTCTTCGATATCGTGATCTGCGACCCAGATCCAGCAGTTCTCCATGTAGAGTCCATTAGCTCCCTTCGTGATGTGCATCGAGAGATAGCCAGAGATGCAATTAGGGTTGATTTCCTCGATGGTATCCACAGTATCATTCCGCTGCGTGGGACAGTTTGCCAGCAGAAGATCAGAGCCTGCGAAGCCTCCGACGCGTACATGAACATCCCACATGCCAGCCGGGTTGTTTGGGGAGTTGGCGAGGTTGTACTGGATGAGGATCGCTCCGGCCTGGGGGCCGCGGGTGGATACAATGGTATCTGTCCACTCGATCGTGCCGCGCTCGCCTGGCTTGCCGACTTGAACGACGGGTTGTGGCTTCTTGATGTCCGCGAAGAACTTGCCGCTGGACATGATGACCGGGTAGGTTTCACCAGTGATCCGGCTGCCGCTCGGGATGTACAAGGTCGAAGTGACAACGTAGGTGCCGGCATCGATGAAGAGGATCTGGTTGCTCCGGGCTGCCCTGAAAATAGCCTTCTGCAGCGCCTCAGTGTCATCGGTCCTGCCATCGCCACTGGCTCCGGCGTCGCGTGCGCTCAAGAACCGCTGTAGAGGAACGTTCTCGTACTGCGGCTTGGAACGTTCGTAGAACTTGCCACCAGCACTGAGCAGAGAGCCCGGCCGGTTGTTAGGCGGGATCGGTCCTTGGAAGTTGTTTGGGCCGTTAGGCAGGTATGAGCGACCCTGGCCCCAGGCGCTGACAGTCGAGGAGCCGGTTGTTCCAGCCAAGGCGGTGGTATTGCCGGGTCCTTGTACAGCGACAGGGACATTATTGAGCTGGACATTCTCAAGAATGAGGCTTCCGCCACTCACGGGCTGCGGATTGTTCGGGTCTCGAGCGGTGACGATTCCAACTGGTGTGTCGCTGATTGAGCTATCGAAGAACGCTACGGAACCGACCGCCTGCGCTGTGGGACCTCCAGAGGCAATGTTCAGACCGACGCTGCAATTCTTTATGTTGATGCCCTTGTATGTCCAGCCCCAGTCCCAGAGCTGGTTAATTGCAGTGACCGAATCGTAGATGCTGATGTTGCGCATCGTGAACTGCTGGTTGCCAATCACCATACCTGCAAGTCCTCCGCTGAAGACAAGGTCGTTCATGAAACCTCCAGAGCCTGTTGGCGATGGAAAGCATTAGCACAGCTCCAACATTCCTGTTTGTAAAAGCCACAAAGACTCACCCTCTTCAATGAAGAGACCCTGGTGTTGGGTTCCGTTCTGGCTGCTCATCAAGAAGCGAATGTTTTGCAGACTTGTAGCTTGAGCGGTAGGCCAATGAATGCCAGTCATAGCCGCGTTGAATGGAACACCTCTCATGTCGATAACGAAATTCCTGATCTGTCTCCAGAATACGTTGGTGGCTCCCCAGCCCAGGCCGTTCGCGCCGTACTGATTACCATCGATAACGCCAAACCCTGTAAACTCGGCCGTCGGCAGCAGGACGGGCGGACAGTTGGGATTGCCAATCATCTGCGTGTAGTAGTAGTCAATGATGGAGCTTGAAACTACATACGTGCCGGCGGGGAAGTACACAACGGCAGGCGTAACAGTAGAGCTTCCGCAAGTGCCTGGAGCACAGCGTCCGCCACTGCTGATGGCAAGGTTGATGGCAGCGGTATCATCAGTCACGCCGTCGCCCTTAGCGCCAAAATCCTTGACATTGCGGAAAGTTTGATAACTGCTAGGGTTTGGGTTGAAAGCAGAGATGCCTTGGTGTTTAACATTCTCCAGCCAGTAAGCACATTGGTCCTTAGGCTTAGAGGGATAGGTGGGCCTTGGAGGTTTTGGGTATGGACGCCCTGTAGGGGTACCACGCCATCCCTTCCAGCTGCTGTAGACTGAGGTAGCAGACTGGACGAGAACCTCAACCTCAGGAATTTTATGCTTGCCGTGTTGAGCGGTGACTGCAGTCGACAAGATCGAAAGAGCGGATAGAAGATTGAAGAGATGCATGTTAAAAGAACGGACCGCAAGGGCCTGAATGAAAGTATAGAAGCAGAGGTGAAGTTGGAAATTCAACTCCTACACAAAAGGAAAAACTTACTTGCGCAGGAGATATCGGAGGTTAAATATTTACGATCTTGGTTGGCTACCCCAGAACCCCAGATGATCTCCCATCCCGTAATATAAACAGTGTTGGAGGCTTCCTAATCGGGAAGGAGATGATGCACAGCGGCTCCTCTTTCTACGGGGCTAATATGTGGCGCTAAGACACGAGGTTACGGAGATGAGTGACTGCTACGCGTGACCCCCCCAAGATGTCAGCCCTCAGCCTGCCTTACCACCGGGGGAGCCGCCAGCGCTGTCCTATCTGACGCTGAGACGGACAAATGCACCACACCACCATTACAAGAGAAGGCATTGCAGAAAAGAAGTGCGAAGTCAGCTATCCCGAACACCGCGGTGAAGGATGGCCGAGGCAGGGGAGCTCCGTAGCTCCAGGAGGTGCGGGAAGAAGCCCCTGAGATGAGGCCAAGCTTTGCGGATCGCGCTAGGCGATCGCGGGGAAACGGTTTCTGAAACTGAGCAGCCGCCTCGGCATCGCGTCAAGCCGGTTTCTAGAAGCTCTTTGTTCGCTGCTCCACAATCCAAGTTCATTCTCGAAAGCGGACTAGAAGGCCGAAGCGGACTGAGCTGCTAAGTTCTTGAGGAAGGTCTCTAATGGAGAAGGTGAGCTGAGAGCTATGTTCGTACTATGAGATTCTCTGGGTGCTGTTTCCGCACCTCTGCTTCATCCGACGACGTCTATCAATTCCTCGATGCTAGAGAAGGTGAAAAGAAGGGCTAGAAGATGAGACGCAAGATTTTTGGACCAGCCACAGATGAACTGTGTTGCTGGTGCTGCACGCCAGGGCCCACCCGCGGTTGCTTGAGCTTGTTAATGTGAATGGCGTTTTCCATGTCAGCCGCGACGACAACGCCGATGCCGGAGGGGATAGGGAGACGCTCGGAGAAAGGCATTCACTCGGAGAGCCTAGTCAAGACTAGGAGACGCATGGGGTCCTTTCTTCCTCCCCATCCAAGGGCCAGCCATCCTACCGTCCAAGGCGCTGAACGCTGTGGAGGAGCATTCAATGTTCGATCACGGCCAGCTACAAAATCCTGTTGCACCTAGGCGGATAGATTGTTTCTTTAGATCCGAACTGCCTTGAGCGCTGGATCGATTGACTTGGGTTCAATATTTGAACCCGCGCATTCGTCGAGTCAAGCAGACCTTGCTTCTCGACCACTGTACCTTGCCGCTCAGCAAGCATACCTCTACTAGCGTGCCGGGAACACTGCCATGGACGATTTTGCTCTCGCACCCTCTCTGCGACGACTGTGCCGCCCTGGAACTTTCGCTTGAGGCGCTCTTGACGCCGTACGACAAGTCTGAGGAGGACTACAGACTACAGTAATTGGGGGCATCCAGACGATAGCGTGCGCCATGCTCCAACATCCGATCTCTCATCAGAGCACCGGACGGATATTGGAGGGCTAGCAGCGCGTACTACATGCACCCTTTGCTAATACGTGCTCCACCTCCTCCGCTCAGAGGCTGAAGCCAAGCGACGAAAATATCATCACGAGAAGCTCGCTGAAATGCTTCAAGACAATACAAGAGAAGTTCATTTCGGGATCTTAAAGTATAGTGTGTTCCCATGTCGAGTGTTCTAAATCGTCCTGGGATGCCCAGCGTCCTATACATTCGATTTAATTCCATCTTCTCCTACCGTCAACTCGCTACAGCGCAACTGTCGTTTGTTGGTCGAATTTTGGGCAATGTTATTGATCCGTGTCTGGCTGGAGAATGGATCAACGCCTGCCAGAACTCCCATAATGGGAAATGCGGCCAGTTGGCGAACGATCCTTTGATTTTGAGCTCCGGGCTGTACATGTGAACGACCTGAAAGTGAGTGTCGTTCCAAAGAGCGCGCAGTATATAGTTCTGAGCTATGTTTGAGACACCACGGAGGCTTCACTCACCACCAAGGACAACTTGCAGGCACGGACCCAGCCCGGCAGTCCTCGCTCGCTAGTCGCCGACTCTGCGCATGTCATACAGGACACGATCGAGTTGGTCCGAGAAATACAGCAGCGTTGGGTTTGGATTAAAGATTGGCTGTATATACGTGGACGATATTGAGTACAAAGACTTTGCCGGACAAGCCCATCTCCTGCCGATTTCGCTCGTCCTATGACATCCCAATCCGCAGACTGATTCGCTGAACCAAGATCTGTTCTGGGAAGGAAAGAAGGAAGGTCGGCCTTCAGGCCGACCAGTGGGGTAATTCAATGTTATGTGGGTTATAGAAGGCGATGTTTCCTTGGGAACCAAGCAGCGAATTGGCACAGGTGCGATCTTGGCTGAATACATTGTTGGTTGTCCTGATATGGAAGTGAACTGGGAACAGGTTCTGCTACTTTGAACACTGGTGGGAACTCATAGGAATGACCATAAGAGCCTTCTACCGTCACCTCTCTGGATGCTACGGTATAATCCAGCCATGTGGAAGGTCTTAATGCACGGATTCGGCGATATACAATCACCATGAGTGATCTCTCCAAAAGCCAACGTCCCTTTCCTGCCCCTGAATCTGCGAACAGTGAGCTAAGGGGAGGAATGAAGGTTATTCTAGAATCACGGACGAGTCCGTAAGCTGCAGAGTGGTACATGAAGTAACTCAAACAGGAGAAAGGGGGATGACAGAGGCTTGCGACGTTTGACTAGGATGTATCAGCTATCCTCGAACAATCGGTTGCCCTCAAGTAGTTCTTCCTTTTACAGAGTGGTTCCAGCCGATCGACGAACATGTAAGTTGTAAACCCCTTCTGGCACCCTTGATCTAGGTCGTTTCGAGTCGCATGAAGTCTGCGTCGATGCTCTTCTGTCCTCTGGTATAAGTTTGGCTTGTTTGCCGCTATCAATCATACTGGCCTCCTTGACGAATTAGTCAGAAGATAAACGTGCTGGATCTTCATTACAACAATGACTCGCCACTGAGCGATTTATTATGCCGGCTGACTAAAGTATCACATTGCTGCAAGTCGCAGTCCGCGAAACACCTCCAGAACAGCAGCACAGGGTGTTGCTTCAGATTCGCATATAAGTCCACACATCATCCATAATCTTTCACATGCGGCCATAGATCAAAGAATACTGGGCATCCTTCCGCTATATATAAGCTTTAAATCAGTGGATTAGTAGTTAGGTGACTAGGTGATGCCTCTGCCTGCAGAAATAGAGTGGGGTTGGCATTACTCAGCATTTGGCGAGCGCCGGACGTTTTTACCCCAGCCTCGGTCCAATCTTTCCTTTTCAGCGGCTGGCCACCCAACCTCGCTGTCTTCCTCCGACCCGGAATCCCTACAGACTGGGAGATAAGCACAATGTGGCTCATCAGCACTGAATCCCTTGCCCTGGAATTCTTCGTCGATCCACCGAAAGGCTCTTACGCTGTTTTGTCCCACACATGGGATGGTGGAGAGGTCTCATTTCAGGAGGTCAAGGACCTTGGCAATGCGCGGAAGAAGAAGGGCTTCGCAAAAATTGAGCGTACGTGTGAATTGGCTCGACGGCGAAATCTGCCATACGCCTGGGTGGATACTTGCTGCATAGACAAGTCAAGCAGCGCAGAACTCTCTGAGACTATAAACTCGATGTTCCAATGGTATAGGGAGTCGGCTGTTTGCTTTGCGTTTCTCTCGGATCTGCGATCAAGACCCGAAATCGGGTCCGAGCCACCACAATCCGATAAATGGTTTGAACAGAGTTTTCCGGGCTGCAGATGGCTCAGAAGGGGCTGGACGCTTCAGGAGCTGATTGCGCCTCCCCACGTGGAGTTTTATGACATGACCTGGACCATGCGAACATCTAAAGCTGCGCACACCTTATTCCTCAGCAGAGAGACAGGAATCGATGTCAATGTTTTGGAAGACAGTGCCTGTCTGTCTCAAATACTCATTTCAAGGCGGATGTCGTGGGCAGCGGGACGAGAGACTACCCGCATTGAGGATATGGCGTACTGCCTGCTGGGCATCTTCGATATAAACATGCCCATGATTTATGGGGAAGGTAAAAAGGCTTTCATGCGGCTTCAAGAAGAGATAGCAAAGCAGAGCTGCGACCTCTCATTGTTTGCATGGAGGGCTCAATCCCCGGGTCAGGGCAACGACTTCCAAAGCTACAGAGGAATCTTCGCCAGATGGCCAACAGAGTTCACCAAGTGTCGCCAGATGAGACCTCGAAATAGAGGGCCTATCGAGAAGGAGTTCACCATCACAAATAAAGGGCTACGACTTGAAGCAACATTGGTCAACGTGCTCGACGAGACTCGTGATTTAGTCTTCAACCTCGGAGTCTGTGAGTATAGCGATTTGCCCAAGAACAGCGCCAATGGCTGGATGGGGTTGTACCTTACCAAGACGGCGCGAGGATACGTCCGAGCCCGGCCACATGAAATGTACACAGCGGGTCAAGAACGTAAGGGCAGATTACGTTGCGAGAAAGCTGTGTTGCATATCCGCAAGGATTTGAGCCTAGCCGAGTCTCTCTCTCTCAATTCCCAATACCGTCACGCAATCCGCTTCCGCAACGTCACGGGTGAAAACTACTGCTTACGTGGCATGATTCAGCCCGAGGACCTGTGGGACTCCAAAAGGATGCTCTTTCTGGACCAAGGCTCCGGACTCAACGCATTTGTTGTCCTAAAATATCCAATGTCCAAGGTCCACCAGGTCTGCGATTTCCAGGTTGTCATAGCTTGCTCAACTATGGATGCACCCATGTGCGTAATCTGGAGCGAACAGGACAAGACACAGTGGAACAAAGTACTCCATCATATGCAGACTTCGAGGGAGATAACGGATTACGTTGCCTACGATTATCTGCAACGCTATTTCGGAGAGTTTGCTCCCAGACGCACCCAGTCAACCTGCTACTTTCAAGACCCCAACTCGGGAAGAAAAGCTGCCGTCGAGGCCAGGCTGAAAGTTGACAAGTTTGAGGGCATGGAGTGCTTTTGTATTGAAGTGCGTCATTCGTATTGTTTTTCTCCGAGATGATTTCACTTTTGAGCAGCGGTTGGCAACAACATGTGGTTACCCTTGACGTACTATTGCTTCGAACCTTGGCACAACCCTCTCCTCATTTTGTTCATTGTAGTGAATGCATGTCTAGAAGAGCACCCAGAAAAATGACTCGAGATCGTGCATAAAAGGATTGGTCGGGCTCCTGTAGGTGCTTCTTGTTGTTCCTTGATGGCAAGATCGAGATCAATCAAGAAGGAACCCCAGGAGGGGTTGTTGTCGTCATTGTTTCTCGTACAGATGCGGATGCATAGGCAAGAAGTTCTGTGGTCATCGCGGCATCTTCTGCTCAGGGCATTATTCGATTCGTGGCAACTGAACTATTTAATGTACTCTTTTGATATCATTCTCATTCTCTACAAGTTGCGCTCTAGCTGTTCTAAGTTTGGATCTTTTTCATTTATTCATAGCCGCCCGCCCGCCCTGCTGCCGCGCAAGGGAAAAGCCAGCGTCTGAGGGGCGTGTCTCCAGCCCTCTCAACGCTAGTGTTTACCTTCCACAGGAGAGCGCCAATTTTTTGGAGCCGGTTCTCCCTCAAGACCCTGGCGCGTGGAAGACGCCAGCATAAGGCGAACGCCAGCGCAAAGGCAACGCTAGCGTTGGAAAGGAGACAGAGTGGGCACCCTAAGGCGCTGGCGTGTGAATGGCGTCAGCGTAAGGCAAACGCTGGCGTCGAAAGGGAGCCGAAACGGGCTCCCGGGACGCTGGTACATGAGAGACGCCAGCGTAGAGGTAACGGTAACGGTGAGAGGGAGCGACTCCCAAGACGCTGCCGTCTCCACCGCGCTGGCGTGCGGAAGACGCTAGCGTAAGGCGGACGCTGGAGTGGGAAGGGAGTAAAACGGGCTCCTAGGGAGGTGGGAGACGCCAGCGCAAGGTGAACGCCAACGCGAAGGCAACTCTGGCGCTGAGAAGGGGCCAAAACTGGCTCTCAGCAAACTGAATTTCTACTGTGCTGGCGTGCAGAGGACGCTGGTGTTGATTTGGGAGTCGAAATGGGTTCCCGAGGCGCTGGCGTTTCCACTGCGCTGGAGTACGCATGATGGTCAGATCTCATCAAAGGATCCCTTGGCGTTCGGGTTCTTCGCGCGAGTATAGGGCGGCGATGCTCACTCGCTAAAACAGGAAAGGAGATCCTATGAACATGCGCAGATATTCAATTAATAGGTGGGTGACCACTAGCGAATCCCCACTGCTGTATGTTTTTACATTTTTGTTGGACGCACAAACAACCGGCTCAGCGCGGACCAAAAGCTTTGGGGCAGCATATTGACTGCTGAATCACAGCACCTGGTTTTGGTGGCCTCTCTAAGCGTTCCGACGGGGCCTCTCCAGCTTTCAGGACTCTGGCCTATCCGGAGGGCTTCTTTTGAGAAGCCCCTCAAATCGTTCGAACGTGTACGGGAACCTTATGATCCAACGAATGAATCGATGGACAGCAGGGCGGAGTATTTCACCAGCGGATATTTACCAGCTTTACTATAAGAGATTGACATAGACTATGTCGCAGCTAGAGGAGTGCGGCGAGTAAACGCACACCTAGCGATTGACGCGGAACCTATACGCAAACCAACCGGAAACACCAAAGAACGTATATCCTCCAACCCAACCAAGCGCCCCAAACATCCACCCGTAAACCCCGAGAGAATCTCCTCCCAGTCAATTCCAGCAACGAAACAGCCACCACCTCACCAACCCCCTCTAACCCTCCTCCTCGCCTTTCCGCCATCCTTCCCATCCGCAACCCTCCGCCTCACAGCCCAACCCCTAGCCACAGCCTGAAACCCAACCACATCCTCCACCAACCTCCCGATCCTCTTATCCAACACCTTTCGCCACGCCCTCTGCAGCACAGTCGCCGCGTGCACCACCCTCGTCCGAGCCCGCACCACCATCGCACACTCAGCCGCCAACCGCATAAGCGTGATCCGCCTGAAGACATCCCTCCGTGCGAGGCGGGCGCGGAAGGCGCGCTGAACTGTACATGCGGCGCGGTGGGCGCGTGAGAGCGGGAGGAGGCGGGAAGCGAGGAAGGCGAGAGTCGTGAGAGTTGTGGCTTTCGTGGGGAGGGGATAGGGGCCGCTGCTACTGGAGGACGGGGCGAAGAGGGCGATGAAGGGCGTGCTGCAGCCGATGGATTTGAGTTTTTCGGGGAGGTATGGTGGGGGTCCTTGGTGGGATGGTGGGGAGGTCGAGGCGGTGCAGTAGGGGAGGTAGTGCGAGACTATGGCGTCGAGAACTTTGGGGTTGGCGAAGGAGGTTGTGAGGTTCGTGACACGGAGGTTGTGGAGGCGCGCGATGTTGCGGGCCCAGGTGAGGAGGAGATGGGCGTAGCGTTCCAGGTCTGAGGGATCGGCCAGGTCGTCTTCATTGTCGGAGTTGGAGTCTCCGTGAGCCGGGTTCTCTTCGCTGAACTGCGCTTTCAACCTGTGGTTCTCTTTTCCAACCTCCTGCCAGTCCACAAGGGATCCTAGACCGCACTTGCCAACAAGGCCCCAGAGGAAACCCAACGTCTTCTCCCGATGGCCATCGACAATGTCTTCGGCCTTGACGTCTTCTGTGATCTTGCCCGCGAGATCTCGTACCCCTTCCAAGGCGCTCAACGCGATCTGTACATTATACAGTTTCTGCGCCCTGCCAATGCATGGAACTTTCAAGTGCTGCGAGAGCACCCATTCTTCCTTCTCGTCCAGGTGGAAGACGGTTGTAAGCAGCTCCCCAGTGGGCATTGATACTGTGACGGTGCCGTCGGAAAACGAAGAAAGAGCGGACGACGGATACAGCAGTAACTCTACCAGTCTCGTCAAGAGCACGCCATTCCTCAAATCAGTTGCCAGGTTCGATATCTGGTAAGTATACTCCTGAAGCGGGTACTGAACACACGAGAGGTGGTAAGTGAGATGCCCGAGCGGCCGGACAACATCACCAAGAGAGGGAAAGAGCATAGCCGAGAGAGCGTGGAGCACTGCCGTGGACGATTTGTACAGCGAAGAAACCTGAAAGAGACAGCATGTGATGGTGTCCGAAGTCTTTGCCCGGTCTAGGAGGTGGATCAACATCAGACTTCGCAGAACCGTTCGGCGCCAGGACCAGCCTTGCGAGCCAACTTCGTCTTCATGGTGTCCAGCTCCTCTCGTAACGCTGGTTATACTGCCGATACCAGCCTTAACGCGGACAGCGTCCTCGTTGCGGACTAGGAAGGTGTCTAGAAAGCCTTCGATAGGCTTTTTCTCCGCACGAAGTTTTCGCTCGGTGAGATCAACGGCAGAAGAGCCGCTAGACAGCCTCAACGAGGCTTGACACTCACGCCCGACGATGGCCTCCGCGGCGGCCTTGAGCGTTTCCAGATCATACGTGTCCAGCCAAAGATTCAGGAATTTGCGTCGTAGTCCAATATCGTCCTTCAGACGAGCCGCTCGCGTTAGGAGCTCTCTGGGGATGCTCAACGCGCCGTATAGTAAAGAAGCTTGGAGACGTTTGTGGAGCAGTGGAATTTCGGACGCCTGGTATATCACAAGAAGTCTCTTTCTGAGCTGGCTCGGCTCCTGCTCGAAGGTGTTCGACTGCTTTCCAGCCGACTCGAAAATGCTGTTGATAAGCTGGGAGAGAGCGACTTCTTGATAGCTGAGCCATTGGTCTTCGTATAGCTCTGGCTTGGATAGGTCCTCCGAGAGCAAAGGGTATTTTGCTTGCTGCTCCGCGGCTTTCTGGACGATGAGCGGCACGTTAAGCTTTGAAGGTGGCTTTCGGGACTTAAGCGGAAGAGTTGGTTTTGGCGACCACGACAAGCGCGATGGACGATCGAGGGCCTGAGGAACTGATGCTTGCGTCTTCGACCGCTGGTGTGTATTTCCATTGACAGAAGTGTTATCTCCAATCTTGGGAGTCTTTGCAGGTGACGAGCCAGAAATGCTGCCAGAGCTAGTTCTCTTCTTGTTCCAGGTCGCTGCGGGAGCGTAAGTGCTGGCGATCTCCCTCTTGTTAACTATTGCTTTGGCCGCGCGGAGCTCTTTGATAGATTTAAGCACTGGACGAGCATCTTCTGTGGCATGAGCGGCTTTCTCATGTTTTGCTTCGCGTGATTTAGAGAAGTGCTTGCTCGAGCGTAAGTTATCCTTCTCTTGGGGTATATCTTCCTTCACTACCAGCAGCTTTTGCTTTCCTGGAGGCATGTTCTCCTTTCCTCCGTTTTTACCCACGACATCCTCCGAGAAACTGACGCTCTGCAGAGGCCGAGCTGTCTGCTGCAGAGGACCACGTTTGGGCGCTGCCGCGAGGGACTTCCGGGCTGCTTTTGTTTGGCGCAGTGCTGACTTGAGGTTCTCGGGCTCTCCTTCTGACACGTAGAACAGATCAAAGGCCAAGTCTGGAGACTTGTCGCGGATGGCTCTCGTCTTGTGGAGCGGTGCTCCCGGGTGGATTGTCACAATCGTAGTATCCTCGGATGGGATATAGATCGTTCTCCTGCGCGGATCCTTCTTTGCCTCGGATCTGCCAGCTCGCTCCCCTTCTACGATGCTGCTATCCACGCGCCCATCCGCATTTTTTCTCTCTCTTTCAGCAAGCATTGTTGAGACGCGCCGTCGCGAAGGCTGCGTAGGCTTTGGGTGCTGCGGCGCAACAGCACTTCTGTGTGGCGGCTGTGACAAGACTGTATTCCGCCCAGTTGTCTGCTCAGCGCCGTACACTGGCCCTCTGCTCTTTCGGCTCTGGGCAGCGGTGCAATTCGGAGACTCTTCCGCTACATCTTGGAAGATATCCGTCGCTGGATTCCATGCGGACTTCCTCATCGCTGCCGGGCATCGTCTGGGCTTCGCGTGTTGAATATGAGTCCGGATTTCCCGTGTATACTCGATGTTCGCAGTAGTATCGTCCTGCGCGTACAGGTTCGTCGCGTCCGAGGACGCGTAAAGAGTAGTGTGATTGCGGTAGTAAGACGGCATGTGTCGCGGTCCCGAGTAAGTCGCCGGACACGGCGTGGCATCATAGTACCTCTGCATTCTTGAACTCTGCCGTGTGTTAGGTGGTGTTCTGTAATGATAGTGTGCTTCGCGTCCTGGTGCGGCGCGTAGGGAGCCGCCAGCAAGTTTCGCCAATGTTTACACGGTGATTATCGATAAGACGGCAGGCCTTGGCGTGAGTGACGTCCCGAACGTCCCCCTGACTCGCCCGTCCACTATCCATACAAGTAATACAGATTCTTAGAAGCGTCAGAGACGTTAATTGTGTCGGCCCAAGCCTGTAATGCTGACCGCCCTCCAATGCTTGGTCTAGTGCGCCGTAAATGCGGGTGTCTTAAGCAAAGCAATCCCAACAGCAAACGCGCCCCAGGCCAACCATTCCTCCAAACTCCTAGTGCGATGCCGCAACACAGCAGGAAAGATGCCTGCCCAAAGAGGGAGTTTTGAAAGAAATGTGCTGTCAGTCATATGACGAGCCACTTCTTCGTCACCTCTCTTGCACCCAAGAAGTCCTCATTTGCCGCTAGGATGTTCTGTATAGCGTATGCTGCCTCCGCCGCAAAGTCCTCCAGGTCTTCTTGCACCTCATCGTAAGGTTGTCCGTGCTCCTTTCGTACGCGATCGCTGAGCTGCAAACACTTCTCGTACGATTGGAGAGCCAGATTATTCAGACCGAGCGTATGCCACATCCGGCCGACGTTAAACTCCGCTTCCTGGCAGTGGACCGCTCTGTTGTCCTTCGTTCGGAGCTCGTGATACCGAAACAGGAAGGCTATGCCCTGCTGTATCTGATATTGCCTGTTCTCCGCCGTTCGTTTAAGCGCGTGATGGACGTAAGCAACCGCTACCGAAAGGTTGAGGGCAGGATCGTCCGGCCTCAGCGCGTAGGCGCGGAAGTAGTAGTTCAGCGCATTCGGGTAAGAGCCTCCTGCCGCCATGACGTGCGCGTAGAGCGTAAGCAGTGCAGGATCGTGATCCACAAGTCCATGTCTGTTACCCAAGCTCTTTCCGGATCCACTCCAGCTGCTAAGCTCTTGGTTTGAGAACTCGAAATTACGACGAACTTTAGGGTCGAGAAGACTAAAGTCCATCTCCTTGATCAGTCGCAAAAAGTACTTCTGGGACGGACCCGAGTTGTACCATGTTCGCGGACTGCCACGCCAGACGCGGTTGATGAGACTGTAGAGGCGGTATGGTTCGCTCGCATAAGGGTGATGGCGCATGAACCAGCGGATCTCGTCGCAAACCTGCCTCTCGTCATGGAGTAGAAGAGCGCACGCTGAGGTCATCTATTAGCTAAGAAAGTACTAAGTGAGGATGAGACTGCTCACTTAGCCAGCATACATGAAGGTGCTGTAGTCGACGGCCTTCGAAGAAGATGTTTGCTTCTTGCATAGAGTGGAGAATGGGCCAGCATTCCCTAGCCTGCCCACGCTTGGCAAGACTAACAGCGTATCGGCAGAAGATGTCCACCCAATCGTCGAATGAAATGCCGCGGAAGTCGTCGGGGGTGACGTTTAGGTCGTCAGGGTCGACCGGTTCGAGTACGCCTGTATCGAGGTCAGTATGTCTCGATCGCGTACGTAAGGATGAACGGTCGCTTACCGTCCACTTTTCTTAGTTTCTGCGCCATAGCTAGCATTTCAGTCAATGTAGTGTTCCGCTCCACACCACCATGTCTGTTGTGCCTCCCTTGCAGCCTGTGCGGTTTGTACTCTCCATATTTGATATATTTGTTCCGATTAGGGTAAAACACTTTAGTTTGACGAAACTCCTCGATGAGCGTGTTGGCGAGGATCATCCAGTCAGTCATAGCTTGATCGTCTCCCGCATCCATGCTACTCTTGAGACCGTTCATTTGCTCGTACATCGACTTGATGGTGTTCGTGCGCTCCTTTGGATCCTCGAGAGAAGGTTTGCTGGCGGGTTCCTTACTCAGCAACTTGCGCTTCGCGGCAGCAACCCGATATGCATCATCAAAAGAGTCCGGGATGGTTGATTCTAATTGAGCTGCCGTGACAAGGTCTCGTCTGCCCAGTTTGACAACTTCATCCGCGATCTGAACAGCATGATCGGGCATTTTAAGCTCCACGTACGTCTTTGCAAGTTCGATGCGGTGAGACACATCTGTATCATCGAACTGCAAGTACGACTGATAGCTCAAGGCAAGATGCTCGAGCCAGCCGATCGCCTTATAGGATTCGGCCGCGGACAGATAGAAGGAAGGGTCGGTGACTTGGTGTGCTTTTCCAAGGGGCTCGTAGAAGCGTACAGCCTCCTGGTAATGTTTTTTCTCCCTGAGCGCATCGGCGACCTCCCGGAAAAGGTCATCGTGAGTCAAGACTGTTGCATCTGCCGAATCATCTCCGGGATCGAGTGATTCGAAATGTTCCTGGCAATAGTCAGTAATGTATTAGCAGAATACATTGTGCTCACTTACTAGTGCCTCGTCCAAAAGCGGATGTGTTCTACGCAGTTGAAAGATGCCCATTCTGATCCGAAGTTCTATGGGCAGTCCCTGTCCGTATGCGTTCAAGGGGTGCTTGCCGGGAACAAATTCGGATACAGCTGTTCTTCGAGGAGAATGCTCCATATCCCATTCCCGGTCATCGGCAAACTCATCCCAGAATGTTTCTTCCTTTCGGCCTAGCAGCCATCTCGACCACTGTGTAAGTTCCCTCAGGCCTCGCTCATGTTTCTCGCCTTCCTCTTCTTCATTGTTGAGCACAATGAGATCGATGTATACATTCAGCAAGCCCCAGTCAAACAAACTAGTCTCGGGCTCTTCGTCCTCAGTAAGCCGAGTAACGACTTGCTCGAAGAAATCGACTGCTTTCTGCGGTTGCTTGTCCGCGACGTACAACTGCGCCAACTGCGTGACAACCGTTATATCATCCGGACAAGAACGCAGGATCATCTCGCATTCTCTGATAGCATTTCTGAGATGGTTGAGTTGCAGGAGAATCTCGAGGCGCTTTGCCCGGGTCTCATGGTCGTCAGGATCAATACTGATTATCTTGCTGTAGCAGTAGGAAACCTTTTGGTTGAGTGCTCTCTCATCACCGCCACCGACAGATCGAAGCCGTTCCGCGACCTTCTTCCATAGCTCAGTATTCCGGACAGTGTGAGCTCCGATGAACAAAGCGTCTGCAGCATCTTGCGGTCGGCCCATTCTCTCGAAAATCTCAGATTTTAGACTGTGAGACTGAAGCATGTCTGGGTTGATCTTCACCGCTTGCTCAGCGTATGCTAAAGCCTCGTCCCATTTACCTGCCACGTAGGCATCGGCCGCTAAACCCTGAGTACGCATGTACTCTGCACCAGGATTCGCCCCAGCTCTTGGTCCCCTTTTGCCTTTGACGCCGCCGCGTTGGCCTTCCCCTCTGGGAGGCCTTCCACGTCTTCCCCTCCCGGCCTGGCTTGCTCTGGATCCTGTCTGGCTCGCACCGCGCCCTCTTCCACGAGCGGAGCCACGGCCCCGTGACGCTCGACCTCGTGATCCACGACCTCTTCGACCACCACGGCGACCCCTACCAGCAGCGTCTTCATCTTCAGATGGGATGTCTTCGTCGATGTTCTCATCCACACTGCGCTCATCATCGGAGAAAGTGTAGTCAGGATCCACACTTCGACGATTAGCGTCATACCAGCCATCTTGCAGTAACGACTCGCCCCTGGCTGTTCGGTTGGCAACTTCATCCTCTTCATCTTCTATTGCGGCATCTTGCGACCGTCGGTTAGGTAAAATATGTGTTCTTTCGATTTGCTCACGCAACGCAAGCGGTAGAACGCTCAGTCCGCCGTCTTGTTCGAGGTCTTCATACTGAGTTCCTTCCTGGATCGGCTCAAACCCTTCGTGCACAATTGGATATTCTGCTTCAAATCCAGTCTCGACGGGTAGGCCAGCGTAGATGGTTTGCACTGTGTATTTGCTTGATCCAGATGGGGCCGCGAAGTAGGGCCCGTTTTGGAACTCAAATCCTTCCATAGCGTCCTCCATCTTCAGGGTGATTGCTGAGATCAGCTTCCGACAAAATCCTCGTACTTCTTCTTCTTCTTCTTTGATGGTGGAGTTGCCATGTGGCAGCACTACGAGCAGTCTGCTGAGCAGAAGCACCTTCGATGCCAAGCGGGTAATTTGAGCGAAATGGCTTCGCTCAACTTGCGGAAGAAGTTTCGTGGTTAAGACTGAGACCGATATTCGTGATTCACGTACGCCAAGCACCTTTGTCAGCAACTGTATTTTTCGGCCTGATAATTCGTCTTAGGCCAATTCATCGCTCGCTCAACTGCATCAAACCCACCATGACTGCTAACGTTCACAACCAGCTCGAGTGCCTTTGATACCTTATTAAGACCCGTGAGTTGCTCACATATTGCACCTCAGGAATCAATGAGAAACCGTAGAAGAAAGATACATTAGATGCGCATTCCCCGCAGGCCTGTTTTTTTACCCTTTGATGCCGTAGGAGCATTCTTGCGGCGCGATGGGCGCATTTCTGCGCGAACGTGTTCCACTTTTAAAAAGATACCATAAGAAGAACCCATTCTTACTCTGGCGGCCTAGGTATTCTACTGAAGTGAAGCCGTTCAACCTTCTTCCTTTGATTCAGAGCTCTCTCCATTCCTAATATGCGGTGCATTCTAATAGCTTTCCTCAGCATCTGCGTGGCTCAAGCAACCAGCATTCTCCCTAAACAAGCCCACAGTGTAGGCTCTCAAAGCCCTCTTGTCTCTGAGTCCGAGTCAGATCCACTCCCAGTCTCAAGCGATTCACCATCTGCATCTGGACAGCCCTTAAGCGAAACCATTCATCTGGTCTTCACATCGAACACAAACGAAAACACGACCTTTGGGCTCCCTCTGCGGCAGCGAGTCTCTCCAGGTAGAAGCACGTCTTGAAACCAAAGCAGTAGAAACACTGACCGGGAACTAGGAGATACACCTGACCTCCCTCTCCACCCCCACAAAGCGCGCATATCTAATATCCCTCGGCCCTCAGCAGCAGCAAGTATCGACCAGGAGGCTGATATGGCTAGGCTTGCACACATCATCTGCCTCATTCACCCCGTCATCAGCCCAGAGGAGCGAAGCGTGAGCAGTCATCACGGCAGGCCGCGAGCCGGTAGAGGCGATGCCCGGTCGGTGTGGTTCATGGCAACGGACGGGATCGTGAACTTCGATCTAGCTGCTAGCAGGCACTTTTTGGCTGGGAGGGAGGTTGAGAGCTATGAGTGTTTCTGACTCTTGCCTCACTTGAAAGAAAAAACATCGTTCAAGATGCGGTGCTGGCCAAGAGCGTTCGTCTTTGTGATGAGCTGTAGAGATGTCTAATGCAATCTCGGATATCCACTTCCTTAGCAAGCGCGACAATGGCATCTATGCGATCCCAATAACTCCATGCAATGCAATCAACCGATTAAGAAACGCCAAAGTTGTTACACATTCGCATCGCCTTCTTTCATCCCAACCATCTCATACTCCCCGCCCCCATCTCTTCCCCTTCCCCTCCCACGACCGCGACCAAACCCAATACCCTCATCTTCTTGAGCGCCTGCTGCCACAGCATTTGCCCGTGCCGCTCGATTCGGGCCGCCGCCGCCGCCGAAATTGATCGGCTTCAGCTCCCTCCACTGGCACGCCCAAATGCCCAGGAACGTCATGAGGCTCGCGCTCGCGATCTGGAGCGCCCACCAGAACAGATTCGTCGGTATCGAGTGCGAGTAGAACGAAGTAACCACAAGATGGAGGAAGTGGATCGTGCACGCGAAATCCGGGATGAGTTTGGAGCGGGCGATGAAGAGGAGGAGAAACACAACACTGCGGGCGAGAAGACGTGTCAGCTGGGTTTTTTGTGACATCGACGGACGGGGGACCGCGCATACCATATCAAACTATTCAGCATCCAGACCAGCCCCAACATCCAGCCGACGGTGATGTCGCCGCGCAGGCTGCGCCAGCTGAGGAGGAGGTCCAGACTGAGCTCCTTCCCAGCGACGAGCGCCGTGAAGAGGATGAGTACGGCTGCGCACGCATAGTAGAGGACTTGGAGGAGCGCGATCTGGGTCAGGATGCGGAGGGGAGCGAGGTCTGCGAGGGCGCCGGGGCGAGGGGGACGTCTGCGGCGGGGCATCGGCCTATCGAGGGGGCGAGAACCGTGGGGGCATCAGGCGTGCGTGTTCGTGGACAGTGGTTCGCGCTGACTGCGCGTGTGCGGTCGCAAGAGAGGTTGTGTTGTGTAGCCTGCAGGTTGACAGCTAACGGTTGCTCGTGCTGGAGGTGACAAGCGGAGGTTCGCGGTGCCGATCCCGACCCCGAGCTTCCCTCGAAGAATCCCGGGCATCATGAATCCATAGCAGCGACACTCAATCAGCACGCCACCAGCTCTATCGCAAACGAGACGCTATCTCATCACTTGAACAAGCAAACAAACACCCCAAAGGGACCACCGCACGCGCGTCCGCCTTGAAACAACGCCACCACCCGCCCGACGAAGCCCCTTCCCGCATCTCCCGCTCCGCCATCCCAGCCCTACGCGCGATCCCAGAGCTTGAAGCATGGGCTGGTTCTCCTCGGAGCCGCAAGCACCCGCAGCACCCCAGGCGTCATCAGATGGAGCCTTCATAGCGCCAGATCGTACCTCCCGCGCCGCGTGCTGGGAGTCTCGCGACGCCTTCTTCCAATGCCTCGACCGAAACAACATATTAGACGCCGTCAAGGACAAGCAGCTGGCCGATCAGCATTGCGGGAAGGAGGACGTGGAGTTTGGGAAGAACTGCGCGAGTAGCTGGGTGCGTACAAACACTCAACTCCCGAGCCGTTGCATTGGGTGATTGAGCAGAGGCGGAGGCCGTGAGGCTGCCAGCATCCGCGAGCATAGGGCAGTGCGCAATCTACGTGGAAATGACGCTGACGGCTGCCATTTCAGGTGCAATACTTCAAGAAACGGAGAGTAGTGGAATACAAGAAGGATCAGACACTGAAGCAGCTACAGGCCGAAGGCGCGAAGCCGCTGCCGGAAGGCGTCGCGCTACCCGGGCCCGGCTCTGGTGCTCGATAGCGATGGCGGGTGTCTATTCGGTTCCATAAGCGGACAGGCTGGGGAGTGTATATCATGGGCATTGTACGACCGGCCGATTTGTTGTTCGGTCTCCAAAAGACAGGCGCAATTCCTACGAGTCAGTGCGAGGCGTAGCGGAGTTCGTCGGATATGCGCTCAGCGCGGATTATATGTAGATATAGGCAAGGACGATTACAGGGAGGCCTCAAGGCTTGTATGACAACCTGTGACTTGCGTGAGGTCGCTGCCCGCGCACACGTTCGGCAGAGGTGGGCGGAATGTGAGACGGTTGTACAACGAGTCACAAAAGCCGATAAGGCGAGTTCTTTGCATCGTACAAGCAGCGTTTTCCACGACATGCCGGCATGGTGTCTCGGGCATTGTTCCGCGTGCACACCTCGGGGCCCAGCTCGATGTCGTCTGCAACACATCGTCAGAGGCGGCGTGTACCGATTGCGAGGAGAGACGATAGCAACGTCAGAGGAGGCTTTCGCAAAGACTGTTCTTGCTTGCATATCCAGCTTCCTGGTTAGAAGCGGACGCCTCTGGAAGCCCTCTTACTGAACCAACTGGGAAACGTGTGATATCTTTCCATCGGGTCAGGTGGGACAAGGGGAGGTAGGTCCGGGTGGTGCGATGGAGGCCTTGCAAGGCCAGTGCTGCGGGGATGGCTGGCCTGCAACGCGGCCTCACAACTTTTAGCGCCGTGTCTGCGAAATCTGGCATCGATCCTGCATCTCTCCACCCGCGCGGCCGGTGCGCGGTGGGCGATGCATGGTGTCCGGGCGTTCGCAGCATGGATGTCAAGGAGCGGAGCAGGCAGGACAATTGGCCCGCAGGCCTTTGTCGGACGCCTCCAAAGTCGCGCGTGCTGTCCCCGCCCCAACACTGCCCAAGAAGAGAAAGCGAACGGCAGGGTGGGATCGTGCAGGAGCCTTGCTCTGCCCTTGCTGAGCTGTGAGGCGCTCTTCGACATCCGGGATGTGGATCCGGACTCTGCAGCGCTGAATCTTGGGCTTGAATCTTGCATCCGGCGATCAGGCGCAGAGAGATGACGCGCTCATGTGCTTGCCGATCCCACGGTCCCCTGTGCATCCGGTCAGCTCGAGGACCAGTCGCTTCCTGAAGCCACGATGCAGCCGTCGAACGGACGAGATGCTGCAGCTTGCCCTAGCTTATCGACGATCGGCCTTAGGGCGTTCTGGGGACGCGCCATCTTCCATTGGCCGCGATTCACTCCAGCATGGGGCAGAGCGTGCTGTGCCAAGATGTTGAGTATTAATAGTTGCTTTTCCTGGACGCGAAAAGGTCCAGTTGCTAAGGTAGGCGAATCCTTCGCCGACAGGGAACGCCGATGCTCGAGGGCTGTCTCCCGCCCAACGCCAGCGCCAACACACGCGAAGTTCGCTCACACACGAGTCAAGGAAAATCCATCTGTCCGAACCAAAACACCGCCACTCGCTCCTTGTTGAGAGGGTGAGAGACAAGGGCCCTAGCGCCATGTAGTAGGAAAGATCTTGGAAGGACTGAACTCTTCCCTGAACACCTCAAAGTCCGATGCGCCCCCCTTGGAATTGCCAGGTTGGTTGCTCTCAATGGCAAAGACGACGTTGGAGAAAACACCTTTGAACTCTTCTTCATGGAACAAGAGTATCCTCCACATTCTTGCGACTTCTGCCACCGGATTGCGGAAGATCGGCCCCACGCCGAACGCCCCCAAGCAGATGTCTTTGTGGCCTGCGTAGGCGGCAATGCGGAGTATGGTGCGCATCTTCTCCATCATGAGTCCCTTCTCCTGCACGAAAGAGTACTGCGTTCCGCTCTCGTCCAGCTTCGGACGTCTCACTGGTGCAACGGAGATGACTGGCAACGGTCTGAAGTCTCTCCACAGTTCGTAGTGATCAGGTCCATCACGGTACACGACTATGGATGCATGAGCCAAAACTTCGTTGACTAAAGGAAGAGCAGACATACCAACGTGTGGCGAGTAGATACCCCCTCTTTGGGGCATGGGGTAATGCGGCGTGGCATTGCTATAATCCCACGGTGTGACCAATGTATGCACAAGATTGCTCCGTCGAGCAAGACATTCCTCTGGCGCCATCAGACCGGATTCCCAATCACCGCCTGCGCGTTTCTCGTTCGCCATATTGACCACAGGAATCTGAGAAGTAGGAGGTGACGGCAGTCCATCTTTGGTATTGTGACGGTACCAGTCGAGGGCAACGTCAACTGGATCTCCGTCGATTACGGCCACTCGTAGTCTTTGGCTAGGTCTAGTACTACCCTTCACTCGCATCAGAGAAGAATCGGGATACAGTATGGATCGGGCTGGGTATTGCCGCATAGCTCGCTCGATGTAGGGTATATATGTCTTTTTGGCTTCCGCGGCGATCTCTGAGGGCTTCGGCCTTGATTGAGGCATCTTCAGCTCTCTGAACGTGCACACCGAGTGACAAGAAGTCAAGGTGGTAAGGTCAGCTTCTTCTGGCGGAGGAAACGAAGCACTCAACGGCGTGTAGGAAGGATGAGATTGAAGGCGAAATTGAAGATGGAATTGAAGAAACGAGGAGCGAGACTAGGTCTTTAAGTAGCTCGACGCTGGCATCTGCGTCCCGAGCCGCAGATGGCTCATTTGCATGAACGATGAGGGCCACGACAAATGAAAATGCACGCCGGTGCTCGATCTCTAAAGCAGTTCATGCTACTCCCAGCTGGGCGTGCGGGTAGTAACGCACTACGATAGGGCAAGGATGTTCGAAGTCATGTCGATTCCGCCCAGTGGCCACTAGCTGCAGAGCAGTCTAAAGCCCATGGAGCTCCTGGGATGCAGGCGTAGCCAAGCATCGTAGTTCGTCACATTTAGGGCGGGGAGGAGACACAGCTTACGGAGGATGAGCGTAAAGTGTGATGAGCTTCGGGCGTTTCTTCTCAATGCCTGGAGGGAAACTGTTAATTCGTCGACGGCGATGTCCGGTCGAGGCCAGCATTCTCGAGGTGCTCTTCAGACTTTCCGCATGGGTGGATCTGGTGAACGTCCGGAGCATTGAAGTGGCGGTGATCGCGCACCTACCTAGGTAGCTAGTGGAAGCGACAAAGATCCTGGTACACTACTCAGTAGCGCGAGATCTCAAGATTTTAGACTGTCAATGCTCTGTGGGGAGTTCGGGTTTCTAGCACTGCATAAGCGCGGGTGCTAGGCGCGCACGCTGACGGTCGTTCGCCCAATGGAGCACAAGGGATGGCGGTTTTACCGACGGCGGGCGACAAAGCGGGTGTGGCGCTGTTGCATGTTTCGCGAGGGCGATGTCAGCTGTTGTGCCGGTGTGCGGCCATCCGACACGCTCTAGAGCGCGGCCTGACGCTGTTGAACGCCATCGCCGGCTTTCAATGGCAGGCATTGCTTGTAATACACGTGTAGGGAAGTTGGGTGTCGTCTCTGCTTCTTTGCTGAATTGAGTATGCTGGACCCTTCTGCTGCAGAAGTACGGTCCCCTCGTTTGGAACGGCTGCACAAAACGACTGCCGCGGCCGTTCCGCTGCGGTGGACCTTCTTGGCGGCCTTCCGATCGCCTTCAAGGTCACCACGGTCGAGATTATTATTCCCGCCATGTCGTCAAGGGCCGGCGTACAGCAGGACGGCCGCTGTAGAGACAGACCAGAACAGAAAACGTTTCCCGGACTGACGACTCCGTGGGCTCGGATTAACAGGCACTCGTGCAGCTGCTGGCGGGAGAGCCTCAAGCAGACCGACTCAGGTAAGGTTCCTTGGCGCGCGGGAACCCGCCGATGTGGTTTGCGATACGTTTAACCGCGTTTGCGCTAAGGCTTTATGAACACACTTCGTCCACAATCAAATACAACGGAAGGTCTAGACTGCCAGCTCGGTTGTAGACTCGGTGCAGAGATTGGACTGGCGTTGGAAGAAGTTTTGCGCGGGTCGATAACAGCACAAGCGCGTTCCGCAGTTGCGCCAGAGCTGGGAACCGTTCCCCAAATGGAGTATGAAAACATATCCAGCCCTCGGACGAAAAGACCTTCCTGGAACAGCACTTGGTTGGAACATGCTTAATCGGGGCGGAGCTCGGATATCTGGCGGGGAGAGAGAGTGGATGTTGGATACGAGTACTGTATCTCGCAGACATGGGATGGTCGATGCTCAGAGATTGCGCACGGTCCATGAAGAGTTTTGGTCGCCTCGGGGAGACATCCAGATCGCCAACAAGTCCATCGTCCGTCGCCAGCCTAAGAACAACGCTCCATGCGGTGACCTCAGCTCTCTGTTTCAATGATACGGAGGGTCTTTCGAAGCGGCTGCAGGTCGCGTCCAAAGGGTCGCACGGCATGGGCCCCTAATGCGCGGCAGACATCCACTGTTACTCGCCCGCCGAGCATAGCATCGCTGCTGCGGCCTTCTCAAGACCAATCCGCCCCTTGTGCGGGTGACAGGGTCAAAGTCAATGGGTTCATCAGCTCCGTCCGCAAGCAAAAGCGGGTGGCTTTTGCTGCCGTAGCAGATGGCTCCACCTTGGAAACACTGCAGGCGGTCTTGACTCCTGAACAGGCAGAAGGGTTCGTAGACTCCCCGAGATCCTCACAGATCGTTGTGACGCTGCCAATGCTGACGTTACATTTCTCGGCTGTGTAGACTTTCTACAGGCGTGGGCGTGAGCATCACCGGGCGATGGCAATCATCCCCCGCGGGCAAGCAGCAAAGCCACGAGATCCATGCACAAGTAGTTCAGGTTCTAGGTGAGAACGACTCCGCCGTATGTTTCCATGTCGTCCAAGCTCTTGCCGTCAACCGTAACTCATGAAGCCTCTCTCTTCCAGTCATATCCCTTGCAGAAGAAATATCATTCACCTGAATTTCTCCGAACAATACCGCATATCCGGTCACGCCTTCCAAACAACGCTCTCTTATTACGTTTCCGATCTCAGATCATTGCTCAGCTGACGGCTTTCTTTGCTGATCGGGACTTTGTGCAAACCCATCCGCCTATCATTACATCTTCGGATTGTGAGGGCGCCGGCGAAGTCTTTACCGTCTCAGCAGAAGACTCTAGCGCCATTGAATCGAGTGGTGATGGACGTTCTCCTATGCATGGGAATAGTTTCTTTCGAACCCCGAAATACCTTACGGTATCGACTCAGCTGCATCTGGAAGCCCTGGCTCACTCCGTCGGAAACGTCTGGACTCTTTCACCGACATTTCGGGCCGAGAGAAGCGATACTCCGCGTCACTTGAGTGAGTTCTACATGCTCGAAGTCGAGATGAACTTTGTCGATACACTCAATCCTATCATGGATCTCGTTGAAGATATGCTCAGGGATATCGCTTTACGGCTACAGGACTCAACGGTTGGACAGGAACTCCTAACTTCCAGGTCCAGCTCTTCGAATGGTGAAGAGGCAAGTGCCGTCACGCATGATGTGCTACTCCAGCGGTGGCAAGGCCTGGCCCAAAGGCCTTGGCCGCGTGTTACGTACGCGGAGGCAATAGCAAGGTTGCAACAGGCAACGTCACAGAAGAATGTTGTTTTCGAGTTTGAGCCGACTCTGGAGTCTGGACTGCAAGCCGAGCACGAGAGATTCTTAGCTGAGCACGTTGGACAAGGCAGTCCAGTCTTTGTGACTGATTACCCTCGCATTATGAAACCGTTCTATATGGCCCCTTCCAGGCCTACCTCGGGAAACACCGATCCCGTATCCACAGTGGCATGCTTCGATCTTCTTGTTCCGGACCTTTGTGAGCTCGTCGGGGGTTCCCTACGCGAGCATCGATGGTCTGCACTTCACGACGCTATGGAGAGCCATGGCCTGCTTAAACCAAAGCGAGTTTTTGGCGAGACACACGACGCAAGCGGTTCAATCAATCCCGCAGTGGAAATGCAGAGTATCCCTACGCCTTCGACAGAAGTCTCAAGTCTACAGTGGTACCTTGACCTACGCCGTTACGGAAGTGTACCACATGGTGGGTTTGGGTTAGGCTTCGATCGCCTGCTGGGCTACCTGTCTGGTGTCTCCAATCTTCGAGACACCGTAGCTTTTCCAAGATGGTACAAGCGGTGCGACGCCTAATAGATCTCCGCCATCTAGGTTATGGAGTTCACAAACCCCATGCCGACGATTAAGGTTCAACCCACGATTACGGTTGCGCAATGCGGAGATGTGGCAACTCAAGCCTCTTTGAGCCTTCCAGGTTCACTGCATGCGACGGGTAGTTCCGCCAGCGACTTCACATGTAATTTGTAAAGGATTGGAATTCGGTCTTCGCCGAGCGGCCTCTTACGCTCTGGATGTCAGCCTCATACTTCTTCAGCTCTGATTGACTTATCCTCGGTACGGTGTCCAGCGTCACACTTGAGGCTCTGAGTTTGTTCAGATTTGTCCGCGTCTCTCGTCCATTGCTTGCCTGTAACTTCCTACATGTACAAATGGTTCTACGTCCACTGGATTAGATGCATGTAATGCGGTGCTGCATAAGAACTAGACGGGACGTAGGTAGGTTAGAACAACGACTGGGCTGCTATTTTGATTACGTAGAAACGGTGGTCTGGATTTCTTTACATTACTGTACAGCAGCTGGGATGACGCTGGACACTCGGTTAGCGAGCTCTAGCTCGAAAAAGAAGCTTCCCAGCGTCTCATCTCGTGAAGCAGGCGCATCGCCAAAAAGTCTACTGTGCCAAACAACCCCCCATCCCACCCATCGCCGCTCCCGAATCGGGCTCCTTGCGCTACGCCATCCTCCAGCGCCTTCCCTGACCAGACGTCGAGCGCAACGGGTTCGTCGCAGACCGCTACCAGCCTGTCACAGGCTTATATGGCCGCCCCGGTCGAGGAAACCGACTACGAGTACAGTGACCATGCTGCTGGAAGAAGAAGCCTCTCACTTACACCAGACGCAGCTATGAGTCCTTACCGCCCAACTTCTCGCTCGCCGCGAACATGCTGGCGGGCGCATTTGCCGGAATCGCCGTAAGCGCAGATGATAGACCCGCTCACCCGCTACTATACTAAGATAGATTCAGGAACACTCGGTGATGTATCCTGTGGACCTCCTCAAGGTACTTCGATGCACCATGCCATCCTCCGTGCGACATCTGACCTCTGCCGCCCCTACAGACACGGATGCAGATCATCAATCCCTCTCCAACCGCTCTATACTCCGGTTTGTCGAACGCGATGGTCACCATAACACGCGTAGAAGGATTCAGAACACTTTGGAAAGGGCTTTCAAGCGTGGTATTGGGCGCTGGTTAGCAATCCCGCTTGAAAATATGCGGCTTCGTTCTGACCATCCTTAGGTCCGGCGCACGCTGTTTACTTTGCTACATATGAGGCGGTCAAACACGCAGCAGGGGGGAACCGGGGAGGGAAGGAAGAGCATCATCCGTTTGCAGCCGGTACGCCGCAACATGCACTTGAGAGTCATGGTTGCTGACCTTTCCCGTAGCCCTCAGTGGTGCCTCGGCAACCATCGCTAGCGACGCGTTGATGAACCCGTTCGACGGTAAGCTTGGTATATCACGGCTTCGGCAGGCCGGCTAACTCGCGCAGTTGTTAAGCAACGGATGCAGCTACATGGATCCGTCTACAAGACCATCGGTCAATGCGCGAGAGATGTCTTCCGAAGAGAAGGCTTCACCGCATTCTATGTGTCATACCCAACAACGCTATGCATGACTGTACCCTTTACCGCAACACAATTCGTCGCATACGAGTCTCTCTCAAAAGCCATAAACCCGACAGGGAAATACGACCCCTATACACATTGTACGGCGGGAGCGTTAGCCGGAGGGGTTGCTGCTGGTATCACTACACCGCTTGATGTGATCAAGACTCTGCTCCAAACCAGAGGGACTGCGACAGACCCGGAGCTTCGAAACGCTAGGGGCTTGTGGGAAGCTGCGAGGATTATCAGACGCCGGGACGGCTACGGAGGCTTTTTCCGTGGCTTGAAGCCAAGGATAATAACGACGATGCCCAGTACCGCCATCTGCTGGTGAGCAGCAGAGTCTGATAAACGTGATTGAGTTGTGCTAACTTTCATCTGCAGGTCTGCATACGAAATGGCCAAGGCATTCTTCATTGCCCGGAACGAGGCGTAATCAACGCCGTCACACGTTCACGTCAACCTACGGCAACGGCAGTCCGGCGAGCTGCCGGTTACTGCAGCGTATGAGATCGTCACTAATCGACGCTGCAATAGCCCTGTTTTCGACGCGTCTTCAGCGGTTACAGACGCCCCCGACGTTCAGGCTACCATACTGGTAGCGACAACCATATCTACCCCTGACGCTTTTCAGTCCATTTGTTCGCGCCTTTGCGAAGAGGCGCGCCATGTCTGTACATATAAAGACTCTCGGGGAGGGCCTCTGATAGACTTCTTGGTACGATATCATTGCAAGGCGTTCAAAGGACTCGTGTTCTGTCCTTCCTGTACGGACGTAGGGGCGAACCTGTATCTATACTTGCAGCCAGTGTCAGCTGGCATATCTACATCAATGAATGATGAAAGTCTGCATAACGAACCTGCCCTAGCGTCTTAGCCGCTCTAGGCTGTCATGAAGATGAATGCTTAGGCAGACTCCAGGGCAGACAGGCCGCCGTGGCAGGCATGGATTTACTCGAGTTCTACTGGCCGGAGCGCCTCCGCACTTTCTATTGTCATGAGAAGCAAAATCCGTTGCGGGCGCCTATCGATAAGACGAGCGAACCAAGAGTACTTGAGTACAACTGAGCCTTTCAACACGCATTGAACTGGACCCGTCTACGCACCTTGCCATGGTCTCTCAGAGTTCAAGAAGAGAGACGCACATCAGTGTCCAAATAGAACTAAAGGGTCTTTACGAAGAGTAATTGTCGTTGATATTAAGGGCGACCCCTTGCGCCAAGAAAGCACCCGACTACGTCACGCGCGTTGAGCCACTCAACCCTGTTATACAAACTACCCACGCATCCGCCCGAGCAGGCACGACTAAGAGCCTCAGCTGCTCACTATTTACTACGAGGAAGCACGAGGGGAGGCGCTCTCCTGAGGACACAATCATGATGCGCACCAAGCCTTCTACTGCTATGCAGAAGACCTACGACGAGTGCTACCTCATCTGCTCTACCGCTGTGTACTTTGAAAGCCAGGTCAGTATCGATCCATCGCTGATTTGCTGCTTCTGATAGGAGTGAGCAGAACAATGAAGCGGAAGCATTGCGTTCATGGCGCAACGCCCTTGATCAGATAAACTACCACAACGCCTACCGCGTCCCGTCCAACTACCGCCCCAAGTCCGAAACAGAAAAAGCCTTACAAGACTCGTTACACCACATGGAATTACAGTGCAGGGAGCGTGTGGACTTGCTGGAAGCGCTCAAGCGGAGCAGAGTTGAGGCAGTAGAAGGAACCGTATCGGCTACAGACGCATCTGCCAGCCCTCATGCGAGTGGCGTACAGCACACAGCGTCGGAAAGCATTGAGCAAGATCAGGCTGAGTGGTCGAGGAGGGCGAGCGCGGTTCCCGATACCCACTACGTCGAGCCTTCACGTCCCCCGCCGTTACCCAGCCGACCATCGCACATTATAAGAAAGACCTCGGAGAACGTAACTACACGATCACGCAGTCTGCCACAAGAATATATACCATCTCCCGCACTGCCACCGTTGACTCCGATGCTGTCGGTGCCACAAAAGAAGAACTCAAGGACACCGAGCCCTGAAAAGAAAACCAGCATGTTGAGGACGCTACGGCCGGGAGGCCGGGAACGAGAGCGGTCTTCATCATCTAAGCTAGCGCCAAGTCTCAGGAATCGGCCCCCTGCTGCAGCGAAAGCTGCGACACTGGCGTTTACCACAACGTCACGGCCGAGCGCAGGAAGGCCAGCGGGCCCGCCTATTGGCGAACCTGCAGTGCCCGCTGCCAAACCAGCTATCCCGGATTCTCAGCCTGAAGACCGCGGGCCGAGACGAAGCTTCGAGCAGCAAGATGTAAACGACAACCCTAGTACCAGTGCCAGAACTCCGAGTCCCTTCTACATGCGATACTCTGAACCAGACAATTCTTCCAGTGGACCATCAAAGGAGAAGGACTACTTTGTAGCCCCTTCGACAGGCGAGTCAATCTCTCGAGCTAGGCAGGCTTCGTTAGGGGACGCAGAACCATCTCAACGGCGAAAGCCTCCGACTCCTCCGCCGCATCGCTCCGGTGCAAGACCTCTTGCTAGTGGGCAAAAATCCCCTCTACGATTACCAAAATTAAATCCGGACGTGTTGAACTACCGTAAAGAGTACCCTCCCACGCAGGTGAATTATAAAAAAGCCATGTCCGTGGCTGCTGGTGGACCGGCTCCGTCAGCTAGTGCGCCTAAGGAAGATAGCTCCCGTCCTGCCGATGCACCCCCAACTCCAGGAAAGGCAAGCACTGCCATCCGGCGCAAAGCTGTCAATACGCCGCCGAAACGGAGAACTACTGAAACTTCGTCGGCAAGTGGCGACGACAACACCAGTAGCGGGTTGGACGTTGAACCAAGGGGCCGACGGCGGCCTGGAAAAGAGAAAGCTACTGGTGAGCGTGCGGGCCTACCACTCACGCCAACGTCAACAGCGTCCAGGGGAAGCACTCCCGATCAAGAACTCGAAGGTAAAGTATGGAAGGAGAAGGTGGAGCAAGTCTTAAAGCATCTACCTAAGGGTGTTGATGAGACTGCTGCAGCGCAAATTCTCAACGAGATCGTCATACAGGGTGATGAAGTCCATTGGGATGATGTAGCAGGCCTAGAAATTGCCAAGTCCGCGCTGAAGGAGACGGTCGTGTATCCCTTTCTGCGACCGGACCTTTTCATGGGTCTGCGCGAACCGGCGAGGGGTATGCTCCTATTCGGCCCACCCGGGACCGGAAAGACGATGCTCGCGCGGGCTGTGGCGACAGAGTCGAAATCGACGTTCTTTGCCATCTCTGCTAGCAGTCTCACAAGCAAATATCTAGGCGAGTCGGAGAAGCTTGTCCGTGCGCTGTTCGCGCTGGCGAAGGCTCTTGCGCCCTCCATAATCTTCGTCGACGAGATAGACTCGCTTCTATCTTCCCGTGCTGGATCAGGAGAACACGAGGCGACGCGCCGGATCAAGACCGAATTTCTGATTCAGTGGTCTGACCTCGCTAAAGCCGCCGCCGGCAGGGAGCAGTCAGAGAAGGACAAGGAGCGCGGCGATGCGAGCCGTGTCCTTGTTCTCGCGGCTACGAACCTGCCATGGGCGATCGATGAGGCTGCGCGACGGCGGTTTGTGCGGAGACAGTACATCCCGCTCCCGGAGGATCATGTCAGGAAGCTGCAGCTGCGGACGCTGCTGAGTCACCAGAAGCATAGCTTGAGCGATGTGGACTTAGACCGGTTGGTTGAGTTGACGGATGGTGAGTGTAGAACCGTTTGCACCGTATAAACGTCCGTGAGCCGCTGCTAATTCACCTTTTTTCAGGCTTTTCTGGCTCAGATATCACAGCACTAGCGAAAGATGCGGCGATGGGCCCGCTACGCAGTCTGGGCGAAAAGCTGCTGCACATGACCATGGACGAGATCCGTCCGATCATGTTTGAGGACTTCCAGGCTAGCTTGGTCAATATTCGGCCCAGCGTCAGCAAACAAGGTCTTAAGCAGTTCGAGGACTGGGCAAGGGAGTTTGGTGAGAGGGGCGGCTGAGCAGGTTTTAAGTAGTAACATATATCCTAAGGCGGAAAGCCGCACGCCGTGGCCTGTATGGCACAGGTACAAGCTGGTACATCTTCCTGCCGTATGGTCGCTTTGACTACCGTGTAAGAGAAATAGTCGGACTGCGGCTTGGGTGCAGAGATGCTGTACTCGCAATTGGCCACGGTGGGAATGTACTTTGCACTATTTATCAACCGGCATGCGCAAAAGTATCATGATATCTCTCTCTCAAGCTACAATAGACGCAGTCGGGATTGGTTAACGTAGCGAATCTACGCTCAAGTCATCCCCTTTGCGGACCCGAGAGCTCTATTCCATGTCCAACAACTGGACAGCTGATAACATGCGTCTCTCTCTGCACTATACCAACTCAGCCGCTCCTTTGCATTTGTGTCTTTAGTTATGCCGCCGCACTCTGCAGACCGGTACAATGGATTCAACCCAAAATCGATCCGCTCTGATCTCACCACAGAAACTACCCCTCTACTCTCAGTGTCTAATAAACACAATGCGCGACACGGAGAGGTAGCATATACTGCGTCCACTCTCTTCGCTCCGCTCGCACTGTAGCGTAAGCAACCACCCACGCCATGTTCCGACTCTTATATAAAGTGTCACCCTTGCCCCAGCCAGAACCCTCAGCCATCCACCCCAGCAAGCACCCCGGCCACCCAATCCAACCTCACAGCGCTCACGCCTCTTGCATAACTCCTACTGGTGAAAACACTCTCGCTGAACACGATTGCCTCTACCTTTTTGCCGAACAGAACGCTGGACGGATGAATCGCTATCGTCTGGTTCCCCAACAAAGTCCTATAGCTACCATCCGGCATCAACCTCGCCGTATTAGCCGCGAACCCGCGGAGGAGGCTCTGGAGGACGCTAGCCGTGAGCTCTTCGGAAGACTTCTCGGTGTCTGCAGCCGGCAGCGACAGCTGCCCGCACAGCCCTCTCAGCTGTTTCCGAATGTCCATGACATTCTGCATCGCCCGGTGCGAGACATAGTGCCGTTCCGCCCAGGCCTTCCTGTCGCTCTTCTCCTCCGCATAGCCCCGCACGGTGGCCAGGAAGGTCATGTGGTCGCCTTCCCGCCTGTAGAGCTGCCGTCGCGCGACTTCGGCTTCTTCTCTTTTCTCTTCGGTGACGAGGTTCAGGAAGACGTTCTCGACGCTCAGCGCGGCGATGATGTCGATCATCTCCGTCAGACAGTTCCGTTCCGGCTTGGCTGCTTCGACGAGGCAACGGCCGAGTGTTGGTGTTAGGGGTAGTTTGGCGATGGTGCGTCCGACATCGCTGATCTCGCCAGCTTCGCTGAGCGCGCCGAGCTGCAGAAGCTGGAGGAGTGCTTTCTCGAGGGCCTCGCGCGGTGGTTGTGAGAGAAAGGGGAAGTTCAAGACGTCGGAGATGCCGCGTGCTTTCATTACGAGAATCGCGGCGCTTAGGTCACAGCGTAGGATCTCAGGCGTGGTGTTCTTTTCTAGGGTGCTGTAGTCTTTCTCGGTGTACAGCCGATAGCACTGGCCCGGGGCCTCACGGCCAGCGCGACCTTGCCGCTGTATAGCTGCGGATTGTGAGATGGGCTTCACAAGGAGGGAGTCTAAGCCTAGTCGGTTGCGGAACTGCTTGATCTTCGCCTTGCCGCAGTCGACGACGAAGCGGACACCTGTGACGGTGACTGAGGTTTCCGCAATGTTTGTTGAGAGAATGACTTTTCGTGTTTTGGGCGGTGCGGGCGCGAATACACGCTGTTGAAGATGTTGCGGCAAGGCGGCGAACAGGGGTAATGTTATAATTTTAGGAACCTCTGGACCCATACCCAAGGCGTACTCGTTCACCAGCTTCTCAAGCCCTTCGACCGTGTCTTGGCCTGTAAGGAAGACAAGGATATCTCCCGGCATAGGCTCTTTGTAGTGGATCTGGAAGATGGAATTGAGCGCTGCTTCAACAAAGTCTTGGGTCGGATCCGGTAAGTACATGGTCTTGACGGGATATTGACGGCCTTTGATATGGCATTGGGAGATCGAGGCCGTTGGTGATCCATCTTCTAGCTGAACACCATTGGGCTCTCCTTTATTTGATGTGATGCTCCTTGGTACCTCGTCTTCGCTCGAGGACGAAATGCCTGACCACGACGACTCCGAATCCTCTGCACCGTTGGTGACCGCGTTTTCCCCATTTGAGATAGGGTGTTGACTTGCAGATCGATAGCCGTCCTCAAAAAATTTCTGTAGGCTTTCAATATCTGCAGTAGCGCTCATAACGACAACCTTCAATGGCTTCCCACCTCTTCCCTTCTTATCACCAGTGACAATATTCCGCAAAAATCCCAACACAAGATCCACATTCACGCTTCTCTCATGCACCTCGTCCACAACCACAACACTATACTGCCGTAACCACGGATCCCGCAGCATCTCCTGCAGCAGCATCCCCTCCGTAAGGAACTTTATCCGCGTGCTCGGACTGACGCTTTGGTCAAATCGCACGCTATATCCGACCCTGCTGCCCGGCGACGAGCTTCCCAGCGTGCTGCCCATCTCATCCGCCACGCGTCTGGCCAGCGATATCGCTGCCACCCGGCGCGGTTGTGTGATTGCAATCTGTCCGGTGCACCATGGCTCGCTCAGGAGGAACTGAGGCACCTGCGTGGATTTGCCGCTGCCGGTCTCTCCTACCAAGAGCAGCACATCTTTGTGGGGGCTGCGGAGCGCCTGGCGGATTTCTTGCGCGTGGGGCCAGATTGGAAGCGCCTGGCGTATGGGGAGGAGCTCTTGACGCTTCTTTGCTAGATGGCCTGGCGGAGCTTTTCCCTTGGGTTCGGAAGTGCCGCGTGCTACTGAAGGAGCCTTCGTTTGGGTGCTGTGTATCTGGGTGCCATTTGTATGGGCGCCGTTTATGTGCGTGCCATTTATCTGGTGGCCATTTGTCTGGGTGCCATTCTGAGGTTTTGCGTGCTTTAGGGGGGCTTGGGGAGGGGGTTTTCGTCCCTCGGGGCCACGGCCTCTGCGGTCATCAAGCTTGCGCTTCTTGCCCTGCTGCAGCTGTCGAGGAGCAGTAGAGGCGGGCGCCGGTTTTGAGGGTCCGGGTTCGTCGTCAAATCGTGTGTGTACTCGTTCGGGCATCGTAGGCGCTCATAGCCGGTCCGCGATAGTGAGATGGAGACGTGAGATTCAACAGCACCACATATTTATTGGGGGCGTAGGCAAAGGCCCCGGAGATAGGTGTAAGGTAGGGGAGTCTACGCGTCCAGCTTTCGTCGGCGCATGGCGTTGACCAGAAATTTTGGCACACAGCCTTATCGATAGGAGCGGCGCCACCAACAGCCCAGCCCTGCCAAGCCCGCTTGCCTCCCACGTGCTCGCTCTCGTGCCTCAGAACAAACCTGGGCTGAGAGTCACGATAGGTCCATCCTCCGGCTCCGCATCGCCTTGCAGACTTCAGTCGGCGCTCAACATGATGAGAGGGGCATTTCGAACGCGTGAAGCGTACGGCTCTATTTCGCATACAGTCACTCCAAGCAGCGCTGCTCTATTGCTCCTGGTAGGTGGGTTCAAGGAAGGATAAATATTTAATACAGGAGAACGCTGCGGCTTTGTTTGCGTCTGCGAGCCTTTGAAGATAACGTGGCCGAAGGGTCAGCCTCTGGCGCTGCACAGATACAGCAAATGCTTTTAAAAGGGTTTGAAGGATCATGCCAGCACAGGTCTCCCTCTACCGTCACCTGAAGTTGACATCCATCGGCGCGGTGCTCGTCGTGGTCATGTCCGCCGCAGCAACGAGATCCTCAACTCCTCGCTGCCGCCTACTGTCCACGAGCGCTCTAATCAGAGCTTCCGCAACCTTCCTCCCCTTGGCAACATCTTCCTCCTTAGGTAGCACTGGAACATGCAAGAACATGACCGGCCTCTCGCGCCCGTCCTTCTTGTAGAAGTACGCCAAGCTGGTGTAGTAGATGAAGCCGCACAGGAAATTTCCCGCGTCTTCCGACGGCCTGACATCGATCCCCTGATCCGCCAACTCAGATCTCCATCGCCGCCACACATCTTCGACGCGGAACGTCGGCTGCAACACTGCCGGACAGTCCCCAAACACCTTGCTGCTTCGCTCGGCGGAGAACTTGTGTCCCTCGACGTCGGCAATCTGGTCGTATCCGTCGCGATGCGCGCCGCGTTCGAGCGTGAAGTAACTCCGCCCGGCTGCGAGACCGATGTGGAGTATGAGGTCCGGATTCACCTGAGCGATGATCTGCGGGTCTTGCTCGAGCACGGGGTTGTAGGCTACCTTCATTGGCGAGGGGTGGACTACCAACCGTATCCGTGAGGGGTGCGCGGCGTTGGGTTCTAGGAAGGGCGGTAGTGTAGAAGCGATCGACCAGGAGGCATTCTCCTTGTTTTGTAAGAAGGGCTAGATGTGTGGTGAGCAGCGATTCTTAGTGAGGAAGCTTATGGATGATTCTTGGACCCGTGGCCAGTGTAAGCCCCGAATGGGGAGTGTTCGTAAGAGAGAACTTGAGGCAGACATTGGATCAATATGGACAGGAGCTTTTGCCTTGACTGAGAGGAGGAAACGCAAGAATCGCTCAACGAAACTGGGGCAGATGAACAGTGAGAACCAAGTAGTATTGCTCTTTACTTACACCAAACCCTGTTACCAGAACCGTGACCTCCTCAACAGCATCATAGCCTCCCGATTCTAGTTCCGGGATAGAGCCCATCTCTACGCAGGCCTACGAGCACCTGGGATTGAGGATCTTGAGGGAGAGCAATAACCACAGAGCCTTCGGATCTACGACAACAAGCGGTCAGCTCGCCAGCCGTGGATGCAAATGGGTTAAATCTTTGAAGAGTAAGACGCGCCCCCAGGGAGCATCTTCTGTAGAGTGACACGGCATGGAAGGCGAATCCCCGGAGATCCATTACGGGGCCAACGGGCAGGGAGCATCATCCGCCTCCCCTCACTAGGGCATGCTGGTACAAAGTGAAAGCAAGACTTACCGCCAAGTTTCTGACAGCGTATTGACATGTTGATAACCCAAGATTCACCCGTGGATGGCTTATTAGTGATTCTTCCATATCGATCGGACCTTGTCCGAGGGGCCGGTGGGGTGAAGGCGAGGGGCACCGCAGCCGGCACAACTGGCGGCCGCCTCCGCATTTTCGCGGTTGCCGAGATTCGCACTGCGTGCGCGCTCGTGCGCGCGATCTTGCATGTGTCGATCCCCCACGTGACGTCTACCTTCAAACCCGGGGCCCTATCCGCTGTCGGAAACGCACTACGGCACAGCCCTTATCCGTCTAGGTCAGGTAGTTAAGACTGCAAACACCAGAATGCAATTGTGCATTTCCCTCAGCTTCAGACCGCAAGCCCGTCAATTGTCCTTGCGGAGACCGCACCCACCATGACCGCTCCCACTCAAAAGCCCTTCGACGTCGCCGTCGTCGGCGGAGGCATAGCCGGCGTGACGCTCGTCATCGGCCTCCTGCACAACAGGGTTCCAGTCACTTTGTACGAGGCCGCACCGCGCTTCGGCGAGATAGGCGCCGGCGTCGCGTTCGGGCCCAATGCGGTGCGGGCGATGAAACTCATTGATCCCAGGATCGCGGAGGGCTTCGCCAAGGTCGCGACGCAGAACCAGTGGGAGTCGAAGAGGGATCTGTGGTTCGACTTCCGGTATGGCGATGGCACGCACGCCGAGAAGCATGGAGGCGAGGTCCGGGATCTGATACATCCGCTCTACTGTCCCGGAGGCCAGGCGTACACGCACAGAGCGCACTTTCTGGATGAGATGGTCAAGCTGGTGCCGGATGGGGTAGCGGTGTTTGGGAAGAGGCTGGTTGATATCGAGGACAAGGGTGGTGAGGAAGGTGTCCTGCTCAAGTTCGCCGATGGGTCGACGGCGAGGCATAGTGCTGTGATCGGGTGTGACGGAATCAAGAGCCGGACGCGGGAGATTGTACTTGGAAAGGAACATCCGGCCGCGCGCGCCGTATATAGCGGGAAGTACGCGTACCGCGGGTTGATCCCCATGGAGAAAGCCGCCGAGCTCCTGGGCGATGAGCTCGCCAGGAATGGGCAGCTGTACATGGGCCAACATGGTCATGTGCTTACATTTGCGATAGAAAAGGGCAAGACAATGAACGGTAAAGGCTGAAACCGGATACGTGTCACGGCGAGTCGCTAACCCACAAGCAGTGGTTGCATTCAGCAGCAGCGAAACCTGGGACTCGGACAACTGGGTAGTAACAACTAACAAGGACAAGATGATGGCCGACTTCGCAGGCTGGAGCAAGAGCGTGGAGAGCATTCTCACCCTGATGCAGAAGACGGATATCTGGGCACTCTTCAATCATCCGCCTTGCGAGACGTACTACAAAGGTCGTGTTTGTATTCAGGGCGACGCCGCCCACGGGTCAACTCCGCATCAAGGTTCGGGTGCTGGAATGGCCATAGAGGACTCCTACGTTCTAAGCAATCTCGTGGCGGCAGTAGAAGATGCTAGCGGCATTGAGAGCGCCTTCGAAGCGTTCGATGCGGTAAGAAGGGAAAGGACGCAGCGACTCGTCAAGACAAGCCGTGAGGCTGGCCAATTATATGACTTCGAGCTCCCTGGCGTTTTGGATGATGTAGAGAAGATAAGGAAGAACCTCGATGGGAGGATGGGCTGGATATGGTACGAAGACATGCAGGCAGAGCTTGAGAAAGGCAAGAGGCTGATGAGCGGGAGGAGTAGTTTGTAAGAAAGAGCATGCGAAGATCCTTGAAGGCTTCAACAGTATTGCTCGAAGACTTGTGTTCTACTTTTTCAAATGCTTTTAATTGCCCAATCGCTCGGCGGCTCCACTTGCGGACCATAGAGCCTGCGGCGACAGTTTGGTTAAGTTTGCAGGCGCAGCTTAATTTAGCGCGACCAGGTGTCACCATGCTACTTTCTAAGCGGGACACCGTTTAATCTAATAAACTGTCATCGACCGACTCGAGCTTCGCGCAATCAATCAATAATATCGTCCCGGAGCGTAAACACCCCCTTGAACACCTCATCCATCTTGCTCCTGACAGCATCGTGATACATCGCATTCGTGACAAAAACCTTACATCCTCTGATCTTCTTTGCTGTCTCCATAGCAAAGTCATAGTCAACGTACATATCATCCATGTACACAGCAGCGTAAACTGGGACCTCATTTCTAGCGAGCTGGTCCTCATCATACAACGGCGGCCAATCGCCGACTGCGGCAACGAGGTTCGCTTGGCTCTCTAGCTTGCGGAGTTCGGCGTAATCTTCGAACATCCATGGATAGATCATCTCGCCGGTGAAGTAGACTGGTCCCCCGCTTGAAAGGTTGAATTCGGGGTACAGATTCCGCACACGATGGGCGGTCCAGTTGGACGCGCTGCCCTGGCAGTAGATGGACTCGTGCAGGATAGAATAGATGACATGGTCGTCGAAGGGTAGGGATTGTTCAATCTTGTTGACTGTTTGCCTCGTCAGGTGGCCGAACTGGGTTAGTTCGTTAGAGGCGCAGAGAACGATGTCTGCACCCGCGATCAGCATGTTCTCGACGCATTGAGATACCGATAGCTTACCATGCACTTCATCAAGGCCGCCGTGAAAGCCAAAGTTTAAGCCAAGTTGCTGGAAACGACGGGCGCTCAGGAAGCCATCGGAGGTTACTCTTACTGTGTTATTGCCGAACCTCTGAAGCAGCCGGACGATTTGCTTGACTCGCTCAACGTCTTCAGGGTACTTCTGGTAATATGCCTCGTTCCGTTGGATGACCTTCTTGTACAGACGCTCGTAAACCTGGTCAGGACTCTTTACTAAGGGGGGAAGACCTCCAAAGACAAAGGCTTCGCGCAATCCCTCCGGGAACATCGAGAGGTAGGTCGTGCAACAAAACCCGCCAAAGCTCTGACCCATGATACTCCATTTCTGCTTTTCCTTGGGGTAGTCCGCAGTCAGGGCTTTGCGGATGGCCTCGCAGTCCTTGACAATGCTGTCGGCTCGGAAAGATTTGAGGTAATTAGCTTGTACGGGATCATCCCCACGGAGACCAAGCGTAGAAGCAGATATTGGCGTGCTAAGGCCGGTCCCTCTCTGATCCAGGCACAGTAGTTGATACCCTCGGTCAAGGATGGCACTGGTGTAGGCGCTGTTTTGCGGTGAGCGGCATTCGAAGCCTGGTCCACCTTGTAGATAGAGCATCCATGGTAGCTGCTTCTTCTTGTCGTCTTGTTCACTTGGATCTGCGGGCTTGTCGACTTTTCGGGCGCTGCGAGCGAAGAGTTTCAGGGTACCTGCTGAGGGTTTGGAATAGTCACGGGGCACTTCGAAGAAATGCTCAGTGATCCTGAGCTTGCCTGGATCATGGTCAGGTTCCGAAGCTTCAATCTGCTCATCCCAAAATAGATACCTGGTACGATGTGAGACCGCTGCTCGATGATCTTTGCAGCTGCTATCATGGTGGATGAGTGTTTTCAGGGTCTGTAGTGATGCACCAAGCTCCCTCCCCACACCCCAGTCCGCCGAGCGGGTAGGGCTAAGGCAGTCACATCCGCCACCACGCCAGGGTATTTAAATTCGAAGACGCTGGCGAAGCATTTCACAAGTGTTTCGGTTCCCTCGGAAATTATTAACCACTCCGCTTTTGATATACATGTGCTGCGTCTAGTCCAAGCCTCGACTTTTTCGTACTTGCTCTCACTCGCAGGAATCTTCATTCCTATCTACTGACTGTAAAATTATTTTCTTCCCCACGCTCCGCATCTGTACTTGACCTGTCTCTTCTATCCATGGCCAAAGACAAAAAGGGCAAAGCCGCGGAGAAGAAGGCTAGAGTAGCCCAGAAAGCCGAAAAGAAGGCTACCCAGAAAGAGAAGAAGTCCAAAAACAAGCCGAAGAAGGACGACGACAGCGATGCCGAAGACGTTGATCTTGATGCCGTGCTAAAGGAGTACGCCCAGCAGCAGGAGCGTTTCCTCAAAGTCACAGAGGCGCCTAGCGAGCCTCCTTCTCCGAGGGGAAGCGCTACTTTCCTGGCATCACCCGCAAATGATAATGAGCTGTTCTTGTTCGGTGGCGAGCATTACAATGGCGCAATAGCTTCATTCTATAACCATCTGTTCGTCTACAACATTAATCGCGACGAATGGCGTCTTGTCACTTCTCCCAACAGCCCTCTCCCGCGGAGCGGTCACGCATGGTGCCGTGGCGGAAATACCAAGGACATATATCTTTTTGGCGGAGAGTTCTCGTCACCAAAGCAAGGCACGTTCTACCATTACAACGACTTTTGGCGCCTCGATCCCGGCTCGCGGGAATGGACGCGCGTAGAAAGCAAAGGCAAAGACAAGAGCCCGCCTGCGAGGAGCGGGCACCGCATGACATATTTCAAAAACTACATTGTCCTCTTCGGCGGGTTCCAAGACACTTCCCAGACCACAAAATATCTTCAGGATCTATGGATATATGACTGTCAGACCTACGCTTGGCACCAGCCCGCACTACCGCCCGCATCGCAAAAGCCAGACGCGCGCTCAAGCTTTTCCTTGCTGCCTCACGAGAACGGTGCCGTGCTGTATGGCGGCTACTCCCGCGTCAAGGCCTCCGTTGCAGCGGGGAAGCAGACGAAAGGCGGCTCTGGCGGGTCTCGCATGGTGCTGAAGCCAGTCGTGTATCAAGACACGTGGTTTCTGCGCATCACTCCGCCAGCAGCTGATGCTCCACCGAACACGTTGCCGAAGGTGCACTGGGAGCGGCGCAAGCGGCCAGTTAATCCACCAAATCCACCTCGTGCGGGTGCTACTATGGCATATCACAAGGGCCGAGGCATCATGTTCGGTGGAGTGCATGACGTGGAGGAGAGTGAGGAGGGCATTGACAGCGAGTTCTTCAATCAGCTGTTAGCTTGGAATATTGAGCGAAATCGATACTTCCCGCTGGCGCTGCGAAGGCCGCGGACCCAGGGCAAGAAGCAAGTGGCAGCGGCTGAGAGAGGCCGCAGAGGGCGAGGTAGAGCGGATGAGGAGGAGCTGCTAAGAAACCTCGCGGCTCTAGAAGCGAAGGCCCCGCTCGATGCTGCTGACGCGCCTGAAGTTCCAGAGGCGACCAAGCCCGCAGAGGACGAGGAAGATCAGGTTGAGAAGATTGAGAAACCAAGGATATTTGAGTTCCCCCATCCGCGGTTCAATGCGCAGCTAGCTGTCCAAGATGACGTCCTCTACATCTTTGGAGGGACGTTCGAGAAGGGCGACCGGGAGTTCACCTTTGATGAGATGTTCGCACTGGACCTTGGCAAGCTTGACGGAGTCAAGGAGATCTTCAGACGAGAGCCCGAAGACTGGCAGGGCAGTGAGGATGAGGAGAGTGAAGATGAAGACGAGGATGACGAAGACGGATCTGACGATGAGGAAGCGTCCGATATTGCAAGCACGGCAGCGACTTCGGTGTCCCAGCTCTCAACAGTCACAGCAGAAGCGCAACCAGAGAAGGAGGAGGAAAATACGGGTACGGAAGAAACGGCATCATCACCACTAAAAGACAACCTGCCGCATCCACGCCCTTTCGAATCATTGAGGGATTTTTATGCTCGTACCTCTGTGCAATGGCAAGAGATCGTCATAGATAAGCTTAGTCGGACCTACGGAGGGGATGGAAAAAGCGTCAAAGAGGTGAAGAAGATTGCCTTTGACCGTGCCGAGGAGAAATGGTGGGACTGCAGAGAGGAGATCATGGCTCTTGAGGATGAGCAGACGGAGGCAGGCATCGGCGAGGTGGTCAGTTTGGGTGACAAAGCTGCAGGCGATGGTGGTGGAAGCGGAGTCGGAAGGCGGAGATAGAGGAGGAGAGAAGGCGGTTGGCTACGTTGGTGGAGACTCGAGTAGCAATGCTCTGCGGCGAAGCAATTGCCAAACTTAAAGACCACAATACTGCCCCGTACACATACCGGCGCTGTGGGGAGTGTAAGACAACACACAACATTTATTCTATTATCCATAGCTTAACCTCGTCGGTTTCGCTCATGCTTGACCACCTTGACCTGAAACAGGATCTCATTCTTATTCGAGCCAACAACAAGCCGACTCCGCACTCGTGCCTCTCCAGTGTATGCACACTGTCCTCTTCTTCGAAGCCCTCGCCATTGTTTGCGGGATTCCGGCTCCTAGCGCTATTCTGGTGATTCGTCGTGATCGCATGTACATCAGACACTAAGTCTGTCTAAGACAAAGCGGTCTTTGTTCGACGATACTTGTCGTGGACGTTGTGGAAGCCTATATACAACAATGCCATTATCACCTCCAAGGGACACGAAGCAAAGTGTACTATTCGTTATACAGTACGTGGACAACGTTATAGTTTTGCGTTATAACCTATAAATATAGAGACTTCTTGTCCGCGTTCTCCTGTATGCTCCCCAGATTCGTGTTCCACCACTGTCTACATTTACCCTACGTTACAAGCGCCGGCCGTTCTACACGTAGAAGTCACTTGAAAAGAAAACAAACATGCAAGTTGGAAACAAGAGTACCGCGATGTCAGCGGTAATGGACATCTCCGCCGGATGCCCCGAATTCCTACCATCCCATGCGCCGGCGGCCGACCTTATGGAAGAACGATACACCGCAATCGAAAAGTTGAATGAAGGCGGGCAAGGCGAGGTATTCCTCGCCGAGTGCAAAGCGAACAAGCAGCTCGTGGCCGTAAAAGTAAGCAAATTCAAGGGCGATGGCAGTCTTCTGGAAGAGGCAAAATTACTCATGAAGCTCCCTAGGAACAAGCGTATCGTGCAGCTGCTCGGCTGCTACGAAGACCACCGGCAGGACGTACTAGGCACCAGCCTGGTCCTGGAGTATTGCCCCGGTGGCGATCTAGAGGAATACATGGACCGGTGTTCCGACGGAGGAAGGAAGAGTATACCCGAGGCGTTCATATGGCACGCGTACTGCCAGATAAGCGAGATGCTGGCATTTTTACACACAGGATACACACCTGAGCATGGAATCCCAGCCAGTTGGACGCAGATTATCCACGGAGATCTCAAGATCGAGAATCTCCTGCTTGGCCCAACGGAGCCAGGTGCCAGGTTCCCGAACCTACTACTCGCAGATTTCGGCGCCGCAACCGAATACGATCCCAGAGCCCTCTTCGGACCCTACGTCACCCGGGGCACTCGGGTGTGCTGGGCTCCAGAAGCGCCGCTCCCAGTCCTAGCCAGCGATGTCTGGACTGCCGGCGTAGTCATCCACCAGCTGGCGCGGAACGAGCGCCCCAGGGCAGACTGGAAGGGTACCGCTCGCGAGCACAAAGTCTGGCCTGAAGAAGAGGACGCCGTGTATTGGTTGTCGAAAACCCCGAGGATGTTCTACGACCTCACGGTTGAGCTTGAGCCGGAATGTCCAGACAGATTCGGGTTCGCTAAGTACAGCGATGAGCTCGACTGGTGGATGATGAGGGCGCTCGAGCAGTCCTGGCAAACACGCGTTACGGCTCTCAGTCTCGTCTTCGAGATGATCCCGGTGGCAAGAGCCAAAACGGCAATTCTGTAGACGTAGAAGGCGCAGTGGTAGAGGCTACTGGTGTAGCAACGCTGAAACTCGAAGCTGCTGGACGGCTTTCGAGATTGTAATACAAACGCAAATTCTCCGAAACTGTTTCTTTGCTCAAACTGCGACGATACACAAGTCCTAAACCTGTATCCCGTCCGCTTCCACAATGCGAGTAAAAACACAATCAAAACGGTAGGATCACTCAGCGTCCTCGTATTGTCGCTCGTGATCTTACCTTCATACAAACCAAAACAGCAAAAACTTGTTTCTGAGAAAACCCCCACCAGATGGGGGATTTTGTTAAGCAACCCTAACGCTCTGTCCGGTTAGCCATTTCTTGAAGTGCCCTGGTGGCTAGCAACACGTATGTGCAGGTTACTCAGAACAAAAGTGTTGATTTAGGCAGTTGTGCTTAACCACACGCGTCGATCACCAAACAAATGAAGAAGATCCTGTTGCATTGAATGCACAGACATAGAAGCCTTAATAGAGATTGCACTCGCAGATGTCTTTTGAACAGAAATCACCTCTGGACCAGCCTCGCCCGCCATCTTGGCACTCCGCACGCTCTATCCCAGCCTCAGACACGTCGATACAATCGCCCGGACTCCGCTTCACATGACTCTACAGCCTAAATCGACACCCAGATGCTTCTTGGACGGCCCCAAACCGACCCGAACTCCATTCCTCACGCTCTTGATCATCCTCGTGAAGTTCATGTTGTAAGTGTCCAGGTCGCAATGAATGCATTGGCCTATCGGCGCCCACCACTTGACCCTGTGAGGCGGAAGTCGAGAAACCCAGTTGAGCGCACCGTCTTGGAACATCGGGTAGGTGGAGAGGTTCATGCCGAAGCCGCACGGGCTGATGAGGACGAGCCAATGGTGATTGCAGCGGCGGCAGCGGTAGTACTTTGTCGTGCACATAGTCTGTAACGGTGGGAGGGGATGAGGGCGTAAGGTATAGAAGCTTTGGCAATTGTAACCCGTCGTGTGTTTCTGGCGTAAGTTCTCTTCGGTTTGCTGGCTTCGGATAGGGCAAGATGATGTTCGTGGAGATCGGTATCTGTCGACTGTACCCTAACATTGCTTCCGTGGTGCTTTACATAGCCCGATCATACCAGCTGTGACGTGTCCAATGACCCTTCATTCCGACCATGCGTGAGTTGTCGTGCTCATCTGGCAAGAGGGCGTGGCGGGCTATGGCTGCCGGCCGGTGTGGTGAACGATCCAGGAGCACGTGATGTGCATCAAAGCATCTTAACTGTGCTTGGTAGGATCGTACTCAGGATCGTTGTCCTCAAGTTCTGCCTTCCGTATCTGCTGCATGAGCTCGTACATCTGGCCGATTTGCTGATCTGCAAGGTGCCATCAGCGAATGTCACAAAGTGGTAGAAGAACAGCTCTCTAACCGCTCATCTTGTCAATCTTGCTCCTGTCCATCTTCTCGTCATGCCATGAGTCGCCTTCGATCTGCTGGGCATACATCTGCCATTCTGTGAGAAAGCCAATCTGAAATTCCCTTGTTAGCATCCCTCCGAATCTACGACAGAGTGCACCGGCATCATACGATGTGGACAGGATTCTCAATGTCCTGATGAGCTTTAAACTCGCTCTTCACGTATTCGTCTCCGAGTACTCGCATCTCTACGGGTAGCTTCCGGTGAGCCCGTAACACGCGGCGATATAACGGTATAGGAGGGAGCAGGGCCAGCGGTGCTGGTCGAAGCGGTTTGGCAGAGCCTGCCGAGGTTGCAACTGCCATTGAGAGTCTGTGATATATCCTCATTTTGGGTGAGCTGTTTACAAGCCAACTTCTCTATGTTGGGCGAGAAAAGATGGAATTCGAGATGCATGACATCGTCGAGAAATCCGCGCCAAGCACCTCGGCAATGTGCTACTCATGACGACCGCGAATTTGTTGCCTCAGCATGCCAGCCTCGCAAACACTACATTGAGATACAGCATGCTCCCGACACCGTCTACTTCGCATGCGTCCTTCGACAATGTATACGAGCCGGCCGAGGACTCGTTCCTGCTCCTCGACACGCTATCGGCCAGCTCCGAAACAAACTTCTTGCGTGAAAGATTCGGACAGCCTTCATCGGCTACTGAGGGCACTGTAGATTCACCTCAGGGCGCTCCGCTGATCGTAGAAGTTGGCGCAGGATCCGGCGTAGTCCTTGCATTCGTCAACGCGCATGCCGATGTCCTTTTCGGCCATCGGCATATACTGACTCTCGGCACTGATATCAACAGCTTTGCATGTAGAGCCACAAGAACGACCGCCGAGAAAGCGAGCGCCGAAGCTCCAGATGGCCATGGCAACTTTCTCGATGCTGTCAACATGGATTTGACCGCTGCTATCAGGCCCGGCACAGTAGACGTCCTGGTCTTCAATCCGCCGTATGTACCAACCGCCGAGCTGCCTAATCTCTCCCAGCATCTCCAATACAATACGTACAACCCGGTCACCGGCAACTCCTTCGAACAAGACTCGCATCTACTCGCTTTGTCATATGCAGGAGGTGTGGAAGGCATGGAGACTACGAACAGGCTCATTGAGCAGTTGCCGGAGGTACTGCATCCGGAGAGGGGCGTCGCGTATCTACTACTGTGTGCCCAGAATAAGCCAGAGAAGGTCAAAGAACACATTCGCGGCTTGGGTGCTGGCTGGTTGGTTGAGACGGTTGGGTCTAGTGGGAAGCAGGGAGGGTGGGAGAAGCTGCAGATACTGAGGATCTGGCGCGCAGGTAGCCCTCGGGCTCTTTGATTGAGAGGCAGCTTATGGCAAGGTTGCGCCCTTTGGCACGTGTCTATTCATAAGTTTTCACAGGATCGGGAGCCTCATGCTGGCTGAAGTCGAATTGACAGAAATTTAGCAGTGGACCGTATGCCGTACACTCAGCGTTCACTTCTGAGGAGCCAACGATGCCAGCGCTTCAAGAATCTCGTCGAATTTACCAGGCACGCGTCTCCTAGTGGATGCAAAGGCGCATGGAGACCCGGGAAAAGAGATGTTGTCCTTGCTGATAGCCGTCAGTGGTGAGATAGAGGGACCAACAGTCCGGCCTGTTTTAGTGCCCTCTCCCGTGCTTGGAGGAGTGTATGCAGTGCACGAAGATCCGGACGGAGTCTTCTCTTTCACACTGGCACCTGTTGATCCCTCTAGGGAAGGTTGAATACGGCATTACTCGCTTTCGCAGACCAGTAGTGCTTACCAATGACCTGATACCAGTGTGGAAACCATGGAAGAGTCCTACACTACTCGAATCGTTTACTGCCAGGTTTTAGGTAGGCAATAATGTTTAGAAATGTGGCCGTTATAGGCATTCTCTCACTCTTATTACGGACGTTTTGCTTTGCTCTCGTGCGGTATTGTAGTTATAATTTGGCGCTCAAGTCATTCCACTGACAGTCCATCATTTGGTTCATTCTATGTACATCTAATCGTCATCCCGTTTCATACAGGCTCATGTGAACAAATAGCGAGCGTCGACAGCCCGTATACAAAACGCCCAGAATGGGCCCCAGGGATTTAAAATCCCACGATCTGGACATATATCCTTTGCCGATTTTGTGCATCCAAGCCGTTCTTCTCCACGAAAACGGAAGACGATACGTGTGTCGGGTATGTATCCATGGCGCCATCCCATGCAACGCTTCAAAAACAAATCCAGACCGTCTCCCCAGCCGTAAGATCCGCAATCCCGAACCATCTCATGAGTGCTTTCCACTCACGACCCTGTCAACCGATCCAGCGCCACAATACTCAGAATCATAACCAGCAGCCCAATGGTAACAATGATGAGCAACACAAACCCAAACCAGCCGAGCACCATCGCGCTGGTCCCGACGCCGCTTCTCACGCTGCCGTTGCCGAGGTCCTGCGCGACGGTGGCCGCGGCAACCGAGGCCGTGTGCTGCCACAGCACGGAGACGAGCACGAAGATGGAGGCGATGAAGATGAGGGCCAGCGCGACTTGCGAGACGGGCCGCGAGGGGAAGGGCTTGACGTCCACTTCGGAGCCGGTGTTTGCGTCTTGTTCTTCGTGCCAGCCGGGGAAGGTGGCGAGGAGGATGAAGGTTAGAAAGGCGAGGATGATGGCTACGATGCTGGGGGGGTGGGTTAGCTTCGTTCCCATGCCGCTCGAGTTGGGAGAGGGAGTAGAAGGGGACGAGGGAGAGAGGTCTTACATCAAGTAAGGAAACACAACGCTGTCCTTGAACGTGCTCGCCACCCAGATCAGATTGAGCGGGTCTTGATCTATCGACACTTGCTGCGCCAATGCGGTAGCGTTGTTCGAGCACAGGAACGAGCCGCCGTCCGCGTTGACGCAGATCCCGAAGTATCCGACGCGCACCTCGAGCGACGCAGTGCCGACTATGTTGGCTATCGCGGTCGCGACGCCTGGGTCTACTTGTGCCGGGTCGTACACTGGCGTGTAGTGCTCGTAGTAAAGGGAGATGAGGAAAATGCCTGGTATTAAGGGCGATGAGGAGGAACATCCGGCAAGGAGGAGTGCTGGAAGGTGTTAGAGGGTATTTCCGACGTGGAAATCCTGGATAGAAGACTCACAGAGAAGGACGATAGCTATCGCTATCAGGATCATAAGAATGTGATGGTATCCCAGGTACGGGAAGAACCCTGTCCCACGGCGTCAGTATTTCTTGGCTCTCTGGAGGAAACTTCCGACGGAATGTACGCACTCTGGAAGCTGACTGCGAACCGCATGTTCGCCATGGTGACTGGTTGCTTGCGCTAAGGCTCTCTTGTCCACCTAATTGACTGTCAAATCTCCACGGCTCCCGAAGGGCCGGGAGGTATGGGCGTAGAGGAATGCAAACGCTGCGTCGGAAGGTTGAATGCTGAACAGTGGATACGGGTAGTCGTGGTTCTCAAGAACGAGCAGAAGTCTTCGATCACTTTTCGAGGAATGTGATCTCGCGTGTCGACGAAAGACGGCACAAGAATGCTCGTGTGGTAAAGGTTGCGGTTCGTGAGATGGATCTGATCGGACTCGAAGCGAGAGGACTGTCTTGAGAGATTGCTCGTCAGAAGTATATTCGAGCGGGTATGATTTCTCAGTGATTGTTGGGTGAGGGTGTGAAGAAGCTTAGCTTTTTCCCTGCAGCAGCACCACTTTTCTTCCTTCTTGCGCAGAAATCGAGGAGGTTGTCGGGATGGCTGGGGAGCTGTTTTGGTGTGGCTGGGTTAGCCAGTTGGCTGAGGGACAGCACGAGCCACGAGAGTGACGTTGCAGGGTCCGTGTGGCTCAAGCTCCAGCTTCGACCGCCAATGAGCGCGCGACGGAGGAGAGCTTTCTTTGGCACTGCGCCCGTTTGTCAACCGGGAAATTCGTGTGGAGATCGATGCAGGAACAGCGGGAGGCTTCAGAGTAATCGTCTTGGCTCATGTTGGCATCTTTGTCGAGCGCGTCATGTATCCTGAAGCCACAGACAGATCACGTTACTGTAATAACCACCAGCAACAGTGACCGAACTGGCCGCCGTTTGTTTGTGAGTACAGCCGCGCCATATCCTGCCGCCATCGTAGTAATGGGAGACCGCAGTATACGCGAAGAGAGCTTGGTATCAGTTCGTTGCGGCTTGGGATGGATCGACAAAGGACCAGGGGCGCAAAGCCCTCCTGGCATACCTATGGTGCAGTTTCCTCACAATTCAAAGGCAGCAGGAGCACGGTCAGAATCGGTAAGTAAGTGGATCAACACATAGCACAATCTTTTGAGGCAGTCACGAAACACCAAGGAGGTATGAGGAGCTCAGAAGGCTCAGTTCATTCTCGTGCTATGGACGAGTTGTGGTATCATAAGTCTGCTCAAGCAAGCATGCCAGCCTCGTTGATCGAGAGCTGTGCTGTGGCCGTGAAGTCACCCATCGTCTAGTGCTTGTCACCCATGCCGAGGGCGTTCTTGGCCTTGTCGAGGACGCTCTCGCCGCTGCCACCGTGGACGTGCTCGTCCTTGCTGCGGGAAGCCTTGTCGGTCACAGACTGGCTGGTGGACTTGGAGTCGTCAGTTTGCATGCCGCTGTGTGTTGTTAGTAAACGTCCTTGAGGTACTAGCTCCGAGAGCTTGTAGAGGGAGTGTAGACATACCGGGCAAGCTTGTCGGTGGTGTCGGTGAAAGCCTCCTTGGTCTTCTCAGTGGTGGACTTGGTGGAGTCTGGAGTCATGTGCTCCGAGGCCTCTGTGAGCAGTGTCAGTGAGTTTCGATCTGATGGACAAGATTGGCAGTGACGGCAACGTACTGTCGGTGAAGCTCTTGCGTCCGGCGTCAGACATGATGATTGGTTGGTTGAGGTGAGGAAGAGTTTGTTTGGTGTTAAAAGTGTTGTTGATTGTGAGGTTGGATCTGTGGAAGTTTGGTTGTGAGTCGGTGGATGAAGGATGGAGGGTTTGGAGTAAGGGAAGATGTTTTTGTAGGAGCTGTTGTTAGCCGACGTCACTGGTCAGCTGCCCGCAAACGTCGGTGAAGTAAGGAAGGCAGCGCCTGGCTGAGATGGGCAGCCACGCTTCACTGTGCTCAAATCGGCCGCGAGTTTCAGACCATGCGCAGGTCATGCGTCCCGCAGAAGGCCGCGGTACCTGCCAAGCTGCCAATCAATCTAACTAGCTCGTTGCCCGCTCAATTCTCCGGTCTGAGGACGCAGTTTCATTGGCATCAGCGGCTGTTTCGGGTGCATCCGAGCTTCGACAGAGCGAGGGGCAGAGCGTTTGCGACGTCAGAGGTGCCCCGCCATCACGGTTGAACAAGCACAAGGGCTGGTGGCTGACGTCGCCTTAACCGCGGCTTGAAAGAAGAGGGCTAGCTGTCTTTGATGTCACTCGAAGGTCGACGTTTGCGAGCCTGGAAGTTGGAGTGACATAGACTCGCGGGTTTTCGAGAGTGCCATCAACTCTGGGAGCGTTGCACGGTCCTTGGGAGCGGCGGGGAGCATCCAGGACCGCGGGGCAGCCATGGATCCCCGCCGAGGTCAAGCCTTCAACGGCCCTCCTCGGCGTCAAGGGCTCTAAATCGGCCTCACTGCAACCAAACACGACCGCACGTGCAACCTGCGGTATATTCTCCCAGTGCTTCGGAGACCGGCCCTGCAGCGTTGTGCAACTGCCCGCAATCACTCGCATCCCACTCCGCAAACCTGGCATGGCTCTCCCACCCCGCTTCAAGCTAATCTTCACTGTGCCCCAATCGTCGCTCGCCAAATGCAAGGCGGCCATCTTCGCCGCAGGCGCAGGTAGCTATCCTGGGCCTGGCGGTTACACGGAAGTCTGCTTCACGATGCCTGGAACCGGGCAATTCCGGCCTGGAAAGGCTGCGAATCCTAGTATTGGAAGTTCCGGTGAGCTCGAGCAAGTCGAGGAAGTTAGATGCGAGACGCTGTGCGTGGGCCAGGAAGTTGCGAAGAAGGCCGTACAAGCATTGAAAAGGTAGGCAAGGCGTCATCAGCGGATGTTGCTTCCGTTCTGCTTCGTAACAATCCAATTAGAATGTGTGCACGCAATGACTGATCAGGTCTGTAGTGCACATCCGTACGAAGAGCCTGCTTACGAGGTCTACAAGCTCGAGGACTTTTAGGGAATGTGGCTCCGTTACTTGCGCTGTTCACTTCGAAAGGCAAGTCCACGAGCTACCAAAGCTTTGTAACTTCGCAAAGCTCACAGTTCCGCACGCACCTTGGCAGCTCGAGGGTTCGCAGTTCGGGCGGAAGGATTAGAAGAACAACGTGGCGAAGGTCCTCCGCCATGTAACGTATTACTGCAGTCATGGTGCTACAGCTTCACGCTTGTTCCTGTAACCTACCTAGGTATGCGTTGGCCATAAATATTTCAAGCAGGACTCTCAGGAGCATCCTCTTTTGGAAACTTTTTGATGCTTCGGGGTTGTGGCAGTGAACCCCATGCAGGCAGTAAGACGCCTCGAGAAAATGTTGTCTTCAAGCTAGCTACAAGAGCAAACTTGAGCCAGAAGTCACCACAGGAGGCCTCTATCTCAAGCAGTTGGATTCTCCATGGACCCAGCGACGTGAGGGCTTCGATGGCACGGCTCCATCTCCGTTCCTCCTACCTAAGCATCATGCATGTGACGCTGCCAACGCTACTCTATCGAGCACGTCCGTTACCAGCTGTAAGTCTCTATCAACATCGACCTGCCAATTGGATACAGCAAAGCGGCATGCAGGTGCTCCAGTCCACGCAGTTCCCGAAACGTAGATTTTCTTTGTTGCATTTACATGCTTGACTAAGTCCTTGTTCAGGCTGTCATCCTTGGCTCTGAAAAGCACAATGATGTAGATGGAGTCCAGTCTCCTCTCGTCGTCAACCTCGAGGTTAGGGAGGAGATCGTATTCAGAATGTCTCAGAATGAATCGTGCAATGCCGCGAGCGAGTTTTACTTGACGCTCCAACATGTCGCGGTACCCTCTTCGTCCATACGCTGTCAACGAAGCGTACACTGGCAGAGCACGGAACCTGCGGGAATTCTCAATACCAATATTCAGAGGGGAGGCAATGAAGGAAGTGTCTGTAGCGCCAACATTCAAATACGCGGCGTTGGAATTGCGAAACACGTTTTCCGCGAGCGCTCGATGTTTACCCAGGAAGAATCCGCAGTCGTACGGCTGGAAGAAATCAGCGTCTTTGCATAAGTTGCGCCACATTCTGTTTGAAGCGTTGGCTTGAGGGACCATTGTAGACTTACAACATTCAGTAGCTTGTGAGCATCCCCGGTAATAGAATCAGCGAACTGAATGCCATCGCATCCCGCACGAATGTTCAAGTATTGGTGATCTTCCAGCACGCGGACGAGAAGACCAAATGCTCCGTCTACATGGATCCATGCGCCGTATTTGTCGCAGAGCTCACGCAGCTCGAGCATTTCTGCAGCGCTCGAAGTAGCGAAGAGCCCTGTATTTACTTCAGCGCAAGAGATGGCAACGATGTAACCGGACGTTCTCTCTTGAAGTATTCGCTGAAGCTTCGTCATGTCGAACTTATGAGGAGCATTAGGTAGGCCGACGAGTGTTATGGAGTCACGACCTATCCCTGTTATGCTGGCTGCTTTACCAAGAGACGAGTGTGGTACGGTGGTGAGAATCCGAATATCGTCCAGTCCACAAAGGCGCAGAGCTTTGGCAAGTCCGAGGTCGCCCACATTGACTGGGCCCTTCTTCGTTCTTCGAGCAGCCTCCGCGATAACAAACTCTCTCCCACAGGCTAAACCCAGAACATTCGAGGCGGTGGCTCCCGTCGTGAACGTTTTGTGCGGCCACTCCGTGGGTCCGAAATCCAGGAGTTCGCACAGCATCCTCAGTGCTCTGTCTTCAACCTCGGTAGCAATAGTCTCTTCCGGTAAATGCACTTGGACATTCTGGTCATATGCAGTGACAATGTTGTCGGCCAACGCAGCAACTGGAGTGACGCCTCCAGTAATAAATCCATAGTAGTTCGGTAACTGGCTTGCTAAGTTCAGTGCGGGTACAACATCCTCTTTGAGGTGCTTGACGGTGTTTGACAAGCCCAGGCCCTCTTTAGATATCGCGGGTATCAGGCTACTTCTTGCGTGCTGCAGGACTTCTTTGCTAGGAAGAAGATCTGCTCCTGTACTCAGTTCTAGCAGTCGATCGAGTCCGAGCTCAGCAGCGTAGACACGCTGCATTGCATGCTCAGAGAGCATCCTGACATTGGCTTTCTGGTCTTAGTAGAGCTAAACGGAGACTGCAAACTGAAGAGTCAAGGTGGGGCGTAAGATACCACGTGACCGTCAAGTTTTCGCGTTGAAAGACGCGTGCCGGAGGCGACCAACAACTTGGTACCTAGGCAAGCAGCCTTCGATGACTACGCCACTTACTACAACAACACCGCCCGTCTGACGACCGAACAATGTGCAACAGAAGGAGAAGCTGGCATGGCAAGGTTCTAGCCTCATGACTATCAACAACCTGAAAGACCAAGTTGCTTGGTTGCTGTCCGCGAGACCTTTCATTCCATCTGCCACCGACCTCCCACGTCCTACCAACGACGCGCCTACGAGCTCTTCGACCCTCTCGGCGCAAAGCACCGACACAGCCAACGGTTTGCTCTCGAGAGATGCGCCAAACGAGCCGGTCAACGCTTTATACGCCGCCCAGGAAGTGGAGTCTGAGTCCACCGGTATAACGTCTGCGGGACTTCTACAAGGCCGAGCAGGCACTTCAACAGACAGCAGTTTGGACATGGCAAGACTGAGGGCGGTACCTAGCTCCGCCACGAAGCCGCGGCTCCTGCAGCAAGGCATCGTACACTATCCCGATATACCAACCCATGACGCACTGCCGGGAGCGCGATCTGGGAAGAAGGAAAGAGGTATAAACCTATTGTCTTGGCTAGAATCGTTGTATTGGTTACTGACGACGATTCCAGACACTGCTCCGACCCCTCGGACCGCGCCTTTACCGCGCGTTGCTCGACAGATATCTCCGCTTAAAGATCGTACCCCACTACGCGAGCCTGTGGTGCCGACGGAGGACTGGGACGTGGACACTGTCGACCTTACGGGAAAGCACAATTCTTCGTCTTCATCAAACAGCCCTATACGGTCAATTGCTGCATCGGGCAGGAAACGGAAAAGTGATGAGCTCATGGCCGATATACATTCGCAACCTCATTCAAGACCGCGCTCTTGTAAGCCAAGGAGGGCCTCGACCACAGATGAGAGCACCGATATGACAGGTTTTACGGCGATCGACGACATCTCGGAAGAGGACCCTCCACCGCCATATTCCACGATTGTAGAGCGTGCTCCGCATCCTGTCAGGCCAGTCTCACCAAGCTACACCCGAGGAGAAGACCTAGTTTTGGACGTCGTGAAAATGGAGGATGATGATAAGACCAGGACACCCACAAAACGGGACAGTAAGAAACGGAGATCGTTAAGTCAAGTGTCTCTAAAAGCTGCGCCTCCGACCGCAGACGCTACACCGCGGACAACGCGAGGCTCACCGCTCAAGTCCATCAAAACATCGAGTCATCTACTGAGTTTTCCAAGTGGGAATCGCTTAAATCATGCGAAGCGGCGCATGATTGCTGACTCCGAAGATGAGGAAGACATAGGGGCTTCAGAGGACAACACTATCTCAAATTCTCCATCAAAGTCAGGCAGAACGACTCGCCTTGAGCAAGAAAACTCCGTAACTCAACCCAATCAAGCCAAGTTTCCTGATGCCGTTCAGATCAGCATCACGGCCTCTTTACCAAGAAGCTCACCAGCAAAGAACACTGTTGTGCCGCAGATTGAGCAACCAAATACGCAGCCAGCATCCTCTGCGAAGATCGCCCAAGTCGATAAGGATGTGTTAACGAGATTCCTAGCGTGGCCCGACTCGTGTCTGCAGGCCTCCCATGAAGACATCCGCGCCGAGGTCAAGAGCCGGTCAGCGGCAATTGCTCAATTTCTAGAAGACGCTGAGGAGCTGCCGCCAGAGCTTTCAACTCAGTTGAAGGAGTTGAAAGTGAAGAGGGAAGCGCTCGAAGCATTGGTCGAAACACGTAAGAATATCTCGCGCATCGGCAAGCGCAAAGAAGAACTTAAAGCCAAAATCATCGAGGCGATCGACGAAGGTCTAGAAGCACCCAACTACCAGGGTGATGTCGATGAGAACAAGGCGATCACCCATGACCTACGGCAGTTGGAGCTAGAGACTATCCGCTTGCTGCGTCTCTCTGAGCTTCTCTCTGACTCGGGTCAATTGAGGAACCCGGCTGCTGAGCAGCTGCCACAATCGGATGTCGTTGTTCGCTCTACGCAAGTCACGCCGACCTTGGAACCCACAGCAACTCGTAGAGGTCCTGACTGGAGTTTTCCAGGACATGCTGAAGTGATACAACAGACTCAGGCAGGGCTGAGAGTAGAAAACACGCCATCGAAGCGCTCCAGGTTCGCTGGCGATCCGCCCAACTTCATGCTTTCCGTTCTAGAAGAACCACCCACAGACGACACCCATGCTTACTCTTCTACGCCGAAAAGGAAAGGAGCGAGCAAAGACAGACTTAGGAAGGAGGAAACAACCCACTCCAATCGACCCCACGAATCCCAGATGCAGCAGTTCTCCTACCAGGACCGAGAACGATCCGCTGGCTACCAGACTGCGCCTTACACCAGAGAGCGAGTGACGGCATCCTCCTATCAACGTCACCGGTCTCCTGAAGTTGACGACTTTCCCAACAATGACGACTTCGATACCGATGTAGATGGACTCTTCAGTAATGTCATGGGCACTCCACCGGCCAGGCCACTGCAAGACGACGATGAGGGCGACTATGGTGGTTACCAAGACGATGAGGACATGCTCGAGCTTGCAGAGGGGTTTGGAAGTGGGGGTGCATCCGGTTCCACTGGTTGGCGTGGGGACTCTGGAAATATCTTTGGAGAGGCTTCCGGGAATCAAATGAGGGCGCCTCAAGAAACAGGGCGGTTTGCAAGTAAGAAGTCAACGCCGAAGGCAGCAAGCCAGTTACCTCCACCGTCCTTGATGCATCACCGTTGGTCCAATGATGTGAAGGCTGTGCTGAAGGACCGCTTCCGTCTCCGAGGTTTCCGTCAGAACCAGTTGGAGGCTATCAATGCCACCTTGGGTGGCAAGGACGTCTTCGTGCTGATGCCTACGGGTGGTGGCAAATCACTCTGCTACCAGCTGCCTTCGATTATCACTTCCGGCAAAACCAATGGCGTCACTGTCGTAATCTCTCCTCTTCTGAGTCTTATGGAAGACCAAGTCGAACATCTACGCAAGCTGAATATACAAGCATTCATGCTCAACGGCGAATGCAGTGCCGAAGCTCGGAGTCAGATTTTGACTGCTCTTCGTGAACATCAAGTTGAGAAGTTCATTCAGCTTCTCTACGTCACCCCGGAAATGCTAAGTAAAAGTCAAGCCATTATCAACGCCTTCCAGAACCTGCACTCGCGACGCAAGTTAGCAAGAATTGTCATCGACGAAGCACACTGCGTCAGTCAATGGGGTCACGACTTCCGGCCTGACTATAAAGCTCTTGGCGAGGTGCGACAGAGGTTCATGGGGGTCCCAGTCATGGCCCTCACAGCTACGGCTACGGCGAACGTCAAGGTCGATGTAATACACAACCTTGGGATTGACGGCTGCGAGACATTCAATCAGAGCTTCAATCGCCCGAATCTCACCTACGAAGTGCGGACTAAGGGCAAGCGTGAAGACATCCTTGACAACATCGCCAACATCATAACAAGCAAGTACAAGGGGCAGTCGGGCATAGTGTATTGCCTGTCTCGGAAGAAGTGTGTTACCGTTGCGGAGCAGCTTTGTGAAAAGTATGGTATCAAAGCTCACCATTATCACGCCGGCATGGAGTCTCAAGAGCGGAGTTCCGTACAAAGGCAATGGCAATCAGGCAAATACCATGTCATCGTCGCTACCATCGCTTTCGGAATGGGCATTGACAAGCCGGATGTTCGTTTTGTCATTCACCACAGCATCCCAAAGAGCCTAGAGGGCTACTATCAGGAAACAGGCCGAGCTGGACGAGATGGCAAGCGGTCCGGATGTTATCTGTACTATGGCTACGGGGACACAACTGCGCTGAAGCGGATGATCGATGAAGGTGAGGGCAGCTGGGAGCAGAAGCAGCGGCAGCTTCAGATGCTCCGCAACATGGTGCAGTACTGCGAGAACCGCAGTGACTGTAGACGAGTTCAGGTCCTTGCATACTTCAGCGAACAATTTCGACGAGAGGACTGCAACAACTGTTGCGACAACTGTACCTCAACATCAACCTTCGAAATCCAGGACTTTACGGAATATGCTGCAGCTGCAATCAGCCTTGTCAAGCGGATCCAGCACGAAAAGGTTACCTTACTATACTGTGTGGACGTCTTCCGGGGATCGAAGTCGAAGAAGATCATATCAGCCTGCCACAATGAACTTGATCAGTATGGTGTTGGTTCCAGCCTAGATCGGGGAGACGTTGAGCGCTTGTTCCATCGTTTGCTGAGTGATGATGTCCTCACCGAGGAGAACAAGGTAAACAAAGCTGGGTTTGCCAGTCAATACATTCTCGTAAGTCTCCAAGCGTTTGTGGACGGGAAAACCGAAATCGGTTGACTGACGACCTACAGCTCGGCAGGAATTGTAACGACTACAAGCATGGACGCAAACGGTTGAAGATCCAAGTCCGGGTCTCGCCAAATGGCAAGGCTGCTCCGAAACCGAAAGCTGCTCGAAAGAACCATGGAACCGGTGTCGCTGCTGCCACACACGACTATCCAATGTCCACCAACGTCTCTTCTCCAATCCAGGCCGCCTCACGACGACGCGTAGCCCAGAGAAACATTCACGAAACTGATAACGAGCTACACGCGAACGGCTATTACCGCGACTCCTTTGTTGTGGCCGACGACGCCTACGATAACGACGACGAAGACGATGAGGACTATGAAGACGACTTTGAGCCTGTCCGAGTTGCTGGCAGCTCAAGGAAGGACAGGAAGCGCGAACTCGGACCTCCTATCACCGTCGACCGGAAAATGGCAGGACTCGATGAGATTCACCAGCAGGTTGTTGAAAACTTCGTACAGGACGCCGGGCAGATTAACAAGGACATCCTTCTGAAGAGAGGTCTTCGCAATCCTCCATTCACCGATACCGTCCTGAGAGAGATGGCTATCGAGTTCCCGCAGAACCTCGATGACATGTGCCGAATATCAGGCATCAATCTGGAGATGGTGCGGCTGTACGGAAGTCGCTTCCTGAAGCTCATCAAAGAAGCTCAGGAGTTCTACGACGGCGCAATGAACAGCCACGTCAACAAGCGGATCAACCAGCGGAGGGAGGACCGTGACCATGACCCGAACCATGAGAACGTCATCAATCTGATCAGTGAAGACGAAGCCGAAGACGAGTATGGCGACTGCGACTTTGATGAAGACTCAGACGAGGGAGAACGGAGCGGCTACTTTGGTTCCGGTGTCAAAGACGCGGAGGTCCAGGCGTTCAATGCGCGCTTCTCGCAAACACAAGCCCCCAAACCTATGGCTCCACCTCCGGTCCCGAATCCGCGAGCGTCGGCCTCGACAAGTGGCGCACGATCAAGGTCTGGGGGTGGCTCAAGAGGCGGATCCTCAAGAGGAGGCTTTCGGAAGCGCTCTAGTGGCTACTCGAAAGGCAAAAGCACTGCCGGAGTGACTAAGAAGGGTACAGCGAAGAAACGGAGTTCAAGCTATTCGAATGGGAACCTTGGAGGCTCGAGGCGCGGTGGAGGATTTGGCGGCGGCGGCATCGGTATGATGCCTATCTGAGCTTCGACGTGCTTCTGTCTTGCCTTTCGCTCCTGTGCCCATCGCTTTCTTTGCCTTAGCGGGTCTTGAAGCAGGTCTGGCTTAGTGTTGCTTGGCGGGACCAGGCGATGATTATGATGGGCATGGGGAACCGCGACTCGGTTTGCTGTCGGCTTCTAGTTATCTTCAAGTATAGCTGGTTAGGGCTTCCACATCCAAATATATGCACCACGTCCTTATACTGGCTTCAAGCTCATACTCTATGCCTCCTGTACAGTGAGCCATACTAGTCTCCACTTTGCATCGTATGCGGTCTTTTAACGCGTGAGCTGTGCACCAGGTTGCCCGTGATAGCTCCATGTATGGGCGCTTTAGCTGCAGGTATCTTCTGTTGTATCCATCAGTATGCAGGAGATGTCCATCGAGGTGCATCCGCACGTGGGCCGTTTACTGCCCACTTGAGCCTGACAGATTGATGAAAGGGCTGGGATGCCCGGCCGGGGAACCTGCCCCGCGACACGTCGTCGACAGGTTATCGCGCCGTCTGTCACTCCATGTGACCTATATATCCACCTTATCACCGGCCTCCCTCGAGCAGCGCTTGGAACCAAGCATACCTCACCTCTGCCTGCCTTCTGCCTGTCTGGCGACATTGTGCAAACGTGTCTTCTGCAATTCTTAAGGCAGCAGCGCTGCATAATAGCCTGCGCCATTCACATACAGCCAAGCTACGAAGCCAACGACGACGTCAGCAGTACACCGAGCACCTTTCTAGCCGCCAGTCAAGCACGACCGAAAGCTACTCGTGCAGAACACACTTCTAAATCACATCCGCACACCACGGGCCATCACTATGGCCAGCTTCATCGAAGACCTCTGGACCTCAGTCTTCACCCCCGGCCCCACACCCACGCTGCTGATAGCCACCAACGCGGCCTTCGCCGCCCTTCAGGCCGTCCTCTTCGCGCTCTTGATCGCAACCTACAGCATCCACTTCGCCATCCTCTCGTTCCTCACTGCAGGCCTATGGTGGGCGATCAACTGGTTTGCAGCCGAGCTGCGCGCAGCGCAGGCGAAGGAGGAAGAAGCCAAGAGGATCAGGGAGAGCGAGAAAGAGCGGAGGTCACCTAAGCCCGACCAGAAGACGCCGGTGGGTCGTGGTGAAGGGGAATCGGAGGGCATGGACAGTGGAGACGACACCGAGGTGGACAATGATGCTGAAGAAAAGCATGGCAGCAAACGGCCAAGCGGGCACGACGAGCTACTGAGGCCACTCCCTACTCCTCCGAGTGGGCGGATTGAAAGCCGGCAGGCTCCGCTAGGCGGTCTACAAATGAGTCCTGAATCGAGCGGCATGGCTACTGGGTACGTCGGGATGACCAGCCTGGAGCCGTTTGGAGACGATGCATCGAGGAAGCGAGGAAGCGTTTCTGGGAGTCAGAGTGGAATGAGTACGGATAGCGAGTGGGAGAAGGTCGAGGGTGACAGATGATCGTGAGATGGGGTGGATCTCGCTCGTGTAGCGCTTGTGGTAGCTTAGACATCTCACCCGCATGCTTCAACATATGGCACTAGACCTTTCAACACTTGTGACTTACAGTCCTGCGGTCTGCTTGCTCCAAGGGGACGAACGGTGACCGCTTACTATGCGACCATTTTCCAACGTTTTGAAATTAAGTTACGGCGGCGCTAGAGCTGAAACGATCAAAAATAACATCGCCGACTTCACCGCTGGAGGTCGCGAGCGCCAAAATTAACAGCAACCACAGGTCAACCCGCGCAATCCCCGACAACGACAGCAGCCTCATACGCTACCTTTAGTCTGAAGCCAGGAAGCCGCCATTATGAAGCTCGTCAGGTAAGCTTGTCCCATCCGCTCCGCTCGCACGTAGCAAAAGCTGAGTTCGATTCCATCTCAAGGCCCTCCGCACGCGAGCCTGACTGACGGAGTCACAACACTAGGTTCCTCATGAAATGCGCGAACGAGACCGTCACGATTGAGCTCAAGAATGGTAACGGACCTCCAAGATCCACGCGTCCACCGATCCCCCGCGAGCCTCTGGGCCCGCGCATTCCCTCAGCACGCGCGCAACTCTCCCCCCTGCGGCAGGGGTGCACCCGCTCCCCGGAACGCACGCTGACTTTCAATCCTACACAGGTACCATAATCCACGGCACCATCGCCTCCGTCTCCCCTCAGATGAACACCGCCCTGCGCACCGTCAAGATGACTCCCAAAGGCCGCGACCCCGTCTCCCTCGACACGATCAACATCCGCGGCTCGACGATTAGATACTTCATTCTGCCCGACAGCCTGCCGCTCGATACCCTGTTGATTGACGATGCGCCGAAGCCGAAGAACAAGGCGAGGAAGGAGGCTGCGGATCGGGGAGCACGAGGTGGTAGGGGCGGGCCGCGGGGAAGGGGCAGAGGGATGGGAAGAGGACGGGGGAGGGGCGGTGGTGGGAGGGGTTTTTGAGCGGTGGGACGACTGGAGCAGACCGAGGTGGTGCGGCGAGGAGTGTATTGTGCTCCTCAAAAACCTGCGGAGCTTGGCAACGAGTCTAGACGACGACACGAGCTGTGTTTGGAGATTGAGATGTCTGCTCTGAAGAATATGCCAGTCCTCGCTGACAGGCACGTCTAGCCGGAGTCGAGCTGGCAGAGCCGGTAAACCAAAACGAGAACGGACTTTGTGGTAGCGCTGGCAAGTTGCTATCTTAGGTTGAGTTCGAGTCAAAAGCATAGCCATTCCCTTCTATCCATTCACCCCTAAGTCACAGTACGCCAGTATTTTCATGTTGAAGTACTACTACGTAAGGACTATGACAGCCTCCTCAGGCATCCACTGGAAAGCCCTTGACAGCTGATAGCGGTAAGTGAAGCCATGAACGCCTCAATCAAAGTGTGATCGTCCTCTACATGCTCCCACTCCTACTAAAATCACTCCTCCCATCATCGTCCTCCTGCTCATCCAGCATGCCCAGCCGCCCAACCTTGAACACACTCCCGCTCCACTCCTCAAACATATCCGGATCCCACACCTCGTCCTCCCTCCCCTTCCCCTTCTTCCCGACCGCCTTCCCGTTCGCCCTCAGCAGCTCTGCCCTTTTCTCAAAGAAGTCCTCATAATTACGGAAGACCTGATCCTGCACCGCCGCCACGAGTGTCTCCTTGGTCCTCAAATCATCTAGATACTCGTCCAACTTCCGCCGCAGAAACGGGACTTCCTTCTCGACAGCCTGCCGTACCGCCACGGTCGCAGCATCGCCATCGAAACTCTTCTTCGCTACCGCTGCGGGGGATACCGCAGCCGTCATACGGCTCGCGAAGCCGCCCGTAAAGTCGTTGATCACCGTCCTGAGCCTACCGTCTAACTCCGCTTTGGCATCGAGCATGTTCTCCACGACCCGCGGCACCAGACTCCCACCCGCGAGGCGGATAAGGTTGAGCGGGTTAAAGAGGCCGCCCCTTTCCCGCAGCTCCCAGAAGGTGGAGGTCAGGCTGGAGAAATCAAAAGCGATCTCGGGGGTCACGAACTCAATGTCGAAGGCCACGATCTGCTGTTTGAGAAGAAGGAGATGCTTGATGAGAAAGAGCTGGGAGTCGGTGGGGGAGACGCGCTGGGCGATGAGGGAGGCGGCTGTGTGCAGGGAGAGAGTGGTTTGGTGGACGATTTGGTGGGCGAGATCGTCGAAGACGGTGGACTGGTGGCATATGTTAGTGGGCTGAACTTAGGTTCAAGGGGGCATGGGAGGCTTACGTTGACGAGGCGGTAGATCTTGCTGAGAAGCCAGACCGCTTTGCGGAGGGTGGAATACCAGTCTTGGAAGGCGGCTTCGGTGCTCCAAAAGACCCCGGTGCTATCCACATCGTCCACTACTGTAGGTGTTTTGGGCGTTGGTGTCGGAGGGCGGTTGGTGGAGCTCTTTCGGCCAGATAGTACGGGCTGAGAGCTTTTCACTGCCACCACAGAAGTGCGCCGGTTGCGGGCAGGATAGTCAAGGTCCTCCGGCTTCGGCTTGTAGCGCTCAATATCGTCCCTTAAGACGGCCAAAGCAAGGAAAACAAGTCTGGTTTGGGCGTCTTCAAGCGCTGGTTGAATAAGCGTAGAAAAGTCCAGTCTAGCCGCTTCTACCGGCGAAGCATCCTCTTCGTCTTCCTCCATGTACCGCGTCTGCAGAAGCGTACATAGTTCACAGAGCTTTAGTATCTGCATCTCATGAATGATCCTGGGCCGCAGATGGTCATATAGCGGCTCGCATATCGCCTCGAGGAAGTCGTACAAGCCATTATCGCCATCGAACCACTCGTGCCAAAGATCATACTCGTCAAAGCAGATGCCACGAATGTAGCTTATGCTGCTTCGGGCGAAAGCTACCAGGTCCTTCGCACTGCTAGGCGCCATGGCAATCTCAGACATCTTCTTCGTGACGATGGGTAGAATGAGCCTTCCGCGGGTAGCGGAGTAGCTCTGGTATAGCTCATTCTGCAGGCTCTGGTACTCGGCTTCTGTGCCCTGCTCCACGCCAGCTGGTAATACGGCTCGCTTCTGGATTTCTAGTCCCACTTGCTTCAGTTCTGGCGCGCGAACGCGGAACTTAGCGTATAGCAGTGCGGACATGGTTGTGTCGTTCAGCTGGCGATCAGCTATGCGCTTAGAAACATCGGCGGCAATCTCTCGCAGCGCATTTGTGAAATGAACACGTATGAGCGTGAGCCCTCTGGTGAGTAAGAGGCGATACCGAGCTCGGTAGGTGGCGGCCTCTCGGTGTGATGGATGGGCTTGCATATACTCCAGGCAGTTGTCCAGGTTGGCAAGCATCTCTGAGAACTCCTTCCCGCCTACCAGCTTGCCTGCGCCTGGAGCATTCAGTCTCTTGGTTATGGGATCCAGGTATGTATAGTAGCGCAGGTTCTCGGCTATGTCATCAGCAAGCTTCGAGGTGTGGTTCTGGTCAGAGACGAGGCCTTCGCATTGAGCCTGAAATGCTGTAGTCTGCGCTTCGACCGCTTTGAATGCTTCCGACAAGGATGAGAGGAGATCCAGTGTGGAATTGGTATCCGTCAGTAGCGACTCAAGATGTGATTGAGACAGCTGGAGTTGCTCCAGGTAAGACCTGTAGGGTTAGCAGTCGTCATTCATAGAAGCTGCCCCACTTGCTCTCAACGTACTTGTACTCTTCATGGCTCGCGTCCAACAGCTCATCATGTACCCCGTTGTACCACCGCCGAAAGTCAAGTTCGGTCTTGACATCTTCTCTGATGTTCTCCCTTGATCTTCTCTTCTCCCTCTCGAGCTTCCGCTCTTTTATGGTATGCGCCCTTACAACATGGTAGAAATCGCTGTATGACTTGGCTCGGCGGGCCACGGTGGCCTCGGGGGGACCTCTTTTGCGCTCATCCTCCTCGACCACTGCTGCAATCTCTTCTACGCGTCCGACGTCAGCTTCAATGCCCTCCTGCCACAGCATCAATATTGAAAACGTACCCATGAAAGGACGCTTGGCTTACGTTGGGCTGCTTGAGTAGCGACTCTCTCCGCCGCTGCTTCTGCTTCGGCTTCTCGGACTGTTTGGGAACAAACTCATTGTACCACTGCGCGTCGAACATTGTGCGGGTTCGGACGTGATGGTAGACATGCGGTGGTGTTGCTCCCTTGGGTGGAACTCTGCGCTTAACGCTTAACGCCTAACGCCTAACCCCACGTTCGACGTTTGATCGTTTGATCGTTTGATGAGCGGCTGACAGGCGACAAGCGCGCGTCTGAGCTTGGCACGATGGTGACGTTCGAGACTGGATTGCCCGGATCATGAGCCTCATCCCGCGCCTGTCCGAGTGGGTAATCATTCAGACCTTGATGGTTAACTTGCGCTCAGGTCCTGGTTGTCATGTTCTACACACCTTCCTGAAGCCGAGGCTGGCCTGACTGACGGATCTATCCCCCGGTGACATACATCAGGAATAGTACACCAGCATATCGAAGTTCGAGTCCAGAAGCTACCATGTCGGGGCCACGCTATGTGCCATATGCCGTCCGGCAGCTGAACAGGGCGAACACCAGAACCGCAACAATCTCGCCGTATGCCGCGCGCAGGCAGCAGCATTTCGTACGCTCTGTAGCAACCGTGACAGCAATCGGCGCGCTTGCCACCGGCTGGCAGTGGTACAATGGCAGAGGAGGTATCTTGCGGGAGGCACACGCCGAGGAGCCGCCTCCAGATCCGGAGATGAAGTTTGAGAAGCCAAGGAAGAAGGGCTTGTCAAAAGATGCCAATAGAGACCTGATCAGCTCGCAACATCTGCAGGTCAGAAGGAGCTGGGAGAATCCAGGTGTATATGCGTGGGGCTCGAACAGTGGGAGAGTAGTGGCACCGGACTCTTCGGAAGCCAACATCAGGACACCGCGGCGGATACCATTCTTCGATGGGCTACTGTTGCGGGATCTCAAGATGGACCGGACGTTCGGCGCAGCGATAAACGAGAAAGGCGACCTGTTGCAGTGGGGTACGGGCTACTCGAAAGACAGCAACAGTCCGGAGGTCACGTTGAGGGGCAAGAATCTGACCGCTCTCACGATATCGAAGGACCGCATCTTAGCCCTGAACTCCAATGGTGACGTTTACTCGCTGCCCGTCTCGAAGGAGGACCAAGAAAAGGGGGTGAAGCCGTCAGAAAGCAGCTGGATACCCTTCTGGTCCTCCAGCTCTCCCATCAGCTACCGCCGGCTCTCTCCAAAAGACCTACCGTGGGGCGAGAGAGTCACCTCCGTCTCCGCCGGGCTAGAACACGCCCTTCTCCTGACCTCCAAAGGCCGCCTTTTCTCCGCTGCGGCCGCTAGCGCCGACTTCCCCACCAAAGGCCAGCTCGGCGTACCCGGTCTGACCTGGACCACCCGACCGGAAGGCGCATACGATCAGTGCCACGAGATCACGACCCTGCGCGGCTTCGAGATCTCCAAAATCGCCGCAGGCGACTACCACTCCCTCGCCGCCGACAAAGACGGCCGCGTCTTCGGCTTCGGCGACAACTCGCTCGGCCAACTAGGCGTAGACTACTCCCCCGAATCCTCCTTCGTCGACGCGCCGTCCCTCCTCCCGATCCAGAAACTCTACGCCGGTACCTCGCAGGCGCCCAAAGTCACCGACGTGGCCGCGGGAGGCGCGAACAGCTACTTCACCATCGAAGCCACCAAAATCGCCGCACCGGGTCAAGCCGACGACGCGTCTGCGCAGCGAGGACTAGGCAGAGTAACGGCCGACACCTGGAGCTGCGGGCAGGGGATCTGGGGCACGCTCGGCAACGGCCGCTGGACACACGTGCAAGCTACACCGACCAAGATCCCGGCTCTGAGCGGGCTCTTCGAATACGACGAAGCCGCGGGCCGTGTCGTGCCGATCCGGCTCTCGCGTCTCAGCGTCGGCACGAACCACGTCGCGGCCGTGATGAAGAACGTCACCCACACCGGCGCTTCGTCCGCGTCGTCTGAAAACGACACGAATTGGGGCGCCGATATCGTGTTCTTTGGGAACAACGAGTTTTATCAGCTTGGTACTGGTAGGAGGAACAATCTGGCGAATCCGACGTATATCCAGCCGCTGGACCAGGTGGCGGAGAGGAAGCTGAGGGGGAAGGAGGAGCATAGGTTTCAGATCACGCCGAGGAAGACGGTGGATGTTGGCGGAAGGAGGGTTAGTATCGAGCAGAGGGTTGAGTGTGGGAGGGGGGTTACGGCTGTTTATTCGGGGCTTTGAGGGGGGTTTCGGGGGTGGAGTGAGGGAGTTCTGGGGGTGAGAAGCGAATATGCTGTACATTTAGCTGTATATTTGTAAGAATCCATCGCCTGCTCTACGTGGCTTAATGGAACCGCCCGTTAACGAAGGATGTGAATGCTGAAAACCTCACGTAAGGTTGAACTACGGTAATGGACCGTTTAGTCATAAACGTCCGATCGCATGCAGATTTATGCATACAGAATGATTCACTCTTCCATATGAGGTGACATGTCAGTTGTTTAGATTGTTCCTCAGTTCAGGCGCCATGCCAAGGCCTTCTGACTATGCGAGCTCCTCTCGTGAAAGAACCTTGAAACTTCGGAAGCTCCCTGCAACACCCGTTCCGACGTCAATCTAGCAACCTCAGAGCCCATGTTGGCCCGGTGAGCGCGTGCTCTTCTACAAGGGGGTAATGGGCCACCAGGAAGCCTGGCGAGCGTATGATGCGTCTAAGCCACCTCAGCCACCAAGGCTCAATGCACTTATACGTTGCCGCATCTCTGCCGCATTTTAGTAAGAAAGGTGCGGCAGTGACTAAGTGCACCGAGCCTTGCACATTGTGGACATTTGAATCCTCGTCAGCCTTGTTCGGTTGCAGACATATACCAACCTCATTCACTTTTGAGACAGACCTCCTCCGACAACTGTTGCTTGTCTTCTGATTTCTTTCAGCTTTGTGGGGAATCATGTCTCTTACTGGTCCGCCGGAAATATGCCAATCCTGCAGTCAGATTTTCATGAAGGACAGAGTCTACGAGTTGCTCAAGGCCGGGGACTTACGCTACGAGCGAACTCTGGGCAGTATGCTTGAGTCAGCCGAAGCTGGGTGCATTCTGTGTCGAAACCTCCTACTCCTCGGCTATGAAGAGTCTAACCGTGAGGGCTCCTGGTATGGCCGTCCCCCTAGCCGATCATTCTACGCGGTTGATCCGGCTGATCCAGCATGGCCTTGGGCAAGTGAGCAGAGGTGCACCGAGGATGAGCTTCTTGAGATGGTTTGCAGGGATCAGACTTGCGTGGCCACTTTCACCTTCAGTGGAGACAGTCGGGAGTCCTCGTGGATAGAGGTTAGGTCTTCACTAGCCGATGACAGGGAACGTGCTGTACGTCAAAGGGAACTTGACAAAGCTATGCGGAATGATGCCGGCTCCCCCCGTGGTAGTGTTGAGTTGTCTGATATGATCTGGCTCCCTAGCTCCCATTTCGAAATTTCTGCGAGCATCGGTATGTTGGCAATCTGCAGTTCTTATTCGTTCATGGTGTATTAAGTGGCTTATGTTGTGTGTACAGACGATCCGGCTGCTGAATTCATATCAAAACGGCCTAAATGTCTGGATATAGGGTCAGACCGTGCTTTCGCTTTAGCTCGGGACTGGATCACGGATTGTGAAGAGAACCATGAAGATTGTCCGGAGCTCGGTCATTCCATCCTCCCCACCCGTGTCATAGACGTCCTGTCTCATAGAGATATCGATGGAGACCCGCAACGAATTCGATTACGTCTCGGGGCGGGAGAATGCGCACCTTACGTCGCCTTATCTTACTGCTGGGGTGGCGCACAACCGTTCACAACGACTTCTTTAACGTTGCAAGATCGCCTCCAGGGATTCTTTCTATCTTCACTTCCTCGGAGTCTTCAGGATGCGGTGACTGCCACACGAAAGCTTGGTCTCAGATACTTATTCGTTGATGCGCTATGCATCATCCAAGATTCTCAGGAAGACAAGGATAGCGAAATGGCCAAAATGGGAGAGGTCTATCACGATTTCCGCCTCAAATTCACGTAGCTGTTACGATGGCTTCCTTGACGTACGAGAGGAGAAACGTCTCCTGGTCACCATACCGTACCACTGCGGCGCCTACGGGATTGGACGGGCCACGCTGTGGCCGAGGGCCCACACTGAATATTCGAGAAATCAACTTCCGGCGGATCGATGGAAATATAAATATCAAGTTCCGGCGGATCGAATAACTGAGCCTATTCAGAGCCGCTCCTGGACCTTGCAGGAGAGCCTGAAATCGTCTCGGTTGCTACTCTATAGCCAGATACAACTGTTCTGGAGGTGTCCCAGCACGTCGGAAAGCGACGGTGCAGAGTTGAGCTGGTTGGCCTACCAGTACATGGCGAGGTTATCTGTGTTCCGTGGAAAAGACGGTATCTTCAAGAAGGCGACAGATTCGGAACCAGCTGACGGGATACGCGAGGAAAATTACCAACGCTGGAGATCTATTGTGAGAGATTACAGACAACGGAAATTGACAATCGAAGATGACAAGCTGCCAGCTCTGTCCAGTATCGCGGCGGAGTATCATGATGCTACAGGAGATACCTACGTTGCCGGCCTTTGGCTCAGCCGACTAATCCACGAGTTGACCTGGAGTGTTCAATTGTACTACTCAGACCTTGCCGGTTGGAGGCTTACAAGCCGTCCAAGACAGTGGCGCTGCCCGTCATGGTCCTGGATGTCAATGGACTGCGCCTTGGAAATCCAAACCGCGTACGACAACACCAAGACCCAAGCACTCGCGAAGGTGATTTCCTGCAATGTCATACCCGTGTCTGGCTCCGCCCCTTTTGGGAGAATTAGTCACGGTGAGTTGAAGCTGAGGGGACGTCTCAGGAAAGTCCAGACGAATGGCAGCCGGTTCTATGGCCGATATGACTTCTTCAGCCGCGACTGGCTCATGCGGTGGACTAAACGAGGTTCACTGACGTTCGATGTCCTGCACCATTCTAACTGGTATAATGATGAACACACGATACGGGTTGACGCTGCTTATGGTATCATAACCACCGATAAGCCAATGTGGTGTTTCCTGTTGGCTGCTAGTGGTACTTCACAAGATCATATGACGAACCCTATAGGGTTGATTCTTGCTCAGAGAGCAGATGGGTGCTATCATAGGATTGG